CCGCAATTTCTGTCTTTTTGTTGGGTGAAAATGCATGTCTTCCTTTTGCTACACCAAATGGTAATGGGAAATCATTTGAGACATGAGCCCCCACATTCTTGGGGTCGGAAGAATTTGTGGTTTCCTTCTGTGGTTTTGTTTAATTGCCACTTCTGTATTATGGTATATATGCCATGAAATATACGCCTTTGTTCGAGCCCATTCCAAACCCTAATCGCTGAGAAGTGCAGTGACTAGTGACGCTTGAAATTTCCTCGTGATCTTTTGAAAGATTTCACGGTTAAAAATTGATACGCTCAGTTCATAAATAATTACTGAAGACACACAGAAAGACAATAAAATAAAGCTTAAATTGTCGATTTTACATGTGTCTACAAGTGAATTAATCTTAACTAAACACAATCGATTTCGAAGTCGAAACAAAAATCCATCCTGACGACTGCTTCCTCTCCATCATGCATCATGTGTCATTTCCCAGCTACTTCCTATATTCTTCATTCTTGAAGAAAGAAAAGTTAATAAGAATCATATTAGCACCAGCTAGTAGCTAGCTACAGTTCGTAACCTTTTTTTCTTCCAATTTGATGACAATATTCCTTCATGCACTATAAGAGATGAAGGATCGCTTTCAGAAAAGCTACGAAGACGAAGGTTGATAACGAAGAGTTTTGCTAGCTAGTAGTCGAGTTGGAATGGCTTCATGAGTAGTAACTATAAGTATTTAAATACGAGAGCGGATAGTGTGCAAAACGCTATGCTTATAAAATTCGGGTGGTATCGTATCATCATATATCACACACGTCGTGATACAACGATACAACCGGAGTTTTGCAAGTAAGGGTTTTGTAATGGAACCAAGCCCTTTAAATACACACATACATAAATTGAATAATAATTTGAAAATGATAATGTTAGAATGATAATATTAATAATGCAGGTCGTGAAAATGATGTTGAAAAATTGGCGTTCGATATAAAACACAAGCTGGCATATGGACTCGGGTGGAATTTGTCTGATAGTGTTTCTTTATTTTGTCTTTCTTGATAAAATTGAAAATAAAGGGGAAAAGTATAAAGAAGAATTTGGAGGGGAGCTTTTGAGCTTATAATAAAATTAGGTTTGAATTTGATGTGCCATATAAAAAGATGGCCCGAACTGGAAGGCACTTTTTTTTCATGATTCTTTTTGGGATGGAAACATGAACTGATTTGTTTATGTAATGTGAGAAAGGGATGCCTTGATGCTGCAAGTTTGTGAGAGTTGCTTATACCTAGTTGAGTAATTGACATGAACAACTATCTTTGATGATGATAGATAGATCAGTGAAAAATTAACATAAAGTTAGCAACTCTGATTATAAGATTAATCATATAATTATAATAAGGGTAGTTAGGCTCGATACAGAATCCAGTCGGTGCACACATCTTATTTGTGATAGTCTTGACGAGAGAGTTGGGAGTATATATAATATATGACTAATATGTTATGATATCAACACGAATTAAATAGTATGGTATAAGTGATGTTAGTTTCAATAGTCGAATTGAGGTGCATTATTTTTCCCGAATAATTATATACCGCAAGGGTTGCTATGATTCGAAGTCTGTTTATCTGCCTTCGACAGTAAGTCATGAAGGTCTGTACGTATATACCTTCAATCTCAACATCTCTGTAATTTGTATCCTTCTCAGATACGGTGAAACTGGCCTCTCATGCTCGTGGATTAGCTAGCACGCACCGTGTTAAGTGAACCACGTAAATGTGTGTGTTATTTACTTTCTTGAATTGTCGATTTCCCAGTTCCATCATAACAACAAGTATATTTAGGGTTTATGCAAGTTGAGCAGGATCGGCGCCTGGATATTTATGTTTATTTAAGTTGTTTTAGACGAGATATCGGTTTTTCGGATTTTCTTAGTTTTTTGTGATGAAATTCGATTCACATGGACGGAATATTTATCCCATCTTGTGTTGATACAAAAATGTGAGTTGTTTGACTTTTTCGAAGTACAAAGTTAACTAATCTTTACACATGAAGGTGAGAAAAAAGTGGGAAATTTTTTTTCATGGATTTTGACTTCTTAGGAAGATGCCTTTGAGGTTCTAGTTCATGTATACTAATAATGGAGGCTAGCTAGCTATAGTTAGGTCATAATCAAGATTCCCCTCCATTGTTGTATGTATCATATATTTTCGCGGCGGCTTCATCACTCAGCTTCAAGGTGATTGGCAGCCCAGAAAAACTTGGCTCTCACACCTTAGTAATCTGAAAGGAATTCAATCCGGTTTTCTGCTCCTGCAACTCATGTGTCTGTAAGAATGTCAACTCGTAATTTATTGTGTAAAATAGATTCTGATGAGTGACATTTATAATCTGTAAACCAATATTGTGGTGAATGGAAAAAGGGTTGGCATCATGACAAGGGAAGAGAAATGTGTAAATAATGAGTAAATTAAGGCCTTTTCAGTTTTCACAATGGGTCAGCAATGGAGGGGAAAATGCAAGTCTGAAAGGCCAGATGGTGGAAGGAAAATGATCACTTGCTCCAAATCCATTAGCTTAATTAGTAAGTTTGTGCTGGGGTGTAAAGATAAGTTAGATCTCAATAATTTGAGTTGGCAGGAGAGATTCGATAATAGATCTTATTCCCACATACTAACAAATCAAAATAAGCGTTTTGAAGTTTGCACATGCCCTTATACCTGTGTGCTTAACAAATGGGGTTATCGGAAATTCGAACAAAAGACCTCTTGAACACAAAAGGCTCTAATTCCATATCGAGAACCAATTGGTCCTAATAATGAATCTTATACCACATACTAACAATAGGTTGTTTCACCTAACTCGAATTCAACGGTACCTCGATAGATTTCGTAACTCTAAGATGGTAGATTTGATTCTAGTGAATGTTAGGCTAGATGAATAATGGGCGTTAATGTAATACTAGTTGGTCCCAATAACTCGAATTGTTTGTTAAATGTTCAATAATGAATCTTAGCATGTACTAACAATAGATTGTTTCACCTAGCTCGAATCCAGCAATACATCGATAGAGAATTCGTAACTCGAAGATGCAAGATTCGATTCCAGTAAACTCTTCAAAGTAATTTCTGTCATCTCCGATTGGCGTTGATGTAGCAGTAGTACCTAAAGGAACGTTAGGCTCTAGATGAATAATGGGTATTTCGTACCCTTGCCAAATGAGGGATGAATTGATTCCATTGCCCATTTAGTGGGCTAGCTAGTGGAGTGGAGCAAACAAAATACGTTGCATCATCGCTTTCCGACAAAACATTTCTAATGTGTTTCCATCATTATTTTCTTTCTTTTTCAACAATTCTACTTATTTAGGTCACATTGATCATGATAATAGTAGACACTACATTAATTCCCATTTTTGTCTAGTTCCCACCTCTATTTTGTCCCCTTGTGAATGTAGTTTGTTCTCCCTTGCTAGAGGTAAGATATTAGAGGTCAACTAATTTAACCACCACTCGCTAGTAACTGCCCAGATGGTTTCATGATCACGGCTCATGAGAAATTTTACAATGCTATATAGTATTGGTGCTATAGGTTTTTGCCTTTATGGTACAACTTAAAATTGTACATTTACGTTATGGTACAACTTTAGATTGTACCTATACTTTTTGCACACATTCTTTTATGGTACAACTTGAACTTGTACATTTATGTGATGGTACAACTTCAAGTTGTAAAGTTGTACCATAACATAATGGTACAAATTGCTTCATGGTACAACCTAAACTTATACATTTAATGTTATGGTACAACTTTGAGTTGTACATTAAAGCACCAATACTATATAGCATAGTAGAAGTGCTCCACGGCTCATAAGTATAAAGAGTTTTCTCCGTGAACTATTGTTTACTATTTCGGACACACTCGTGAAGACGAGTTAGACACCATTATAAGTCGTATAGACCCGAGTAGTATATAAAACAATCGACCGTCACATTGTTTCAATTCGGGGGTTCAATTCACGGATCCCACCGCGCACATGTCTCATTTCTAAAGTTGATTAAAGATAGCATGATCATGAACTGTATGATCAGATGGGATGAGTCTCTCACTTAATGATGATCAGGCACGAAATCATTGTGTGACCTAATCGAATTGCAAAGAAAAGCATGGAGAGAACAAAGAAACAAAAGCAAGTGGTGGGGCTTTTTTTTGCCAAAGTGAAAATTTGTGGGGCAAAGAAGCTAAGTTTGGAAATGAATGGGGAAAGTTGGTTCGATAACTCTACTACGTGTCACGACTCACGTGGCAAGAACCCAATTGGCAACAATTGTTTTTTTTTTTTTGGGAGGGTAGAAGAAGGATCCAATTGTACTTTGATGAGACAAATGCGTTGAATCATTGAAGGGATGGAAGGACCAAATTGGCAGCCATGTCACCATTTTGGAAGATTCCCATTGGCCCAACAATTGTCTTGTATCTCTCTCTCTCTCTCGTGTATTTTTCTTTCTCTTGTCATCTCCGCCGGGACAAAAGTTAGATTGGGAAAGGGAAAAAGTGAAAGGAAACCATTATGAAAAAGAAAAAAAATTGGGTGACTTACCCACACGAAGGGACAAATTCCGAGCGTCTTTTTGTAATGTGCCACTTGTAAGAATTAGGTACATTTTGTCCCATCTCAATAGGAACCATGTGAGCACTTCCCACAACTTTGCAAATGTATGTAGTACACCTCTTGACTTTACATGGACTCTAGCTAGGAAGTGCTTGGCCATTCTAGAAGGTTTGGTCATTTTCTTGTCCACGAGAGAGGAAATGAAAGAAATTTATAACGAGACCGGAGGAGCTGTAAAAGAACTCGAGAAATTAAACACAATATATGTGGGTTGACGTAATTTGATTACGGATTTTAGTTCATATGACTTACTTTCTAATTTAAGACGGATTCGGGAGAGTAGCAGGAGAATCACAAGTTGTTTACCTTCTTCCTTGAGATCGTTGATACTTCTGTTTTGCTCGAATTGACCCTGAAAGTTTATTGGTGAAGGTGAACAACAAGTATAAGCGTTAAGTGATTGTTGCGAAGTGGTGACTTGCTCGAGTTCGACATTGTACGTAGTTTCTCAAATACGTAGTCTGATTGCTTTTTTGTTTTTGTTTTTGTTTTTTTTTGTGTGGATAATTCGTCTAATCTAATTGAGATCTATGTTTCTTTTTTATAATTCGCCTAGTCGGATTGGGATCTATGTTTTGTGGGCCCCGGCCGATATTCCCTTCATGGATTGGGCTGTGCTCAACCTTGTGCATGTTGTAACATCTTGGCCCAAGTTCTTTTTGTGGATCCTGTTCAGGTTGGAGATCTGTTGTTCATTTGTTCCAGTAACGGCGGGTGAGTCTCAACGTCTTGCGTCCAGAAGAACGCTCCGATCCATGCAAAAGCTAAACTAACCAAATCCAGATATCCCTCTTTGGAAGAGGTTTTCCACTCCTATTAACAAAAAGTAGTTCTACGATGTTACACCTTCAAATTCAATCCACTACCACAGAAAGCAGAGTGATTCAACCGAAGCCAAAACGACAACGTCTCATGTGCCCATCACCAGCCTCTAAAAAAAGCCCATTTCGAACCCTTCACTACTATTTTAGTTGATCTTTGCCCTTGAGAAGTCCATCTCCGGGTGCTGCAATAAGCAAAAGCGACAGAACACCAGGTTAGCGGCTAGACAAGAATAACGGTACTGGGGAAGCTTAGAGATTAGAGGTTTGTATTTGGCGATTCACCTCGGCCATGAACTTCTTCAGAATATCCTGTTTCTGAATCTCGTCGCTGGTTGGGCGACCCATCTGCTTCTGCCTCTGGTCAAACTGCAAGTGTTGTTATGCACGAAAGAACAGTCAGATGCTCAGATGCACAAATAACACTCGCTGCCTTGATCGCAAGAAAGAGGGACTGGCATGAGGTTGAACACAGGATTATAGGGGGTGGAGTAATGAAACAAAAAAAAAAAAAGGCACAGATAATCAATCTACCATCATCTTCTCGACAGTCTGGCGTGTTTCAGGGTCCAGGTCAGCAAGCTTGCTGTTTTCAGGTTCAACTTTCTGTGTATCGATTTCAGGGCCTCCTTTCACCAGAGTTTTCCACCATTCCATTTGGTCGTGCTTGGTCAACAGAATAGAGATAGTGTTTTGATCCTCTGTAGACACATAAAGCTTCAAGTAAGCAACGTGCTCAGGTGCAAGCATCCATTTATAGCACAACAATATATACATAAATGCACACTCTACACAGAATAACCAAGTTACAAAACAGCACAAATGTATTACTCTTGGACATTTCGCTAATTTTACTAATTCACCTCTCTACAGGCAGGGAAATGCACTTAGGATTCATCACATAGTACTTGAGAAATAAGCCAACAGGCACAAATAGACACAAGCCAGCCTGCCTGCCAGCACAAGGGTAAAAGCCACTTTGATACTACTATCAGCGCAAGCCAGGATACCTTCAGTATGCATACAAAGGAAGCATATCAAGCAAATGATGCAACAGCTAAAAGCTCAGAAGGAAATAGGGGATTGAAAAGTTCAACATACCTATGCTCCAGTAACAATCATCAACCTTGATAGGCTTGTAGAGTTCCCCCTGCAGTATTCAAAATTCAGAGGTGTTGCAGAATGCAAACCACTAAGCTCAAGTTACGAACTATAAGATTATACCTCAATAATTGGAGGCTGACCCTTGAGTCCAATTTTGAGGTGGTTCTTCTTTATGTCACACACGACGAATCTTGATTTAGTCCCATGAGGAACCGGAACCAACACCGTAACCTCTTGCAGTGTCTGTGTCCATGAGTAGTTGTCCAGATCAAGTCCATTGCCCTTGTTTGGGACTGTTGATGCCATAACAAAGCGTGACAAAATCAGGCCAAATACAAGCAGAATGAAGAAACATTCAAATCTTCACGACCAGAAGACTGCAAATGAAATGAAGTAGTGAAGGAAATCTAAACAATAGAACAGAAGAAATTGACTCCTAGAGACAGCAATCAAATTGGCAACCTAATCAAACCACAATAGAACCATAGCCGCAAGCTTAAATCGTCCTCCAATTCAACCATTCAGCCAAGCAGTCCTTGAATTCGATTCACACACGACAAGTTTCAACAAGCAGCAGAATGCCAAAGTAAACACACTCTGTGATCGGAAGGAAACAACGATTTTACCTCTGACGCCATTCTCTTCCTTCTTCTCGTCCTTCTTCTTCTCGTCCTTCACTTCCTCCTTCAGTCTCTTGTTGCTCTCGGAAGCCTTAGCAGCAGCGTCGGCCTTCTCTCTTTCCGCCGCCGCCTCCTCTTTCCTTCTTCGCTTCTCCTTGGCAGCCTTCGCCGCGGCCGCGATCTCCTTCTCCGCCGCGGCATTGGAGAGGTAGTCGCACTCCGCTGCCAGGAAGTCGAAGAGCTTCTCCACGATCCCTAGCGGATTGCTGGGATCGAAAGGGGCTGTGAAAGTCGAAGGCTGCGCAGGCGGCGAGGCAGCCGACGATGAGGGCTTCGTCCCGCTGTCTTCTTCCTCGTATTCGGAGATTAACGCCATGGCTGATTCCCTTCGCTTACCTCGATTGACTGCGCCGACGAAGGTTTTAGCGCGGTCGATGGAGGTGGGAGTGGAGGAAATGTCAGGGAGCACGAGAGTTATGGAGGATTCCAGAAAGCTTTGCCTTTGCCTGTGGTGGGAGAGTAACTACTTCATTTTACCCCCGCTAATTGCTTGTGGGCCTGATATACCAAATATTGAGCCCATTTCGTTTCTAAAAACAGAAGCCCAAATTTCACCAATCAAATACAGGCCCAAATTAGAGTGGTATCGTACGTGTATTTACGTTTTTACGTACATAATTTATATTTTTATGCAATTATTGTTCGACTAATTTTTTGCAGGTAATCTCATTAATAATTACACATTTCCCATCAATAATTTATTATTACATAATTTGATCATCGATCGAATAATTTGGTCATATAACAATTAATCTATATTTGGCAATGACTTGTACGAACTACCAAGCGCCTTTTTTTCAATTATTAATTAGGAACCTAGCTCAATTAATCGTACTATTATACAAAGTGGAAACGATAATCACTTCATTTAACCATAAATGGATATTCACCCACAGAAAAGGTTTGAACATAAGAGTGTTGTTGAATGTTTATGTATGAATGTGAATTGTATTTGTAATTGAGATTACAGTCATAAGAATTTGTGAAATTTCACCATAATTTCTCTTGTTTGTAGCAACTGCGTTGTTTTACCATTGCCTTTTTGGATCATTCGATTTAATCGTTTGCGTATCCCACAATTTATTGATCATAATAATTCATAAAACAATACATGTTTTCATTATTATTAATTATGAAGGGATATATACATCACTATTAAAGAACACAAGATAGCTTATTTTATCGCCCTTCTCATATGCGCATACGTAATATCATAAATTATAATTTTGTGAAATCTTCAAATAGTAAATCAAAGCGAAGTCCACGGCGCAATCCACAGCTTCTTCCCTCGGCCAATTTCTTCACTGTGGAGGTACAGTGTAACCTGTAATTTTGATAAAAACACCAATTATCTCAGCTATTTATATCTTTAGCTGGCTTATAGGCTCATAAAATTTTACATCAAGGAACACACATAAAACCAAACTCGAAAGTTGGTAAAATGATGCTAACAATATACCATTCAGTTAATATTGTGATAGAACCGATTGATCGATCACTAATTTAAGTCAACTCAATAAATTCAGAACGAATCTTATTTCGTTAGACATAAAATCGATCATATTTTTCGAGTTTTGAAGTTTGCACAAACCTGACATACACGTCAATTAAATACTTACTGCCGCACTTAGTTCCAGGCGCAAGCGCCTTGCCGCAGGATCGGGCGGCGTAGACGACCCTGTCCATGCTGACGTAGCCCTCGATGGCCTTGGTGATGTAGGCGCAGGCGCAGGGCACGTCCACCGGCTTCATGGCGGCGCAGCAGCCGGCCGACGGCGGGACCTTCTTGCCGCCGCTACTCTGCACGTACTTCCAGCACTGCGACATCAGGGCGTTGAGGTCGCCGTTGCAGTAGGTCTGGTCGGCCGCCGTAGCGTAGAAGCTCTGCTCCGGGGTGATGCTGGTTAGTAAGAAAGCCAACCCGACCGCCGCCAGCCAAAACTTCGTCATCGCGAAAATTGGGGTTAAGTTGATAATAACTAAGTTGCTGCTGTTTTGTATAATCAACGTTTGAGTTTTAACAATGTGTACATGTTTTTCCCTTTATATAGATGTTGGTAATTTTACGTAGTGATTTGTTGTTGGTGTGGGTAGTCGATCTAAATGCCAAGTGGAAGTCACGTTGTTAATTTTTTTTTTATCGATCGGCTAGTGGTGGTGGGTTTGTTGGGAGGGCAGGGATGAATGATAAGTGGCAACATTTGGTGGACGTGACACATTTCCACACTAATAGTATTACTATAGCATATGCATCTTCAATAATACTATTGGATAATGAACCTATTGTTAATAAAACGGTATATGATCCACGATTGAACCTCTTCAAACAACTCGAGTTATTGGGACTAACTGGCTCTTGACATGGTATCAGAGCCTTCTGTGACCGAGAGGTCTTTTGTTCGATTCCCGGTGACCCCATCTGTTTCTGTGTTTCTGTTAAGCACACGGTGTCTGGACCGGTGCCTAGGGATGGCAATTTCGACCTGACCCGTGTTAACCGACTTGTTTGACCACCCGTTCTTGTCTAATTTACATGTAATCTTAGTCAAATTACTTAGTATTTTCCTTTTATTGCATCATATTTTAGCTATAAGAAAGTTGTAAATTAGTAAAAACCTCAATTTCTCCAATAATTTAACTGCAATTGTCATAATATTGTTTGTTTTCTTAGTCTTATAATAAAAATAACGAATATTTATAATGTTTTTAATATAAATTGCATACCCATTGGGTCGACCTGCCCCGACCCGCGACCCGTGATCAATTACCCAACCTGGACCCGACCTGCCACGGGGCGGGTCTGGGTACCAAGAAACCCGCCCCGGACCTGCCCTATTGCCATTCCTACCTGTGCCTGTCCAAATTCCACCCTTGAGTTTGAAGGGGGTGTTAATAAAACGCTATATGATCCACGGTTGAACCTCTCCCAATAACTCGAGTTATTGGATCAACTGGTTCTTGACACCTATTTCCATGATCATTAGTTAAAGCTCTATTTCAATGGATATGCAGAAATCGAATCTATACACGGTTGCTTTTGGATTTGGGTTTTGAATTATACACTAGCTTGAAGCACATCAAACAGAAGCCCATGGGCCAAGTGGCAACGAGTCCAACGGCCGGTCTTTGGAACCACATGCATGGAACGTACACAGTGCACTCACTAAGCCGCTCAAGTACTTTTTTTTTTGCGACAATAGCTGATCAATTACTCAACAAAAAGGCAGTCACACAAATTCCGTTTATTAATTAGGTGCCGGAAAAGAGCTGCAAACGGCCGACGGTCTTTTTGCCGTCTTGGAAACTTGCAACGAAACATATATAAATCACACGTAAAAAGCAATAACAATGTCCTCAAGATCCAAAATTAGCGTATTGTATTCTAAACTTGGCAGCCGACAACGTTAGTTCTCCATTTCTGCTTCTCTTCTCTCATACCTTCGGAACAGTGTAACCTGCCACGACACATAAAATTCCAAGCACACACAAAACAACATAGATTAACGAAGTTAGTTTGTTGAAATTGACGTAAGATTGTAGCTATATATTTAGCATGAGTTCAGAAAATCATTCTCAAGAGTCTATTAGCGTGAAGTTAGCATTAATTAGCTCATATCGGCGTGAATTTAAAAAAATGAGAAGCTAACGATTCAAAATTATTAACCACATCGTCATCCTAATTTGTTACACAAAAAAAGGTGAGATGTAGCTTTCGATAATCTAAATTGGATTTACCCGCGGCACTTGCTGATCCAACTCCTCGATAAATTGTCATATGATCTGTTATAACTAACTCGAATCATGATATTATAGAATGAATGACATTTAGTCATTGCTATGACTCAAACCTAATGGACGGAAAAAAAACAACCTACTAATGTCTATATGTACGCGTATTAGCATGATACATTTTAGTTCGTAACGAATATTGACTCGACCTGTATTCCATGATAACATGATCGGTAATGACCCGATCTATTGGTTGAACTAGCGTCATGATAACCTATATATCGTCCGAGAGTACCCCAATCGGTCTTACCAGCCCTAAAACATGCTATTAAAAGTTAGGGTATGCAACGAGTTGGTCCGTACATGTGCACAGCACGACTGTCACTGCAACCAAACCGGCACTCTGACCGACCATATACCGAACAGAAATATAATGCGGTTCTATCCTTCGTCTCAGTAAATAATTATTAATCTTACTTGCGCATTTGGTGCCTGGACGGACTATCTTGCCGCAGGAGGTGAAGACGTCGACCACCCTCCCGACGTCGACCAGGTCCTCCATGTCCCTCGTGATGTACGAGCACAGGCACGGCAGCAGCTTTGCCTTCCGGACGGCGTCGCAGCACTCCGCCGACGGCTCGTCCAGCGACGCGCCCGTCTTCGAGATCAGCCTCGCGCACCGCCTGATCACGTTCCTCGACTGCTCGTGAACGCACGACGACGACGTGGACGACGATGCTGACGTGGCCGACGACGGAGACGAAGGTGATCTGCTGCTGCTGCAGGCCGCCGTGGGCCTGACGGCGGAGGCGGGGCGGATGTGGTGGTCGGAGTGGATGAGGAGAAAGGAAAGGAAGAGCGCGGAGATGAGGAAGGGAGAAGAGCTGGAGAAGCTGGCGGCCATATTGATTACGAAAGGGGTTGGAATTAGAGAGATAATAATTTTAATAATGGTGTGTTAATAAGTCTTTTCTGTGATGGTGATTTATGAATTAATACGTGTGTGTATATTTATATGGCGAGGGTCGAGGTTAATAGTTAATTAGATAGTAATTAGTGGAAATCAAGAGGCATTGGTGGTAGTTTAATTTGGCGTGGAGGGGGATCATGTAAAGGTTAATCCGATCGGTGGTTGGTGTTGAGAGGTTGGTGATGGATTTTAGGAAGTTTGTGCATCGTCTTTGCATGTGCTCTTGGAATTAATTAGGTTTTTTTTTTTACAACAAGGAATTTAGGTTTACTATATACCTTTTTTACACTTATATTATGTTTAATTTATACTTAGTACTTTGTGATATGAAAGAGAATAATGAAATGAGAAACTTACATATATATATATTTAGTAATAGCGTAAGTTGTTGGTTAAGGATATGGAGTACTCTTTTCCAGACAATGTACCAAAGCGGTTATAAATAAACGTTTACGAAATGTTTATATACTTATCACGATATATCAAATAATCATTTCGCAGGAACAAAAGCTTGGTTCAGCGGTATTCCCACTAGCAAGTAATTTGGAGGTTCCAGGTTCGTTTCCTTTACACAACAGCTAAGGGTGTGGAGGGCTGGTCGGTTCGGTTATAACTGGAAAACGAAGGGTCGGTTATCGGTCAACCGAACCACCTCCCAACCCTACCGACCACCGACGGGAAGAGGGTTTAAGAATTCGGTTATCTCGGTTTGATGATTTACCTTTTACAATTACAACGACTCAAATTCATGAAAAAAAATTCTTCTTTTATCCTACTTTACTCGATCGGATTTATAGTTTTGTAACTGATTTAATTTGAAGATGGATTGTATAAACTCCTTTTATTGGTTTGATAATTTGATGGACTGATAACTTTTCATTAACATAGATGAAGTTTCCAAATAAAAAGTTTTAAGACTATCACCTTGTCAACTTTTATTTACGATTAAATAACTCTTTAATTTAACTCCACACAGTGCGTCACACCACACTCTAATTACTCCATGCATGTGATCTTCAACGTGCATGTAATTATTTACGTACAATATTCACCGACCTATATTACATATAAATAACAATAATCCATGACACGACGTCGTCGTCTGCATATGTAGTGTGTAGAATATCTTTGATCACGGATCCCTTCACCCCGTCCACCACCTTTCTAAGGACGAAGCCCTTCAATTATTGACGATGAAATCTGACAAACCACAAACAAAAATCAATTTCATTAGCCGTTTCAATAAAAATGTCTCTACTTAGGGTTGTGCAACCATTGGCGAATCCAAAAATTTGAACGAGTGGGTAAAAAAAATAAAAAAAAAATTATACGGGAGACATTTGAACTATGGTGATTAGTGAGGAGGTTATCACTAATTAGTAATCAACACTACTGTCTTACCAACTAGTCTGTTTTTTAGAATTTGTTACATATAAAATTTACATGCATCTGGAAGTTGAGGGAGAGCTATAGCCCCTCATAAATTTAACGCGCCACATCAACAGTCTCTGGTTTATATCGCATCAAACCGACCCTTGGATCAGATCATGTCCAACCGTATATAATACGGTAACGTGAATTTCACGAACACAGAAGTGGAATGGATAAAAATGACATTCAGATTGCGAACTAAATTGAACCGAATGCATGCACTGTTGGTCCAACCTTAATTATAAACTGTCTTTTACTATTAGACCGCATTTCTCATGAGTTTGGTTCGATCCGGGTCGGAGCGATCCGCTGCAGTCCATCATCTAGTGATAAGAAAATGAAAATTTTATTGAATAAAAATATTCACGTTACGTACCGCCGCACTTGGTTCCTTTGGGGATGGAGAGGCCGCACTTCCGGCCGACGTAGACGACGTTGTTCATGTCCAGCAGCGACTGGACGTCGGGGGTCAGCAGCTTCTTGCAAGCGCAGCCGATGTCGGCGCCGCCGATGGCGGTGCAGCACTGCGGCGACGGGTCCCGCTGCTTCGACCCTTTCTTCACGTAGTCCTTGCATTCCTCCGCCACGCCTTGGACGTCGACGCCGCACGTTCTGGCGTCGGCGCCTAGCGCCGTAATTGCCAGCAGAAGCAGCAGCAGCAGAGCCGCCCCCAGAACGACGCCGGTTTTGGCCATCTTTTTTTTTTTCTTTTCTTTTCTGGGGAATTGGGTTGTGTGTTTGTAAATTTGGGTGGGTTTGTTTGTTTGTTTTATAGTTGGGAGAAGGGTGTAGGGGTTTTCGATTTCGTGGGATTTCTGGTGAAACGGGATGCGTGGTTGTTTAGGGTATGTGGTCATGAAGATGGGATTGGTTTTGGGATTACACTTGGAGAATCGGGTGAAATTGGTATATTGATGGAAGTGATGAAGTTGTGAAGATGAGAAGAGAATGGAAGGTGGGTGAGTGAGTGGTGACTTGAAATTTTTGGAATTGAGATGTACTTAGATGGATGATAGATCTTTAGTTTGGCCCTTAATTGGTTTATGAGTGAGTTGAATCTAGTCGATCGTTGAAAATATTTTACCAAAATACGATGGATAGTGGGGGAAAAAAATTTGAAGATTCGTCTGGTTAAATACTACGTGTTTCGCATTTTATTTTATTTTTTTCGGCTTAAATCGGAATGTCGGGTGTTATAAAGAGCGTTGTCGTAATTTTAGGACATGACATTTCTGTCGTAACTATGCTTCTATAAAGGATCCCAAATTAGGTGAATTTGTTCCTTTATTATTATTATTATTATTTCTGGTTTGCTGGTAAACTCTGTAGTACCCCATAACTACAATTGCAGAATGAAAAATAGAAAGGAAAACAAGAAGTCGGGGTACACATGATGTCGAATGCAACACCTCAAAAAGACAACAATGTTTTGCTGCTACACGATCTATTCTTGTACTATTGAGAAGTCATTGCGACTTTGCGACCCCTCTTGATATTCAACCGATCTCTTGCCACCGTCAAAGGAGGCGGAGCTATATAACCTGCAACCACAACAACCATATATATATATAGTTATTAACAAATTTCACAAACACACGTCGTGATTCTAATCATATTACTTACTTCCACATTTGAATCCAGCAGGGATTTGAAGCCCACAACTTCTGCCCACATAAACCACCTTCTTCATATCGACCATCTTTTCAGCCTCAGGGGTCACGAAGTTGCACGTACAATTCGAGTCCGCAGATCTGATGAGCTTACAGCATTCTTGTGAAGGAGGGATTGCAGGGCCTTCAAACTTGATGAAATCAAAGCAGGCTGCCTTCAAACCAGGCAGATCACTTTTGCATGGCTCATCATCAAGATCAGCCATTGCCACAAATTTGCTCCCACCATGGCCCAAAACAGCCAACATAGTTACCACCACAGCCAAAGCCATCCCACAGTGAGTTCTTAGACTAGCCATTTTGCTATGTGATTTTTTTGACCTGATTTTGGTATGTAATGGAGATGGGATATTATTTGAGAGAAGGGTGTTTGTGAAGAGGAAGTAGAGATGTCACAAGAGTATATAGAGGAGAGTGTTTAGTTGATTCATTTAATTCGGGATTGGATTTGATCTCGTTTTCCATATTGAGGTTTGGTATATTTGGAGTGGAAATTTTTGTGTAGATTTTGTTTTCATAATTAAATTTGGCATGAAATCTGAACCCAATTTTTCCCCTCTTTTCGAATATGGATATTCTTATCACATTACTGTTGTCGCAAAACGAGCAATCCACAATTGGAGAAACATGAATATCGCGGTGATCTATGGACCCGAACTTTTTGGTCCTTCCAATGACAAGGAACATGGGCCCTTTACATGGACCAACTCATAGCAACCCGTTTAAGAAAATGGGCCATTCCAGCCCGTCCATTTCGAAAACAAGCTCGCCTTATCTCTTCGCGTACTCCTTCAACTTCTAGCAAATGCAAATTAGGGATAATGGAATTGGCACAAGTCCATTGTTTGCTAAGAGACACTTAGATCCACGGATTTGCAAATCCCACATTTCATTTGGGATTTGATAATGGAAGGCAAAATGTGAACAAATCCACCATGAATCTATAACAAAAATAAACTACACAAACAATGTACTCTTCCAAATCCATAATGCAACAAATCCATCATAAATCCAAAGGTTTTGAAAATTCAAAACCCTCATTTTCAAATCCAACAAGCAAACGAGCTCTAAAAGAAGAAACCCATCTAGGTCTGAAACAATTTTAACATTATTATTATTTTTTTCAAGGACATTTTGGGCCGCCACGCTTGGTCTTCCAATTATTGTAGCAAGGACAAGACTGCTTGTTGCCATAAGTTCCAGGAGGGACACAGAGACATTTGGCACAACATTTTTGGCAGTAGAACATACATGGCTTCTTGTACGACGTCGCCGAGCATCTAGCACTGCATCTCCCTCCGCACTCTGCCACAGATCAAAACAATGAAAACATCCATAAAGAATTAAAACCCTACTCTTTTTGGGATCTAGAAGTCACTGGAGTACAGTTACCTTGAGGACGAAGGCTTCCTTGTGTCATAGAAGAACCAGAAACCTGCATTGAAGAAGCAAAGTGCAACACAGTTGAACAAAGCAGAGTGTTGATTCAGCTGAAAGAGAGAGAGAGAGAGAGAGAGAGAGAGAGAGAGAGAGGCAGAGACATGCAATTTGAGTTTTTTATGAGAAAGCAACTGACCAGCTGAGTCTCCTGTGATAAAACAAGCACCATTAGGAGGAGGAGGAGGACCATGCTGCAGCGTAGCACGACGACGTTACAAACTGCAGAGTAGTTCCCCATTGATCTTCTGCAATGTACAATTAGTCTCTGTGGAGGTTTCAGGTTTGGGTGATGGAGAAAAGAAAGGGAGCTGAGCTTTCTATTTGCTTTGCTTGTTTCCTGTGCTGGAAGGGAGCAATAAATAGAAGAGAGGGGAATGGGCGATGGGAAAGTAGCAAGAAAGAAGCAGTAGTTGTAGGTTTGGTTAGGTTTTGGTACCTTAAAGTCGAGCTACCTTAATTTACGGTTTAGCTATTCAGTGTGGACTCGTTTCGTACAAGCATAATGACGAGTATGGTCATTATATTTCCTTGTGTCGATCGATGTCTTGGACCATTAATTTCATCGCGAAATGGCTTCAACTCGCATTGCTGTAAACACGACTGTCATTGTTCATCCAGACAAACTACAAGTTAGATCAGCACAATTTTCCTCTGTAACCATCTCTACCTTACCCAGTTCCCTTATGTCCATGTGCATTTTGCAACCATATTGTACCATGAATGGACCCATTTTTCCATGTGCATTGTGCCCTTTTGCACATGTTTGTACTTTGTACCTTCCATTCAATTGCCATTCACCATTCCAACTACTACCTTAACCTAACACTGCAGACAGAGTTATGAACAGTTCATGTAACAAGTAAATGCAGGCAAAATTGAAAAAACCAGCATGTCAGCCTTGGATTTCAATTGACCACTATACTTGGATTTGGGTGATATCTACAAAAATAGTCTCTCTGAAATGGTGACACAATGACCACCATAGTCCCTTTCCCTACTAGCACTTTCAGTGCAAATTCATCCCCCCCCCCCCCCCCCCCCCCCCTTCTGAAAATGAAAATACAATCAAAATGTAGTGCCGGTGAAGGGGGGAGACAATTGCCAGAAGACCTATCAAGAAATGAGGAGGCAAATAGTACAGAGCCTCTAGGGCCTCGGGTTTTGTACTTTTGTTAGTAAACCCATCCGGTTCCAGATGGTCTCAGCCGGATATTTGAATGTTGCATCACGGTGGTCTTCTGATTAGAGCGTTAGCGAATCCAGAAGTCAGACCTCTATCTCTACCTCCCAAGTTAGATTCAGACAGAGAGATTGAAGGTTTCCCTTTCATCCGTCGTCCATAGCGAGCGAGGAATCCTTATTAAAGTCAGTACTTGCTTCAGCAGGATGATGAGTGTTGCCATCTAGATGTACTTCCTCGGTGCTTGCTTCGGTAGGAAGATGAGTGCCGCCATCTAGATGTGCTGCCTTTGAGTTATTGGAGTCTCTGTTATTTTCTGCATCTCCGGAAGTTTGAGGTTCTTCGCTGATTCGAGTCGTGGTTCCCGCGAATGGGCAAGGAGGAGGGTTCCTTTGCCGACACGAGTGGCAACGGAATCCAATGACCTTGTCGATGTTCTCAGGATCAAGCCCAAAAGCATCTCCATGAAACCATACTGCATCAAAATAACGACAATTTGCACATTAACAAAACATCATAATCCATAGTAAAAGGTAGACTTGAGAAGATGAAACAAGTACACTTTTTCTTCTCACTTTGTTTAAAACATAGCTTTTCATTAAGCAAAAATGAAACTAACACGCATTATCATTCAGTCGTCGGCTTACTGCAATCGAATATGGTAAGCAAAACCAACTTACCTTCACAAGACTCGCAAGAAATATAATTGGATGCTGATTTATATCTTTCTTCATCGCACAGACAACATTTGGGTTGATGATGAAGGATGCCACTCTGAGAAGCAGTAACAAACCTAGTCTTCTGAAATTGTTTGACTCGTTCATCCTCTGGCTTAGCAGACAGTAAAAGTCCATTAAGCCAGTAATTATGACGAGTAACAGATCTCTTCTTCTGCCAAAGAGGAGCCTCTTCTGTTTTCTTCTGGGACACTTTTTCCAAATTCAGTTGCATCCCATTTTCATCCCCAACGACCTTTTTGTTGGCAGGTGCTTTGGGAGTGGTTGCCTGTCTAGCTGAGCGACGCAAAGCAACAACTGCTACGGGAGACTTCTCATCATCATCCTTTATGAGAGTGGGGCGAACCCTTAAGCCCTTTCGAGGAGGAGCTGCCTTTTGATCGTTCCTATTGAGCCGTGGCCTCCCCCTTGGCCTTTTTAAGTCCGTTCCAGGAGGAGCAGCCTTTTGATCATTCTTTACAAGAGGTGGCCGCCCCCTTGGCCTTAAGCCCTTCCCAGGAGTTGCCTTTTTGTCATTCTTTATGAGTGGTTGCCGACCCCTTAAGGCCTTTCTGCCCCTTCTGAGGCGGAGTGACCTGCGAGCTATAGATACCTTGGACTTCAACTGCTGAACCTTAGCATTCCCAGTGCCAATTGTCTTACCTTTTGGGCGGCCCTTCCCTCCTTTTTTGCCAATCTTCAAGAGCTTCCCACTCAAGCAATGGTGGCATGTGTATGTACACTTGTCATGACTGTATCCAGCAGACTTTCTAACATGTCTTTTATGGAAGAAATCTGAAGAAAGAAAAATAAAAGCTACAGGATAAGAAGAGTATACAAAGGCAAACTCGAGCATTTAAAAATCCACTGATGAGTGTCTGCTTAGTGCTTACCCTTGCAATATTGACAGCAGACAGCCTCACTGTGAACCAAGCAAAACAGGGAACCAAGAATGGAGTGAGCATAAAAAAGGATAAAAGAAGAATCACAATAAGGTAACCTATATACAACTTTTAGAAGCTCTAATATTGAGGGAAATAGGGTTTTAGGGATGAATGGGGAGAAGCTTAACTGGTTAAAATCCTACAAGTTCAGCAACAAAATTTACCGACTTTAGAAATGACACCAAAAACTAACAAAATTGTACCTGCTCGGAACATCCTTTTTACAGTGTCCACATTGATTGCACTTGGATTGTTCAGCTCTTGCGAAAAGATAAGAGAATCCTCTTTTCTCTGAGGGTGATTTCAGAGTAGCATTTTCCTCGGAGAGTTTCCCAGAAACCATCTTACTAGATTTCCGAGCAACTCTCTTCTCTTCAAAAATTTTCAGCAAATGCAAGGGGACATGGCCTTCTCTCAGCCAATATTTCTTCCTCTCGTTGGAGGATTCTTCAACAACAATAGACCCATATTTAGAAACGACTTCAGGGATGCATCTCCTTTTGCCAAAATCAAGAAGATACTTTGAGCCTCCTCCCTCAGCAGCACATTTCCTCCGCACAATCACCTTCTTGAACAGCCTGACTGTCTTTTTATATTCCTTATCTACTGCAGACAATGAATCCCAATTCTCAATTTCGTCCCACCTGATGTTGGAATCAAGCTCTCTGACCTGCAAACAGCTCGCTCTTAGTATTTCAGGTTCAATCATTTTACTTCTGTAATGGAAGGCAATGCTACATTCTGCAAGAAACTGTCCTATCCCTCGAGGCTTATTAGGTTGAATTAAGCAAGTAAAACTACAAGAAGGACCACCGCCTCCTAAACCCATATGATTAGATAAGAACCACATATTGCCAGGTATACCGTCATTGTAGGCGATAAAAAAAATATCAAGTTAAAGATTCAGAAGATAAAATTCTCAAAGTGGGAGAAAAGGCTGTCAAGTGCAACTTAGTGTCCCTAAATAGACAGATGACACAAGAGGAAACGTGTGTAGATCAACCACTTGCATGACACCTGAGAAGAAAGAAAACTTCCTATATATGAGATAATTGATCAAGAGGACTTCGATGCATCAGTTTAACAAACCTGCAAAGCAAGTAGTTCCACATTTGATGATGACTCAACAGCAGCTCGCCAAGCAACAGCTTTGCTTCTCTTTACAAAATCTGAATTCTCAGGGTATAATATCCCAGGTATCCTAATGCCACCACCTGCCAAATTATCAAACTTCAAAACAAATTCAGAACAATTACTCAATCGAGAAAACACTGCAGATACTTAAACCCCCAGAGAGAAGAAAGGTTTCAGACCTTGCCTAGCAGCTTTGGATGCCAGGGAGACAGGTAAAACTTTCCAACTAAATAATTTACGAGACATTGTACCACCTCTCCACCAAAACATACTCAATCCGCCAGTTTTATTTGAAGGACCAGGTTCCGATTCTGCAGAAGACCTGCTGCGCTTCCTGCTAACCCCAGATTTAGAAGATGTGCGTTGTGCAATCACAATATGAGAAGATGAGCCAACAACAGCAGAAGAATCTACGTGTTTCAACCATACAGTTGAAATTGCACGTTGATGGATGCTTGACTCTAACTGCTCAAAATAAAACCATAACAATTAGTACAACATAACAAAAATAAGCCACCACGATCTTCTTGAGATTGCTTGTGTGCTTACAAGGAATGAAAACTTCACTTTGGAATTGTGAAATTAGTAGCATAGAGGGCAAGGGTAACACTGCTTATTCACCATCATCTAGTACGCTATGTACTGGTAAAAAAAGTAGTACGCTATGTACCCCAAAAATTTCAACCGAACCAGATCTCAGCCGCGAGTAAGCAAACTGTCTACGTCTGGCATGCTTTTGACACTAAATATCAAGTGATTACTTCATCCCTTTTACAGGGAGACAGAGAGAGAAAAGTGTGAATCAAATAATCAACCAGAAGTTAATGAAGAAACCATGACATGACAGGTTACCTTCAGGAGTAGACATTTCACAGATGCAATATCTGTTGCCTTGGCTATGTTTTCATGCCAGAGTCTGCTATAATCTGGTTTCAGCCATGGACCCGATAGAAGCCCCTGCAACCGATCTTCGATGGAGATGATGTGACCTATTACATCCATAAGATGACCATTTATGTTCCTTTTTGATTGAAGCTGATCAATTTCCCCTGCTGATACTTCCTTGGCAGGGCCAAAGCTCATAGTAAACAAACAATCCAAATCATCCATTGGAGCCCTGCACAAGAAGCACCACCCACATTTCTCCTTCCGTGCCATTGAATTAGTACTCTGAATATTTGGCCAGCGTAGCTTTGGGGCAGTTTTCAGAATAATCTTCATCTGGGCTGAAATCATTTCTTCATCGGACTTTGCTGGCCCGTCCACTGCTTTATCTAATGACTTAGGCATCAAGTCTTCGGCAACTCGAGAGGCAGTTTGTCCAAAAGTGTAGTAATTAATGTATTTCCTCCGTCTTATATTGTTCACAGCAGAAGAATGTGTATTGCTTTCCTGAGTTTTATCCATACTGATAGGATCATTGGACATATCTGCAGATTTTGTAGAACAATCAGGCCCTTCCTTCTGAAAATTTTGATTCACCGAACCAATTTGAGTAGTTACAGCAGATCCTTCAGAACTCATATATGTAGGGCTAACAGATTTCGAAGCATCAAGCTGGCTAGAAGACACAGTACCTTCTGATTTCCTTTCAATAACATTATCGTGAACTGCACCTTTCTCAAAGGATGCGAGAGCATGTGAAGGAATGAACTTGCTCAAATTACCGAAGCTACCAACAGGGAAATCAAAATTCTTAAGGATTGCCTTCACAATATTACCATAAGACCTATCTGAAGATTTCAGCGCATGAATAACAACATGTAGATCATCTCTGTGGTAGTAACTAAACAAGTCATCGGCATCACTTGAATCTGACCTGCAACGATAATAGACAGGTAATTTCCCGACATAAGTCCTGGTCATTTCAGTTTATATAAACTGGCACAAAGTTCTTCTATGCAAACTTTTTCAAAATACTGCCACTTTTCTGATCCAAGAGAGAAAAAAAAAAAGAGGTTGTCAGCAGAAGAATTTCCAAGATATGTAATCCAGCTTAAAACTTGAAAAGTAGCTTGAAATCTAAAAAGGTACAGGTAAAAAACTGATAATGTCAACAACTCCAACCAGGCATGATGAGTAGAATAAACTTACACCAAAAGGTAACCACAGCTGATAAAATATAGTCGACCATGAGGATCAACTCCCAGCAGTTCGGCTCCACGAAGTGCCTTTCGATGTTTCCTGGATGGTTTATGGCTGTCTATTGCACACTCAGGACAGTACCAATCTCCATCGGGCAAGGAATCATTAGCAACTCCCACGCACTTTGAATGATAAGCTGCAGGGCAACCATCACAGCATATTAAGTTTCCATCCATCTTACAGAGACAACATTCGTCAATGTTCCAGTCCATTGTGTCATCAACAGGCTCCTCGGTCAAACTAGAATCAATAACAACATCAACAACGCCCTTCCTTTTCCTCGAAGCTCCAAGGTTATCACTTCGGTCTAATTCGAGATCAAGATCGGCACCCGAAGACCTCCTGTTCAGTTCTGACCGGATGGCCTCTGTCTCAATCATATCGTCACACAGACACCTGAGCATGCCAACCTTTACCGACACTGGTTGTTGATAGTAGTCGCATTCTAATAGCTTCAACTGACTGGGATTTAGTCCAGGCTTCGCTCCTGAACTGTGAACTAGAAAGTACTCGACCATAAACAAGGGCCAGGTAATCAAGTCCAAACGATCCCAGTCAAGGCTCCTACAATCAACAGATAAATTATAGAAACCACCCATGAACAATAAACAGAGCTAAAACAAACGAAAAAACACCAGGACAGATGAAGTGACAGAGAAACAATGAAGAATACCTAAGGCAGTCGGAAGCAGATTCAGAACCCTCCTCTGAAAGATATTCCAAATGCTGTTTAAGAATTTGTAAAACTGAAACATGAATGCAATCAAACAACACACTGGGCAAGTTGCTTGTCAGCGCGTCCACAAAATCCTCCAGCTTGAAGGGACTTAAGAACAGTAAAGTACTAAATGATCTTAAACATGTATAAATTGAGAAGACATCGAGTGTGTGAATTCCTCCCAGATCTATGTTTTGTGAAGAAGGTGGTAGTTGCACTTTTGGTGGAAGAACTACAAGCTCTTCTTCCAGTTCATGATACAATTTCTTCGGTTTCTTATCAGTTAATGCACTAACTTCTGGGGAAGCTGATTCAAGGATTTCTTTCGATGCTACGGTGGTTAAAGAACAATTTTTAGCTGATCCCTTTCGTGCACTCCTTCTTAAGACCACTGTTTCTTGGACAGGATCATCTGAATGTTTCCTTCTTTTACTACGGCTTGTACTCAAAACTTTATATGCACTACTTATATTGGACTGGTTCTCATCAATAATCACCCCTTCATCCTCCTTACCATTACTAGTAGTGGAGACTGTTGCTAAATTAGGATTTGGATTGCTTGCAACCTTTCTCCTTCTCCCCCTTCTTCTAGGTCCTTCTTTCTGCACAGTTCCCATACAAACTTGGTTCCCTTCACCTACAGCATTGGAGTCCACTTTAATAGCTGGAGCATCCCTTGCCAACAAAGAATCGTCTTTTATGAAAGCCTCACCAGAAACAGTGCCTGTTTTCCAGACACTTGAAGCTGACACAGCACACAAATTATTAGAGCTGTGATGATTTTCCACTACCACAAAGTTGGGAAGAGCAACTACAACCTCGTTTGCCCCAACCATTCTGCTAGTCTCCAAAGTGCATTGAGGTTCTTCTTTCACTATATCAAAAGAGGAATCTCCCTTGGATTGGCCCACACAGTATCCATCTCGATCATCCTTGATTTCCTCATCTAAACCCATATTCAAATCAAACGGACACTCCCTTCTCAGGGTTTCTACCACATCACCTCCACCAAAACTCGTTTCCTTGGAGTCCTCATCCATCTCCCCATTGGCATCTACGTTTAAGTCAATACAACCTCCCTTCAAGCTCCCCTCTAAATATGGGTTCGCATGGTCATCTTCATTCAAATCGAAAGCTTCCTCATTTAAATTCAAGCTGAACGCAGCATTCAGATCAAGCTCCTGTTTAACATCAGAACTCGCATGCAACCTCCCATTTTCACACCCCCCAATGTCCCGGGAATTCTCCTCGTCATCACACTCCTTCCCTAGGGTTTCATTCAAGTCAACTTCAACTCTACCCGAATTACCATTTCCCAGCTCAATCCCTCCTAGAACCGCACCATTCACGTCATCCCGCAAATCAACATTGCAATTCATATCTAATAAATTACCGTTACCTCCAATAGAGACCAAGGTTCCGCCGGCGCTCTCCCCGCCATTAGAGACGGCACAGTCTCCCGGTTCCCGATCAACAACTCGGCGGCGCTTCTTCGGCTTGCGCCCAACACGAGACCGTTGGTCAACCACCAACTGACCAGGTCCCACCAGCGCCGCCACCTCCGGAAAATCGAGCTCCTCGGAATCGCCGTCCTCGTAGACGATCTCGAATGAACCGGAGGAGGAGTCGTGGGATTTCACGATGCCGGTGAACACACCGGAACCATTGGAGGAGCCCTTCCTCACATGCTTCCCAACGAACTCCATTTGCAAACTACTCCTTCCCGCTCCAATCGAAGAAAAAAGCCCCGAAACAAAAGAGAGAATACGGGAGGAAATCAATCTAACCGGGAGAAATCGAGGAACCAGCCGCGGCTCATCAAATACGGATCGGCGGCGGGTCTCTTCCGTCTGGAAATTCGGGGTACGAGAAAGAGAAATATCAAATATCCCAAAACCAACTGAAACAACCTCTCTCACGGGTTCTCTCTCTAGAAACGCTTTTAACGTGCAGAGAGGGAGAGAGAAAGGGATAGAAAGAAAGGAAGGGAGAGGGAGAAGGAGAAGGAGAAGAAGAAAGAGACTGACTACTAAACTGAGACGCTTCCTACTTTCCAATTTTTTTTTTTTCTTCTTTCCTCCGGTCACTCGCTGTATGAAAATAATAATAATTCACAAAAATCTGAAAATGGAAAGAAAGTGCGGGAGGAGTGGGGGTAATTTATTTCGTCCCGATAAATTAGTTTGGACTATAATATACCACAATCCACAACCGTAATTAATTTTTTAATTGGTCCTTCGGAAATGAAACTGCCGACCGTGATTAATTTTTTAATTGCTCCTTCGAAAATGAAGCTGCCAAAAATTTATTTATTTATTTTTCACAGATATGGTCGACCATGAAGGAATTATCAGAGGGATAATTACAATGATTGAGTCAGCAATATAATAAAGCTTATATTTGGTCCGATTTTTAGTTGTGGGTTTCTGTTTCGAAAAACTGCAAATTGAGTGATGTCTATGTAAGATTGATTTTTGAAAAAGTTTAAAAGTATAAGCTTCGATTTAGACCATTGGTGAAACTTTATTTTGAAAAAATAAAAGAATATTATTATCATTTAAATAAAAATTAAGTAAATATATTTTTCTTCATTTATATCATCTTAAAACTAAAATAATTTATTTAATATAACATAATTCTAACAATATTCATATTGTGTAGCTTTATTTATATTTTATATTACAAAATTAGTCATTTTACATGACATCTAATATTTATTCAGACAAACACTTAGCTGATTTTCTCCTTCTAAAACCTCAAGTCATAAGTTATTTTCTCGAAACGTACAACACGACCAAACTAGTCCAAAGTAAAGAATGAGCAAGGTATTGCGTGCCACTAAATCGATAATATAGTCGTAAAGCCCAAAACCCCGATCCAAACACATGGACAAGCCCATTCCTAACAAACCCTACAACCGCCGATCAAAACACTAAGGATATGGTTGTCGATTGCATCCCCTACCACCAAAAGCACTCCGAATACAACCTTCCTGTCTTCACGTGGTCACACGTCGGGAACCACAGAGGAGGCGATGAAAGTTTCAAACATAAAAGGCTCCACCAGACAGTTGACGAGCCGACCTAAAGGGGGAAATAAAAAACCTCAATTGGGAGGAACCAATCCCAGAGATAGATCCACATGCAAAACAAGTAAACCATGGGGCCATCCAAGGCCTTGGTCAGAGGAAAGTCGACCAAATCATTGCCACTCTGAGCCCTCGGCTAGATCCTTCCTCGAGAGTGTCATCCTTGCTCACAAGCCCCATTAATCTTCATCCAGAACAACCAAGGTCCATGCATCTCCTAATCATCTCCATTTTATGGATGAAACATGTGGAGGTAGATGGAGGATCGGAGAGAAGCAAGCGAGCGACAACATTGGTCCCCTCAAACACCTACTAGAAACATATCCACACGGATATGGGATCTGGTGATGCACGAAAGCACCTCCTCGTGGAGATTGGAAAAACATCACCATTAGGGTGGAAGAGGATCCAAAAAGGAGGAAACCAAACAAGAAAATCAAAGCTAGATGCAAGAAAAGGAGCAGAAAAACAACAGAAAATCAAAATACAAAAGATAGAGGGAAGGAGAGAGCGACAAAGGACATGAAAAGGCAAAGGAAAACGAGAGTCACCGCCTGTTCCAGAAGAAGTCGACGACATCCCCGTGAAATTCAAAAATTGTGCCTTAGTGAGAAGGCATAAAAATGAGAGAGAAGATAGCCCCACACACATAGAATTGATTGCTTGATCATGAATTGTATGTATATGTGTGCATACACAATGAACCGAAGAAATATACTTATTAATCTAGTGTTGAGCTTTAAAATGAGATCGGTCATTCAAGGGCTTTAATTGAGTAAGTATATGATGACTAATTAACATGATTATACGTGTTTAAATGTAAGATGAGATAGTGTGGGTGCAATCAAAATGATGTGTAGGCACTTCTTCAAGCATGGTATTATAATAAGCGGTTAATCAAGTGAAGTAAAGATGACTAATACGGATTCACGTGTTATTTCTGAATAAGCTATTGAGATGAAACAATGTCGATTCATCTAAAGTGTTGCGTGACAGCTTCTTCAATCATACGCGACGATGTGTGCGTTAGAGAATAAAAAATGCTCTGTATAGACACCAGTGAGCGACTCGAATTTTGTGCTATTACGTGATACCATACAATCAATAATGTATCCATTGATAGATAGATCCCGACAAAAACATCAACCCATTGAAGAGCATAACACAAACTTTGTGTTGAGTGAGGTACACACGAATTCATATATAGATCGATTTAATCAATACCAGAAACGAGAAAGCGAAAAAAAATATTCCAGCTCATCAATATTTAAACGCATCGATTCATTGACCGATCATACCACACGCACGAGAATTCAAAATTACTCCTGAATTTACCGATGTTCTTTAAGTTACAACCATCTGGGCTGCGGAACAAGATATTTGGTTTGTAGAATTTGGGTTAAATTACAACCATTTGGGCTGTGAAGGCCAATCCAGGATTGTAAAGGAAAGCCACCGTCCAGTCCGAGTAATCCCAAGCTCGCCTAGGCGCCTAGCCGCCTACCACCGAATCCTTTCTCCTCCGGCGCCGACCGCCGTTAAACTCCTTCAATCCAGCAGTCTCTCTACGCCATGGCGACGGAGAACTTTATCTCAGATCTGTACCGGCCGCTAAGGGAATACCGTCACCGTTCCGCAAAGCGACGACGAGTCAGTCCACCACGTGCGAACTTTCCCCCCACGACGATCAGCAAGCTCGGAGAGGATCTCCTTGTAGAAATTCTGATTCGGCTCCCCAACCCTAGATTCGCCTGCCGGTGCAAACTCGTCTGCAAGCGGTGGACCTCCCTGATCTCCAGCCCTCGCTTCAACCGCCGCTTCGTTTCTCACCGCCAGACCATGAACCTGACCCACCCACCTATGCCGGACAATCCGTACGAGCTTCAATCGACCATCCTCAGCTTTCTCCCTCCAATGCCTCCCGGCGTTCGAGACATTCTCAGAGTTATGGATTGCAACCAAGACCTGGTTCTGTGCGGGTTTTGGGATCCAAATTCCGACAATGGGGAACGTTCCAGGTCGTACTTGGTCTGCAATCCGTTTACCAAGCAGTGGATGGCTCTTCCTTTAGCGCCCAGGAAGTCTGCGGCTTATGACTCGCAGGTTGCAAGGTTAGTTTGTGAACCCCGTATTTCTGTCGAGCTTGATCTAGGAGATGACCAAGCATTTGTTTATTCCGAGCATCGCTTTCGGGTGGTGTGTACATATCAAACCACTCCACCAAATGAGGCCATTAAGATAGACGTGTTTTGTTCCGAGTCTGGAGAATGGACAAAGGAGGCTTTTGAATGGGATCGTTGTAGTGGAATGGCAACGAAAGGTGTAATTTCTTGCAATGGGGAGTTGTTTTTGTTCTACAATCGAAATGGTCCCGACGGCATGCACGCTCTGGTGGATGGATTTAATCCTTTTCGCCTTGATGTGCCTCCCACTCCAATAGATATTTCTGCCTTCCTTGTGTATACTCGGTTGTTTATTTCCAGCTCAAAAGGCGCGCTGCACGTAGTTGCAAAGGGACATGAAGCCATGCCTGTTCGTTTGAGCGTCTGGAGGCTGGCAGAAGACCGTAAATCTTGGAGGAAACAATGCGAGGGGTTGGTGAACAAGACATCAATGTGTTGTAACTATGAAGCTAGGGGCTGTTATTCATCGTTTCTGCATCCACACAAGCCGGAACTGGTTTTCTTCATTCCTGAGTATGCTCGTGCCGAGAATGCTTTATTGTGCTGTGATTTGGGGAGGGAAGAGGTACAGTTTTTCACTAAACTAGAATCGGAGCATGATGACCTTCGTCTTCAGGTGTTCCAGCCTAGGGTATCTTGCTGGGCTACTCCAATTCCAAGGCACAAGGGGTTGCAAGGAAGTTATGATGAAAATAGCTTATGGGTTGAGAGCAGCGGGGAGGCCAGAACTCCCTTGTTCTACTCCCTCAATAATTGGTAATTACTTTCCCTTGCAACAATTTACTTCTTCTCTGCCTTTGCATGCCTGTTAAGTTAGGAAATCACTAATTGAGAAAAAAGAACGCCAGCAAGAAAGTTTTCCTGCAATCTCTGGTCCATAACTGGTTAAGGAGTGCAGTTTTGGGTTTGCCTAACTAGCTAACTACTTCCTCTCACGAAACACGTATTAAGCCGCACATACTTGTATCTCTTGTCATTTGCTTGAGTATTTTGTTTTGGTTGCGAACTCTTTGCCTGATCTTTTAGACTATACATCAGGGGGAAGTTGTTAATGATAAAGATGCACATGGACATGTGTGTGTTTCCTTCATTTTCTCTCTATTTACTGGTTTGTGTTCCTATATTTCATCTCATTTCTGCTGTGGCTGGTATATTGCTCCAACAGCTAGCTTCATTCGCTGCACTATGGTTTTGCTATTAGTCATTGATGCAGTGTTGCTGCAACTGACCCTAGCCGATCTGTCCGGCCGGTAAAATGGCAACCGGACGCCAACCTGGTCTGGATGAGCATTTTGGCAGCCTCCTGTTATCCGGCTGGTGAGAAACCGTTCGATCCGGACAAACTTGGCAGCCTGTTCAAAGCTCAGAACCAGCCGCGAATTGGACAACAAACCAAGAAATCATTATTATGATGATGGTTTAGTGTGTTCTACTTATAATAACCTATTTTTTGTTTACGGGTCATCAGTTTGTGAACAATATTTAGCGATTTAATATCATATAAAACATCGGTTCATACTTTGTTTTGGTTCCGTCAACATTGGCTTAATGTTATCTACATGTTTCCTCTTTTCAGCATTGATCAGGTATTGAAATCGTCAGTGTACAAGGATTATATAGAACGTGCATTGGCGGAGGCAACTCTGAACCTAGTGGCTGAAATCGTTCTGGGAAAGAGGAGCAGAATCGGCGAGTTTGCTTCTCGACGATGGTGGCTGCCTCGTTCTCCAGATTTTGACCATGAATTGGATATGCTGGAAGCTGGTTTAAAATCTCTTGGAGCTGGTATGGCCATTATCCGCAAGCAGAGAGCGGAACTGAAACAGGCACTTCTGCGTGAAACGTCAGAGCTTCCCCATCCTCCTTCAGGTTTGTCCGTATAAAATTTCGAGATGAGTTGTCTTTCCTGTATCCTGAACAATACGCTAAAATACTATTTTAGTTTCAGGCCAAACCAGAGTGTTATCTATGTGAAATAACGGATTATGATTCTAATTATCATTATCCTTAATTTTGCAGGCCCTATCGAAAGTGTCTTCTGGAGGGCGCTACCTTACAGGGGACTAAAGCATATGTTAAGGGGATGGTTGCGCAGTTGGTTGACAACTACTTCTAGTAGCTAAAGAGCGAACCCAAAGTCGCGATTAACCCAATCCTCCGTATTATTAATCAACTAGCTTTGTGAACGGCCATTGGCCGTATAAATTTACAACTCTCGTAACGAATACATGAAATTTATAATAATTAATTATCGCTATAGTTCAACTATTTTGTGTACAATTTGCAAAATATATTTATGTTATTTTAGTGTATTATCCAAATATAAGTTTATAGTATAACCAATTTTTGGGTTTATGAGAGATTAAGTTGAGCGTATTAGGTAATTTGTCAATTAACCATACATACTTTATGAATAATGTTTAGTCATTAGCCTATGCAACTCTTGTTTCTAAGTCAAGACTCAAGACATTAAACCGATAATAAGATATAGGGTAGGGTTAATACCTTATTTTGGCCGGAACTATGACCATATAATCAACTTTGGCACGTGGTTTCAGAAATTAACATCTTGACCTCAACTATGCAGCATGTAAACTAAATTAGCCCGACACATGCTTTGACCGTCAATTTGGACGGTCAACACCATTGGCCGTTAGTCAACACGCCATGTCATTGCCTAGTCAGCCTAAAAATCATTAAAATTTTGAAATTCAAATTATTTTTCTAATTATTATTATTTATCATTTTGAAACTAAACAAAAATTAAATTTCAAAAAATATATAATAAATTTTATGTTTTATCTTTTGGGACATTTGAAAATGATAAATTTTATAAATTAAAAAAATTTATCAAATTAAATTTTATAAATGTATAAAATATAAAAAAACATAAACAAAATAATAAATTTTCTAATTAACTTTTTTTAATTTTTGTTATTTATCAGTATCAAAGTAAACAAAAAATTAAAATTATAAATATAAAATAATTTTTATATTTTATATTTTTGGTAATTTTTAAAATGAAACATTTTATAAATTATCAAATTATTATAGATTTTTTATATTACCCAAAAATAAAAAGTAAATATATATTATTTTTTTAAATTTACCATTTTCAAATGTCCCAAAAGATAAAACATATAATTTTTTTTATATTTTTAAAATTTTAATTTTTAGTTTTTCAAAATGATAAATAATAATAGTTAGAAAAATAATTTGAATTTCAATTTTTTAATGATTTTTAGACTGACTATGCAATGACACTGTGTGTTGACTAACAGTCAATAGTGTTGACCGTCCAAATTGACGGTCAAAGCATGTGTCGGGCCAATTTAGTCTATATGCTGCATAGTTGAGGCTAGAATGTTAATTTCTGAAATCACGTTAAATTAGTGAAATTTGTCCCCCCTGTCCGTGGATTAGCTAGCACACATTGTGTCAGTGAACCACGTTAAATTCGTGTTCGTTTGTGTTGGTTTGGATTGTCGTTTGCACGCTTTTATTCTGACAAGTGGTATCAGAGCCGCGGTTGATCTTTGGGTTATTTGAAACTGTCTTGACGGATTTTGGATCGCGCTCCTGGTTGATCGGCTGGCAATCGGCTAGGGATTTTGGTGACTGCTGCGGTATCAGGGGGCAGTCTTCGATTTGGTTGGCGGAGAAGCCTTTAGTTTTTCTTCCTCCAAATTTGGTTTGCGGTGGTTCGTGGTCTTCTGTCTCAATTTGGATTTGTGCGGGGTCGATCTGAGAAAATTTGAATTTGGTGTTGGTGCTAATTGGAGTTTGGAAGTAAATTTGGAATTATTGCGTGCGCAACACTCAGGAGAGGAGTTGTTCCACTAATTGTCCGGATTGGATTATTAATTGATCCCTTTTCTTTTGGTGTGGCGTGATTTGCTGGGAGCAAATTGTGCTCTCGTTGTGGCTTCGGAATTTGGAATCTTTGTGGGACAAGCAAAGGCTACACAATCATAATTTGTGATTTTGGTTTTATGGGTTGGAATCAGTAATTTAGTTCTTGGTCAAAAGCAACTCAGTTCGTGGGAACTTGGCGTCTTTGGAGTTCACTTAAGTGAATTTTGTGATCGGTTGTGACAAAGCTCCAGTGGTGTTTGGAAAAATATCACCATTAGGGTGGAAGAGGATCCAAAAAGGAGGAAACCAAACAAGAAAATCAAAGCTCGATGCAAGAAAAGGAGCAGAAAACAACATAAAATTAAAATACAACAGACAGATGGAAGGAGAGAGCGACAAAGGACATGAAAAGGCAAAGGAAAACGAGAGTCATCGTCTGTTCCAGAACAAGTCGACGACAGCCCCGTGAAATTCAAAAATTGTGTCTTAGTGAGAAGGCATAAAAAACGAGAGAGAAGATAGCCCCCACACACGTAGAATTGATTGTTTGATCATGAATTGTATATGTGTGCATACACAATGAGTGTTGGGCTTTAAAACGAGATCGGTCATTCAAGAGCTTTAATTGAGTAAGTATATGATGACTAATTAACATGATTATATGTGTTTATATGTAATATGAGATAGTGTGGGTGCAGTCAAAATGATGTGTAGGCACTTCTTCAAGCATGGTATTATAATAAGTGGTTAATCAAGTTAAGTAAAGATGACTAATACGGATTCACGTGTTATTTCTGAATAAACTACTGAGATGAAACAATGTCGATTCATCCAAAGTGTTTGCGTGACCGCTTCTTAAATCATACGCGACGATGTGTGCGTAAGAGAATAAAAAATGCTCCGTATAGACACCACTGAGCGACTCGAATTTTGTGCTATTATGTGATACCATACAATCAATAATGTATCCATTGATAGATAGATCCCGGCAAAAAACATTAACCCATTGAAGAGCATAGCACAAACTTTATGTTGAGTGAGGTATACACGAATTCAAATATCGATCGATTTGATCAATACCAGAAACGAGAAAGCTAACAAATATTCCAGCTCATCAATATTTAAACGCCACGAGAATTCAAAATTACTCCTGAATTTACCGAAGAACTGAAGTGTAAAGTGTTCTTTAAAGTTGCAACCATCTGGGCTGCGGAACAAGATATTTGGTTTGTAGAATTTGGGTTAAATTACAAACATTTGGGCTGTGAAGCCCAATCCAGGATTGTAAAGGAAAGCAACAGTCTAGTCTAGGCGTCTATATATAGCTAGTCCCGACAAGATTGAACTACACCAATATCAGAGAGCCATCACCAGAGCCAAGGAAGTGAACCCAAGAACCTCATGCTTCCACAACCAACAGATCAGCAACAAAGCAGGGTTTCAACTCTCCCAAAACAGACAAGACCATGGCGCTTGAAAACACAACGCCATAAGCCGCCTCCTGGGGATTGTTCGAAGACGATCCATCACAGTGAATCACAAGGTTGCAATTACATGGCGGTGGGCAGGGCTGAAACCGGGATGCTCAGAGCTGAAAAAAAGGTCGAGGAAGCCGAAGGCAGGATGGACCGAGAAATGGAGAGACAAAGAACTCCAGCCTAGTCTCAACCGAAACCCAGAACAGCTGCCGATGACAAACGGAAATGACACCGAAACCCACAACAGCCGAGAAGAGAAGAGGCTGAGATGCTCACCAACAGTCGACGGCAGGGGACAACGGCGAATGAGTTCTTCCGAACTGAAGAAACCACCAACAAGGAGGAGCCACTCAGGCACCAGATCTCCATCAGAGACTCTTCCAGCTGCAAAATCCGAAACCCAAGCAGAGCAAAGCAAGACTAGAGAGGAGAATCCAAGATCCGAGAAGAAGAGCAACCGCTCCGAAATTTGAAACGCTACATCGGCAGAGAAACCCTAAACTAGAAGATCCGGGTGAAAATCGCCTAAGACAAAGGCATGAAACACAAGAACAAGAAGAGCAAAGGAGAGTAAAAAAAAAGAGAGATTGAGCTGCCGCCGGTCACCAAAAGGAGCCGGCGGCAGCCATGGGAAGTGTGAAAGAGGAGCCTGCTCCTAGAGAGAGGCGAGAGCGAATTTTGAAAAGGAAAGTAAGAGAGAGGAAAGCACCTACTTCCTTTGCCCCCATCCTAAACCTAAAGACAACTTCCTTAGCCAAACTGATTCCATATCTCTTTAGCTTTCTGGGTTTCTCCGAGGTAATCCCTAGCTCGCCTAGGCGCCTACCACCGAATCCTTTCTCCTCCGGCGCCGACCGGCGTTATACTCCTTCAACCCAGCAGTCTCTCTACGCCATGGCGATCGAGAACTTTATCTCAGATTTGTACCGGCCGCTAAGGGAATACCGTCACCGTTCCGCAAAGCGACGACGAGTCAGCCCACAACTAGCGAACCTTCCCCCCACGACGATCAGCAAGCTCGGAGAGGATCTTCTTGTAGAAATTCTGATTCGGCTCCCCGACCCTAGATTCGCCTGCCGGTGCAAACTCGTCTGCAAGCGGTGGACCTCCCTGATCTCCAGCCCTCGCTTCAACCGCCGCTTCGTTTCTCACCGCCAGACCATGAACCTGACCCACCCACCTATGCCGGACAATCCGTACGAGCTTCAATCGACCATCCTCAGCTTTCTCCCTCCAATGCCTAGCGGCGTTCGAGACATTTTCAGGGTTTTGGATTGCAACCAAGACCTGGTTCTGTGCGGGTTTTGGGATCCAAATTTTGACAATGGGGAACTTTCCAGGTCGTACTTGGTCTGCAATCCGTTTACCAAGCAGTGGATGGCTCTTCCTTTAGCGCCCAGGAAGTCTATGACTTATAACTGGCCGGTTGCAAGGTTAGTTTGTGAACCCCGTATTTCTGTCGAGATTGATCTAGGAGATGACCAAGCATTTGTTTATTCCGAGCATCGCTTTCGGGTGGTGTGTACATATCAAACCATTCCACCAAATGAGGCCATTAAGCTAGACGTGTTTTGTTCCGAGTCTGGAGAATGGACAAAGGAGGCTTTTGAATGGGATCGTTGTAGAAGTATGGGATCGAAAGGTGTAATTTCTTGCAGTGGGGAGTTGTTTTTGACCTACAGTCAAATTGGTCCCAACGGCTTGCATACTATGGTGAATGGATTTAATCCTTTTCGCCTTGATGTGCCTCCCACTCCGATTGATATTTCTGCATTCCTTGTGTATCCTCTGTGGTTTATTTCCAGCTCACAAGGCGCTCTGCACGTACTTGCAATGGAACATGAAACCATGCCTGTTCGTTTGAGCGTCTGGAGGCTGGCAGAAGACCGTAAATCTTGGATGAAACAATGCGAGGGGTTGGTGAACAAGACATCAATGTGTTGTAACTATGAAGCTAAGGGCTGTTATTCATCGTTTCTGCATCCACATAAGCCGGAACTTGTTTTCTTCTCTCCGGTTCTTTCTATTGACGAGAATGCTATATTGTGCTGTGATTTGGGGAGGGAAGAGGTACGGTTCTTCACTAAACTAGAATGGCAGCATGATGTCCATCGTCTTCATGTGTTCCAGCCTAGGTTATCTTGCTGGGCTACTCCAATTCCAAGGCACAAGGGGTTGCAAGGAAGTTATGATGAAAATACTAGCTTGTGGGTTGAGAGCAGCGGTGAGGCCAGAACACCCTTGCTCCACTCCCTCAATCATTGGTATAATTGCTTTCCCTTTCGACAATTTACTTCTTTTCTGCCTTTTGCATGTCTGTTAAGTTAGGAAATCGCTAAATGAGAAAAAAGAAGGCCAGAAAGAAATTTTTACTGAAATCTCTGGTCCATAACTGGTTAAGGAGTGCAGTTTTGGGTTTGCCTAACTAGCTAACTACTTCCTCTCACGAAATACGTATTAAGCCGTAGATAATTATATCTCCTGTCATTTGCTTGAGTATTTTGTTTTGGGCGCAAACTCTTTGCCTGCTCTTTTAGACCAAACATAAGGGGGAAGTTGTTAATGATAAAGATGCACATGGACATGTATGTGTCTCCTTCATTTTCTCTCTATTTACTGGTTCATGTTCCTATGTTTCTTCTCATTTCTGTTGTGGCTGGTATATTCGCTGCACTATGGTTTTGCTATTAGTCATTGATGCCGTGTTGCTAAAACTGACCCTAGCCGGTCCGGCCGGTAAAATGGCAACCGGAGGCCATCCTGGTCTGGATGAGCATTTTGGCAGCCTCCTGTTATTCGGCTGGTCAGAAACTGTTCGATCCGGACAAACTTGGCAGCCGGTTCAAACCAACTGAATTGGAAAACAAACCAAGAAATCATTATTACGATTACGATGATGGTTTAGTGTGTTGTACTTATAATAACATATTTTTTTTTTACGAGTCATCAGTTGCTGAACAATATGTAGCGATTTAATACTCTGTTTTGGTTTTTGTCAACATTGACTTGATGTTATCTATATGTTTTCCTCTTTTCAGCATGGATCATGTTATGAAATCGCCCGTGTACAAGGATTATATAGAACGTGCAGTGGCGGAGGCAACTTTGAACCTAGTGGCTGAAATCATTTTGGGAAAGAGGAGCAGAATCGGCGAGTTTGTTTCTCGACGATGGTGGCTGCCTCGTTCTCCAGATTTCGGCCATGAATTGGATATGCTGGAAGCTGGTTTGAAATGTCTTCGAGCTGATGTGGCCACCATCGGCAAGCAGAGAGCAGAACTGAAACAGGCACTTCTGCGTGAAACGTCAGAGCTTCCCCGTCCTCCTTCAGGTTTATCCGTTTGAGGTTTCGAGATGAGATTTTTTAAGTAATATTAAGTTATAATCTTAATGGATTATGATTCTATTATCATCCTTAAATTTCAAGCCCTGTCGAAAGTGTCTTCTGGAGGGCGCTACCTTACAGGGGACTAAAGCATATGTTAAATGAGTGGTGGCGCAGTTGGTTGGCAGCTACTTCTAGTAGCTAAAGAGCAGGAGCTATCCAGAGGTCGCGATTATCACAATCCTCCATATTTTTAATTAACTAGCTTCGTGAATCTACACATAATATAATACACCGAAGGGAAAAACGGGAGCCCCATTTCAAATTTCCTGCAATGAGAGTGAAAGTAGGAAGGACATTTTGGTCTTCACAATTACTTTTTTTTTATTCATTAAAAAGATACATATTGGGATTCGAAACATGACCATTTTAAAGAAAGGCAAAGATCATAACCAATCACACTAAATACATTTGTTGTATCTTTTTAAATTAAAAACATATAATAGCAGGGTGGGAAAAACTCTTCCCCTATTTCAAATTTCCTATTCCAGGAGCGTTTGTAGGAATGGTGGAATAGGGAGTGTCAATTTTTTTCTCTTTCCTCTGTGGAACGGGCCAACTTAACGTACACATGCGGATTTAAACGGGTCCAGGAGTGTCAATTTTTTTCTTTATACCCTTTTATTTCTCCGTGGTGATAAAATATATATGAAAAGGCAAAAATAATACTCCTTTTTATTATTAAAAATAAAAAATTTAACAATAAACTAATGCATGGTATCTAATGGGCTAACCGCTAACCATAAAACAAAAGAGTTGAATGAGCCTGACCTACATGGGTTTTGGTCATCAAGTAAAACAAATGAACATCATTGGTTTGCCATTCTAAAACAAGTTATTTTCTCTGACATAATATATATTATGCTATTATTTTATATCTTAGTGGCTAAAATATAATGTATTTTAAAGTTATTCAATGGTTCAACCTCGACCAACCCAATTAGTCCAATTTTTATCATTTCAAATATATATTTTATAATTATTTGACATCATAATGATCAAATTATAGTGTATTTTATAGGGAATCGTTTGGTATTTGTTAGTAAAAAACTAAACATAAATATCTATTTGGTTATTTTAAACATTAAAACGATCCTAAACATTTTCAGTTCCTTTTGAATTTATATGGTTTTATTCCCAAATAAGTGATGTGCAAATGGCGAATTGTAGTCGTCTCTTTTCTTTCACTATTTTTTATTTTCAAATAGAAAGTTTAAAAGTAAAGAATAATTAGAATTTGGCATGGGTCGGTCAAACAGGTTGAATTTCAAGTTTTGGCCTGTTTGTTTTATGCATTGCAAATTTATTAGCATGTTGATGGAAATGGCTTGGAGAAAAGACATATAAGTTGTACCTTTGCAGAAATGTCCTCAAATGTTTGAATGCTTTGTGAATCAGGTTCTGTGACTTTTGTGATGGTGTATGTGCTTGACGATTGCTCGATGTTGTAACTACTTAATTTGAGAGTAAATCTTTTGATTTTCCCTATGAGTTGTGATACCAGTTCTGGTGGTTGCAGCATGTTGTCGTTGTTGGCCTGTAAAAGTTGTTCCGTCGTGACGCTAAATACCTTTCTTTCTTTTTTAACAAATTGTGTAGTAGTGCTATGAAACAGACCACTCATGAACGCTACGCTTATTATGGTCTGTTCTTACTTCCGGTGGTGAGAAATTGTGAATTGAGAATCATATTCGCCTACCGCACTGTGTCTGGTTGGTGGCTGCTTACTATGCTCTCTAGAGTTATGAAACAGACTACCCATGAACGTTACCCTTAAGAGTCCATAACTTTGCGAAAAACCAAATTTAGACAATCAAAGGTGGTGGATGTTTGATGATTTTTTATGGCTTAATTGTTTGTGAATTGGATATCTGATCTTTGTATGATTAGAGGGGATGTTTGCTTAATAGAATAATCCATTTTAATTCATATTTATTTTTAACATGAACTTTAGTAACTCAAAACCTTCGAGACACATATCACCTACTGCATTGTATCATTTTGCCTGGGTGCTTGCTGTGTTGTCAAACTTCTTTGCTGCTGCTGCATTTACACTAACAGGGGAGTTAAGAACCCATGAATGTTTCCGTTTGACACAAACAAGAGGACTTACTTCTAAATCGTGCACTGAAGATGATTGGAGGAAACATCTCTGTTGCAGTTGATACACTGGAGACCAGAACAAAAGCAACGTATAACATCAAAACCAACCATCTGAACTATTAGCATTGTTGCTTTACTCTTTTTTCGTGGTTGAGTATCCTTCAAAAAATTTAGTTTGATTTTAAAAAATTTTGCTTCTGCAGTCCTGTCTTGCCACCAACGCGTTTAATAGATGGAGATGGCAGAGGCGAAGGCTATTTTTGTGTTGTTGTTGCTGGTTTAGGGATCGGTTTGTGAAGAAGAGGGAGAAGAGAGGGGGAAAGGGAAATGCATGAGAGGGGGATAACTCTTTTCTCCGACAAAAATGGAGTGAAAAAAGGAATTATGATCAGTAAGGATATGGTTATCTTACATAACTGTGTCTATTCTGTTTGAATTGAGCTTGGGAGGTAGTGATAAGGACGAGCTGCAACCAATTCATAGTGATAAGAGTGCTATGAACTGTGACCATGTATTATTTCAAGTTAGAAGGTAGTTTCAGTATAAGGATTATTTAATTTGACAAGTTGTTTTGTCCATGATTTTTGGTAGTTTCAGTGCCATTCTAGCCATTGTTTAGTCTATAATTTTTGAGAATTGATGTGCGAGTAATGACTTTCACTTAGCTTCAACTATTATGTGTGTATTTATTGGCATGTGATAGAATTCTCTTTTCCTTTTCTTTGATATCAGTTTCATACTCTAATTGTATCATTTGTACATAGGCAAATCATGCTCTAGATGACAACTCGCCGATATGGCTGGTGCAAGGAATGAAGCCATCATTAAAAGTCAGACCGACAACGGGGAGGGATGCCTAGGACTAATTCAACGATGATTGATGATGGTATGATAAAAACTGCAGTCTGCATCAGCACCAATTTCTAGGACTAAGTAAAGTTATTCAACCCAGAACTCTGCTTAGCGCTAAAAATTGCCCTCACCCAACATTGATCCTGTTTGACCCACTTCTGAAGAGTCAAGATATATTACTAATTCTCTCTGTCCGTATTTTCTTATTGACTCTTTCTTACCCTTTAGGTTGGGGCGGGTCGGGAAGAATCAGATTAGTGGGTCGGTCCTAATCAAGTGGAATCACAATCCCTTCACTCTCACTTACTTTCTCTCCCATTCCACAAGTGGGTAACATACAGTAATCCGGCCAACGGGCCGGGTAATAAGCTAGTTCCCTTAAAAAAAAAAGCTTTGTGAACGGCCATTAGCCATATAATTATTAGTATTATAATTAATCATGTACCGTCATACTTAAACAATATTTAATTATTATTGCATTAAATGTTTATGTAATTTGTCTGTAACGATAAAATTTGTATTTCTAGTATGAGAGGGGTGGGAAAATGGTTGCGGTTTTGCAGATAATTCGAAATTGGACCGAATAAGTACGGTTTGTGGTCATTGGCGGAGCTAGGTGAGGGGATGTGGGGTCCATGGACTTCACTTGGAAAATGAATATACATTAAAAATGGCGGATTTATAAGGTGTGGTTAGTAAATTTAGAACCATGGACCCCCTCTTCCCAAGACAATGATTTCACTATTGACTATTGAGACAAACTTTGTATTTCATTTTGTTTGGACCCCACTAAATTATATCTCTGGATACGCCAATGTTTGTGGATAACTAAAAGTCGGGTAAATTGTAAGGTTGACCACTGGGATTTAAGCAATGGGGTGGGTTATGCCAAATCCAAACCCAAATACATGAGTTTATAAAAAAAAATCCCCGGGATAAAACCCACTGGATTTGAAAAACTTAAACCCAACCCGCTGGATATCCGCGGGTTTGTGGTTAACTAAAAGTCGGGTAAATTGTAAGGTTGGCCACTGGGATTTAAGCAATGGGGTGGGTTATGCCAAATCCATGGGTTTCTCCAAAAAAATCTGGGGTAAAACTCACTGGATTTGGAAAACTTAAACCCAACCTGCTGAGTATCTGCGGGTTCATGGGTACCCATGGATTCATGTACAAAGATGCAATTACACAAGTTTTCAGTTTTCACTACTATTGTCTACTAGGGGTGGGCATTCGGTCGGTTTGGTTTGAACCGAACCAAACCGGCCACTACCGGGGTCCTAATTCAACCCAAAAGCCAAACATAATTATATTTCGGTTCAGTTTGGCCGAATCGAAATATAAATCGGTTCGGCTCGGTTTTTCCTCCAAAACCGAACAGGCCAGCTGTTTGCGTTTTCCCAATATGGCTCATGCGTTTTTGCGTCTGCTGCTGGTCAAAAGGGAAGAGGTCTCTCGTTTACCCTATCTTCTCAAATCTCACTTATCCTTGATTCCTCAGAAGAAACTCTCTCCTCTCCTCTCTCCCCCTCCAATCAACTAACGAGGCGGCGGCGACCGACGGCGCAACGCAGGACGACAGACGACAGCAGCGATTGAAGGCAGCAGCGATATGAACTCAAAAAAGCGATTGATGGCAGCCGACGGTGATGGTGACGACCTGGACAACGAAGGTTTGTTTTTGTGAGTTCAGATCCAAGCATGCATGTTATTTTCTTGGTTTGTATTCTCCTTTGAGCTTCAGGAGCATCGTCTCTGTTTTTCAATTTAGGTGGAGAAGGTACTAGTTGCGGGCTACGACAGTCGACAGAGAAGAGAAAGCCGTGAAGACAGGAAGAAAGATTGACCCGGCAGTGAAGGAGGTGGAAGAGTGTGAAGGAGAAGACGACGGAGATGATGGGTTGATGGCGTCGGTCGTCGAAGAGCAGAGAGGCAGGGAACGAAGGGTAATGGCAGGCGGCGCGACCGCTATGTGGTGGGAAGGGATGGGCTAGGTCTGGGCTAGGGTTTTGCGGGATGGGCTGATGGGGATGGGGCTAGGGTTTCAATATGCAAAAGGGCTTTTGGGCTTGGGCCTTGGGGTTCATGAAATGTCAACTATTGGGCATATTTCGGTTTTCGGTTCGGAATTTGGAATCCCGGTTCGGTTGTGAGAACTCTGGTTTCCGAACTTCCCATAATTCCCTTCCAAATTTCGAACCGAGAATAAAAAATTCGGTTTCTGTTCGAGTTGGTTCGGTTTTGGTCCGGTTCGGGTTTACCGAACCGGATGCCCACCCCTATTGTCTACTACAAACAAACTAACTGACAAATTATTCATACTAATTCTTCAATATTAAATATAAACATCCACAAACAATATGATTAATTGAACGTGTGAGAAAACATATTAGAATTTATAGTTAATTAGTTAAGGGTGTCGTGGGCCGTGGGGGTATGGACTTGGGTGCGGGTATCCACGGGTTGGATATGGTTAAACCCAAACGCAACCCAACCCGTAAAATATATAGCGCTTTTAAAGCCGAACCCGGCCCACAATCCGTCAAAACAGGTTTTACTTGCAATCCATTATCCATCGAAGCAGGTTTTACCCGCGTTGATCGGATTGGGCCGGGTAGGATACCCGCGGATTCGGGTTCTACTGCCATCCCTAGATTTAAAGGTGTCAAAATAGAATCCAACCGGACTAACCCGTCAGATCAACTTGACCCGTATCTTGCCTGCAATCTGAATTTACTAAAATTTAACAATTCATAACTCGTCTGAGTTGCAACCTGATTGACCCACAACCCGATTAAACCTGTAATTCGATTAACCCGAACCTGACTAATTGTAGAGTCGATCAACTTAACTCTAACCCCGCTTGATCCACTTGAATAATTATTATATTATGTAATGCATAGTCTTTTAAAATAAAGTTTTTCATTCTAAACCTAGATAAAATCATTTATTCAATTCGTATAGGGAATTTAAAAAATATGAAACTCACTTGAAATTATGTATTTTAATAAAATTATAAAAATTAAACATGAAGGTCACTGGAACACTAAGTTCTTTAACAAAATAAAAAAATAAACTTGAAATATAAAATCGCCACAGTGTTAGTATTGATAATCAGTAATTGATACTTGATTTTGGTTCATAAGGCTGATTTTTGATTCGTTGCATCATTCATGTCTCTTTCTTACTAAAATTCACTATTTTTATCATGTGTTTCCAAAAAAAAAAAAAAACTATACAACAATAAGGTATACACCCAATTACATTATTAAATTTCATACCTCACCTTCCTCCGACCAAATGGCCGGGGCCACGCTAGTGAGATAAGAAGGCTAAATAATCATTTTTGTTCACTTAATTATAGTTTCTCGCTTGCTCTGTTTAAGTTCAATTTGAATTAATAATTCATCACCTTTTTCTTAAGATATGAACAAAAAATTATTAACTAAAGTACAAATTTATTAATTAGAATTTGTAATTGACATTCTAAGGTACTAATCCATTAAGCTAGAATCCTTCCAAATGTTTAATATATATAGGAGAAGTGAGGTTACTGTTGCCTAATTAATTACAACTTAGTACCTCACTTCTCCTTTATATATATTTTCTTCACTTTTTCTTACATTTTACATTTTGATATTCCAAATTTAATTAAATTATAACTTAGTTACTATAATGTACATTTTATATTTTGATACCCTAATTTAATTTTAATGTAAAATCATTGAACAATTATGTTTTGGTATCTAAATTTTATGAGATTTTTTAAATTTACATATTGGTCCAATGTTTAGATTTCACTTGAATTCATGAATCCAATCCACCAATTATTTTGAACCAATCCATGAGTCCAATCCATCATAACATAAAAGTATAAATTTAGTTTGTACCATACAATATGTTGTATCACTCAACAGTAGTCCAACGCTTACATATTGGTCCAATGTTTAGATTTCACTTGAATTCATGAATCCAATCCACCAATTATTTTGAACCAATCCATGAGTCCAATCCACCATAGCATAAAAGTATAAATTTAGTTTGTACCATACAATATGTTGTCTCACTCAACAGTAGGAGAAGATTCCACCATTTTATATGTGCTCATTATACGAAACATAAAATAAATTATAAAAGAGAGATGACACTCAAATATTGCAAAAACGAATTTATAAACTCATTTAGTACTATTACGGGGTACTAAACAAACTTCTACTAACTACATGTAACAAAATATGTGACATCTACATAAGCAAGTGTCAATAAATTGCTATGGCAAAAGGGTTGACTGTAGTATTGACGCCCAACTAAAAGAATTGGTCAAAACCTTTCCATCATCTACTTCCTCTTCGTTTCATTTTTCACTCGCCTTCCATAGCACTTTCTTTATCTCTTTCTTTGCCTTCTTCGTCCAACCCTAATTAGTATACTATTATTTTTATGCATTCTAATCACAAGTATGAACGAGTCCATGCACGACTGACCAACAATTTAGAGAATTAATAATTGAACCATGAACCACTAACTTTTTCAGTTCAATGTCGAATCCAATTAAAAGCAGATATATATGGTTATTACTTATGAAAAAATTGTCATTTTCCACTACGGGATTTGAAGGCGTGAAATTTTAAGCGAGTTTCCAATTTGTATTACTTTAACTTCTCTCTAGAGTTTTTCTTTTTCACCTGGACTAGAATTTTCAACAATTATACATGGAATGTTTGGCTAGGTATCTACACATATTAGATAAATAGTTTTCATTTTCTATAAAAAAAAGTAAATAATTATCATATTAAATACATCACTATAAAAGGAATTAAGCCTCAACTATGCAAATTATAATTCAGTACCTAAACATATTAGATCTTTAGATTTATAACCTAATTTTTTTTTTTGCATATAGTCCTCAAAATATTGATGGGACATTACCTTTTTATACCTATAATTTTTTGTGTATTGCATTTTGGTACCTAAACTTTTGAAGTTCTATAAATAATTAAATAGGTCTAATTTTTGTATGTGTAAATAAAATACTCTCGAATAAATGAGTATTCATACCCAACTCATACACATTTAGATTATGGAAGTAAATATCTATACCCTACGCAAACCCATCTACAAACTCTTAAACTCATATATACGTCACTTATACCCTACCCAAAATCAATTGGTCTACTTGGGTTTAGGTAAATATCATTTACTAGCCAAAATTTTCAAAAAAGGAAAAATAGATTCGATGTTGACCGCCATATTTCTCAGTCAATATTACTAACAAAAATGCTAACTAAAAATTAATTGGAGACTAATAATACTAACAAAACACTATAACGGGCTACATAATACATGTCCATATGTCATGTACGCCTCGCGACAAGTCGCGGCATCGCCACCTAGTTAATACTTAGGTTTCAAAGTTGATTGGACTCTTATAAAATTAATTTTAAATCACAATTCTCTTTTTATGTGAACATGCATGTTACCCTTATTTTTGTTAAACAAAAAGTAAAAAATGTTTTATCTAAAAATATGCAAAATATAGTATAATAATAATAATAATAATGTAATGTGAACCCCAAATTTCAATGTTAATTGGAAAATATTTACCATCAGTCTATCACTATCACAACCACAAGCAATTATATTATATAAACTAACTTGTTGCTCGACCCGTTGGCCGGAGAAAATTAAAATACGATCCTTATTTTCATCAGCCGTCGGTAAATCATACTCTCGGCCGACACCTGCTCGGTTTGCAAGCAATCTTATGTGAGCTTGTTGGATTGCCCCTTCGTTTAATCTATCTCTTGCAGTGCGGAACGTTTAACCAAAATATTTTTCTGATCTAACATCGCGTGCAATCCTTCGACAACAGATTAACGTAAAGGATTCGCCTCTCCATCTTGATTATAGAAATCCAATTCGTTTCTTGTCTCGTTCATTGTGTCGTAGATATAGAGTTGTGCGAACTTGGGGATGTACCTTGAGGAGGAAGTAAACTGCCAATGCGATGATATATTTGTCCACCAATAGAGTAAACATAGACACCAGCTCCATTGTTTATAGAATAATCCACTTTGCCACCAAGCGAAGTGAAGCGGAAAATTCCATTATATCCGCGAGTAAATTGACGGAAATGACGGGCAATTAAAGTACTCCCTTCAAGCAAGGCTTTCAGAAATTCCGGGGGTCCTTGCGATGTGGCAGTCTAACACTTCCTTGTTTGCAGCACAATGAAAACAACACAGGTGCCGTAAACACCTCAGCAGAATAATAAACGATCACGGTAAAGAATACAAACTTACCTGATTCATATACCCTGGGGTCCTTTGGGGTGGTGGGAGCAGTTTCAGGTGGTAAAAAATGGCACGACCCTTTCCTGCAAGAGATAAGTAGCACCATTAGAGGGTGGATTTCGAATATATGGATCAAGGTGTGGGAAACGGTGCAGTAGAGGGGATTTGTTCTAGCAACTTATGCTTGTAAATGCACTTGCTTTCTCAAAAGCTCAGGCATCCGTTTCTTCTCATGATGATCTATCTGCCTGCCTGTTGGCTTCTTATATTCATTTGGATTTCAAGGTCTACGCGTGACATATTGTTTATCATAGGTTTCCTGCTCTACTTTCTGTTACCCCTAACCATTGCGATATGTTTGAAACATATCAAGTTCCCCCCATAAATTGAAAGGAACCAAAGAAAGCTATCCTGTTGATACTCGTGGAAGATGTAAAATTGACATTCCTGCAAGGTGGTTAGGTGACATATATGGGCCTGTATAAGATCCAGCATAACCTTCTCCCAACAACTCGAGTTATTGTGATCAACTGGTTTATGACATGGTATCAGAGCTGGTTTGTCCTTGAAGTCGCGTGTGCAAACTTCAAGCCCATGAGTTGGCATTCGTTTGAGGGTAATATGCGAAGAAGATGACTCGCCGATGTTGGAGGCTACGCTAAGCATAGTCTATATGTAGAACAGATATATAGAGAAGGTGAGTAGGAGGGGGATTTTAATCTCTAGTATACGGATTCGGAGAGTGACCAGAAGAAAGCTAAGGAGGAGCTGCGCTGCTGCCGGACGGGGAGAAAGTCAAGGAGCAGCTGCGCCGCCGCCGGTGTGAGAATGTGCGTAAGCAAGCGGGCGAGCAGGTTCTTCCGGATTCGGAGTGACGAGAGAAAGCCCGCGCACATTGAAGTCGCGTGTGAGAATGTGTGTAAGCCAGCCGATGTGAGAATGTGTGTAAGCCAGCCGGCGAGAAGGTTCGTCCGCTAATTCCAATTGATTGCCCGCGCACGTCGCTAGGTAGAGTCGATAAATTTTCTATTTTGTGATTTGCTGGGTGAAAATTGTTTATTATTTTATTATTTCGTGATTTGTGTGGCATTAGATGGTTTTAGGCGGGTTAATACCCTAGTTTGTCCCGAAGTTTGACGTAAATGACAATTTTAGTCTGAGTTTTCAAATAAGACAGTTATGGCCCGCTTTTGAAATTAATGGACAGATTTGGCCTGAAATCTATGTTGACCGTTAACATTAACGGTCAAACATTTATTCCATTAGTGACTCATAGTGATTGAGGTGGTAGTGATGTGGCTTCCACATCATTTATTTATACTTAAAAAATGAAAAATTAACTTATAACAAATAGAAACGAAAATAACCCGGCGTCCACTACCCCCACCCCCTTTGCCCAGAAACTTCATCTTCCCCCTGCAAATTCATCTTTCCCCATCGATGATGCCTAGCTACAAGGTGACCGGGGGTATCCAAATTACAATGATGTTTTCAACGAGATCGAAGACACCCATGATTGCCAAATAAGCGGCCAGGTTGTCCTTCAAAATTATGCTTATCTCCTCGCCTGCGTACTTCTCCCGGAGATGTATGATTTTGGGGTCGTCGGAGATGTACATCGTCAACCAACCCAGCATTACTTTCGGGTTGCTTCCCTCGTATTCCTTGCAAGTTCGGTTCCCCAGATCGATCTGTTTCAAGTCACACAGCTCAAAATCCCAGCCGCCAGCTTCCCATCGTTTCGAATTCCCTCTTACCCTGTTTCAAATCAGTGACCGCCAACTGCTGGAGCCAACACGACCACCAATTCTCTCTCTCTTTCCAGCTCCCTCCCCGAGGAGTGAGGACTTGCGGCGAGGCGGCGACAGGAGTATAGATTTGAACTTTGCCAGTAAGTTGCCGGGGGTTGTTGGTGACGAAGACATCGGCGACCGACGAGTTCCTCTTTCCCAGTTCGTTAGGGTAAGGTGTCTTCTCCTCTCTCGCCGGCGGCTTAACAGTCGATGGTCGCCGTTGAAGGAATGACATTTTGCTTGATTGGGGTTGGGTAGAGTTTGTCGAGAGAACTGGGGATGGGGGACTGGGTTCAAGGTGGGATGAGAGAAGAAGATAGGATTGTTATTTTTGTGGTTCACAATTTTTTTATTTGTTTTCATATTTATGTTTTATTGTTTTTATTCCTTAAATTTATTGTGAATTATTTCCAGCATAGTGACGTGGAATTCATCTCATAGCCACCTCATCACTAAATGCTGAGTCATGGATGAAAAAAATGTTTGACCGTCAATATTGACGGTCAACTTAAACGTCGGGCCAAATTTGTCCAATAGTTTCAAAAGTAGGTTATAAAAGTCTTATTTGAAAAATGGGATCAGAACTGTCACTTACGTTAAACTTCGGGTCAAACTAGGGTATTAACCAATTTTAGGCCAACAAACATAACATATACGTGCTCATCTCTTGAATTCCTCGTCTTCATATTTAGTAGGATTGGGCCCCAAATTGTTGGGTGTGAAAATTAACTAACACGGGCCTACACAGTCAATATTAAGCAAGAGACTGGGCCAGAACTGGGTGACGAGACAAAAATCGGCCTCCAATAGTTGGGCAGTGTAATTACCAATGTGGGTCTCCGAAAATTGCTCTTTAACCTGCAATTTTAAAATCCTTAATAACGGCTTCTAACTCCATTACTCCACCATAATATATTTGTAGGGTTAAAGACACGTTTATCACTGAGATTATAAAATCGGGACATGTTTAGTCACTAGGAAAAATTAATATCAAATTTGATCACTACAATTACTAAAACTGGACACATTTAGTCACTCGCCGTTAGTCTCCGTCCAACTCCGTTAATGAAGTCCGTTAAGTGATGATGTGGCAAACAGAAATGCCTAATCAGCCGGATATAACCCAACAAAAATAAAACCCGACCCGCCACGTCATTATAACCCGCCACGTCATTAAAACCAACCCAACCCAACCCATGACCCAACCCCACCCAACCCTTCTTCCTCCTTCTTTCCCCAAAATCACCGCCGCCGCTCTCCTCCTTCCTCCCACCTCCTCCCGCAAAACAGTCCGAGTGGGAGGTAGAATTCCCGGGCTTGATTTGGCCGTACCGCGGATGCTCCGCCCTTCTCAATTCCCGTCCCGCGTCTCGTTTCCCGCCCCCGCCAAACCTCCTCTTCGCTTCCGAGTCTTGGCCATGGCTGTCAAGAGGAGCCCCAAGCGTCTCAAATACTCCGCTCCTCGCTTCACCAAGGTTCCCGATTCTTCTTCTTTCGCTTTCCGTTTTTTCTGAGTTTCTCCTCTAATCGCAATTAAAATGGGTAGGAGGGTGGGTTGGTTTATGTGGAAGTTGATCCTAGTGGAGAGGATAGCTGGAAAATGGATCCCATCGTTGAGCTTCTGAAGCAGGGCGCTGTTGGGGTCATTCCCACTGATACTGTGTACGATTTCAGCAGTTTTGCTTTCCTTGCGATCGGTAGTATCTCGTTCAATTTAATTAGGGAGGCTGGAGTGGTGGGAGACGATGGCCCGGCCGCTCTCGCTGCAGAGAACAGGGTGTTTGATGTTCTTCCTGTCGTAGACGAATTTCACCGCCTGGACGACGGCGAGAGCGTACTCTCCGAGACCGTAGGCGACGGAGAGATCCGAATCACCGGATTTGGAGCCGTCGTAGTCGATTCCAAGCCCACCGCCGATGTCAAGGACTTGCATGTTGGCGCCGAGACGAACCAGTTCAGAATAGATATGGGCAGCTTCGCCGACCCCATCGGCGAGCAAGCCGGTGGATGGGATCTGAGATCCGATGTGAAAATGCAGGAGCTGGAAGCAATCAAGCATTCCGACCTCCTGCAAACCACACTGAACTAGTCGTCTTCCGCGGCAGCTGGAAAGTTGAGATCCAAAAAACTGTACTTCTTCCTGTCAATTTTCGCAGCCGTGGAGGTTTTGGGGAAAGAAGGAGGTGAGATGGAGGAGGAAGAAGGGTTGGGTGGGGTTGGGTCATGGGTTGGGTTGGGTGGGGTTGGTTATAATGACGTAGCGGGTCGGGTTTTATTTTTGTTGGGTTATATCCGGCTGATTAGGCATTTCTGTTTGCCACATCATCACTTAACGGACTTCATTAACGGAGTTGGACGGAGACTAACGGCGAGTGACTAAATGTGTCCAGTTTTAATAATTGTAATGACCAAATTTGATATTAAATTTTTCTAGTGACTAAACATGTCCCGATTTTGTAATCTCAGTGACCAAATATGTCTTTAACCCTATATTTGTAATATATCTTGTAGATTAATTCTACCAACGTAATGGGCTGTTTATTATTTAAAAAAACCCCGTAATGGCCTTTTGGGCTTTTCAGGGCCGAGCCCGCCACATCCCGATGACCTTTTCTTAGAATGAGTCATTCTCGCGAGTCTCCAAGTCATTATATGTATTCGAACGTGGCAGACATTAAATATGACGTGGAGGTGGTGGACCAAGTACCAATGACCAAGCCCTTGATAATAATAATAATAATAATAATAATAATAATAATAATAATTTGTCCTTTCGGTAAAAAACACAATAACTGGTGTAAATTGCTTCGCTGGTTTTTATATAACTTAATAGGAAGGATATATAGATAAAAAAAAGCTCACGCGCAAAAAGCGAAATCAATATTCAATGGAAAAAAAAAAGCGAAATCAAAGGTGCGTAACAGAAGGGTAAAATAATAATTAATTATATGATTTGTTGTCTAAAAAGGAAAGATATTATTATTTTGGGTGGTCGCATCAGATCATGGTTGTCATGCCGGCCGGTTGAACCAGGTCCAATCGGTACCGGTCATGAAACCGGCTGGAATGCCATCGGTATTCTGTTTTAGTCAATACCGATCAAAACCGAAAATTCCAGTGGTCCAATCGATATTTAGCATTCGGGTATCTTAAGAAAACGCTGTTGTTGTTATTTGGATTGTAAAAAAATTTGAATTGGAATGGTTTCGACCGACCTGCTCGCACGCCTCGTTCATTCACCAACAATCCAGTCCACCAAATTCTTCTCTCTGCCTTGTCTTTTTCATGGCGGCAACCCTAGACCAACACACAAACCTCGGCGGCGCAGCGAGAGAGGCTCTGCAAGGCAGGCACGAGGTGCAGGTGAGCTTCTTTCTCATGTTTGGGGTTCTGGTATTGCGAAAATGTTATTGGGTTGATTGAGGGAGAAAATTGATTTGAAGTCCGGTTTAATGGGGGGTTAATGGTTTAATAATGGAGATTTTCAATGGAATAATGGGATGATGGTTTCGGATTGTTAATGGTGATTATTAATGGAGATTGCCCAAGCCCCAAGGCCTTCTCTAGTCTCCGTCGTTTATTGGTTTCTGAACATAGGGGAAGGGAGGAATCAGAGGTTTAATTGAGGAGGAATTCAGATTGGTTCTTTTTCTTAGGGGTATTTAATGCTTTTAGAAGGTATCTATTATTTTTTATATTTTTCAATGTAGATTTTAGAGATATTGTTTTAAAATAAGTTATTTATTACTTGTCAGGGCGGACCTCCTTGAAGACGAGCCCGATTCCAGATTTTTTGAAACCGACGGTCAGCGATGGAGCCTTTATTACTTGTCAGGGCGGAGTAATACCATTGATGCTACCTTGTTTGGAGGAACCTGTTGGCTATTGTGGAAGAGCCGAAATGACTTCGTGTTCCAGGACAAGCTGAAGACCCATACACAAATCCAGTTCAAATCAAGACAGCTCCGGGACGACATCACCAAAGCACTTGACCAGGAGAGAACAGTCTTCGGGACTGGGGGCACCCGAGAGCAGCGTCTAGTTGGCTGGCAACCACCGGCGCAAGACTAGGTCTGTGTCAACACAGACGGCTCAGTCATCCACTCTCCTGAGAGCACATCCTGTGGCGGCATCATACGGGGGAGTGATGGCCGTTTCATCAGAGCTTTCACTGCGAACCTTGGAGGGGGTTCTATCACTCGTGCGGAGCTGGCTGGTATTGTGTATCGGTTGGATCTTGCTTGGGAACAAGGAGCCAGGAAAGTTCTTCTACAAACAGACTCAGTAACTGCAAAGACCCTGATCGAGAATGCGACCGAGCGACATATGCACTTCTCTCAGATCAGTGAAATCAGGAGGAGAATGCAACGGGACTAGACGGTTCGAATTGACCACATCTTCCGCCGCGAATTTTGCAGCGGATCACCTAGCGTCTATAGGACATTCGAAAACGATTGGAGTTCATGTAATGGATAGACCGTGTACCTCTCTGCTGTACTGGCTGTTTTTTGATCGGGTGGGAATTGAAACCCCCCGGCTAGTTCGCATGCAATAAAGGTTTGGGCGCCCTTAGCGCCCTGTTCTTAAAAAAAAAGTTATTTATATTTTTATTCTGAAATTTTATTAAAACCGGCATAAACCGGTGCATTAACTGGTTCTACTGTGGTAGAACCATTCCACTTGCAAAACCAGCGTACCGGCATAAATCGGTTTGACAACCTTGCATCAGATTAAAGGACACATGGAGCCGCTGATGATATATGGACACGAGAAAAGAAGAAACGACACTCAATTCACTATTTTTCTTTAAAAAAGTGGGGATGACAATAATAACTTATAGAAAGTGCATATTCAAAGAAAAGGACGGGATTGGGTGGCGAGGATCTGGCACGTTTAATCAGATGCGGAATTGGCGTAAATGGCTACCGAACTGTCCTTCTGACTCGATTTTTAGCCGTTCAAGAACAATTAATATATAACGCTTTACTCCTTTTATTTATAGATAAATAATAATGTATAATAGTAAACGCTTTCACAGTTGTCGAGAAAGAAAATTAAATTCTCTGCGGCTGAATGACGGAAGTGCCCTCACGCCTCCGTGTATATATAACGCAAGTCACACACCCACCCTCAATGCAAACTTCATTTTACACCCTCCACTTTATGCCTACTTAGAAGTCACGCCCATCTGCTCTGGTTTTTTATTTTGGTTCGCCTTCTAGCCCGGAAATTACTAATGCAACCGCCGTCGACCCATCATCGGCGACCGCCGGCGATTGTTCCGGCCTCAACCCACCGTCGGCGACCGCCGGAATCAGATGTTTTGGCGTTGTTAATTTACTGGCAAAAGGTATTTTATCATCGAATAAAGCTGTTAATTATATTTCATTGGGTGATTTCCATTTTGTGAATCAATCCGGTCGGTTATTTTTTTCTTCTTACCCGGCCCGTTTCTTGCCCTATATAATCGCGGACAAACCCTAGATCTCACTATTTCTTTTGAGCTCTGCGAAGGGCGAAGGAAATCTGCTGGAGGTTCGGAGCTCTTCTCGGATCGTCGGCGCCGGAGAGTAAGATACCTAGTTGGCCAGAGGTTGGACGCACATCGAGCCCAAGGTTTTCTCCTCTTCTCTTCTTCTTTCTCTCATTCAAATACCTAAGATCTCTCTTCGTTTTGATCGTTTTCGGTTTCTGCTTTGCGCCGATTCTGCATTCCTTCCTTTCTCTTCCATATATACTGGATTTCTCTCTAGTTTTCAGATCTCTACTGTTGCTTTGCAGAGCAGTACCGGCTTTACAGAATTTCTCCCTCTCATTCATATACTGTATCTGTCTTGCTTTGATCGTTTTACATTCCTGCTTGATTATACATGTTTATAATAATTCCCACGGTAATTGGATGTAATGGAACGTCGATTGACCTTGATTGAAACTGTGTTTTATCCCAGGATGAGTGATTTCAAGCATATTGGGGAGGTTAATGAAATTATTCTGGATGAGTGATTTCAAGCATATTGGGGAGGTTAATGAAATTATTCTGACTGTTGTGGATGTCGAAATCCATGAGCTGAAATATCAAGGAATGAGGCATAGGCTTTCACACATTAAGGACCTTCTTCCTGGTGCAAACCCCCTCAATGCAACAAAATTGAATGAAGAAATTCAACACATAACTCGAGATCTCGCCACTGTTGAGGAGGAACTCAATGAATCAAAGAATCCCTTGTCTAGTTTGGGTCCGATTACTTTGATGCTGTGAAATATATGAGGTATCCGTTTTCTGTTCCTTCTGAGGTTTCTCCTGGTGCTAGTGGACCCATTACCGGAGGGTCTGTAGCCAAAGCGCCTGCTGTTCCTATTGATGTTCTGGCTGGTCCTAATGAACCTATTACCAGAGGGCCTGCAACCAAAGGACCTGCTGTTCCTAGTGAGGTTCCACCTGTTGCTAATGAACCTATTACCAGAGGGCCTGCAGCCAAAGGACCTGCTATTCCTAGTGAGGTTCCGCCTGTTGCTAATGAACCTATTACCAGAGGGCCTGCAGCCAAAGGACCTGCATCCAGAGCTCCAGCAGCCAAAGGGCCTGCATCCAGAGGACCTGCTGGCAAGGCGCCAGTTACTGTCAATGAGCCTGCTGGCAAAGGGCCAATTGGTGATGGGAAGCAGGGCTCACCATGGTTTCCATCCGAGGAGCTGAAGCTTTTAAATGCAATAGATGTAGAATCTCCAGATGATTTTGGAAAGATTAAGAGAAATCATTTTCCAGGCCCTACAAGAACAGTCGGTAGTTATCGGACTAAGTGGCAGAAGATGAGGAAATTCAAAGAGGAGGAAATCAATGCACTTCCATCGGACATTGGAAATCTGCTGCGTGTTCTTATTCAGAAATATCCACCACCTGCAAAATGAGGTAAACTTTGGTTCTTGTCTTTCCCAATTTGATTGCCAATTTAGCAAAACTATACCAGTTCAAAGTCCTTTACATAAGAAATTCTGTTATTTGATAAAGGTTTGTAAGAGGGTTTTCGAGCAATAGCTGCTTCTCAAGCCATTGGAAAAAGGCATGGATTACGAAACCGTACCGGCCATCAAACCGGAATCGTTTTTGGCATGGTAAATCGTGGTACAACCATGGTTCAACCGTTTCCTACCGGCAAATACCGTTTTTGGAATAAAAAATTTATTTTTTTGTTAAAAAACCGTGCCGACAAAATTAGGGTACCATACCGGGAAAATACCGGAATAAAACCGGATTATACCGCCTGAGAAACTGTAAAAGAGTAAATAAGCTTAGGTAACATTCAACAAAGTGCGAGATTTCAATACCTAATAAACCTCATAATCATCCAAATACATTTTTAGAAATTAGTACAAAAACCACAAGCTTAATGTTCACAAACCACAAGCTTAATGTTCCACAAACCACAAGTTTAAACTTTAATGTTCACAAACCACAAGTTCAATGTCTCAAACTAGAAAATAGAAACTACTAATTGGATCTTTTGTTTGAAATCAAATCCATATCTTCAAGCAACTCCAAATGTAGAAAAGTCAACATTCGGGAACTCGTCTCCTTCATCTTCTTCATCACTAACTACAATACAAAAAAAAAAAAAAACAAGTAAGAAACATTATAAATTATGACGTATTAGAATTCACATCATAATAACTAATTCACACACCTTCCTCTGCAAGTGCTCGATCAAGCTCATCAATATCCAATTCTTTGTCTTTAGAAGATGCCCCTTCATTCTCTTCTATCAACCACTCAGTAGTAATATCAGAATGAATGCTTTCAAGAGAAATGGGATCATATGATTCTTTGTTCTTCATGGCATAATACTCTCTGGTCAAAGTGGAATGCATATATTGATTCAGTTCAATAGTAAATATAAAAACTAGAACAAGTAATAATTCACAAGTTTATTCATACCTATTCTGCAGTCGCAAGTTGTAATTCACAAACACCAAATCACTAAGCATTTTGTGCTGCAATTTGTTTCTTCTTTTGGTGTGCACACGTTCAAATACACTCCAATTACGTTCACAGCCAGAAGAAGAAGCAGTTTGGCTAAGAATGCGAATAGCCAACTTCTGCAGATGCGGAGCATCAATACCAAACCATTTCCACCACTTATCTGCATATTAAGCATACATGTTAGTATCTTAATTCTTAATAAACAGAACTAGTATTAGTGTACATAAATTCAATTACCTGGTTGTAGCTTTTGCGCAGAATCAATTGCTTGCTTCCTCCCAAAATTACCTTTTCGTTCAGAATACAAAGTCAGCTCCTCAAGCACCACAAATTGGGAAAGACAAGAACCAATCCGTTAAGGACCAAAGTTTACCTCATTTTGCAGGTGGTGGATATTTCTGAATAAGAACACGCAGCAGATTTCCAATGTCCGATGGAAGTGCATTGATTTCCTCCTCTTTGAATTTCCTCATCTTCTGCCACTTAGTCCGATAACTACCGACTGTTCTTGTAGGGCCTGGAAAATGATTTCTCTTAATCTTTCCAAAATAATCTGGAGATTCGACATCTATTGCCTTTAAAAGCTTCAGCTCCTCGGATGGAAACCATGGTGAGCCCTGCTTCCCATCACCAATTGGCCCTTTGCCAGCAGGCTCATTGACAGTAACTGGCGCCTTGCCAGCAGGTCCTCTGGATGCAGGCCCTTTGGCTGCTGGAGCTCTGGATGCAGGTCCTTTGGTAATAGGTTCATTAGCAACAGGCGGAACCTCACTAGGAATAGCAGGTCCTTTGGCTGCAGGCCCTCTGGTAATAGGTTCATTAGCAACAGGTGGAACCTCACTAGGAACAGCAGGTCCTTTGGTTGCAGGCCCTCTGGTAATAGGTTCATTAGGACCAGCCGGAACATCAATAGGAACAGCAGGCGCTTTGGCTGCAGACCCTCCGGTAATAGGTCCACTAGCACCAGGAGGAACCTCAGAAGGAACAGAAAACGGATACCTCATATATTTCACAGCATCAAGGTAATCGGACCCAAACTAGACAAGGGATTCTTTGATTCATTGAGTTCCTCCTCAACAGTGGCGAGATCTCGAGTTATGTGTTGAATTTCTTCATTCAATTTTGCTGCATTGAGGGGGTTTGCACCAGGAAGAAGGTCCTTAATGTGTGAAAGCCTATGCCTCATTCCTTGATATTTCAGCTCATGGATTTCGACATCCACAACAGTCAGAATAATTTCATTAACCTCCCCAATATGCTTGAAATCACTCATCCTGGGATAAAACACTGGCCATACCTATGCATCAATGAGGATCATATCCAAATGCAATTGCTTGCCATTGTTGATGTTGAATGTTGATTGCTTCCCATAATCTGGAGACCCTGGATTTGATTCTCGCAGTTGGTCTCCTTTGCCGTGTCAGACTTTGTGTCGGTTGGTATGCCACTATAGGTGCAAGTATGGTATTTTACACCGATGTAAATGAGGCTAATTGGTTGGAACCCATGTATAGTTGCGTGTGGTTGGCCTGTGGAGCTCTTGTTCATCCGTATTTAGGGAGACAAAAAGGTGTCATGTAACGGGTGAATCGGTAGATTTTTTGGTCGATGAAGCGTCTCCTACTGGTAGGGATGGCAATTTTGACCTGACCCGTTTTACCCGACCTGTTTGACTTGTTTTGGGGCGGGTCCGACCCGCCCCGTAGGCGGGGCGGGGCGGGCATGGGTACTCTCATAGGCCCGACCTGCCCTGACCCGCCCCATTCTCGACCCATTCTTGTCTAAATTACACGTAATTTTAGTCAAATTACTTAGGATTTTCCTTTTACTAAATTAAATTTTAGCTATAATAAAGTTGTAAATTAGTGAAAACCTAAATTTCTCCAATAATTTAACTATATTTATCATAATATTGTTTGTTTCCATGGTCTTATAATAAAAATAACGAACATTTCTAATATTTTTCATATAAATTGCTTACCCACTGGGTTGACCTGCCCCGACCCATGACCCGTGATAAATTACCCGACCTGTACCCGACCTGCCATGGGGCGGGTCTGTGTACCAAGAAACCCACCCCGGACCTGCCCCATTGCCATTCCTACCTACTGGTGGAATATGATGTGATTGTGTAATAATTGGGTAGGAGTACTTGTTATTTTGCAACGGAAGGAGATTGAAGATTCCTTCCATCGAACAGCCGAGAAGAACGTAGTAGAGGGGAATTGCATTATAGGAAGTGGCAACCGGTTTTGATATTTTTTATTTTATTTTCTTGGTGTGTGTTTCGGTGGCGGGGAAGGGGGATTTAGGAGTAGGGTTTCAATGTCCAAATTAGTTCTCCCACTTGTTGCATGTGTAATGTTGGGCTTGGGTTGGCTTGTCTGTTAATTTATTTTTGGCATTGTATTTGGGCCTGATCCAACATTCTCTTCACTTGGTTTAGACCGGATCGAATAGTACCGAATCAATATTTGGGTTGGAGTGAATATATTTTGATTCACATTTTTCCTATGACTTATTTTAAGTATGTAGAAGTAACGAACCGAAATAGTATTGAGACCGGGCCGAATCAAACCAAATGAATGAAACATTTTTTAGTATGAGTGTGGTCCTCATTTTTTCTTTGTTTTTAGTCGGGTCCTAAATTTATTTCATCTTTTATGGAACGAATTGACTGATGCCACCCCTATTCTGACCCGTTAGTTGCACAATTTTTAACATAGGAGTTTCTCTTTGTTAAAATGCTACGTGCGATGAAATTCAAGGTCGTTACCATTTTGCAGCTACCAACCCGAATCGCTGAAGAACTTTATTCGGTAAATCCTACATTAAGTTGAATTAATATAAGTACATATTTAATTACGTTAAAATAAAATGGATATTGCATAATATATGTGTATCTTATATTATAACTTATGGGATATTGAGCTAGGTAAAGTTGAAAGGTAATATGCAATGGTTTATTTTGTTTCTAATTGTCCATAAAATTTTCTTCATTTTATGATTTCCCATTTATTTTAAATGAGGTGGTGGTGTAGTTAGTAAATATTTTGTTTAATATGCATATAAAATGTATCTATTGTGAAATCATTTTATTTTTCCCATTTATTTGATTGTTCTCATACTAAATATATAGAAATGCCACATAACATGCTTAGTATTCATATTTAATCAGGTAAATTAATAAGTTTGAACATTATTTATACATTTAGTAATATTTTAAGTAGTTAATATACTATATTTTATGGCTATTATTGTAAACTAAATTGAGATATTTTTAAGTTCAACATTATTTACTACATTTAGTTATTTCTAGACATAGCATCAATTTATATACGGTGGAAAATACACAAACATATTTTATTATATGTAAAGTATTGTAAAATATTTTAGGACTTTGCTACGGTGACATGCATGTCATCGTAACTCGCACTTTTAGATCGACCTAATCTGCCGTTTCAGTCTTATGATAGAAGACAGCTTATTTCGTAGCAACTTCAAGCCTTTTGTTTGAAGCCTTAAAGATATCCAATATTTCATCCAATGCCTTGACTTTGTAGATAAACATACCTACTTTCATGTGGTAAAGGCTTCTGGACTCGAATCTCATCCATGCTTCTCGAATTGAGCTCCAAAGTAGGCTTCACAAACACTTTCCCAGACTTAGCCATTTTCAGCATGTTTCCCAATTTTGGCATAGCCTTTTGATCAGGTTCAAAAATGATCTTCTACACTTCCTATCAAACTTCCAAACACTTCAATGTGTAGAGGGACACTTCAGCTTCAAAACAAGCCATTAATCTCCAATTTCCATCGAGCCAATTGTAAGATATGAATCTCGAAAGCAGGCACCATGAAACTATTTTTACACTGAAACAACATGTTAGGTCGACCTAACCCTATCTGAGGTCGACCGAAAAGTGCAAGTTACGGTGACATGCATGTCACCATAGGCGCACCCAGTATTTTATTATATGTAAAGTAGGCGTACCATATTTTAGCAATGTTGGTTGTTATTGTAAAGACTAAACCTTAAATGGATAGCTTATGGTTGTTTTGTTTTTTTTTTTTGGCCCGAAATAGTAATTTTGTGGTCTTTTGTAATGTGTAATATTAAGGCTTATTTCCTTTTTATTTTTTATTATTCTTCCATCCTAACAGCCTATTTGGATAGAATTCCAAAGGAATTCAAAATGGAATTTCATTTTCATTTCTAATATTTTCAGAATTCTAATTCCAATTCTTGTGTTTGGTGTAGTTCCATCAATTTAGAAAATGAATTATATTTTTTTGTGCAAATTTTATTTTTTAGTAAAAGTTATGTTTGCTGAAATGAAATACCCTTATTCATATTTAATTTTTACTTATGAAATCACTGTCATGATCAGGGGCGGAGTCAGGATTGAAAGTTCGGGAGAGGGGGGGGGGGGGGATTTATTTAATAAGTTATCGTGAAAATCCAAAAAAACAACATATATTAATTAAAAACACTCAAAATATAATTAATTTAAAGTTTGCTAGTATGTTATACTCAAAATAAATGTTTATACACTGAGCAAAAATTATCATGCATTTTAACATGTAATTTTTTATACCTTTAATATGAATTAATGATTATATTATTATTTTTGAAAATTAATTAATTACATATAAAAAAAATCATTGAAAATAAGAATGTAAAAGTTTAAGAACTTGACTGAATTTATTTGAAATTACAAGATTTATAAGACAAAAAAAGGAAAATTAGAGGATTGAATTGGAAAAAAAACTGTTAAAATTATAAAAGCAATGCTGTGTATCAGGAAAATTTAAGAACTAGGCAGCTTATCCACTGGACTAGAAATCTGTCCTGTTAACAAAGTTTCATTCGGATTTTATATATCTGTTAGATTGAATTTATACGTAATTCTCAGAATTTCCTAGACTTTATACGTGAGTTTCAAAATTCTTGGGGGCCGGGCCCCTTCCAGCCCTTAGATCTGGACACACCAATCTGACGGTTAAAGAGTGAGAATGACTATTTAATTAATGACACGGGTAGTTTGGGTATTATGAAAAATTACAAAATATACAAACCGGACATACAAACAGTATAAACCATACAACACAAACACATGCGAACAATACAAACTAGGGCGATAAAACATACAAACATATTTACAAACAGTACAAAATATACGAACTATACAAACAATACAAACTAGACCGACAAACATTACAAAACATACTAATAGTACAAAATGCCACTACTTACCATACATAATAGTAAACTTGTATTACAAATCAATGAATACAAAGTATACAAATCACAATATAAAGTATACAAACTAGACAAACAAACATTACAAATTAAAATGTATACAAACAAGTCATAGAAACATTACAACAATAATAAATAAAAATGACAATCTATAATGATAAATGATACAAACCGAATTGATACAAAATCACAAAACATACTTACAAACATTACAAAACCGCCCGACAAATATAACAAAACAGACGTTGTCGCCGAAAAATCTCCCATCGCCGGGAAATCCTCGCCATCGCTGAAAAATTCACCGATGACGAAAAACTCTCTCTCTCACTGCGCGGAGCTCCATGGAGAGGAATGTATTTCCCATGACTATTTAACCATGTAAACAACAAGTATCATATCATATGATGGCGTTATAGTAATAGCTAGCCTAGCTCCATTAATATGATTCCATGTTAGTAAAGTATTTTGTATGAATTTTTAGCATACATAATTTTATTATGATGGTAATTTGCTCAATTTCTCTTATATAGGATAAATTGAACATGGCACTCTATATGAAATGCCAAAGTCAGCATGGCAACAAAGTCTTTTGCTTCTTCTTCGAAACAGTCTACCGAACATAATGTTTCAAACAGCGGCGGATTCGGCCCAGCCCTTTTGCTGGTAGAGAACTTAGAACACGTTATACTTCCAGGCCCTCTCAAGTCTCACCTCCTCATGGGCCCAGCCCTCTCTGTCTCCCCACCCAAAACCCAATTCCAATTGTTCCATGTTCCTCTTTGCTCTGCCCCCAAAAAACCAAAAGTTGTTCCACCAGTCCCTCGTTGCTGATTTCCTTCAGAATAGAAGACCAGCATGCAGCATCCTAACAGTAGCAGTGTAGCAGCCAGCAGACCACCTCCCAGCCTCCACTTGTCGCTGTCGTCTCTTCTGCAATTCTGCTCGGTGAGTTTTTCTCCAAGGCTTTGACGCGGAGCGGCGAAGGGAAATGTAGTTGTTGCTTACTTTTTGATCCGACCTAATTTTGGTGCAATTTACTGATTAGTGATTAGAGTGGACATTGTGTTTTTGGCCGGCAAAATCTGTATTAGAGTTGGGAATGTCGAGTTGCTTTTCTTTTACTAGTAGCTCGTTTCTGCTTATTAAATTTTTTGGTGGACAATTAGAGGTCCGGCTTTTCTCATATATTGTTCCTGCGGTATTTATATTCAATTCTAATTAAGAATCTTACCTTTACTTAGGGAGGGGTATTGGTACCACGCTCTTCCGTGTTCGTAGGTTTACTCCCCTATGCATCCTGACTGAGGCCTCATAAACATACATTTCCCTTATGCATCATTTACTGACGCAATTGATTTGCCCTTCCTTCTGATTCCGATTATGATGGAAATGCAAAATCTGTATTAGCCCCCCTTCTTCTTTTCACTCCGCTTAACCTTATCCCCCTCTAGTGGTATTTTGTTGATAGATTCTATAGGAACTGGACGACCTTATTTGGTCAAATACCTAGCGACAAAATCCTAGAGCGATAAAGAGAAAAAAATCGGTTCACTAAATCAAAATATCGTATGTACAATTGACATTAGTATAAAAACTATAGTTATTATATATTTTTGTTGACGGTACCTAATTTTCTATTCAAATGCGGCCCATTGCTTTACTTCATCCTGGATCCGCCGCTGGTTTCAAATATAGGTGTCAATCGGGCGGGTTCGGGCTGGGTTCAATCGGGTTCGGGTTAAAACGGGTTGCGGGTTAGTCGGGTTGCGGGTTCATCGGGTTCGGGTTCAAACAGGTTGCGGGTTAGTCGGGTTGCGGGTTCATCGGGTTCGGGTTCAATCGGGTTGCGGGCAAATCGGGTTGCGGGTTCATCGGGTTTTGGGTCGGGCGGGTTGCGGGCGGATCGGGTTTCGGGTTGTTCGGGCCAGCGCATCAAGTAACTTAACTCATTACTCATTACCAACTTACTCATTTTATTACACTAATTTAAAATATTTTCTCAACTTTTTAACCAATTTATTTCTACCTCGTATATATATACTTTATTTTTTTGAAAAAAACTAGTCAAAATGTTAAATCAATTTGTATGACTTGCAAACTTGTTATGTAATTAATCATAATGGGTAAATTATTATAGCTAATAGTAATGATGATATCAATATTTGCAACCAAAAGACACTATTAATTGTTTATTTGATATTTTAGTATTAATTCAGTAGTAATTGAATTAAAGTATCTCGTTTAGTATAACCATGCAAATATGGTATTTGGCGTGTGGTATTTGGCAAAAGCATAGTGATAAAAGGAGTTATTTCGAAATAACTCATTGCCCAAATAACTTCAGTAAACTGTTGCCAAACGAGTTATTTGTAAAATTGTTTGAATTATCCTAAAAATTGAACCATTAAAGATTAGCTATCAAATTTAGTAAAATTATTGTGACTTCAATCATAACTTACTCAATAGCATATATCCTATACACTTAGCCTTACCCTCAATAAACAATATTAAGTTAGTATTTGTTGTTGATTGTATACCCTAAACCATCAATACATTATACACTAACCACATAGTCTATACCCTATACCCTAACCATATGTCTTTGAGTTGTGATTTTGCTAGTATAGTTAATTTAAAAGTGAAATTCATACTTTGATTTTCAAAACATAGATAAAAAGTGATATTTGCTAATTGTTATACCCTAACCATATATCATATACTTTGCACCACATACCTTGTACCCTAACCACGTACCATAAACATAAATTAAAAAGGGATCTCCTGTCGTTAAAGACTTCAAATGACTTCAAGTGAACATATGTTAATAAAAAACTTAGAACCGTCGAAACCATCAATATCTTATACCCTAACCATATACACCCTAAACCATATGTACCTTATACCCTATACCCTAACCATATACTTTATATCCTAAACAACGAACCGTCAAATATTACTTATCAAGTTTAGTATAAATTGTTGTAACTAATGGTTAATTTATTTATTAGCCCATAAAAAATTACATATACACATATACACACACACACACATATATATATATATATATATATATATATGGTGGCTACTTTGGTGCACTCACTTTTTTGGGTGCATTCAGTGCACTCACTTTTTTGGGTGATCATAATACATTAAATTTTGAAATTTAATGGGTTGTATTAGTCTAATATGATGATATAACATAGAATCTCAACTAATCAACCCATTACCCTAACCTATTAACCTTCAATTTTGAATCTCGACCCAAAATCCCAAATTGTAAACTCTAACCCTAACACTAAATTCCTAAACCCTGAATCATTCAAATTAAAGTGAATCTTGAACGATTTTTGTACAAATTCATGTGGTTCTTGTTCATCATACCACAGGTGATGATTGACATCGTTTTCACATGAATCGCCTGCTCAGAATGACGATTATGAGGCGGGTGCATTGAATGCACCCAAAAAAGTGAGTGCACCGAAGACATAACCATATATATATATATTATTTTTCAAAGCATATAAGAATAATTTTAACTAGTCATGCCCTCCATATAAAAGTTAAAGATTCATATTTCAAAAGCTAAAATTATGAAAAACCAAAAAATTGAAAACACCGAATTTGTTTCCTTCTTTCTTTTCACAAAAATACTAAATTTCCCTCCTTCTTTCTACTTCCATACATTAGAAAACTCAATTTTTCCTCCTCTTTCTCTTCCATAAAATTGAAAAAACCAAATTACCCTCTTCTTTACTTCTACAAAAAAGTTGAAAATTCAAAAGTTTCCCTCCTTATTTCTCTTTCATAATCAAAAGAATCAAACTTTCCCACTTTTTTCTCTTCCCACATATCAAAACCACCAAAATTCCCACTTGTTTCTTTTCTAAAAAATTCAAAGAACCAAATTTCCCTCTTCATTTAAAAACATCAAATTACCAAATACATTACTTTACTTTATTTATATTTAATTGATAATTTTATTGAATAGTTAAATTAACCAAAATTTTAATTTATATATTATATTAATATTGTCATTATCTCAAGTGACCTTCATGTTTCAATTTTTGTAATTTTCTTAAAATACGTAATATCAAGTGAGTTTCATATTTTTTAAATTTCCTATACGAAATGAAAAAATAATTTTACTTAAGTTTAGAATGAAAAACTTTACACCACAAAAAAAAAAAAGAATGAAAAACTTTATTTTGAAAAACTATGTATTGTATATTTTTATAATTATTCAAGTGGATTAGATGAATTTCGGGTTGAGTCGGTCGGGTTACGGGTCAATCGGGTTCGGGTTAATCGGGTTGCGGGTCAGTCGGGTTGCGGGTCAATCGGGCTCAGGTTAATCGGGTTGCAGGTCAGTCGGGTTGCGGGTCGGGCGAGTTACGTGTTGTTGACTTTTAGTCAATTCGGGTTGCGGGTCGGGTTGATCGGCCGGGTTAATCGGGTTGGGCTATGTTTTGACACCTATAGTTTCAAAGATGTTCAAGGTTTGTCCAAACTGTGGACCTTCAGAAGTTGTACTTAATGATCTAAATGAGAAGAAGAAGAAGAAAACTAGAGGCCTGCCTGCTTCTGGGAACCAGTTTGGCCAGCCTAATATTTAAAAAATGCTCAAGTCTTATTGGATGGTGTTTCGGCCCATGTTACCCAGCTCACGGAGGCGGTTGCCCTTGTTGCTGCATCATGAACTCCCTCAGCTCTCTTATAGCCTGCCAGATCTCTCGAGAGTCCTCTTGACGTGCTTCCTGATCCCGAGTATGACCGACCAACACATTTTTCAGGAGGGTGCGGAAGTCCTCCTCGTCCGTCACGTCCACCACCACGTCCTCTTGGCGCCCTTTGGTGGCCTCCAGCGGTGGTTGCCTCACCTGCGCCGTCTTTGGTGGCGCGGTGTCGGCCTGAGTCGGCTTCGGCGACATCGCCGCCGCGTTTGTCTCCTCTTCGCCGTCGTTGGTCTTGCCTGCGACTCCTCCAGTGGTCGCCTTCTCTTGTGCGGCTTGTGCAGCCTTCTCAGCAGCAGTCATCGATTTAGTTGACACCATCTTGTTCTCCGTTGCCTGATCGAGAACCAGACTCTGATACCAAATGATAGAACCCGGGGAATTGAGTTCTATCTAGGAATTAATCCTTGAAGTAATTGAAAAGGAGGGGAGGTGGGAAATTGGGTTGGAAAGACTAGGAAGAAGAAGAAAAGGGGAGGGGCTGCGCAGCAACAGAGTGAGGAGAGGGAGAGAGATTAGGGAATTAGGTTTAGGTTTAATCTTGCTTAGTGATAAATCCCACGTACAAGAACATTTATATAAATGCACAATTCCCGAATGATACCCCAAATAACTAATAACCCACAATTAACCCAAAATAGTCCCAATAATCCGAAATGATAATAAACCGACAATAATTCCCAAATAATCAAACTACCAAAATACGAGTTTCTATTAGTGAGGCACACTCAAGGGTATGAAGATGGCATAGAATACTACTACCCTTTAGAAAATCAAGCTTCAATTGGACTCGAGGACTGATGCACAGACCCCTAGCATGCAAACACTATGTTAGCATTTCAAGTTTTGCAAAGTAGAGATTGAGAGGTTAGGCATACTCCTATTATTTGACTCATAAGTCATAAGGATAACATTTTGAGTCAGTCACATTTAGTCTCTCCAGTCCTTATGTTAGAGATTGACTGGTGTACTGTTTTATTGATAGCTTTTTAGACTGCACAACTAATGCTTAAAAGATAACGGTGCTTGCACACATTTTACCAACAAAAGAAACACAAAATGCAGGTTTATAAAGCAGGTGCAAGCTGTTAAGCCTGATCAATCAACAGAAGAGCTCAAAAGCTTGAATTCAGGGCTCTTTGACAAACTCAACTATCGACATATTTTTCTAACGTTCACGGTACAGTAGTATGGTTACACTTATAGCAAAGAGATCCAATTAAGCTTCATCCAGATGAAAGCTCGTTCGGTCGTCGCAAACTGGAATATACAGCTCTTCGTAAAAGGTGGTGGATGTCTTGGGTGAGAACCTCATCGTCTAACTTCTCGATGTGCGACCAAAGCTACCAAACAAAAACAGAGTAGATTAGGGTTTTGTGTTCCTCATAGTTGGGCAGTGGCACTAACAACACTGGTTTTTGTTAAATTGGATTCTTAGGCAATGAGAAAACTGGGGAGAGACCATGGTGACAAGCCAAGGAAAGCAGCACAGTAACATATGCAGAATCAGAATTTTGCATACGAGTGAAAATAAAGCGTAAAAAGGAAGGGGCTGGTCATATTTTACCTCGGAGGCGTATTGCCTGGAGAAGGACTTGATGTACCCTAGAATTGATAAGCACCACTGCTCCTTATCACCAATGTTGTAGATGTTGCTGCTGCTCCCGCCCTCACCATTCGACGGGCTGCTAAGAGTACAAGAGAAAGACGCCCAGTCAAATTATTTGATTCACAAATGCAATCGTCTAAAGGAAAATGAATGCTTGGAAGGGAAAACTGACCTTTTCTTAGTTCCCCCATTCTCATCATTTACTTCCATGGTGGATGGCTGATCAGTATCAACAGCCATCCCGTCGGCTTGTGCTGACTTCAAGTCTCATATTGTTTGAGCTTTAGATGCACCGGGCAGCCTCTCTTTCAGCACACTGGAGAAGTTTTTGTACAGAGCAAGGAACAGTTCCTAAATCGCCAATCATGGTTGGCAAAGAATGTCCAGTACCAGCATTAGTAGGTCAGATGAAAGTGGGAAGAGAAGGTTATTAATCTTTCAAATGATGTTATTACCTCATTTTCAACTGTGGCTCGAGCAAGCAGAGCCTCCTTAGTGACCAAAGAATCCCGCACAGATTCTTCCTCTTATTTGGCTTTGTCAGCATGCGATTTCAAGCGCTTCATCTTCACAGGGCTATTACCCATAACGGGCTCTCCATTCATCAAAGTAAGCTTAGACTCGGAAGCATCTAACTCTGCTTTTGCCCTGGCTGCAGCTTCTTCAGCAACTAGAACATTCTTCTTGAGAGACAAAACCTCCTTCCTCAAATCCGACATACGGTTATAGGTTTTGCTAATTGCATTCCCCAGAATCTGCCAAAAGTTACGATAATGAGACATATTAAGTCAAACGCACTTCTTTCATAAACAGATTTATGGATGTGTTTGTTTTGGCAAAGACCAATGCACTTATTTTTTATGAAGATGAAAAAAGACCAATGCACTTAGTCAAACTAACTTTTCAAAATTACCATTCACCCAATATTAACTTCCTACAAGAATTTCTTATGTGGTGAGACAAACAAAAATTTGGAACTAACTCTCAAACATCTATACTAGCTGCCAATTAGTTCTAATAGAGTCTCAATTTTAAGAAATAATCAACATTACCTCCCATGGGCGATCAGAGATATGAAATTGCTCTATATTCGGTGGAGAAAAGACCCATTTAATGATAGCCAAATTAGATAGCAGGCGATATCCCATCATACGATCGATTGCTAAGGCTGTCATCTGGGTGCTGTTCTCCCAGTAGGAACTCACTTCAGCAATCAGCAAGATCTGCTTCTCGAGATCTGGACAGAGTCGTGTGATGACTTGGCCATACCTCTCCAGAACAGTAATCAAGTGTGTGAAGCTCTTAGAACCAATGTCAAGAAGAATTTGTACAATCACTGAAAGTGTCGACTCAAAGCCATGGGCGGGTAAAACCGTTTCCTCAATCCAAGCGATTACTTCTCGGGCAGTTGCCCTCCCCTTCACCTTGTTGCTGAGCTCTGCAGAGATTGCATGATATTCTGTTTTCTCTCTTCCATCTTCGACGCTGTACTTGAAGTTAGGACTGCCTTTGGGCGGAAGCAACTCTTCTAAAGCAGGTGCGTTCTCAATGCTCTGATAAAGAGAAGGCGTAGAGATAGTATAAGAAGTAGCTTTTGCGGCTGACAACTTCACCATTTTTTCCATCTTTTTTATTTTTCACGGAAAGGGCCTTAAGGACAATTTGTACTGCCAGATCAACATGGCCATCCATGAAGAAAGGATATGAATAAATATCATATGGATAAATCATCTATAACACTGTCAGGGATGCAGAACATGCTTGTTAATTACCTGCTTAACCTTTTCCCAGTATGAGAGACGCACTTCTCTCTCCAAAACTTCCTGGACAAACACACGCTGGGGCGCCCATTTAGGAAGGTTAAGAACATAAGCCCATTCTTCCCATGGCCAGATGAACTGGAAGTTTGACCTACAAAACCAACATACACAAAATTTGTCAACAAACATCACTACAGGAGAAAAAATAAGTCCACTGGTAATTCAGGTTTCAAGAATACAAAGTTACAAGCAACTGGTGGACTTACAAATGGTGGGAAAACCAGAGGATGAGTCGATTGCGGCACTCCATATCTAAATCAGCAATCTTCTCGAAAAGAGCACGGACAGCTCCAGCTACGACGGCAGGAAATGCCCCAGGTAGAGCCTAATTATCACAATTCACAACTCAAGATCAGGATGCTTTGAAGTACGACAAAATTTCTAATAAGAGGCTTCAGGCAGTAACTAATCAACTCATGCTCACCTTACAGAGGTCCATGATAACCAATGTGTAATACAATGGTCTGAATGGAGGTTGTGGAAGCAAGAGTAGCTGCAAAAAAAAAAAAACACCAATATTCATTTATAGTCCGTGGGACAACCAAAGAATTAAACAAACATGGTAAAACAAAAGAGCACCAATATTAATTTTCAGTGCACTATAGAGGAGTGTCCCCCACTCTTATGAGCCAAAAAAACAGTCATCATATCCCAAGTTAGGACTACTAGGATGCAACATACCGATATTACGATTTATCACTCTCATGTGCCTAAAAACTAAGTTTCCCATAAAACGAACCTGAAACGAAATCTATCAGAGACGTTGGCAGATGAAATGAAAGAGACTTCCATTGTTAAGTTAAATGATGAGCCATCCTCTGATAATTTACAGAGAAAGCACAAATTCCCAGCTCAATCCCTCCCAGAACCGCACCATTATTCACGTCATCCCGCAAATCAACATTGCAATTCATATCTAATAAATTACCGTTACCTCCAATAGAGACCAAGGTTCCGCCTGCGCTCTCCCCGCCATTAGAGACGGCACAGTCTCCCGGTTCCCGATCAACAACTCGGCGGCGCTTCTTCGGCTTGCGCCCAACACGAGACCGTTGGTCAACCACCAACTGACCAGGCCCCACCAGCGCCGCCACCTCCGGAAAATCGAGCTCCTCGGAATCGCCGTCCTCGTAGACGATCTCGAATGAACCGGAGGAGGAGTCGTGGGATTTCACGATGCCGGTGAACACACCGGAACCATTGGAGGAGCCCTTCCTCACATGCTTCCCAACGAACTCCATTTGCAAACTACTCCTTCCCGCTCCAATCGAAGAAAAAAGCCCCGAAACAAAAGAGAGAATACGGGAGGAAATCAATCTAACCGGGAGAAATCGAGGAACCAGCGGCGGCTCATCAAATCCGGATCGGCGGCGGGTCTCTTCCGTCTGGAAATTCGGGGTACGAGAAAGAGAGAGAAATATCAAATATCCCAAAACCAACTGAAACAACCTCTCTCACAGGTTCTCTCTCTAGAAACGCTTTTAACGTGCAGAGAGGGAGAGAGAAAGGGATAGAAAGAAAGGAAGGAAGAAGGAGAAGAAGAAGGAGACTGACTACTAAACTGAGACGCTTCCTACTTTCCAATTTCTTGTTTTTTTTTTCTTTCCTCCGGGGGACAATGACATAAATATTGTTTTTTTTTTAAATTTACCACGAATATGGCCAATTAATAAGTATTGACAAAGATATTGTGTTTTATACATCAGAATTGGCGGGTACACCTGAGACTCAGGCGCCGCCGCTTAAGACTTGGTTTTTGGCCCGCTTTATTAGACTCGGGCGGTGGCGCCCCAGTCTCAGGCGGCGGCGCCCGAGACTGAAGCGAGTAGGTGGGAAATAAGACTCCGGTGGTGGCGCCCGAGACTGAGGCGAGTAGGTGGATTGGCCACCCACCCTATAAAACCCAGACAGACATTTCGTTTCAGATTCACACCACAAAAAAAATCGTCCAAAATAGAGGAGAGAGCTCTGGTTGCTGCTGCAAAAATGGCTAGGTAAGAGACACATTTATTTTTGTAATTATATTATTCAAATGCTATTATGATTGTGTTTAGTTTTTAATTAGTGAGTTTGTTTTTTTGTAGTGATTTTAGAAGATTTGAACTAGTTGTTCGGTGGAAATCGGAGAAAGTAGAGGATAATTTGGGTGTCAAATTCGTTGGTGGTAGTAGTTTTCAGTTGACGGTTCCATCCAGAGTCACATATCACAAACTTTGTGAGACTCTAATTCCGAGAATACGGCGCAGAGACGAAGCAGTAAAAGATAGTGATGTGATCACAGGTTTCACTTACCGTCTTCCAGAATGGCAGAATGATGTTTTATTTCATTATGCGTTACCTATTGTGGATGATGATAGCTTGGATGTGCTTTGGAATTTTATGGCACAAAATCCTTATTGTTTGGGTGCTGAGATACATGTTGAGCTCAGTGATGATCAGGGTGGAGAGGAAGAAGATGATACATGGAGCGTGCCATCCGATCATGACTATGATCACGGTGATGACGGAGAGGAGGAGGAGGAGGAGGAGGAGGAGGAAAGAGAGCAACTTAATTATCCTCCATATTTTTACTTGCAGGGCAATGAAGATGACGAAGAATTTGCACTTGCTGATTCATATGGCGTAATTCCAATGCCTATTGTTGATAGTTTTGAAGGAGAATTCTACAAGGGGCAGATATTTCACTCGAAACAAGCTGCACAGATGGCGATTAAACACCACGCACTACAACGCAACTTTCTATATGGCGTGGTGGAGTCGTCACCTTCAATATGGAAGGTCAGATGTTTGAGGCACAAGGATGACAATTGTCCTTGGATGGTGCGGTTTGGATGTCGAGATGTTGGGGGCGAATGGACTGTGAGAAAAGCTGAGTTGGTGCATTCTTGTAGCAGTACGACTCAACCGACGGATCATCGCCATCTTGATGTCGACATGATATCTGAGGCCGTCAAACATTTGGTACGTGCCCAACCAAATCTGAGTGTTCTAACTGTTCAAGCCGAGTTGAAAGATAAGTTTAATATGCAAGTTACTTACAAGAAGGCTTGGTATGGGAAACAAAGAGCATTGGAGAAGTTGCATGGAAATTGGGAAGAATCCTACGATTTTTTGCAAACATTCTTGCGGGTGGTCAAGAGAAAAATGCCAACATCGGTGATTGATTGGGTAACAGTTCCTTCGACTCAACCTGGTCATTTAATATTTCAGCGAGTATTCTGGGCTTATGGACCTTGTATAGATGGATTCAAGAATTGTCCAGGCGTCATGGTTGTGGATGGAACATTTCTTACTGGGAAGTATAAAGGAGTGCTACTCATGGCGAGCTCATTTGATGGTCGGAGGAAGATTTTTCCAATTGCATTTGCCATAGTGGAGAGCGAGAATACTGAGAGTTGGAAACCCGAAATGGGTTAGGTGCATCACGATGCTCACGTCTCTGTCTACGTGGCCTATGCTCCTCTCTGAACTGTGGCTCTGGGACGACCCAGCCCGGTGTCGGATCAGTACGCTCTGGCCAGGCAGTCATGACGGGCCCCTCATAATGCTGCTGTACAGGTACTGTGAGATCAGGGTATCTACGATCCTCAAACCCTAGAGCAGCAACCCCGGATGCCATAAAGTTGGCCAAGTCCTCACACTGGTCGGGGGTCAGCCCTCCAGACCGTACACCGTCACGCAAACTCACCTCAGCATGCTCGATAGTGTCGTACTAAAAAACACCAAAAAAAATGTCAGATATTTCACACAAATAACAACAAATTAAGCAAATAAATCAAATAACTAACCAACGCCTCTGCTGCAGCTCCTCTCCGTGTGCCGGATCGTCTGGTGACATCTCTATACCACTCCATATGCTCCGAGTGGTAGGCTAACTCCTCATCAGTATATGGAGCCGTCGCTACAAACTCGTGTCGACGGTTCCAGAAAGCAATCGACTCTCTGGAGGCGTGTACCAACTGCTGCCCACGCGATGGCCCACGAGTAGCCTGGCGAAGAAAAAACCTAACCTCAGCCTCAGAATGTGGCTGATGAGGCTCATGCTGTCTCATGCCAAACTGCCGGAGCACGCGGTCTGGATGATGCCACATCACCGATGAAAAGCAGATAAGTGGCACTACTGCTCGAAATGTCTCCGACTGTAGCACACTACCTCTGAGATGAAGTGCTCTCTCAAAGTAAGGTTGCCACTACATTAAATCCAAAAATTGTCGTTATTATCCCTAAATCTAAAAAAATAAAACAAATGAAAACTATTATATAAAATGAAATGTTATATACTAACCACCACGGTGTCCATCGCGTCAAACCACAGCTTGTACTGGAATAGCTGGTCACCATACTGACGACTGTTGGCCGAAAGCCATCGAAGACCACGTGGGAATGCATCCTCGGTGGCCTGTGCCCTCGTCTCCTCGTCTCGAGGTGCCAGATGTGGGAATCGCTCCCACGCCCAAAACTGCAGTAGGGCGACCCATCCACCAAGGTCACCGCTAAGAGAAGTGCCGGTATGCGTAATGTGCAAAGTCGACCTACCCATCTCACGGTACAGGTAGGATAAAACAGCAGCTCCCCAGGCAAACCGTCCAGCTCTCTCCCAATCCTCAATCAGAAGTAGGTACTGTAGGTGCACCGTACTTCCAGACCGATCCGAGAAAAGTACACCTCCAAGCAGAGATAGAGCATAAGCTCGTGCAAACTGCTCTATAACCTCCTGTGATGCATTCTCCGGCAGATGACTGAATTCAACCCTCAGCCAAACAATCCTAACAACAGCGACACTGCCTACAAGATCGGCCGGAACTCGTCCCAACAGTCTCAAACAGATCGCCGACCACTCCTCATCCGGTATATCAACTACGACGGCATCACCGTCGATCGCCAGACCGGACAGTGTAACAACGTCCTCTAACGTGATCGTCATCTCACCACACGGTAGATGGAAGGTCGACGTCTCGGGGCGCCACCGCTCTACGAGCGCAGTAATCAAACTAGCATCGGGGTTCATAGGGACTAGGGGCACGACACTAAACAAGCCTGCCGCTTCGAGATATGGCCGATAAACCTCATGGTAAGGTACTAAAATGGTCGTACCTCGAACATGGTACGGTCGATCACCAGCCTATAGTGCACAAAACTTATATTAATTCATTTTCATTCGTAATAATTCTAATTTCACCTAATAAATTCTAATCTGTCTTATCTAACATAAAATTATACTAATTTGAAATTATACTAATTTCACCTAACAGTTCAGTTCACTACCTAAAATAATCTAATTAGCTAATTAACTTTACATGAATAATTATCAAATACTTACCTCGTTTGTCCAAACAGAGTCGATACGATGTTGGCCGTGTCCCCATAGAAGTGTCGGATCGACCGGACTTGGATCAATTGTCGCCGGCGGTAATCTCATCGAATAAGGATCCATAAGCCTCGGAACTGCAAAAACAAAGCAACAAAACATTAAAAAAAACACAAAACATTAAAAAAAATCAAACTGCCGACGAGAGTCTCACCGCGCAAACGGCCGCCGACTCTACCACGACCTCGCCGACCTCTCCCTCTGCCTCTGCCGGCGGCGAGTGGTTCTTCGTCGGAGGACATCTCGGGCGGTGGCGGGTCAGTCAATTGGCGCTGGCGCTACTGTCAAAGGCGGCGGCGCCGAGGTCTGGGACGGGGGCGCTCGTGACTGCGGCGGCGGCGGCGAGGACTGCGGCGGCGGCGCCGAGGTCTGGGGCGGCGGCGCCGAGGTCTGGGGCTGTAGCGGCGGGGCGGCTCTGGTTCGCGGGGGGGGGACAGGTTCGCGGGTTTGGGGGAGGAAGAAGAAGGATTTGTGTGGTGTGGGAGGAGGATAAGGTGGGAGGAGGATAAGGGGACCGTCCGAAATTTTAAAATAAATGAGTTTGGGGCGCTCCCGCCTGAGTCTCGGGCGCCAGCGCCCGAGACTAATTAAAAAAGACGTTCCAGGCGGGGCCGCTTGAGACTGGGGCGCCGCCGCCCAGGACTGGGTAAAATACCAGTCCCGCCTGAGTCTCAGGTGGTCCCGCCCCAATCCTTACTAAAAAACACAATATTTGTGTCAATAGTTTTTAATTTGTAATATTCGTGGTAAATTAAAAAAAAAAACAATATTTGTGTCATTCTCCCCTCCTCCGGTCACTCGCTGTATGCAAATAATAATAATTCACAAAAATCTGAAAATGGAAAGAAAGTGCGGGAGGAGTGGGGGTAATTTATTTCGTTCCCGATAAAATAGTTAGGACTATAATTTACCACAATTCACAACTGTAATTAATTTTTTAATTGGTCCTTCGGAAATGAAACTGCCGACCGTGATTAATTTTTTAATTGGTCCTTCGAAAATAAAGCTGCCGAAAATTTTATTTATTTTTCACAGATATGGTCGACCATGAAGGAATTATCAGAGGGATAATTACAATGATTGAGTCAGCAATATAATAAAACTTATATTTGGTCCGATTTTTAGTTGTAGTTTTCTGTTTCGAAAAACTGCAAATTGAGTGATGTCTATGTAAGATTGATTTTTGAAAAAGTTTAAAACTTAAAAGTATAAGCTTCGATTTAGACCATTGGTGAAACTTTATTTTGAAAAAATAAAAGAATATTCTTATCATTTAAATAAAAATTAAGTAAATATATTTTTCTTCATTTATATAATCTTAAAACTAAAATATTTATTTAATATAACATAATTCTAACAATATTCATTTTGTGTAGCTTTATTTATATTTTATATTAAAAAATTAATCATTTTACATGACATCTAATATTTATTCAGACAAACACTTAGCTGATTTTCTCCTTCTAAAACCTCAAGTCATAAGTTATTTTCTCGAAACGTACAACACGACCAAACTAGTCCAAAGTAAAGAATAAGCAAGGTATTGCGTGCCACTAAATCGACAATATAGTCGTAAAGCCCAAAACCCCGATCCAAACACATGGACAAGCCCATTCCTAACAAACCCTACAACCGCCGATCAAAACACTAAGGACATGGTTGTCGATTGCATCCCCTACCACCAAAAGCACTCCGAATACAACCTTCCTGCCTTCACGTGGTCACACGCCAGGAACCACAGAGGAGGTGATGAAAGTTGCAAACATAAAAGGCTCCACCAGATAGTTGACGAGCCGACCTAAAGGGGGAAATAAAAAACCTTGATTGGGAGGAACCAATCCCAGAGATAGATCCACCTGCAAAACAAGTAAACCATGGGGCAATCCAAGGCATTGGTCAGGGGAAAAGTCGACCAAATCATTGCCACTCTGAGCCCTCGGCTAGATCCTTCCTAAAGAGTGTAATCCTTGCTCACAAGCCCCATTAATCTTCATCCAGAACAACCAAGGTCCATGCATCTCCTAATCATCTCCATTTTATGGATGAAACATGTGGAGGTAGATGGAGGATCGGAGAGAAGCAAGCGAGCGACAACATTGGTCCCCTCAAACACCTACTAGAAACATATCCACACGGATATGGGATCTGGTGATGCACGAAAGCATCTCCTCGTGGAGATTGGAAAAACATCACCATTAGGGTGGAAGAGGATCCAAAAAGGAGGAAACCAAACAAGAAAATCAAAGCTAGATGCAAGAAAAGGAGCAGAAAAACAACAGAAAATCAAAATACAAAAGATAGAGGGAAGGAGAGAGCGACAAAGGACATGAAAAGGCAAAGGAAAACGAGAGTCACCGCCTGTTCCAGAAGAAGTCGACGACAGCCCCGTGAAATTCAAAAATTGTGCCTTAGTGAGAAGGCATAAAAATGAGAGAGAAGATAGCCCCCCCCCCCCCCCCCCCCCCCCACACACACACACACGTAGAATTGATTGCTTGATCATGAATTGTATGTATATGTGTGCATACACAATGAACCGAAGAAAAATACTTATTAATCTAGTGTTGAGCTTTAAAATGAGATCGGTCATTCAAGGGCTTTAATTGAGTAAGTATATGATGACTAATTAACATGATTATACGTGTTTAAATGTAAGATGAGATAGTGTGGGTGCAATCAAAATGATGTGTAGGCACTTCTTCAAGCATGGTATTATAATAAGCGGTTAATCAAGTGAAGTAAAGATGACTAATACGGATTCACGTGTTATTTCTGAATAAGCTATTGAGATGAAACAATGTCGATTCATCCAAAGTGTTGCGTGACAGCTTCTTCAATCATACGCGACGATGTGTGCGTTAGAGAATAAAAAATGCTCTGTATAGACACCAGTGATACCATACAATCAATAATGTATCCATTAATAGATAGATCCCGACAAAAACATCAACCCATTGAAGAGCATAACACAAAGTTTGTGTTGAGTGAGGTACACACGAATTCATATATAAATCGATCTAATCAATACCAGAAACGAGAAAGCGAAAAAAAATATTCCAGCTCATCAATATTTAAACGCATCGATTCATTGACCGATCATACCACACGCACGAGAATTCAAAATTACTCCTGAATTTACCGATGTTCTTTAAGTTACAACCATCTGGGCTACGGAACAAGATATTTGGTTTGTAGAATTTGGGTTAAATTACAACCATTTGGGCTGTGAAGGCCAATCCAGGATTGTAAAGGAAAGCCACCGTCCAGTCCGAGTAATCCCAAGCTCGCCTAGGCGCCTACCACCGAATCCTTTCTCCTCCGGCGCCGACCGCCGTTAAACTCCTTCAATCCAGCAGTCTCTCTACGCCATGGCGACGGAGAACTTTATCTCAGATCTGTACCGGCCGCTAAGGGAATACCGTCACCGTTCCGCAAAGCGACGACGAGTCAGTCCACCACGTGCGAACTTTCCCCCCACGACGATCAGCAAGCTCGGAGAGGATCTCCTTGTAGAAATTCTGATTCGGCTCCCCAACCCTAGATTCGCCTGCCGGTGCAAACTCGTCTGCAAGCGGTGGACCTCCCTGATCTCCAGCCCTCGCTTCAACCGCCGCTTCGTTTCTCACCGCCAGACCACGAACCTGATCCACCCACCTATGCCGGACAATCCGTACGAGCTTCAATCGACCATCCTCAGCTTTCTCCCTCCAATGCCTCCCGGCGTTCGAGACATTCTCAGAGTTATGGATTGCAACCAAGACCTGGTTCTGTGCGGGTTTTGGGATCCAAATTCCGACAATGGGGAACTTTCCAGGTCGTACTTGGTCTGCAATCCGTTTACCAAGCAGTGGATGGCTCTTCCTTTAGCGCCCAGGAAGTCTGCGGCTTATGACTCGCAGGTTGCAAGGTTAGTTTGTGAACCCCGTATTTCTGTCGAGCTTGATCTAGGAGATGACCAAGCATTTGTTTATTCCGAGCATCGCTTTCGGGTGGTGTGTACATATCAAACCACTCCACCAAATGTGGCCATTAAGCTAGACGTGTTTTGTTCCGAGTCTGGAGAATGGACAAAGGAGGCTTTTGAATGGGATCGTTGTAGTGGAATGACAACGAAAGATGTAATTTCTTGCAATGGGGAGTTGTTTTTGTTCTACAATCGAAATGGTCCCGACGGCATGCACGCTCTGGTGGATGGATTTAATCCTTTTCGCCTTGATGTGCCTCCCACTCCAATAGATATTTCTGCCTTCCTTGTGTATACTCGGTTGTTTATTTCCAGCTCAAAAGGCGCGCTGCACGTAGTTGCAAAGGGACATGAAGCCATGCCTGTTCGTTTGAGCGTCTGGAGGCTGGCAGAAGACCGTAAATCTTGGAGGAAACAATGCGAGGGGTTGGTGAACAAGACATCAATGTGTTGTAACTATGAAGCTAGGGGCTGTTATTCATCGTTTCTGCATCCACACAAGCCGGAACTGGTTTTCTTCATTCCTGAGTATGCTCGTGCCGAGAATGCTTTATTGTGCTGTGATTTGGGGAGGGAAGAGGTACAGTTTTTCACTAAACTAGAATCGGAGCATGATGACATTCGTCTTCAGGTGTTCCAGCCTAGGGTATCTTGCTGGGCTACTCCAATTCCAAGGCACAAGGGGTTGCAAGGAAGTTATGATGAAAATAGCTTATGGGTTGAGAGCAGCGGGGAGGCCAGAACTCCCTTGTTCTACTCCCTCAATAATTGGTAATTACTTTCCCTTGCAACAATTTACTTCTTCTCTGCCTTTGCATGCCTGTTAAGTTAGGAAATCACTAATTGAGAAAAAAGAACGCCAGCAAGAAAGTTTTCCTGCAATCTCTGGTCCATAACTGGTTAAGGAGTGCAGTTTTGGGTTTGCCTAACTAGCTAACTACTTCCTCTCACGAAACACGTATTAAGCCGCACATACTTGTATCTCTTGTCATTTGCTTGAGTATTTTGTTTTGGTTGCGAACTCTTTGCCTGATCTTTTAGACTATACATCAGGGGGAAGTTGTTAATGATAAAGATGCACATGGACATGTGTGTGTTTCCTTCATTTTCTCTCTATTTACTGGTTTGTGTTCCTATATTTCATCTCATTTCTGCTGTGGCTGGTATATTGCTCCAACAGCTAGCTTCATTCGCTGCACTATGGTTTTGCTATTAGTCATTGATGCAGTGTTGCTGCAACTGACCCTAGCCGATCTGTCCGGCCGGTAAAATGGCAACCGGACGCCAACCTGGTCTGGATGAGCATTTTGGCAGCCTCCTGTTATCCGGCTGGTGAGAAACCGTTCGATCCGGACAAACTTGGCAGCCTGTTCAAAGCTCAGAACCAGCCGCGAATTGGACAACAAACCAAGAAATCATTATTATGATGATGGTTTAGTGTGTTCTACTTATAATAACCTATTTTTTGTTTACGGGTCATCAGTTTGTGAACAATATTTAGCGATTTAATATCATATAAAACATCGGTTCATACTTTGTTTTGGTTCCGTCAACATTGGCTTAATGTTATCTACATGTTTCCTCTTTTCAGCATTGATCAGGTATTGAAATCGTCAGTGTACAAGGATTATATAGAACGTGCATTGGCGGAGGCAACTCTGAACCTAGTGGCTGAAATCGTTCTGGGAAAGAGGAGCAGAATCGGCGAGTTTGCTTCTCGACGATGGTGGCTGCCTCGTTCTCCAGATTTTGACCATGAATTGGATATGCTGGAAGCTGGTTTAAAATCTCTTGGAGCTGGTATGGCCGTTATCCGCAAGCAGAGAGCGGAACTGAAACAGGCACTTCTGCGTGAAACGTCAGAGCTTCCCCATCCTCCTTCAGGTTTGTCCGTATAAAATTTCGAGATGAGTTGTCTTTCCTGTATCCTGAACAATACGCTAAAATACTATTTTAGTTTCAGGCCAAACCAGAGTGTTATCTATGTGAAATAACGGATTATGATTCTAATTATCATTATCCTTAATTTTGCAGGCCCTATCGAAAGTGTCTTCTGGAGGGCGCTACCTTACAGGGGACTAAAGCATATGTTAAGGGCGTGGTGGCGCAGTTGGTTGACAACTGCTTCTAGTAGCTAAAGAGCGATCCCGAGAGCGCTACCTTCAATACAGACTAGCTTCTTACTGATAAAATTTCAAAAACAAAGCTGACAAATTAGGATCAAGAATTGAGAACCAACTAACTAACTAACAAACAAGAAATTGAGTGATTCTAGGGTAAATTAACAAATGTATCGCTCCACTAAATATTTGCACAAATATACCCTTCTAATATTAAAACGTAAACTACAACGTTTACTCTCTCTTACTTTACCTTCTCATCTTTACTCTCCCCCTTCTCTCTAAAAACTCTTAGCTTCCTCTGCCTTCCATGGCTGCCGTCGGCTCCTTTTGGTGACCGGCGGCAGCCCATGCCCTTTCTTTTCCTTGCTTTTTTCTTGTTTTCATGTCGTCGTTTCTTGTGGCCTTGCTATAGGCTTTTTCATATTCGGATTTCAATCTCTCCAGCCGTTATGGCGTTTCAGATCTAGGATTTTCCTGTTCAAGGCTTGCTCGTTTGGGGGACCTGGTGTTAGCAGCTTGGAGTCTCGATCTGACCCTTGCGTTGGTTGGTCTTCCAGGTTGGTGGTCTCATCTCTTTTGATGAAGCCATTCTCATCTTTCCTTCTCCGACCTCCCCAGGATGTGGGTGTTGCTTGGTTGGTCGTCGGTTTGTGGAAGTGAGTCTTCTCCGGTTGTGGCGATGGAAATCGGTTCAGCGGTGGCCTTTGAACCTCTTCAGAACCCGATCTCTCTTCCTGGCCCCTCTGCCTTCTCAGCTTGGAGCATTCTGGTTCATATCCTTCTCCACCGCCATGTAATCTTCAATCCGAGATTCACTGTGATGGATGTCTTCGAGCAATCCCCAGGAGGCGGCACATGGCTTTGCTTTGCTCAACAGTCATGGATTTCGATATGATCAGACAAGCTGACCCTAATCTTGTTGTGTTTTGATTGATTGGTTGCAAGAGGGATTTGTGGTTCCTGTTTTGGTCCGTGTGTTTGGATCTTTTGTGTGATTGGTTTTCATTCTGTGCATTGGGTCGCCCTTGTTGCATCCTTTGAGCACAGTTTGTTAATCGGTGGTTCTGGGTTTCTCTCCTCTCACTGGATCCATTTCGTTGGTTCCTCGTGTCCTTCTTGTAATTGATTCAGTTGAAATGCAATAAAGATTCCTCCTTGTCAAAAAAAAAATATATATTAAAACGTAAGTTTCTGTACTGTCCAATTATATGTTAAGTGGCAGATAAAGAGGTTGTAAAATGATCTAATTATTTCTCATTTTCTTCCCTTGATCACTAGGGATCACTAGGGATGGCAACAAAACCCGAACCCACGGGTACCCACCCAACCCAACCTGGTTAACGCGGGTAAAACCCGTGTTGACGGGTTTTGGGCTTGGTTTGGGTTTAAACCCGCTACACTATCATCGGGTTGGGTTGGGTTTGGATTTAGGTAAATCCGCACCATGGGTACTTGGCCACACACATATTATTACTTTCTCGGTATATTTAATATTCTAAATAATATATCTTCCTTAAACAACTAATATTCTTTATGTTTGTGGAGACATGTATACTTTGTTCTTTCTAATTGTTTAGAATGAAGTTGATATTATGAAGTGGAGAGTGAAGAAACTTAGTTGACGAGGAAGAAACTTTCAATTAATCTTATTGTATATAGATGTTTATCTTTAATTTTGAACAATTTGTATTGATCATTTGCGGTTTGCTTGTATGCTCTAGATTGGTGTTTTTTGTATGAATAATTTGTATGAGAAAATTGATGTAACTTTTATTTTGAAAGAAACTTGTTATTGTAAATTTTTTACCACAAAAACCCACGGGTACCCATGAACCCGTGGATACCCAGCGGGTTGGGTTTGAGTTTTTCAAACCCAGCGGGTTTTACCCCGGGTTTTTGTGGCGGATAAACCCATAGGTTTGGGTTTGACAAAACCCGCCCCAACCCGCCCCATTGCCATCCCTAGTCACTGAGATTACAAAAAACGTTCATGTTTGGTCACTGAAAATAATTAAATCCAATCTTGGTCACTCAAATAAGTTAAACGGTTCAAATTTGGTCACTCTCCGTTACCTTCCGTTAGTTTTTGTTAAGCTAGACGTGTTTTGTTCAGAGTCTGGAGAATGGACAAAGGAGGCTTTTGAATGGGATCGTTGTAGTGGAATGGCAACGAAAGGTGTAATTTCTTGCAATGGGGAGTTGTTTTTGTTCTACAATCGAAATGGTCCCGACGGCATGCACACTCTGGTGGATGGATTTAATCCTTTTCGCCTTGATGTGCCTCCCACTCCAATAGATATTTCTGCCTTCCTTGTGTATCCTCGGTGGTCTATTTCCAGCTCACAAGGCGTTGCACGTAGTTGCAAAGGAACATGAAGCCATGCCTGCTCGTTTGAGCGTCTGGAGGCTGGCAGAAGACCGTAAATCTTGGAAGAAACAATGCGAGGGGTTGGTGTCAGTGGCGGATACATGTAGCTTTAGGGATGTCCCGTGACACCCCTAAAATTTGGTTGAACGATTATTCAACTCTCAGTAGTAGTTTCGTATGGTTTAAAAAAATATAATTGGTAATTCGGGACACCTCTAAAATTTGAAAAAACGATTATCATACCTTTAGTAGAAGTTTGTATATTAAAAAAATATATGCGATAGTATGTGTTATTCAAACCTATGACACTTATTATTAAACATATTCTCAATGAGGTTGCAACTCATTTGTTGTTTAATTTTAAACACTATATATATGCAGTGGCGGATCCAGAAAATTTTTATAGGAGTGTCCTATTCCAAAAATTAAATTTAATTAAAAATTAAATTTAATAATTCATAAATCAAAAAAATATCCGACTAGTGCAAATATATACCATATTAGACAATAATTTCCGAACTAATCGCATATTCGATTTCTAACCTTGTTCATGATGTAACTCAAACTTAAAAGACTCTTTCAACTCTTGTACTATACCTATAAAATCAATTCAAATTAAGGATATCTGGAATGAGTTTACTTGTTGAGTTTTGAAAATAATTGGGAATAAAGAATAGTGTTTTTACTATAACATAGTGTTTAAAATAAAACAACAAATGAGTTGCAACCTAGAGAATATGTTTAATAATAGCAGTGTCCTAGATTTGAATAACACAGAGTACTACTTATATATTTTTAATCACACGCAAACTACTAACGAGGACCAGGGGCGTAGCCAGGATTTTGTCGAGGGTGGGTCCATTTAGAAAAAAATACGATAAAATAGTTTTGTTTGCGTTTTAAATAATTCATGATATACTTTTGTATTTACAAAAATTTGGTAAATTAATTATAGGTCGAAACTCTCAAGAATATCACTCTATATATCAACCAATTATTAATAATTTAGTTAGACACTTGATTTTGAATGGTGTTCTTCGTCAAGACCATTTAGTACCAATAACTCAAGTTTTTGTGAAAGATTTAATAATAGACTTATATTATTTAACAATGTTTTCCGTCAAGACCAGTTATTACCACTTTCCCGCTAACGAAAACCAACTAATAAGTGCTTAAATTTTTCGCAAATCCGAATTTCATGTGTTTTACATAAGGGGTCGCCAAAATTCGAACACATGATCTCTCGATCAACCATTCTTAATTAGAAGTGTCTTAAATTTCATTCTCAATTAAACATTATACTATTTTACTCATTTTTGTCCTTAGGAGCCACCCGTTACACTCTCTCTACCCCTGATTGAAATATAATTATTTTTATAAATTAGCTATGATTTGGTGAAAATTTGTTCGAGATATTAAACAAATACATCTTTAATTTTGGGTGGATCATATGCACCATTGTCATTTGTACATAACTCGTTATAAAAACATTGTATATGTCAATACACAACTTATATCAGTGATCAAATATTTGAAAGATCAACTATTCTCATTTCAATACGTGTTATTTTTCATGCCCGATTTACTATTATACCTAATTTATAATTTTTCCTCCCGAACCAGGGTGGGTCCCGGGACCCACCCTCTAACCTTCTCCCTCCGCCCCTGACGAGGACAGGATAATCGTTTTTCATAATTTAAGGTAGGGGTGGGCGTTCGGTCGGTTCGGTTTGAACCGAACCGAAACAGAGCATACCGGGTCCCCGAAACTGCCTGGAAGCCAAACCGAGTTCGAACCAAAATTTAATTCAGTTCGGTGCACCCGAACCGAGTTAAATATTGGTTCGGTTCGATTTTAACACACAAACCGAAGCTTTATAAACCAACTCTCTCTCTCTCCCAGTCCCACATACCCTAACCCTCGCCGTTTCCCCATTTCAATCAAATCTCTCTCTTCCTCTCTCTCTCTCTCTCTCTCTCTCTCTCTCTCTCTCCCCCTTCCAACAAACGCAGTCGATGCAGAGAAGAAAGGAGCGGTGCTGCGATGGTGGTATCTCCTCCGTCTCCCGACTCAGCGGCGAGCAGAAAGCAGCGGTGCTGCGGTGGTATCTTTTCCCTCTGGCGACTCAACGGCAACGGCAATTGATGCGGAAGTCAGAACACAATGCGGCGATAGGCGAGCACGGCGATTGAATGTTTGAGGTCAGTATGAGTGTAGATCTAAGCATGCATGTCATTTTTCTGTTTGATTTTCACCTTCGAGTTTCAATAGCATCATCGCTCTTTTCGATTCAGGAGAAGAAAGCTTCGATTTTGGGGAAGAAAGCTTTAATTTTCAATATTGATTTTGATGCATTTGGGGTTTTATGTTTTGAATTTGGGTTTCTGGTCTCAGGGAGGAGAAGAGATCGGAGAGAGGGGAAATGGCATCGACCCGTAGAGGAGAAGTTTGCGGCAAGGCCAAGAGATGATGGAAGGATTCGGTGGACGGCGATGATGCTTGACGGTCGTTGGCGGCGGTGATGCTTGACGGCGGTGATGCTTGGGTTTTTTTATCTTCTTTGTTAGGTTTAGGTTAGCAGTATGTATGAAAGAGTTGTGGGCTTGAGGGATTTATTTTTGGGTTCTGTTTGATTTGGGCTGTGAGAATTGGGCTTAAAGTGAGAGCTTGAGTAGTCAGTTGGGTTGTAAGATTGGGTTTAATTTTTTGTTCGGTTGATCGGTCGGTTGTTCAGAATTCGGTTTCGGTCTGTATACCCCTGGTTCCCGAAATAAAGGGTTTTGGCTTCCGAATTCCGAACCGAACAACACTAATTCGGTTTCGGGTTTACCGAACCGGATGCCCACCCCTAATTTAAGGGTGTCCCGAATCATCAATTATAATTTTTTTTTATCCATATGAAATTACTACCGGGAGTTGGATAATCATTTTTCCAAATTTTAGGGGTGTCCCGGGACACCCCTGAAGGTCCATGTATCCGCCACTGTATATATGTAATATAAAAAATGTTATACGGCAAGTGTTAATTGTAAACATATTTCCAACTATTTCAAAACCTAATAATTAAACTAATTATAGGCTACCCTCAATTAGAATTAATTTTATGGATACAAGGCAAGTGATGAAAGACTCTTTTCAACTTTGAGTTACATTAAGAATAAGGTTAGAAATCAAATATGCGATCAGTTCGTGAATTATTGTCTAGTAGCATATTTGTTGAGTAGTGTAGAGAACAGAGTGTAGCTGAAGACCACCAGGTTCATTCACAGGGGATCATTCACACAATAGGATCATTCAGAGCGGGATCATTCACAATAGGAGCGGGATCATTCACAATATGAACTGGATCTTTCACGGAAAGCTCTTTCAGATCTGGATCCTTCACGGCGTGCTGTTTCAGAGATGGATCCTCCACGACGAGCTATTTTAGAGCTTGTTCCTTGACGGTAGGCTCTTTCAGAGCTTGATCTTTCACGACAAGCTCTGAAGGAGCCCACCGTGAAGGATCCAGCTCTAAAACAGCTCGCCGTGGAGGATCCATCTCTGAAACCCTAAAGATTGAGCTTCAAGTTCACTCAAGAATCGTCATGCCTTACTCTAATTATAAGCTCATGCATAGACCCCTAGGATGCAAACATTATTATATTGTTTTACTATTTCGAGCGTCGCAAAGTAGAAATTGAGAGATTCAGATCACTCTTGCTCATAAATAAGAACTTCTTATATATAGCTCTTTAATATTTGACTCATAAGATCACTTTGTGTTAACTTAAGCCACATTTGATTTCTCTAATCCACATGTGTAACGGAAAATAGACAAAGATCATGCCAAAACATAACAGAAAACCTACCTTTTAGTAGAGCTTAAACCTTGCACTAAAATCAATAGGAAAAATGTGCTATTATTATACTATTTTATATTTATGTATTCTATTAAAAGAGAGGTTTTATGTAACTGTGATGAATAGTGAGTGTATATAAAAAAGTTCCTTTATTTCTTAATTTTTATAATTTTATTATTATATTATACTATTAACTGAAACTTAAGGGACTGATTTTTTTACTGTATGTTCCTTTTATTTTAGTGTTTTTAATGTCATTTTCTCTTTTCTTTCCTCCAATATGTCTATAATATCTTTCTCACCTTTTTACATAAAGGTTACAATCCCTTTCATTCTCTTTTTCTTTTCTCTTCCCCTCTCTATCACACAAATAAGAAAAAAAGACCAATTAAAAGAGAGGGGGTTTTGTGTTGACTCTAATGAATAGTGAGTATCACATCAATAAAACTTTTTTTATTTACTTTCTCTTTATAATTTTATTATTATACTATACTACTAAGTGAAACTTAAGAGACTTATTGTTCTATTGTATTTTTCTTTTATTTCAATATTTTTTAACGAATTAACGCTCATTTTCCCATCCATTTCATCCAATGTGTTTATCATCGAGATAATGTATACAACAACTTAAGAACAATACGCGCACAAAGTTGTATGAAAGAGAGAGAGAGCGTGACACATATAATTCTGTGAGATTATGCCTTCGGTTGCGCGGTAAGTGGATTCTCTTAAGACCGACATGATGTAACCTAGATCATAACATGGTTATGAGTCAAAGGAACTCTAAGAGTTAGTCTATTTTCTCTTAGGATAGTTTGGATTTCACCAAGAATTTGTAGTATGATTTGGATGAACACATATTCTCATTATTTTTGGATGAATATTTTTTTAAGAATAATATGAATATGTTGATTGGTGGAACTATATATTTCACTTCAATCGCGGTAAATGAATTTAAAATATTTTATCATTTGAATTGACAGCGGTTAAAAATAAATCATATGAAAAACTTCTAACTCTCCAATATTTATGTTTTCATCATAATTTATTTGATATAATGTGAGATTTTTAAATTTTTCCGTTGCAAATCCAAAACTACTATAGGTAAACTATAAAGATAGTGTGTATTTGTAAGATGGATGAGTGTGCGAAATAGGAAATGTTCAATGCATAATCGAGAGTTATGCACCTAATATAAAGTGGAGAATTATAAAACAATTGTCAATGATACTTGTAAGGTATAAGTTCTTTTTTCAAGTTCTTTTTCCCCATTGCATATATCACCGACTAAGATAACTACATATACACTATGTTTGTATATATCACTAACTTAGTCCCCGATATAATTGCAACACAAAATCTATTCCTACGTACAAATTTTGTGATATAAATTATTTTAAAAAGAAACGTTTAACCTTACGAAGTCGTACACTCCAATCAATAATCTTAGTATGAAAAAAGATATTTTTGTATAACGTTCAATAGAGTATCAAAATCCCCCAATAGCATGAACAAAAGATAAAACGTGCCACCCAAGACATTTCCGGCTATAACAAAATAAAAAATGCAAAAGATTAAATGGAAATATGCAGTAAGATGTGGTAAGTTTCAGCCATTACACAACGTAAATATATGCTTGTGCAACGCACAATATGCTACACCGAATTATTTTACATATATATTTTATTTTTCTTTATATTTATCCAGTCTCTATCCTTCTAAGGTTTCTATCTTTTTCTGCCTAATTATGTGGCTGCTGGTATTTGAACCACAATTTGTTGTATGCATTTTTTTATGGGATGTTTTTCTAAACTGTATTCCCCAATTAATCTGTGAGTATCATGTATGAATTACTTTTTGACAACTTTGATTGCATCAATGATATTATGAAATTGTGTTTTGTGTATGGTCTAAATTCTGAATTTAATTTGGCGATTATTAAATTTTCTTTAATTGTAGAGTGAGTTATTTTAAGGACATTCATGAGGTTAATAAAATTCTTGTGATTGGTGTGATTGTTCCATTTTCTGATATTTTTAACAATTTCAGAAGACGGATCATATTTTCTGATATTTTTAACAATTTCAGGACACGGATTGGATACGCGGGTTGTTTTTCATTCTTACCAGCCCGTTTCGTGAGCTATATAATCGGGCCGTATGGCCATCATGACAAATCCTAGATTTTGATTTCGTTTCCTCTGTGCTAAGAGGAGGCTACAGGCTCTGTTGAGGTTCGTAGCTTATCTCTGATCTGATCTCCATTTTCTTCATTCTCTGGCTCATATATCTGACTTTCTGTAGTTTCCATCCTTTTCAGATCATCTACGGAGATTAGGTTACCTAGCTTGCGAGAGGTTCGACGAACGAACAACAAGGTCAAGGTTCTCCTCTTCTCTCCTTCTTTCTCTCTTTCAAGCACGCGAGATCTATCTTAGTTTTAATCGATTTCGATTTCTGCTTTCCTATACGGCCCGATTCCGCATTCCTTCTTTCTCGCATTCTTATACTGGATCTCCTTCTTGTTTTCATCGTTTTCATTCCCAAAACCCTAGGCCAATTATGTTGTCCGATTCTACATTCCTTCTTTATCGCATTCTTATATTGGATCTCTCTCTGGTTTGGATGTAATGGAACGTTACTTGGCCTTACATTTAATTTTTAAGAACCATGATTGAAGTATGTTATTATGACCTTACAATCCCTTTTCCTCTTAGGTTTATGTTTGATTATATAATTTTGTAATAATTCTCAGATGTTATTGATCGTCAATTAACATTAGAATTTCTTGTTGACAACCTTCAGCTTGATATTATCAACTATCTGAGTTTAATTTGGCGGTATTACATTGTTTGATTTCTAGCATACCTGAGGTTAATGGAATTATCCAGACCATTTTGAAAGTGAAGAATCTGAGGATGAAATATCAGGGTATGCGCCTGAGGCATTCTACCCTTGTGGACCTCCTCAAATCCTCTGCAAGCGAAGACGAAGCAGACACAACTCAACATGAGATCGACCTCATCTCTGAAGATATCTTGACGGTCGAGCATGAGTTTCACCAAGAATTTGTAGTATGATTTGGATGAACACATTTTCTCATTATTTTTGGATGAATATTTTTTTAAGAATAATATGAATATGTTGATTGGTAGAACTATATTTAACTTCAATCGCGGTAAATGAATTTAAAATATTTTATCATTTGAATTGACAACGGTTAAAAATAAATCATATGAAAAACTTCTAACTCTCCAATATTTATGTTTTCATCATAATTTATTTGATATAATGTGAGATTTTTAAATTTTGCCGTTGCAAATCCAAAACTACTATAGGTAAACTATAAAGATAGTGTGTATTTGTAAGATGGATGAGTGTGCGAAATAGGAAATGTTCAATGCATAATCGAGAGTTATGCACCTAATACAAAGTGGAGAATTATAAAAACAATTGTCAATGATACTTGTAAGGTATAAGTTCTTTTTTCAAGTTCTTTTTCCCCATAGCATATATCACCGACTAAGATAACTACATATACACCATGTTTGTATATATCACTAACTTAGTCCCTGATACAATTGCAACACAAAATCTATTCCTACCTACAAATTTTGTGATATAAATTATTTTAAAAAGACACGTTTAACCTTACGAAGTCGTACACTCCAATCAATAATCTTAGTATGAAAAAAGAGATTTTTGTATAACGTTCAATAGAGTATCAAAATCCCCCAATAACATGTACAAAAAATAAAACGTGCCACCCAAGACATTTCCGGCTATGACAAAATGAAATATGAAAAAGATTAAATGGAAATATGCAGTAAGATGTGGTAAGTTTCAGCCGTTACACAACGTAAATATATGCTTGTGCAACGCACAATATGCTACAGCGAATTATTTTACATATATATTTTATTTTTCTTTATATTTATCCCGTCTCTATCCTTCTTCGGTTTCTATCTTTTTCTGCCTAATTATGTGACTGCTGGTATTTGAACCACAATTTGTTGTATGCATTTTTTTATGGGATGTTTTTCTAAACTGTATTCCCCAATTAATCTGTGAGTATCATGTATGAATTACTTTTTGACAACCTTGATTGCATCAATGATATTATGAAATTGTGTTTTGTGTATGGTCTAAATTCTGAATTTAATTTGGTGATTATTAAATTTTCTTTAATTGCAGAGTGAGTGATTTTAAGGACATTCATGAGGTTAATAAAATTCTTGTGATTGGTGTGATTGTTGAAACTCTGAAACTAAACTCTGAAGGTATGCGTTATAGGATTTCATACCTGCAGATTGTTGAAGAGGAGCTACATAAGTTCTTATGATCCTTTCATTGTCAAGTATATGCAGTAGCCCTTTGTTGTTCCTGGTGAGGAGCCTGCGGGCAAGGGGCCTGTTGCCAATGCGCTTAGGGGCAAGGCGCCTGCTGGCAAGGGTAATGAAAACAAATTTAACATGAACTCAAAATCGTTAAGCTCCAAATGTTTTGGTCTCCCCCTCTTCTGGATTATTGTATGCTATACTCACTTCATTTATTTCAAGCACCTCTGCGTATTTTATTTGACTTCAACAATCCCTTTACCCCAGTATGAATTTTCAGCATCTCTTCCTATTTGATTTGAAATTGACTGTTGAATCAGGTTTAGAGATGAAAGAGTTTATAAGTAGTGGAGGTTCGAAGCACTGCGAGCTTTAAGGTTTGCATCATGTCTTCTCATCTCCTTTCTCCACTCTCCATTTTCATTCTTTCTCTCATTCATATATGCGAACTAGTTGTGTATACCTGCCCATTGGGCGGCGAGTACCATTTGTCTTTCTATTATATGTTCAATGTTATCAAATTCCTACTTTTCATATTTATTTATTCTTGTTATCTATTATTTGTGTTTCATGTGATATGAGGGACCCTACGACGAGTATAACTTAAAAATGAATAAAGTTATCCGACGAGTATAACTTGTTACTATAAAATGATAATTAATTTTATTTTAATGTAATTAATAACTTAAAAATGATAAAATGACATAAAAAATTGTGTGGCTTTCTTTGTCATAGGTGGATTTTTTTTCCTCAAACAATAAAAATAGAAAATAAAGGAATTGAATGACGTACGTAATTGAATGACATAGGAAAAATGAAAAAAAGAATGAAATTGGAATAGCATATTTAAGCCATATAACCATTATTCAGTTTTTAAAAGGATATAAAAAATTGGATGATCATATTTATTCCGCTTGTTTTGTCGAATCTGTTTGATTGTTCTTGTCTAATGCTATTTGCTGTTATTTCGATTCTATTTTCGTTCATTCACGACCTATGTATCTCTTCGTGTTTATTGTCTTCGATTCCTTTGACTTTTTGGTATCCGTCTCAATAGAGTAGGGTTGTAGAGGTTTATTTTTGTTGCTTTGAATGCTTTGTAGATCCGAAATTGTGAGCTTAACCTATGTGCTATGAATTGGTTTGATTGCAACATGATATTATGAAGATATGTTTTGTACAAGGTCTAAAATTTGTGTTTAATTTGGTTGTTATGAATTTTGTTTGATTGCAGCATGAGTGACTTTAATGATATTCCTTCGGTTTTGGATATTCTTACAAGGTCTAAAAAATAAATTACAAAATTTTATACGTGGTAGTTTTTGTTGTGTAATGTACAAAAGTCAAACATGAAATAAAAATAGAATGTTATGTGTTGTACCTTTTTTTTTACATGAGTATTAATCTTGTTGTGATTAATTGCATCAAAGCCATTTTATTCTATTGGTTAAACAACTAAAATGATTATAGTTTGAGCACCTAGGTTGCATGGTTAAATCTTAGTTTTGGTGGTTGATATACATGTTTTGTCAATTCTGTATGATTGTTCTTGTCTAGTTCTATTTGTTGTCAGTTCGATTCTGTCTTTGTTCATTTCTAACCTGTGTACCTCTTCATGTTTATTTTCTTAGATTCCTTTGATTTTTTGGTATCTGTTTCAATGGAGTAGGGTTGCAGAATTTTTCGTTGCTTTGAATGCTTTTGAATCCGAAATTGTGAGCTTAACCTGTGTGCTATGAATTGGTTTGATTGCAACATGATATTATGAAGCTAAGTTTTATACAGGGTCTAAATTTTGAGTTTATTTTCGTTGTTATGAATTTTGTTTGATTGCCTGAGCCTCAAAAAGTGAGGAGTTGGTTAAGTTTTAAGTGTTGGGCTCTCTTATCCGGTCCCAAACGATTCTTTACCTCAAATGTAAACCCGAATATGAGATTATATTGTTTGCTATCCGATTTCGGTCCGGTTCGAATCCAAGTTACACGATGTGATTTCGGATAAAATCAAAAAGCCCGGACCAGCTAGCCAGCCCTAGTGACGGGTTGTGACGATCGCAGGTATACCACCATTTTCGACGACACAACCAATCGAATATACTTCTCCTTCTTCTTTTCCCTTTTTTGTAAGACACGTAGAATCCAAACAATCACGAAGACCAGCAGTCAAACTAAACCAGGCGGCGACCAACAATGCAAGTACAGTGGCGGTTTATGCATTGGATCGCCAATGCTTCCGCCGAACGGCTCGTACTATAAATATAACAGATAAAATGTCATCATGCAGATATATGCAATTAACAACTAGCTCATAAACAAAAACAAAAACAAAAATGACGAGCTCCTCCTCATTAGGGAAGAAAACGGCGGCGGTTTCAGTACTAATAGTCCTCGTCATCATCATGTCGCCGGCCGGCATTCGTCCCACGTCGGCGCAAGAGATGAGCCACGTCTGCAACGCCAGGGAGTTCGACCCCGAGGATCACCGGCGGGTCTGTGCGTACCATCTGTTGGATAATTTGCTCGGATGGACGGATCCGCTGCCGGTGGGCGAATTCTACGACGATTACGACTGCGATTGGGGCAAGAACACAGTCTACGGTTACAGGATGAGAGAGAACGGCACGGACGCGGCTCTGTGCCTCGTTGCGGCCAAGAATATCCTCCAGAAGAAGCAGTGCGTTAACCGCATCGGAGGTCGGGCGTGGGGCGAAGGCTGTTACATGAGGTTCGAGATTTACCCCATCGTAATTGAGAAGAACTAATACGCGTCGTCGTCGTACGCTAGCCTCAACCATATATATATATATATGCGTGTGTTATATCTGGGAATAATATGGAAACCGGCCTGTATGTTTTTTTTTTTCCTTCCTTTTCTTGTTCGAAAATAAATGTGGTGCGCGCGACGTGGTATAACGCGCGTGCGTGGGATGTGAAAGGATTTATAAAATAAATAAAACTACTCTAATTTCCGGGTTGTCTCGTCAATAGATTTTGTTTGTGTTTTATTTTGAGATCGATTTGATTGCTTTTATAGTGTGCGATTTTTTTTTTTATCGGTGAATGGACGTTTTATTTTTGGGTCGTAACTCTGCGAGTGATATAGACACCGAATTTGTTCGGAATATGGGTTATATGATTTTGTGAAACCCTAAATATATAGCATAGGGACCGAAGTAAAGTTTTCTTCTCCCAAGTAACGTTCTCTCACAGACTTGGTCGCAAAACTCAATTGTCCTCTCAATGAAAACGGCGCATAGTTTTCCTATTGCAGCAGTAGTCTTTGTTGTACGCGCACATGAGAGAGTTCTCCTATGGAATAATGCATTGGTTGATGACTTGACTTGGCTAGTTTATCAAACTACAGAATCGACCCGCGATTTGGGGTAAGACCATAAACTAGGGCTGGCTATTTGGTCCTGGACTGTTTGGTTTTACCCGAAACCGAACCGTATAACCCGGACTGGGACCAGATAGCAAACAATACAATCTCATATTCGGGCTTAGATTTGAGGTAAAAAATAGGATAAAGACCGGATAAGAGACCCCAACACCTAAAATCAAGATAAAATCGGGACCGGATCGGGTCAAAATCGGACCGGATCAAGACCGGACTGAATCCAATCCAATCTTTGGTCCTTATATTCCCGACCAGGACCGGATCAATTTGGTCCAATTTAACCGGACCAGACCAGACCGGACCGTATAGCCACCCCTACCATAATCGACGACATGTCTGATGCGTTGGAAAAAGGTGCAAAGAAGTATAGGAGAAGGATGGATAGTTAATATGCATGCAATTAATTCAACAACATCGAGAAGTGGCAAAATACAATACGATCCCTAATCTAGTAATTATGGACAATATGAGTACAGGACTAGGAATCGAAATAATTAACAGCATCAATGGCCGGGAAGAGCTTCAAGAAGTATATATTGTGCGAGCTTTTCAGTTTACATATTATCACTACACATGGAGACTGAAGAGACCAGAGAGGTTGATGACTACACAGACCCACACGTACGTTATTACGTTGCATGCATGCATGGACGTGCAAACCTTCTTCACGGAACTTAATTACTCCCTCCTCTTGGGCTCGAACGAGGGAGCCCGTTTACCCAACTCGGCCCATTATCATTGCTGCTTGGCTGCTGGTCTCTAGCTACCCAGAGGTATTCTCTTCTTGATATTCCCACCAGTAGTGATGGCAATGGGTCTGGGCGGGGCGGGTCGACCCACTTTTACATGTTATTTGAAAAAAAATACACACAAAATTTTACATTTCACGATAAAATCAAGGGGAAAAGACTTCATGGATGAATAATAGTGATAATATAATGGGTAATTGAGTATATCTAGTTGAAAGATCAAGTCTAACTATTTGAAGAAAAGCCAAAATAGGATATATATGAATGGATGGCGTAAAAATTGACCTAGAACGAGCTAGGAATGAGACGGGTAGGAAGTTGATACCCATACCCCGCCCCACGCTACTGCGAGTCGGCTAATACCCGCGATGATAATACCCGACGGGGCGTGTTCAAATTGCCATCCCTACCCAGCAAATTGGCGACACAACCAATAGAATATTCTTCTTCTTTCCTCGTAAAATCCAAACAATCACGAAGACCAGTCAAACTAAAGAAGACATACATAGTACTTATAGACAGCTAGCTAGCTAGGTAAGTGCTGTTCCGATTTATTCTTTGGATCATGAATGTTTTGCCGAACGGAACTTAGTATAAATGGAAACGTACGTACAAGCAGCAGGAGCTATAGCAAGCTAGCTAGCGCATAAAAGAAAAAGAAAAATGACGAGGAGTCCATCATTAGGGAAGAAATTATTATATAATATCAAGGTGCCGGCAGCCGCCGTGACGGCGGCGGTTTTGCTGCTCGTCACAATATCGCTCGGACGAATTACAACTGCGCAGGACATGAACTTTCTGTGCAACCCTGTTAGGTACGCGCTCGGGGATCGCCGGCGTCCTTGTGTGTACAGCCTGCTCACTCTCATGTATCAATTATCGGACCCGCCGGCGCCGGGAGAATGGTACGGCTCCTTTGACTGCGACGGCGGCCGCTATACTTTGTACGGTTACAGGCGGGCGGACAAGGGCGCGGACGGGGGCGCGGCGGGGCTCGAGTGCCTTCGCAAGGCCAGGGATATCCTCCGGACGGGGAAGTGCGCCGGACGGATGGGAGGTCGGGCGGTGGGAGAAGGCTGCTACATGAGGCACGAGGCTTACCCTTTTACAGAAGGATAAATAATCGATCAAACTATACATACTACGTACGTGCGGTATTTTATTTTCGAGATTTTATTTTGAATAAATGGGGGGAAATCGATCAAATCCGTACGTCTGTGTCGATCAAAGTGGAAAAGGTGTTGTTTTGTTTATTTTCAATTCTGTCGTTAAGAGTTTGTGTTTAATTTGTTTCAAGTGAGTCTTTGTGAGTTGTCAAAGGTTGTTGTTTGTTGCTGAGATTTAATTTGCAGCTGGATTTTGTTGATCCAGCTAGCTAGCTGCTGATTTGTGAGTGAGTGAGTGAGTGATTAGCGGTGGTGAAGTCGAGTTCGTGGCTGAATCACATGAATTGACAACGATTAAAAATAAATCACATTGAAAGCCTTCTCACTATCCAGAAGTTATGCTTCCATCGTAATTTCTTTTATAGAATTTGAGATTTAATTTTTGTTATTGCAAATACAAAACTATGTACACATTAAACTATAAAGAGTTAAAGACAGTGTGTATTTGTAAGACGGACAAGTGTGCAGAATAGGAAACTAGGAAAGGTTTCAATGCATAATCGAGGGTTCTCCACCCAATATCGAGTGGAGAATTATAAAGCCAATTGTCAATGATACTCGTAAGGGTATAAGTTATTTTTCCTCAATCGTATATCACTGACTGCACTGTGTCTGCTTGTATCACTAACTTACTCCCTGATATAATTGTAGCACAAAATCTATTCCTACCTACAATTTATATCACAATTTTTTTTGAAAAGGACATGTTTAACCTTACGAAGTAGTACACTCTAATCAATAATCTTAGTATAAGAAAAAGATACTTTCTTGAGAAGCGTATCAGATTCCCCCAATAACAAGGACAAAAAATAAACATCTCACCCAAGACATCTCCGGGTATAGCAAAATGAAAAATACAAAACATTAAGTGGAAATATACAGTATGATGCGGTAAGTTTACGTCATTACACATCATAAATATATGATTGTGCAACACACAATCTGTTACAACTAATTATTTTACATATATTTTTTTGCTTTCTTTTTCTTTATATTTATCTAGTCCCTAGTTGGTTTAATTTTGTCTTTCCATTGCTCTCGCTTTTAGCATGCACCCAATCAAATAATGCAATTATTCTATTAATTTACAACAGATTGGTCCTTTGCTTCTTCTCGTATCTGCAAAGTGTTAAGCTCAATTATTTTGACCGCTTTATCCAAAATCCTTAACCCAAAATCCAGATTTACATTATTTGTGGCTTCTAATTAGATGCAAATGTTTCAAATTCTGACGAATTACGGCCGGTTGTAAATTGCATAATTATAAACCCAACAGGGGCATCGATCGTAGGCCCTCAGATTCTCAAATTCGTACTGTTGGGGGTGTTACTAAATACTCCACGCGCGGACTAAATAAGGGCGCGCTCAATCGGTAACGTGCTCCGGACGAACACCACTACGAAGTATTTAAAGACATGAAACTCCCCATTGAAGGGGGCCTTCTCTCTCTTCTCACTTTCTACTTTCTATTATCTCTCTACACTTCATCTCTCTATCTATTCTCTCAACTCTCTCCACAAAGATACACTGACTTGCTCGTCGGAGCTTAATCCGGGGGGCAACCCCGGCTCTTTCACAGGTTCTCTCCCTCCCGACGAGATCAGACGAACGGATGACGAGTCAACCCACACCAACAAACATTATTGTTCCTGCCACGAGCTAGTTGGCACAAACAATTGGCGCCCACCGTGGGGCAGATTCAACAACTTTCTTCGTCTGATCTCCGAAGGACGAGGGGCGATGGAGACGGTGATCGCACAAATACCTCTGTGAGAAAGAAAAAGGCTTCCTTACCCAGCATCCACTACCGGCGACAACAACGTAACAAGTCAATATTTGTTCTTCCTCCTACTCATTCCGCTAGAAACCTCTCCTTAATGGCACCAACTTCACCAAAGGTTGAGCAAGTCAGTGTAATCATGGAGGCTTCTCCTATAAAAAAGGAGGGGGGGGGGGGGGTTACCACTACTTTCTCCTTGTGTCAGAAAAAGAAAGGCAAGTGGGTGCAAGGCTGGTGAGTGGATATTAAAAAAAAAAAAAACAGTTTGCTACCCTCCACCCTCAGCCCGCGCAGATCCTCATCGCGCCCGACCCGAGTCAAACATCACAGGCCACTGCCGCACATCCGGCCCGCCTCATCCAGGCCCGCGCCTATGTTGCGGCCCAACAACTCGCGCGGAAGCATCTCGCGGCCCACTTCGCCAATCCTCACAACACTCAAAAAATACTGCTTCCGCCGCGATTTGAACCCGCGCCCCTCTTCCGCCAGACAAGCAACATCACCAGCAGGCTACATGCGCGCTTGGTGATCCAACTCCGCGCTCAAACATATAAAGTCTGTTTCCCGCGCCACATAAGCCCGCATCACCAGGCGCGACCCACCAGCCCGCGCCGCGCACTCCACCAGCCCGCGTCGCACCAGACCCAATCCTCCATGCGGGCTCGCGTCACGCATCCAAGACGCGCCACATCAAAAATATTATTGTCGCCGCGAGGACTTGAACCCGCGCCATCACTCCATCTCACAAGCGCTACTGCCAGTAGGCTACATACAAGCCTTCTGCTTCAATGGCGCAGCGTCTGGCTTTTAACAACTCTTCGCGCCGCTTCGCACAAGTCAACCTCCACCTGACCTCCAGTCCTCCACTCCGCGTCAGGCCCAACTCGCGCCCCGTCCGACTCACTCGCGCCACCCGGCCCACCTTCCGCCTCAATACCCACTCGCGGCCCGCTCCACCCTTCAGCTCGCGCCACCCGGCCCACCTTCCGCCTCAAACCCACTCGCGGCCCGCTCCACCCTTCAGTTGGCGTCACCCGGCCCACTCGCGCCAGATGGGCCCACCACCGCTCAGTCGTGCGCCACCCGGCCCACCTTCCGCCTCAAACCCACTCGCGGCCCGCTCCACCCGGCCCACTCGCGCCAGATGGGCCCACCACCGCTCAGTCGTGCGCGAGGCACCCAAAAATGATGAATGGTAGACAGGCGTCGAACCGCTGACCAACCATTCGCGTACAAGCAAACGGAACCAGTGGACTACGTGACAATTGTTGTCAAATAAGCGCGGAAGGTTTATTTTACCTTTTTGCTCGCGCTGCTCCTCCAACTCGCGGCCCACTCACCAAAGATGGGCAATCCACAACTCGACAACAGGCCAGCGGAACATGGTCCGCAAAGCCTGCAAACAGGCGCTGAGACCACCAAAACGAAAATGTCGCCGCCAAGAGGAATTGAACCCGCGTTCACTCCTCAACCAGACAAGCCATATCACCAACAGACTACAGATGCGCCTTGTGATTCTTTGGCACAGCACTCTTATTTAACTCTCTTCGCGCCGCTTCGCCAATAGAAAGCTAAGTACTCTATCCCTTATCACTATCAAATATTGAAATATTTTACTCTCATGAGCGTTAATGGCGCTAAGGGAAAGGGCACATTGCCTCGAAGACTCCAAACTGAGGGTTAAAAACCCCGACGAGGAGGGCTCCAAACTGAGGGTTAAAAACCCCGACGAGGAGCCACAAATAAGTCTCAACGAAGCACACAAATAAGACTTCAATAAGAGCATCGAAGACTCCAAACTGAGGGTTAAAAACCCCGACGAGGAGGGCTCCAAACTGAGGGTTAAAAACCCCGACGAGGAGCCACAAATAAGTCTCAACGAAGCGCACAAATAAGACTTCAATAAGAGCATCGAAGACTCCAAACTGAGGGTTAAAAACCCCGACGAGGAGGGCTCCAAACTGAGGGTTAAAAACCCCGACGAGGAGCCACAAATAAGTCTCAACGAAGCACACAAATAAGACTTCAATAAGAGCATCGAAGACTCCAAACTGAGGGTTAAAAACCCCGACGAGGAGAACTCCAAACTGAGGGTAAAAAAAAAAAAACGACGAGGAGAGCTCCATGAAGAATCTACAATGAGTGAAGGTTACACGCCTTAATGAAATACACCAACTGGGGGGCAAGACGCAAGAAGCTGGCACCGCGTCAACCAAACGCGCCACCAGCTGGGGGGCAACTGGGGTACATAGGGCTCCACCCAAAATTACCGACGAAGATTTTTTAGAAAAAAAAAAGTAATAAGCTAGCGATGAGTTAAGACTCACCACCAACTTGGGGGGCAATTGTTGGGGGTGTTACTAAATACTCCACGCGCGGACTAAATAAGGGCGCGCTCAATCGGTAACGTGCTCCGGACGAACACCACTACGAAGTATTTAAAGGCATGAAACTCCCCATTGAAGGGGGCCTTCTCTCTCTCTTCTCACTTTCTACTTTCTATTATCTCTCTACACTTCATCTCTCTATCTATTCTCTCAACTCTCTCCACAAAGATACACTGACTTGCTCGTCGGAGCTTAATCCGGGGGGCAACCCCAGCTCTTTCACAGGTTCTCTCCCTCCCGACGAGATCAGACGAACGGATGACGAGTCAACCCACACCAACAAACATTATTGTTCCTGCCACGAGCTAGTTGGCACAAACACGTACGACAAAATAATTCCAGCTAGGTGGCTGATGGGCCAAAAAAACGAACGCAGGTATATTCTCAGGCTTTAAAACAAAAGCCCAATACACCACATAAGCCACGAATAAGGCCGTGATCGAGTAGTCGTACCGCTACTTTTCAGTCTGGAACCCCAGTTTCGAATCTCAGGGACGACGCTAATTTTTTCTTTTTCCTTTCCTTACCCCTCTAGTAAGAAATCTTTGCCAAAAAAAAAAAAAAAAAATTTACACCACATGAACACAATGCCAAAGGAGACTTCAATCTGTTCCACCATTTTTTTCTTAGATTCTAGATTCAGACCATCGCTGCCAACAATCAAACGCCAGCAGCCCAATTTCTCGACTTCCTAGTTCCTATAATCCACGCACATAATTGCCCGAACTAACTCCCCAAAGTCCAATTCCTTTCAATCCCCAAAAGTATAAGGAAAAGAAGAGAAGGGGTTGCAATTCAATCCTTTGAAACACAGAAACAGTATCAAAGGTTTAGGAGTAGGGTATTTTGTGTTGAAATCGCAATACAACCGTTTCATATCGTCAAAAGTGTAGTAGCACGACCATGGACAATGAAACTGTCTACACCTTCATCTACATTGTCCAGGCAAGGCTGTATATCCTGAATCGTATGGCGAGCTTGTTCAAGTCCGAGTGCATCCATTACTGAAAACAAATCAGGAAAGAGAAAGAAAATCATAAACATTGCAACTCCAAGAAGAAAGCATTATATTGTCCCGACGAACTTGAACAGAATTGTCAATGACAGTTATAGACAGTCATAGTGACATGTAGGTCATAAAAATTTGCCAAACCAGTTCAATTTCTAACATCTAATCATCAAACAGCTGCTTTAGTAAACCACATTTGTGCGACAAAGAGCATCCGCAGTAACAGTTACCTGATTACCTAGCTGAGATATGTCGTCCTTCCTCTGATGACCAGATGGTTCATCCCCATCAACTAGTTGGCATTGTTCTGTTGGTGCTGCTATTAAACCAGCCACGCCATCAACAGAGCAGAGATAGAGATTAGAAACTAGAAAACAGTAAGAAAATGAAAAACAATAAGCATACAACTTCCCTATGCATCACCTTGTAACAAATCTAAATTACTAGCTAGGGTGAAGTGTTTGCAACCTCAGCAAAGTTCTCAAATGATTAGTCCTTTATTGTTGTGCAGTTTAACTCTTTGTCATTGATTATTAATCTTATTTCAACCTTATAAAAAAAAAGTTCTCAAATGATTAGAAAGGAAAAGAGACATCTATACATGAGCGCTACTTAACTGACGATACCTAAAACCTAGCAGAGAGCCAGAGATAAACAAAGGAAGAAAAAAGGAAGTAAGTTCTCACTAGCAGAAGCAATCACCCGCCACTGAGGGAGTTGCAGCTTCGTTGATGCTCCGTCGAACCCAACAGCTGTAGCGCCCATCATACATGCCTCGCAATTCCTTGTAACTTGGAATCTGAGTAGGCCAGCAAGAGACCCTAGGCTGGAACAGCATCCAACCAGGGAAATGGGTACTCTGGGTAGAGAAGTGTTGTAGCTCGCCGCTCCTCAAATCACAGGACAAGATCGGACCATGATCATCACCGAACGTTAACAAGGCCGCTTCTGGCTTCTCCGGATGCAGACCCAATTCAATATGGCGACCTAATTCAATGTGTTGGGACACATAGTTAGACCATATCGTCTCCAACAACACTTCGTACTGTATCGTCCAGGTTCTACGGTCATCTTCCAATCTCCAAACAGTCAGCGCATTCCTCGAACAGCCAGGCGTTGCCTCGGTTTCGAGTTGAATCATGTGCAAACCACCATGCGAAACAGAAAACCCCCGGGAACTAGCTGGCCTCCACAAGAGTGCCTCGTCATAAATAAAAGAGGGAGGTACATCAAAAGCAGAAAGGATTGAACTCAACGATACCATTACCATCCTGGTCTATTACGCTAGACTGCGCCCAAAACAGCTTCCCGTCGCAGTATTTGGCTTTTGGTTGAGGCAATATTGAATAACCATGAAGAACAAGAGCTTCCTTGGTCCATTTCCCAGACTCGGAACAAAACATGTCTAGCTTTGTAGAGAACCCCAATTTATACATACACACCACTCGAAACCGATACTCGGAGTAAACAAATGCTGGTTGGCCGTCTCCTAGATCAAGATTCTGAGAAACACAGGGTTCGCAAACTAACCTTGCGACAGATGCAGCACGCTTTTCAGGCGCTAGAGGCAGGGCGATCCATTGCTTCGTAAGCGGATTGCAGATCAAGTACGATCGGCCAAGCTCGCCATTTGTTTCCACATCGAACCCCGCAAACCCGCATAACACCAAGTCCTTGGAGGAATCCAGAACCCGCGAAAACCGTCTAATTTCATCCGGGCACGGGGAGGAAGCTCGGCGTCAAAGGTGGTTCACCCGCGCTCCTGCTCTGGCGGTGAGAAACGAAGCGGCGGTTGAAGGAGGGGCTGGAGATCAGGGAGCTCCACTGCTTGCAGACGAGCTTGCTCCGGCAAGCCAATCTAGGGTTTAGGAGGCCGCGAATTAGGATTTCGACGAGGAGATCGTCTCCGAGTTTGCTGATCAGGGGAGGTGGAGGAACCATATGATGGCGCAGCATTGAAACGCTGAATTGTTTGCACAGAGCAAACACTGAAGATTGATGTCAACCACGCCAAGAATTTCCCATTCTCGCAGCTGAAACGAATCGCAAGCAGTGAAGGCTCCATTGTCATAACCGCCGAATCCAGTCCACTGACGAACACAACAACGAATTTGGGTATTTCCCGCGAAGCCGAAACCTTGGTATTTATCGTGTCTCTCTTCCCTTTACTTTCTCTTTGCAAAACTTATTCCAAAACCATTAACCTAAAATCCAAGCATTTAAAATTTTAGGGAGTTACTAGGGGGTCAAATAGAAGTTCAGATATTTTATTACTTGCAAGTTAGAGATTCCAGACCAATACAATTGCAAAATCATTTGTACATGATGTTTTTATTCTCGTCTCAAATTTTATGCAATCTATCTTGACTTTATTTCATCGTATCTATATTAATGCAATTCACTTGTATAATATATTTAGATTAAACGACTTTATAATAAATTAAGACCGCATAGATATACCTTTTAATGAAGAAGGGAGTACGGATAAATAATTGTGTTTTTTTTTATTTCTTACGTGACTTGCATCTTCAATTTTATTTCATGCAAATTTTCATATTTACGAGCGCACTCTACATTAGTGCAATCCCGTTTGCAATTACATATTGAGTGCAAACATTGATGTGAATGCTCTTATTACGACGTTTAATTGTAAAATGAAGAAATATTGGATGCTTACACGATGAAGCAGGAAAAATTGTGAAATTCGACTATTCGAGAAAATGTACAATCACTTTCGTGAAGTTTGGCCAGACGCACTCACGGGTATGGAGATGGCATGGAATGCTATATCCTTAAGAGGAAAATATAATGTAAGTTTGGCTAGGCGCACTATGAGGTTTTCACTTAATTGCAACTTTATTATACCTAAAATATAATGTAATAAGAGGAAAATCCTAAGTAATTTGACTAAAATTATATGTAATTTAGGCAAGAACGGATCGAGAATGAGACGGGTCAGGACAGGTCGATGAGAGGCACCCATGTCCACCCCGTCCCAAAACAGGCCAAACAAGTCAGGTAAATCGGGTCAGGTCGAAATTGTCATGCTAATTGAGAGGTTATCAATACTTATATTTATGGGGAGGAACTTCTTAGCCAATTATTTCACTCATTAAGGATCACATGGTGAGTTAGTCACATTTAGTTTCTCCAATCCCCATGTTAGAGATTGACTTATGTACGTTCTATATTGATAGCTTTTTAGCCTGCACAACTAGAAGGTAAACGGTGCTAACACACATTTTACCAAAAAAAGAAACGCAAAATGCAGGTTTATAGATTAAGCAGATGCAAAGAGCTGTTAAGACTGATCAGTCAACAGAAGAGCTCAAAAGCTCGAATTCAGGGCTCCTTGACAAACTCAACTATCGACATCTTTTTCTAGCGTTTGAGGTACAGTAGTATGGTTACACATAGCAAAGAGATCCGATTAAGCTTCATCCAGATGAAAGCTCGTTCATGGGTCGTCGCAAACCGGAATATACAGCTCTTCGGAAAAGAGGGTGGACGTCGTGGGTGAGAACCTCGGCGTCTAACTTCTCGATGTGCGACCAGAGCTACCAAACAAAAACAGAGTAGATTAGTGTTTTGTGTTCGTCATAGTTGGGCAGTGGCACTAACAACACTGGTTTTTGTTAAATTGGATTCTTAGGCAGTGAGAAAACCACGGTGACAAGCCAAGGAAAGCAGCACAGTAACATATGCAGAATCAGAATTTTGCATACGAGTGAAAATAAAGCGTAAAAAGGAAGGGGTTGGTCATATTTTACCTCGGAGGCGTATTGCCTGGAGAAGGACTTGATGTAGCCTAGAGTTGATAAACACCACTGCTCCTTTTCACCAATGTTGTAGATGTTGCTGCACCCGCCCTCACCATTCGACTGGCTGCTAAGAATACAAGAGAAAGAGGCCCAGTCAAACTATTTGATTCACAAATGCAATCGTCTCAAGGAAATGGAATGCTTGGAAGGGAAAATTGACCTTTTCTTAGCTCCCCCATTCTCATCATCTACTTCCATGGTTGATGGTTGATCAGTATCAACAGCCATCTCATCGCCTTGAGTAGATTTCAAGTCTCGTAATGTTTGAACTTTAGATGCATCAGGCAGCCTCTCTTTCAACACACTGGAGAAGTTTTTGTACAGAGCAAGGAACAGTTCCTAAATCGCCAATCATGGTTGGCAAAGAATGACCAGTACCAGCATTAGTAGGTCGGATGAAAGTGGGAAGAGATGGTTATTAATCTTTCAAATGATGTTATTACCTCGTTTTCAACTGTGGCTCGAGCAAGCAGAGCCTCCTTAGTGTCCAACGAATCCCGCACAGATTCTTCCTCTTCTTTGGCTTTGTCAGCATGCGATTTCAACCGCTTCATCTTCACAGGACTATCACCCATAACGGGCTCTCCATTCATCAAAGTAAGCTTAGACTCAGAAGCATCTAACTCTGCTTTTGCCCTGGCTGCAGCTTCTTCAGCAACTAGAACATTCTTCTTGAGAGACAAAACCTCCTTCCTCAAATCCGACATACGGTTATAGGTTTTGCTAATTGCATTCCCCAGAATCTGCCAAAAGTTACGATAATGAGACATATTAAGTCAAACGCACTTCTTTCATAAACAGATTTATGGATGTGTTTGTTTTGGCAAAAACCAATGCACTTAGTCAAACTAACTTTTCAAAATTACTATTCACCCAATATTAACTTCCTACAAGAATTTCTTATGTGGTGAGACAAACAAAAATTTGGCGCTAACTCTGAAACATCTATACCAGCTGCCAATTAGTTCTAATAGAGTCTCAATTTTAAGGAATAATCAACATTACCTCCCATGGGCGATCAGAGATATGAAATTGCTCTATATTCGGTTGAGAAAAGACCCATTTGATGATAGCCAAATTAGATAGCAGGCGATATCCCATCATACGATCAATTGCCAAGGCTGTCATCTGGGTGCTGTTCTCCCAGTAGGAACTCACTTCAGCAATCAGCAAGATCTGCTTCTCGAGATCTGGACAGAGTCGTGTGATGACTTGGCCATACCTCTCCAGAACAGTAATCAAGTGTGTGAAGCTCTTAGAACCAATGTCAAGAAGAGTTTGTACAATCACTGAAAGTGTCGACTCAAAGCCATGGGCGGGTAAAACCGTTTCCTCAATCCAAGCGATTACTTCTCGGGCAGTTGCCCTCCCCTTCACCTTGTTGCTGAGCTCTGCAGAGATTGCATGATATTCTGTTTTCTCTCTTCCATCTTCGACGCTGTACTTGAAGTTAGGACTGCCTTTGGGCGGAAGCAACTCTTCTAAAGCAGGTGCGTTCTCAATGCTCTGATAAAGAGAAGGCGTAGAGATAATATAAGAAGTAGCTTTTGCGGCTGACAACTTCACCATTTTTTCCATCTTTTTTATTTTTCATGGAAAGGGCCTTAAGGACAATTTGTACTGCCAGATCAACATGGCCATCCATGAAGAAAGGATATGAATAAATATCATATGGATAAATCATCTATTACACTGTCAGGGATGCAGAACATGCTTGTTAATTACCTGCTTAACCTTTTCCCAGTATGAGAGACGCACTTCTCTCTCCAAAACCTCCTGGACAAACACACGCTGGGGCGCCCATTTAGGAAGGTCAAGAACATAAGCCCATTCTTCCCATGGCCAGATGAACTGGAAGTTTGACCTACAAAAACCAACATACACAAAATTTGTCAACAAACATCACTACAGGAGAAAAAATAAGTCCACTGGTAATTCAGGTTTCAAGAATACAAAGTTACAAGCAACTGGTGGACTTACAAATGGTGGGAAAACCAGAGGATGAGTCGATTGCGGCACTCCATATCTAAATCAGCAATCTTCTCGAAAAGAGCACGGACAGCTCCAGCTACGACGGCAGGAAATGCCCCAGGTAGAGCCTAATTATCACAATTCACAACTCAAGATCAGGATGCTTTGAAGTACGACAAATTTCTAATAAGAGGCTTCAGGCAGTAACTAATCAACTCATGCTCACCTTACAGAGGTCCATGATAACCAATGTGTAATACAATGGTCTGAATGGAGGTTGTGGAAGCAAGAGTAGCTGCAAAAAAACACCAATATTCATTTACAGTCCGTGGGACAACCAAAGAATTAAACAAACATGGTAAAACAAAAGAGCACCAATATTAATTTTCAGTGCACTATAGAGGAGTGTCCCCCACTCTTATGAGCCAAAAAAACAGTCAACATATCCCAAGTTAGGACTACTAGGATGCAACATATCGATATCATGATTTATCACTCTCATGTGTCTAAAAACTAAGTTTCCCATAAAATGAACCTGAAACGAAATCTATCAGAGACGTCGGCAGATGATATGAAAGAGACGTCCATTGTTAAGTTAAATGATGAGCCATCCTCTGATAATTTACAGAGAAAGCACAAATTCCTAGAAGCTCTTGGTATAATAGGCACAAAGAAGATAGTAACCTGAGCAAAAAGAGTCTCTGCCATAAGGTACTCATATCGGAAGGGCACGGGCAGGCCTACCATGTTGGAAGCACATTCCTTTCGACTAGCTTTGCATTAATCAAGAAAAAAGAAATAGTTAAACCAAGTACTGAACTGTATAAAGAAATCAATCACTCACTACATGCATAAGCAAGACAAAGGTAAGGCAGCATGGTCCAGTCTGAATATACTCCACCAACTCCAATCAATGAAGTTAAAATAAAGAAGAATTAACGTAAGAGCTAACAGGATATTGACAAACCAGCCATTGAGGAACAAAAGCACATCCAGTAGATACTCTTCCACAATGAAACGATCTATCGGTTGCATATCCTGTCACCCAATTCAGGAGGAAATGGATTAGTGAACAAAAATTTGACACAGTAAATTCAAATAGCAAACACGGAAGCTTTGAGCTCCCTGTTGTTGATGCGTATAATAATATACCTAACTGAAATCATCATATAAGAATAGAACATTTAAAACTTGCAGTTGCAACAGATTATATACCATGGAACACCAAAATTTGTCATTGAAGCATTCTGCCTTGCAAATTTTCTGTATCTATCCAACCAACTGAAGGCTAAACTTTGAAGGTAACAATACCTTGGATATGCTGGTAAAACGACCAAAACCTCACATATTACTTTATTCACATATATTATAAACAAGAAATGGTCCATTTCCAATATCCCTTTGAAACCTAGGAAAAAAGGTTCAACTGCCATCCCAGACATGTAACCTTTGTAAAAGAAGTCCTCGTTCTATCAAAATGACACTGAAGTCTCAAAGTCAAAATTACATAACGGCAATCAAAATTGTATAGCAACAGCAAGACAGCCAAATTAGATAAATTGCAGAAATTTATATAGAGACCCTCCTTACTTCTTCTGGAAGATTATCTTGTAAACAGGTATCCGTACTATCCACAGTTCGTATATAATAATTTGGGAGTTAAGAAATTGTGTACCACGTAGAAAATGACTCCAAAAAGTAAATAGCCAGCCACTAATACACCATAAAAACCCATAAATAAACAAGTCATCTGTTGTGAACTACCTCACTTTTACCCGTCGGAAATATATTTAGCCTCCGTATCCTTTGAGGATACTTTAATTCTGCATTGTGCTTCTCTCTGCCATAGGTTATCCCAGAAAGTTGTGACAGCGGCTCAGGTTGCTCCGGTGCATTAATGGGCCCAAACTCATGAGCCTTTCCACCAACCAATTGAGCTTCGAATGCCAGGTGAGGTCTGGGAACTGAAAGCAAAATATTAATGAATGAAGAACATGCTACTATGTGAATCAATTGAAATACAACATTATGACTCCAGGGAGATTATAGCATTTAATTCGAGCAGCTTTCATTCTTATTCTTCGTCAAGCATGTTTGATAGGAAGAAGATTCTCACAAGAATAACAATCCTACTGAAACGGAACTCAGAAGTAATTACTTAATGTTCCAAAACACATCTAACATCCAGAGAGAGAGAGAGAGAGAGAGAAAAGATGGCCTACCACTGTCAGCTTTCCATCCATTACTAGATAGAAACTTTATTCGATCCCACAAATCCTCCAAGAAGTCCTACAGAAAATAGCAAAGATACTTTGATCAGGAATCATGAATCAAATTCAAAGAATCAAGCATTACTAACAGAAGCTTCTAAATTCAAGATCAAGCTCCATATGTCTTGAGATAATAAACAAGGACTGCTTGAACTGTGATTGCAGAAAGTCCCTTATACAATTCCAACCAGGCAACGAAAAACCTGTTGCAAGAACTTATGATATAGTGTACCTTTTCACCAACACTTAAATCATCGTCATCCTCAAAAAACGACAAGCCAATGTCTGTATTATGAGTTCGTATGCTCAAATAAGCCTCTACACCAACCATAACTCTCTCCATCTCCTCAGGAACTTGCTGCACATAAATTGCTACAGTTAGAATTTGAAATGGTTTAAGATCATGACGGCAACGATAAAGGACAGAAAGCAATGTTTCTAAGTTTAGTTCAGCTGTAGCAGGAGAGCAAGGGGAAAGGAAACAATTGGATGAAAGCCAACACACAAGAACGATAAGGCATGTTCAAAATCTTATGCGCCTTTCAGAAAATGGTTACTTAATCGCTATTGGTGTCCTTTATGAACAGGACTGATCAATAAGTAGACTATGTACGTACTTCTATAGCCACAGTCTAAGGTCCATGATATATGTAATTTGATGCAGAGAATACAAGACACATATCAGACCCATTACAGTTTCGGCAGCACTTAAAATCTTGCCAATTAAAACATGAGGAAAATGAAATCCACATTGAGATAGCAGCAACGATAGACTTAGATCTGTGGTCATACATAAGTGTAAGGGCATTTTTGCACAGAGCAGGACTTATCAGGGAGACAAAAGTAAAACAAACTACTTATTTTGTCGAAAGCCAAGATGGTTCTACAAAACTAAAATTTCCCATCTAATTGACAACAAAACTAAATTCGTATCCAGAAAAAATAATAAAGAAACTAGTAACTAACTATTAAGCAAAGTTCAGCAATAGATCTACGAAGCACCCAATTGGGCATGTACCTCAGCAAGTTCTGATCCACCCCATGGAAGACAAGATAATATACAAGTTACAAAGAAGTCACCACGAGCTTGCCATGAAGGATTTCCCTTCTCCTCATCAACTGTGGTGGCAGCAGAAGACAGCAATGTTTCAAAAGCAACCACAAGGGAAGCAGGCTGCAGAACTTTACTACACATCTGTAAAGGAGAAAAGAGAATCAGGTCACCAAGTTTTCTATGTTGCTTAGAAATTATGCATAACATCCACGTAGTGCCATCAGATCAGGCAAAATAGAAGTATCGGTTTCCTTGCTCGAAATACAGATTACAAAATGTAATTTAGTTTGGAAAGTTGCAGATAACAACATATCCTGTATAAATAATGAAAACCACCTGAATATGTTTTCAACTTTAAACACACTCACGCACACAGACACAAAGGCATCCTACTTCTGTCATGGAAAAAGAAAAACTCTATAGAGCAAAACCTTCACAGATTGGAGAACAATGTTAGCAGTTCATCATTTTTACACACATACCAGAGCAGTTAGAAAACGCATCAGAACACGAATCCTATCACAATTGCCAGAATCCAATGCCTCCTGAAATGTTCAACAATGAAGAATAAGGAAAGTACTGAGTAAAACAGTAACATTTGCCAAACATTAAACCAGAATCAAGAACTAGATTTACAAAATCAATATAGCTTCAAGATAGCACCAAAATAGCAAAGACGTTTCTTTTTTCAGTTAAAAGTCGAAGTGGAAAATAGCAAAACCTGCAGGACAATTCTCTCTCTATCTATTGTTTATGGAAGAATAAATATATGTCTCCACGGTTCTTAGAACCCGTCTAAATAACAATGTTACATCGACAAGACTGGAAAATGGTCGCCTAGCAAAATGTAAAGGGTTCATGATCCAGAATGTAATAGCGGCTCAAGAAGTACTTCATAAAGAAAAAGACAAAAAGCACATATTGACTCCATAAGTAATCATGACAATGACAAAAAAGGGGAAAAGAGAAATATTCCACCTGAAAACGAGTCTGAGTAGTCTCGACGACTCCCCTCACGAAGTCCTCATTTTCCAGGTTCAACAAGCCAATCTGAGATAGAAGAGCGAAAGCACAAGATCAACCTATCAACAATTACTCAATCCTTACAAATCTCACCGTCGGAACAATATACACATAGTCGTAGCCCTACTATTTGGCTCCTCAAGCTATCACTAAACACAACCTAAAATGATTATGCTTCTATCAGTACAAGAAGAACATAAACTAGCATGAAAAATTTCTAAAACTGGATTAGTCCTCACAAGTGAAAAAACTCTTGAGATGCAGAATTCTCAATCAGGCATAGTAGGGACACACTGTTCTTCAGATTTGAGGCAGCCAAGGTACAATTCGAGAGCAGATAGTACATACATGATAGTCACTAACTAATCAATATAATCAAGAAGCAAAGAGCGGGGAGCCTTTTAGAAACACTAACCACAGTCCCAAGCAGCGGAATCTTGTGAGGCAATCCCTCAGCACATTCGATAAGGAACTGTCAAGAGAGAAAGAAATAAAACGTAAGGTGTACTTCCCCACCAGAATCTCCCTAGAATATGAGAACTAATATTTCAAACCCTACACAATCTCAATTCACAAGAACACCAACAAAATTCACCGTACCGTAGAAATATCGCCGGCGGAGTGCTCCAGCTCTCGCCGGACAACTCCATAACACGTGTCCTGCACATTACCAGCACCAAAAACCGCGCAGTTATAGTCGAATGCTTACATTCCGAAATGAATGACAGATTAAACGAGCAATAAATGGTCATAGTGAGCTAGGGTTCAGCGCGCAGCAGAGGAAGAAGAGAGAGAGAAAGAGGAAACCGGAGCTACGAACAATGTGTTCTTTGACGTCTGCGCTGCCGCCGTACTCCGGGCACTTGTTGCCGATTCGTAGAAGAAGTGTTCTCCAACTGCTCATCGTTTCTTCCCAGTTGTTCTCGTCGGGAACGAAGTGACTGTGAAGAGAAGTTGAATTTGCAGAGCAGGGTTTAGGTGACTGCAATTGGAAAAGTTATTGAAAATGGAAAGGAAAACAACGGTCGGACCCTGAATTTAACGCGAGTAACATTTTGGTCCCTGGTACTTTGGTGACCTAGTTTTGTAATCCTTGTTATTTTCAATACTTTTTTTTTCAAGGCATACCAAAAAGGCTAAATCAAACAGCTGCCCACCTCGTGACAAAACAGACTCTTTTATCGGGAGTCCGGTTGCATACGGACTATCGTTCTCTTTTAGTGTCTTTCTTGTAATTGTGTTGACCGGCCATGCCCTGGGGACTTATCTTGGATAAAAAAAAGAACTACACTATAAAATTGGAAACTATAACACATTGTAGTTCGTATGCTCGATAAAATAGCATTTGCGCCTAAAATATTTATGATATGCACAATCACCTATTTTTCATCCAACTATTATAATATAAATTGATATGTTGTACATTTTTCACTTACAATTTGGAGTAGAGAAACTAATGAATATTATATGAGTGATAAAATTTGTATAAAAATTAAAATAATGTAAAGCAGGATATCAAGTGATCATTATCATCATTTTCAATGCCACCAAATGAGTGAAATAAGTATATATATGAACTACGTACGATAAAACTTCTGAGGTCGATCATTTACACGAAGAGCAAACAATTAATAGGAGATTACTCTTAATCCTACTTAAGATATGATAATATGTACCACGAAGGCATCAAATTATAACAAGTAGGAATGCATGATAACTATTGTTTTATGTTTGAATTTATCGATCACAAACAAACTTTAAAATTCATTTATTGGTAAATTGAGATCAATAGCACGATAAATTTTTCCACTATAATAGGTACTAATTGAAGATTAAAGAGTTATGCAAGTAACAATAAAAACAAATTATTACAAATCAATCTCTCTAACTCTATTCAATCGAGGGATTAGACCAGAATAGTAAACCGCCAATTTGATCCCAATATTAGCCCGACCAAATACCAAATAAGACTGGGCCTGCTGTGTCGTTGGGCTGACCCAATCCAAGAGATATATCCAATCAAAACACCAGCCCAAAAGCCCACACACTAGAGCGCGTAAATCACGCGCCATAGCCGGAAAATAACCGCAAGGAAATCCGCGACCCAATCCACCAGCAGCGACGAGCTGACTAACTCCAGTCTTTTTGATTGTGTAACAGATAAGAGAGAGATAGAACACTGCTCCTTTCTCAGCTTCCATCAATGGCGGTCTCTCCCGCTTCTTCTACCTTCTTCGCTCAGTCCCAGCTCCACAACCAACGTCTTCCATTCTCCACCGTCGTTCCTTCTTCCAAATTCCATTCCCTACTCTTTCATTGCCGCTACGTCAAGCCGAGGCGGTTTCACTCTCGCCGTTTGGCCCTGCGCGCTTCCGCCTCCGCAAACGTGACGCTAGACTCCGGCAATGGCGCTGCCGTGGCTGCTCCTGACAAGGAGCTGGACGATTATTCTTCTACTTCATACGGAAGGAGATTCTTTCCTTTAGCTGGTGTTGTTGGACAGGTTTGATCATCTTTAGTTCTGCACCCTCCTCCCTCACATTTCTACTACAGAATCGCTTTGAATTCCACTTTTTACCGTTACGGTTGTGCTTAATGTTTAGTTTTTCCTCGATTGAATTGAACGGATAAGCTCAGTCGGTTGAACGTGTAAGGAATTGTACTGAGTTCTATTCGTGTGGCAGGATGCTATCAAGACAGCTCTTCTGCTTGGGGCAACTGATCGTGAGATTGGGGGAATTGCGATCTCTGGTAAGCGAGGAACAGCCAAGACTGTAATGGCTCGAGGTTTGCACGCGATATTGCCACCCATTGATGTGGTTATCGGATCCAATTCAAATGCTGATCCAGCTTGCCCAGAAGAGTAAGGTTGCCTAGTACCTTTTTCGCACGATGCTTTGTTGCAGTAGCATTGATCCTGTTTATTTGGAGAACTTAGATTGCTAAGCGGTTCTGTAATTGGTCAAGCTGGATTTAGTGCTAGTTCATGTTTGGTTTCTTTGTTTGCTCGAGTGCTAGCAGAATACTATTCATCATGGCTATTTTCCAATAATTTTGGCCAAGGTTTAAGTTGTTTGCTGTTGGTTTATGAAGGTGGGAAGACGGCCTAGCTGAGCGAGTGGAATATGGTGCGGATGGCAATGTTAAGAGCCAAGTTGTGAGATCTCCATTTGTTCAGGTACATTCTGCAATATGAGCTTCTTTATAGAAGGAAAAAAAAATTGGAATGATAGCTTGAGTTAACGTCTCGTCTATGCATTGTATAGATTCCGCTTGGTGTCACGGAGGACAGACTGATTGGATCAGTCGATGTTGAGGAGTCTGTCAAAAGTGGAACAACTGTGTTTCAACCAGGCCTTCTGGCTGAAGCTCATAGAGGTGTTCTATATGTTGATGAGATCAACCTTCTGGACGAGGGAATTAGTAACTTGCTCCTCAATGTGTTGACTGATGGAGTTAACATAGTGGAAAGAGAGGGAATCAGCTTTAGGCACCCTTGCAAGCCTCTCTTGATTGCTACCTATAATCCTGAAGAGGGAGCTGTTCGTGAACACTTGCTAGATCGTATTGCAATTAACTTGAGGTATGCGATCTCAATAATGTAGTGCAATAAAATGGTCTCAAAGTTGTATGCTTCCTGTTTCAACAATGAGATACATCTTGTGCAGTGCAGATATTCCAATGAACTTCGAAGATCGGGTTGCAGCTGTTGGAATTGCAACTCAATTCCAAGAACGCTGTAATGAAGTATTTAAATTGGTCTCCGAAGAAACTGAATTGGCAAAGACACAGGTACTTATTGTTTTATTGGTGCTTATCTCTTCTTCTTGGTTAGCTAGTGGCCAGCATGGTGTATATGTTCCGTAGATACTTGACAGTGATGGCTAAACTTGCTTCCTAGTGATTTCAGACATAAATTTTATCATTGAAGTGGAAATGATCAATGTTGAATGAAGTATAACATACAGCTTGTAACTTCGCACTGTAATGACGCTTGCAACAAGATCAAAGTCTCATTGCAATGGGTGTAAGAGGCAGTTCGTAGCAAGTGTTTACAGATAAATGTAACTCTGTGTTTGCAGTTTTAAGCCAACCTATTATTAGGCATCAGAATAAGGTGGCCCAACAAATATATACAAAATCTCCGGAACTACAATAATGTTGAAATGTGAAGCCTTGAGATGATAGTCTAGTTACAAGATCGCATTGACCTGTTCTATACAACAAATGTAATGAGTGGTTATCTCTCTTGCAGATCATTTTGGCTCGAGAATATTTGAAAGATGTATCTGTTAGTCGGGATCAATTGAAGTACTTGGTTATGGAAGCCCTTCGAGGTGGTTGCCAGGTAAAGATAAAAAAAAAACTCTTCAATAACTTGCCTCTAGTGTCTGAGATTTTATTCTAAATATGACATTTTTTATTGAAGCTTATGGGTAAGCTTAATCTGTGATATGCCGAATGGCAGGGACATCGAGCTGAATTATATGCTGCCCGTGTTGCAAAATGCCTCGCTGCTCTAGAAGGACGCGAAAAAGTCGGCGTGGATGACCTGAAAAAAGCTGTTGAGTATTTTTCTCAAATATAAACTATGTATTCAAGAGAGCCCCCATATTCTCTTAACCAATTTGATCTAGCTGCACCTATTTTGCATTCCGATAATGCTTTTTTTTTCCTTATCTAATCGTACCATGTTCATGTATATGCTTCATTGAAGACTTCGCAGTGCTTCCTATTCTCACATGTCACATTATACAGGTGGAATTAGTCATTCTTCCCAGATCAAATATTACTGAAACCCCGCCAGATCAGCAAAACCAACAGCCTCCGCCGCCACCCCCTCCACAAAATAAAGACTCTGGTGAAGAGCAGGAAGAGGAGGAGGAAAATGAGGAAGATGATGAGGTTATTAACTTTACTGTTCTCATTGGCCAATAGTAGTTTCCTCATATTTCATAAAATGTAAGCTTTTAGCTCTGCTACTTGTAGGAGAACAAGGATGAAGAAGAGAACGAACAACAGCCACAAATACCTGAAGAATTCATATTTGATGCAGAGGGAGGCTTAGTGGATGAGAAACTTCTCTTCTTTGCACAACAAGCACAGAGACGTAAAGGCAAAGCTGGCAGAGCAAAGAACATAATTTTTTCTGAGGATAGAGGTCGATACATCAAACCAATGCTCCCAAAGGTAAGACATTGATTACCACCTTGCTTTTGTGCACCTGGCTTCATATTTCAAGTTACTTACATAACTGACTATCCTCCCATAGTTCATCTTGTGTCCCATACTCTCTTTACCAGTTAGTCTGTGTTTAATTATTTTTCCCAGGGACCTGTGAAGAGATTAGCAGTTGATGCAACTCTTAGGGCTGCTGCTCCATATCAGAAGCTGAGGAGAGAAAAGGACACCCTAAGGACTAGGAAAGTATATGTTGAGAAAAGCGACATGAGGGCCAAAAGAATGGCTCGAAAAGCTGGAGCACTGGTAACATGCCTAAATTTCTCCTGCTGCTTTCATGTTTGCAGTTCAATAAAGAGACTGGCAAAACTTTCGAAACTTTCGAAAATCATGAAGACATCTGAACTTGAACACTGAACTTGAAGTTGGTACTCCATTCCAAGTACATTAAACACTTACCATGTTTCATGGATGAACTGTTGGCCATGGAACTCTTAAAACCTTCGTTGCAGGTTATATTTGTGGTTGATGCAAGTGGCAGTATGGCATTGAACCGAATGCAAAATGCCAAAGGTGCTGCACTTAAGCTGCTGGCGGAGAGCTACACAAGCAGGGATCAGGTAAGTTCAGGGATTAAGTCCATTACACCCTTCACATATGCGAAAAAGCTCACGTATAACCAACATTTGGAACAACTATTTCATGAAGCCTATCCTATATCCTAATTTCTTGTGTTTGTAATTGTAATGTTAAGTAGGTCGCTATCATTCCTTTTCGAGGTGATGCAGCGGAAGTCCTTCTACCTCCCTCCAGATCGATTTCAATGGCTAGGAAACGTCTAGAGAGACTCCCTTGTGGTGGAGGCTCTCCCCTAGCCCACGGCCTTACAACTGTAAGATTGACACTTCATAATCAATCAAGTAAAGCGTTATGAAAAAAGCTTATGCTTACACATGGGATCCGTGGCCTATAGCAAAATTTCCTAGACTTCGTTTTCTTTTATGTTACTCAGTTTGCCTGCATTTGGTTAGGCTGTCAGGGTGGGACTGAATGCAGAGAAGAGTGGTGATGTCGGACGAATCATGATAGTTGCCATAACCGATGGCCGAGCCAATATATCGCTCAAACGCTCCACGGACCCTGAATCGCTCGCTCCTGATGCTCCAAGACCATCCACTAAGGAATTGAAGGTAAAAAACTAATAACAGCACTCGCCATGTATTGGCTACGTTCTACTTCAGCCATTTGGTGCAGCTTTCACTCACAGTTTGCACTACATTTTTGTGTCAGGAGGAGATTCTGGAAGTAGCTGCGAAGATATACAAAGCCGGGATGTCTTTGCTCGTCATTGACACCGAGAACAAGTTCGTCTCCACCGGTTTCGCCAAGGAGATCGCGAGGATCGCCCAAGGTCTGTTGCTTGCTCCCCCTCTCCATTGTTTGACATAACTACACATTCATATCTGTTTTGATGTATGTTCCATTTTCCCATTCTGTTTTCGCAGGGAAATATTATTACTTGCCAAATGCTACGGATGCTGTCATTTCTGCTACAACCAGGGACGCTCTATCTGATCTGAAGAACTCTTGATCTGAAGAACTGTTGCTGCTGAATACGTTGAAGATCGAGCGAGAACTTGGCAATATATTCATTCACATTCCCTCAGTGGTGCTCTTCTACTAATCCGCGGCTGCTGAATTCGACCTGTTACTTGACAAGCCTTCTTCACCTGTTTGGTTTCTGATCTTTTAGGACTCGGGCTACCACGATCTTGTAATCATCTATGTCGGAGCAAACTCGATCTGTTTCTCGAATGGTGTTAACTTCTCCTGACTTTGCTTGTGTGATCTGTAATCGATCAGAACTCAACCCGCCATGATACGTAATCGACATAAGCGAAGAAGCAACAGATTCAATAAGAACTACACCACACATTATTAAGAGGTCGTTTGGAAGTTACGATTGTTTTGTTGAGATTGTCTTCATTTAGTAGTGAAGAAGTACATGAGTCTTACCATCAACCATGTCGGTCCTAAATTATGGCCCATCAACTATTTGGATCCTTAAGCCGAGCCCATCAGCAATTTGGGCCGTTGAACCCTGACCCTTAATCCAACTGTCAAACGTCAGATGGCTAACCCTATTAATCACACGCGGCAAGCTCACGCTCTCTCACGTCCTAATCCGGATTCCCACCACGTCACATAATTGAAAAGGCTAGACTTAATCAACTAGCCGTTGGGAGAAAACCCTGAGGACCAAACCCGCCCGCCCGCCGATCGCAACGTTCGGGGGGAAAAGCACCGACCAACGGCGTCGTTTCGCCTCGACCTGAGGTCCAGTTCTTTTATAAACCCCACCGCAGCCTGCAACTTCCGACGCTCCTCTCTCTCTCTCTCTCTCTCTCTCTCGCCGGCGGAAAGAAAGAAGGAACGGGAGAGACGAAAGAAAGGAATCTCCATTTCTTCTTGTGCGTATTCTTCTTTACTCCTCCCCCCTTCTCTCTCTCTCTCTCTCTAGCGTGTTTTAGAATGGCCACTGTCAACTACAACGCACCCGCGGCCACTCCGGCGGCGACTGCTCCGGCAAAGAATGTCGATACCCAATCTGTGCTCAAAAGGTAATTGATCACGTTGTTAGCTGAATTACCGATTGAGAAGTGTTGATTAAAAATTCTGATCGGATCATTTGCAGAGATCTCTGTTTCTCACATCTGATTCTCTGTTTCTTGGATTTGTTTGTTGCCACAAACAGGTTGCAGTCGGAGCTGATGGCCTTAATGGTGAGAGAAGAAATCTGCTTTATCTAATTTGCAACCATCAATTGGTTGGTTTCATTTGTTTTTTGGTTGGCTAATTCAAGAGATTTGGTTATGGGGGTTTTTTAAACAGATGAGTGGAGAAACAGGGATATCAGCATTTCCAGAGGAAGACAACATCTTCTGCTGGAAGGGAACAATTACAGGTAGCAAAGATACAGTCTTTGAAGGAACTGAGTACAAGCTGTCCCTAGCTTTCTCCAACAACTACCCTTTCAAGCCACCAAAGGTGAAGTTCGAGACCACCTGCTTCCACCCGAATGTGGATGTCTACGGCAACATCTGCCTGGACATTCTCCAGGACAAGTGGTCTTCTGCGTATGACGTTCGGACGATTCTGTTATCCATCCAGAGCTTGCTTGGAGGTTTGTTCTTCTTACCAATAACCTGCGATCTCGAATGCTGTTTCGTGGATGGATCAATTGATAGATGGCGTAATGTTCGTCGGAGCTGATGTTGTGTGTGTGTGTTACATTCTGTGTAACAGAGCCAAACATCAGTTCGCCGCTCAACACTCAGGCAGCACAAATGTGGAGCAATCAAGAAGGTAAGGCAACTCGAGATATGAGTGTACTTGAAGAACCCCCTTTTGGAGTTGCAGAGTCTAATGAAACTATTGTGTGGTTCCAGAGTACCGGAAGATGGTGGAGAAGTTGTACAGGCCTCCAGCAGCAACAGCATAGGACAGATGATATTCTGGGTTTCGCTTTGCTTACTTGGATGTCCATGGGAGATTACTACTCTTGCCATCTGTTTCTAATGAATGAGATAATACCATTTGATTACTCTACTCTCTCTCTCTCTCTCTCTCTCTCTGCCATGGTATGCTTTTGAATAAGATAAAAGAATATCGAGCAGAAACAACAAACAAGCAAGCAATAGCTCTTAACTTTTCAACTCCAGGAAATTCATTGATGCAGAATATTAATTCTCCACCTGTTTTACATAAATAACTAAGAGAATGTATCTGAAAACTTGACTCTTGAACATGTATGGCGGTCTCTACTGCTTTGGTGGGGAAGAGGTGAGCTGCCTGATGTTGTACTTGGACAACTCCTTGTACTTCTCTACAACTCCAATCAAGCAAACTGTCTGAAATCACATAAGGGTGGGAAAGGAGCATACCATCAGAACTTTCGAGCAAGAAATCATTTGTGTACTACCAAGGAAACGCTTAAAGGAAGATCTTTGCACTACCTTCACGATTTCGACAATGATTGTCTTGTTAGGATTGCTGAGATCAACTTTATGAGGCTCAGGAACGGCCTTCGCCACTGCATTTATGATCTTTGCCCTGTCGATTCCACTGTTTGCTCTCGCTTCGTACATGACGGCAAACTGCATACAGAGAACTGAATATCAGGATGATAACCAAGCGATAACTAAAATGAAATGTAGTATTACTTTATGTGGTTCTGGAGCATCCACAGGGAAGTGCTTCGCGACAAGTGGTGCGATTGCCCTCGAAATTTCCTCGTCTGAAGGATAGCAGGATGCCTCAACTGGCAACATTCTTAAGAGAAACCTGAAACAATTGGATAAGGAAACGTGAAAAGCGAAATGAGTGTCAGCAGCAGAAGATTTCTCGTTGGCGCCAAAGTTGAAGCGAGTGAAGTACATGACAAGGCTAGTTTTTTACGAACCTTGACACGTGTTTCTTCGTTGATGCCAAAGTTGTCATCATGTGCTGTGCAACATCCTTCGGAGAAGGGCCTCCATCTCTCTTGCGCATTTGAACAAAAACAACACCATTGCAGCCAGAATCGAGATTGACAAGAAGTCTCTGTTCGAACATGGCAACACAACTTGATGATATATCTCGATTTGAAACTCAACCAAATAATATCTGATTCAATCCAATGCGGTCCAATTCACTCCTAGTTTGGGAGATGGGGAATAACACACTACTCACCTTACTATTGTCCCCGAGTTCTTTCAGCTCTTCAGCTATAAGCTTGTCAATAGATTTCTCCTCCACTTTGGCCACAGCAGCACCTTTTGAATCATTGGTTTCAATGCACTGCTTTTTCACTGGTGGCTCCGCAGCAGGCTCTTTGGTTACTTCTCCTTCATTACTGGTCTTCTCTTCTGATTGATCGTTGTTACTACACTCAGTACCCACAGATGGAACACTCGCCCCTTCAGCCGTTTTAGTCTCAATCTTAGTGCCATTTCCTGAAGAGTTATCTTCAGCTTTCACAACGTCCCCATTGTCCTTCTTCCCATCCACTTCCCCAGCTTTATCATCCTCTACCTCTTCCTCAGCTTTATCATCCTCTCCCACTTCCTCTTCTTCATCGTCCGAGTATGTGAACTTGATCTTTTTGTTCTGTGGTTTACTTGGCTGCTCGGAGAGCTTCACATTGCCACCTTTTCCATCTACTAGCTCTTCATAGAACTGCAAAATAAGCATAGCCACAGATTCAGACTCGGTCACATTCCACACTTACTCCAGTGCTAACAAGCTGAACATCAACAATACTTAAGAGAATAGCAAAAGGAGTCTAATAAAAGAAGAACTAATTAGATGGTTTTCTTCCGGGCACATAGAACCAAGGAATAACCTAGACATACCAGCTTCAAGAACTGACTGGTTATAGGACCAAAAACGATTCTAACTTTTACAAACAAATTCAGTAAAGAATATCCAAAATAGAAACTTTCACTTGTACAAGAATCTTGTATCATCATCAGAGACCAAATCAAAGACCTTAACTAACTTGGAATTAATGGTATCCTAACCCCCTCAGATAACCAAACGACTTTACCAGCAAGTTCCCAATCTTATCTAAATAACTGCCCTAAGTTTAACCGATGAGCTCAAGCCAATACACCACATCATTGGAGGGAACAAAAGAATGACAAAACAGAAAGAAGGCAACTTTGGCCCAAAAAGGGACTACCCAGCAAGCAAAATTGGCATCATGAATGATTAAGCGCATGCGCAAACTTCATCAACAAAGTAAACGAAACCAAGCAGAAAACTCACAGTTTCGATAACGTTCATAGCCTCGAAAGCAGCTTGGCGCTCTCTGCCTCCATCGCAGGTAATGAAGAAGCCTTCTACTCCTGGATGTAACGGGTAAGGACCTTTCTTCTTAACCGGTTTCTGCAAACCAAAAATGCGAAATCGTCAGAAATCAACCCCAATTATACTGGGGAAAAAATAACCGCCACTGCTTGCAAACAGAGCCTTGTAAGCAACAGAAGGAGAACTCACGTTGTGTGGAAGATACTGCTTTCGCTTCTTCCCCTTGCTAGCTGCGTTGTCCGTCGCCATTTGCCGCCCCTGAGTCACTGGATGATCGGCGTTGAGCAGAAGAAAACGGAACCGGAGGAGGGGAAGGGAAAGGAAAGGAGAAGTTGCGGCGGAGACTCGGGTCAGTTCTTCTGGCGGGGACTGGAAGCGAGCTCGGGCTCCGTCAGCAGATATGGGCTCAGAATGCGGGCCGAATTCAGTAGTAGCCCAAATGAAAAAGACTCCAACCTTTCAGGCCCACGGGAGGGAAGTTTCTATGGCAAATATGCTGTATCGTCGAAAGTCTAATCGTATGAATTGGTCATACCTCTACTGAATGCCTCAAGTTAGTATGACTTTGTTGCACAAACCTATGTGGATGAAATAACATTGAGCCAACAGCATACTTTGAGTGAAGGAGAACATTTGCTATACAACACATTATCCAAACGTTAGAATCAAAGCGAAACCGTGTTGTGGCAAATCGTAGTTACAATTGTGACCCTTGTTATACAACCAACAAACAATAACAAAAACTATTACGAAGCTCCGTTTACTGTTCATATAGCTATATGTCTAAACAAGTAGAGGTGGCAATTTTGTATCAAATTCATTAATCTCATCTAATCCATCCAGTATGTTGTTCATATAATCATATAGCATATATGTAACTAAACAAGTAGAGGTGGCAATTTATCAAATCTGTTTAATCCAGCTCCAATTGGAGTGGTGGATTCGTAAATGGATTGGAAAATTACGGTTTAGAACCTATACTTTTTATAGTTTACATTTTGGTTCGTAAATTAAGTTTTCAAATGTAAAATATCATTTAAAAATTATTTTTTTGGTACCTAGATTTTTATTCGTGCCATTTTAGTACCCACACTATTTGAAAAATGTACATATTAATCCAATGTTTATATGCCATCTGGATCCATGATCGAATCCACCAATCCATAAATCCAATCCATTTGTCATCTTTATGAACAAATAATTATTGATCATAATGGAATATTATTGTCATAACACCTCTTTGCAAAGGGTTGGCTGAATATCCGACTCTAACCGTGTAAACTAACGTGTTACACAATGGAGGAGTTAGGCTGAAGTCGGGAGAGGGTATAACGCCCCTTAAATTTGATATATATATATATACCTAAACTAGATGTAGAATTAGTAACAAATTAAAGAAATAGAGTAGTCGATAAAGTTATAGCCTCCTTCCCCCCCAATTATCACCGTCAAATCAGCCTACACATTCAAATTCCTGACTTCGTCACCAAAGAATATTGCTCCGATATGGAACAACTAAACAAATACTGAAGGCCGGCTGCAAATAGTATTATAAGAGAGAAGCACTTGTAGGATTACCCATTTTGGTTTTGGACGGAGCGAAGATTGGACGTCACATTGCATTCCACCAACGGTTCTATTAGCGGACGGCACTTTCTAGTGGCGATTGCCGAAACGTTGCCAATCACAAGTCAGCCCACAACGACAAAAAGGCCAAGATAGAAAGGTGGTATGATCGGAATCCCATTCTCCACGACGACCATGAGTCAACTAGGCAGGATGTGACAAGAAGAAGAGACCCGCAGGCACCACATGATCGAACCGTGTTTTCTCGTTTTGATGGGGTTGCGTGTGTGTTATCTTATCTACGAAAAACTTCACACTATGCATTGGACGATTGATAAACGAGTCGTATGATTTGAGACGACGATATCAACATGTACAAACACTAACCTGATTTTGCGTACTAGTCACATCGAGCGAGTCCTATGTCAGTCTGCGATCGAACCGGCCTAACTCGGGGCATCAGTTGGCTACTGCTGCGGCTGGTGCGAAGATTCGATAAATAACGACTTCGCTTGCATCTGACGGGGTGGGGCCATGCAGACTCGAACTCTAATGAAGCAGAAGATCAATGTAAATGTTTTTTTTTTTTAACTTTTACCACACAGTGCCATTACCAAATTTTACAGAAGCTGAGAATGGAGGGATGGAGAACTGAGAGACAACAAACAAACAAACAAACAAACAAACAAACACAGTTTCTGGAGACGAACCTTTTTCTTCTTCTTCTTCATCTTCTTATATTTATATAACCCACCAAAAGATAATTCCCAAAAGAATTTTCTACATTTACAAGGGGAGGAAAGGCACCTATACCCTGACTGACTGGCTGACTGGCTGATTGATTGCTATACGTATAAATATATGAATGATATATATATTTATAGCAACTGTACCCTTACCCACGCTATCCACACTATTGTCGACGATGCAGGCCATCCGACGATGATGACGAAGAAGACGAAGAATGTAGCGCTGCGAGGAGAGCTGCCCCGACGCACGATCCATCCTCCGTCGTTCTGAGGACGACGTGCTGCGCGACATCTTCGCCCAGTATTTCGTTCAACGCCTCGTGCAAGTACTCTCTGAACATCATGTAGCTCGTGTACAGGCTTCCTTCCACGGCTACTACCGTTCTTCTCATCTTCGCGTCGCTTTTGCTTCTGCTGCCTGTTATCCCTCCTGTTCCGTCCCGGCCAATTTTCTTTAGTATCCCCACGATTCCGGCGGCTGCCAAACGTGCAGCTCTCCTTGTCACCACGTCGCATACTTTGACGACGAGCCTCCGTGCCTTTAGAGGAACGTCTTGGATCTGTGGGGAAGTTAACCGGGCAAAGATCAAATCAAGCAAAAAATGTGAGCTTATGTCTCATTTTATCCAAATGATTCGTGCACAGTCCTTGTTACACATACCTCCAGCGTTTCTCGTAAGATGGCAGCCACTTCCTTCAAGTCGGGAGACTCATCTTCATGCATTGCCGCCATTAGAGGCATTCTGAATTATAAGGCTTGGAAGATCAGATTTGGTTTATAATTGACATGGACGAGCGACTATTGATAAGGAGATTAGATATAGCACTTACTCCAGCACGAAAGGTGTCAACAACTTGGATGAGACGGGTCCAAAGATATCGGACTCCTCGCACATTCTGAGGATTACTCTTCTGACGATGTCCCCGAGATACATTCCAGATATCATTTTCTCGAAACCCTGCGAGCCAAAATCCCAGATGATGAGTGTGTGCCTCTAAAAGTGGTTAAGTGGGAAGATAGCCCAGGGGCATGCAGCCGCAGCTACTTACTTACCTGGTCATTTGGATTGGGGCTTTCCAAATCCATGTCAATATCGTAAGTTGTTCTCGGCAAATGAGATGACCAGAAATTTCCCCATTCCATGTTGACCACCTAATTGGAAAGAGAGTCATAATGTAAGCGAGTTCATTGAACGCCAGACGGGAAGGAAAGTAAAAAGTAATAGTATTCCATGCATAAGACGTGAGAAAAAGATACCATTCCTCCGGAAGATGTGAGGAGTCCTTGGCATTTGATGATTGCGTCTGCCCTCTCCATGTAACAGGCATTAGTGCCGGTTCCAATTTTAACAGCAGCAACAGTATCGGCATCATAATAGTGTCCAAGGGCTAATATTCCAACAGTATCATTCACCTGTCAGACAAAAACAGGATAAGAATGATTTATTATACAATTTAAGTAAGCATCTAGACCTTGTTTGTGACTCCTGTCTTTTTTTGTTTAATGCATTTTCACTCATATAAAAAATAAAAAGTAGCATCTAGACCATGCAATACCGTGTGATCATGAACCATTCCAAGACAATGGAACTTCAAAAAGTTGTACAGAGAAAATGAAACTACCAACAAACAAAGCAAATGAGAGCATGAATTTCTGGACAAAGGAGACAATTTTGGGGTACCAATAATTGCCTGAATGGTATTGTTTAGACAACATCATTAGCTTCCCTAGACAATAAGAACATCCTAATTGGTCCACATATACACAAAGGAGAAGAAATGCTAGCCCAGCAGAAACAATATTAAAAAGCCAAAGCATGTATACAAAAGTGCATGTATTCCTACCATGAGACTCCTCAAGTGCGAAACATTACTATGCAGTCATCAAAAGCACAGCATCGTGACAAGAAAGAACTGGTAGCTTACCAATACAGTCGCCCACATATCTAAACCTTTCTTCATCAATGCTCCTTGTAAACGTTCAACAATTTCGCATCCAATCTACAAACCATCAAGTCACCACATCAATATGATTGCAACTATCCTTCCATACTAGGCAAAAATTAAATTTAGACAGCTTCCATATTCTAACGAAGTGTTAGAAATATTACCAGAATTATTCAGCAGCAACAAAGAGGTGGCATAACATAAATAATCAACAAGAAAGGGCTTTAATTGACTAATTGCTTCTACAAATTCTTTTCAACTGATAAGAGAAACTATCACTAACCATATCTTCAATAGCAAACCCTTTGTTCCACCGTATCAGGAAGCCAGAACGGATAGAAATCTGTTTGACTGGAAAAGAGAATGTAAACCCTAGCTCCCTGGTTCTAGATTGAGCAGCTTCAGACACAGTTTCTTCTTGTTCAACAAACTGTTTCAGTTTTGATGTAATGAAATCAAAGAGGTCCTGCGAGCCAAGGCGTATATAAGCATCCATAAAGTAGGCGGAGAAAGCTAGTACTTATTTCCTTAGAAACGGATAAGAAACCAAAGATCAGTTACCTCACTTGTGCTGGTCATCAAGTGCTCAGGAATACGTTGCCTTTTTACATCTTTCGACAAGATTGAGGACCTTGTACCTCCTAGCTGAACCCGCAATACCCTAAAATTAGTACCGCCAAGATCTAGAGCATAATAAGTTCCTATCTCACTCCTGACAACAAAACCAAAGAGCAAATTGACAAATAGAACCTAATAAATCATCACAAATATCCTTCACATGTTAAATAAAAACATTGGAACCTCAGCTATTATATCACTGATTGGACAAAACTGCAAAGCTTAAAAATAAAAATAGAAAACTCTGCTGATTCTGAAATGTATCGTATTGGAAGTTTCAGGTAATTATGCATGTTCCTCCATGTATCCACACCAAGTTCATGTGCACATAAAGCATACTTGTCCTGCCGACCAGGAACAGCAAGTCCAACCAGTATTTAAATGAACTACAATAGTTCAAATGGAAGTTTACTTATGCTAAAAAGCATGTCTATTTAAGCCAGGAGAAAACCCCCGTGCTAGTAGTGCCCTAAACCAATCAAAACAACAAAGAATAAATGGAGATTATATTCCCTGACGCCAAATGCCAGACGTGCTTGGGAATCCAAGAGTCCCACCACTCAAAAATGGAGCTTGAATGGATTAAAAAGCAGACTCTCAAGAATCCCAAACTTGTGTAAGTGAAGTTTCGAAAGGAATAATTATCTACAGAAGAAGCAAATTTATTCCTCAGAATGAGGAATGTCAACAAAACAACAGATGACCCAAATCATCAACATGACTTGAAAACGTGGGAAACAGTATAACAAGAATGCAGCTTGTTGAAAGAAGAAAACATAAGGAGAAATGTATTTGAACAGGGCTAAATGAGAAGACACATAATAGACCAAAAGATCATGCCAAAAATAAAAACTTTGAACTGCAACAGCCGAAACCTTATGAATGTGACAAAGGGGAATTCAGATGACAAAAGAGACGCGTACAGAATGGTTCGATGGCAAGAAAAACAAGGAGAAGAGCTCAACTAAAACCGTGAATCACAATTCCAAAGCCGGGTAGATGAACAATGCTCAATTGATGAAGGGCAATAACAAATGCTCATGATATTGCGTGAATGAGAAGCCCACTCCAGAATGAGCAAATTCAATTGTGCCAAAAGTAAGAGACAAATAGAATACAACCACATAAATCAAACTACTATGCCACCAACAAAAAGAATAAAAATAAAAAATAATACTACACAAACTATGCAGAAGCAAACAACAAATCTAGGACAGCAAATACGATTAGAAGCCGGGAAGACCAAACTCTGTAATTTAAAAAAAAAAAAAAATAGCTGATTCACAGATTGCTAAACCCAATGTACGATCAAATGAATGAACAAGAACAGGACCATTTCCAATTTCAGACCTTCCCCTCTTATTTTCAGAGACTACACAGCAATCAATCCACGCTGAAAACAGAGCACAACAAGTCAACAACCGAGCAACCCAGCTCATAATGAGCAACAACAAAGCGAAAGACCCCCGTCAATCAGAGGACATACAACATTCACTGGACCAAATGGAGGAGGGGAAATTAATTAAGATTACCCAGTAGGCAAACGGTCAACGAATGTGAGCAACATTTTCAGCTTGGACCCTCCTTCGGAAGCCAATCCAGCATGCATCTCCACAGCCATAGCATCCACCACCTGCTTCAGCCTCCCCACCGGAGTCTCGCACGAATCTTCCAACTCCCTCAACACTCCCACCACTCTCCTCCATTTCCTCCGGCTCCTTAATCTCCTCCCGACCACCACACCGGCCACCGCACAAGTCGCCACCGCCACCCCCACCGCTACTCCCACCGCCAACCTCCCCATCTTCTCAACGGAAATCGAAACCTCCTCCCCCCCAATCTCAGAGCAAGACGGCCGTCACATCGCGGAAAGGAGCAAATCCCGGCAACCGACTCCTCTCTCTGTATCCAATACCCATCCAGAGCCCAGCACACCAATGAGCAGAAGCCACCAGCAGCAAACCCGGCCGCGCTCCCAACACCAGCCCGTACGCGAATTCCAGACCTTTTCCCGGGTGGAAGGAGAAAACAGAACAAATCGCCGCCGGGAAAAACTCCTTCACTCTCCCCACCGGGCTTTGCCTTGCAGATGACCTGTTCGAGAAAAGGTCTGAAAGAGAGAGGGGTTCGATTTAATTTTTTTTTTTTTTTTTTTTTTTTTAGTATTCCTTCTCGTCGTTTCAAGCAGAGAAGGGGAGAAATGAAAATGAAGGGAGAGGGAGAGAAAATAAAAAGGAAAGGACGGTGGGACGGGGAGAGAGAATGAGAGATCCTTATAAAGGAACTGTGGAATCTCAGATTTGCCCCTGGGGCGTGATGTAAGAAAAATGACGACGGAAATGATATTAATTAACTTATGTTTTTATTATTGAAAATTATTATTCTAGTTGCGTTTTAGCGGATCTTTTGATGACTTTTTTTTACCGTTTTAATGTGGAAGATCTTTGGGGTTATGGCGAATTTTGACTTGTGTTCTTAAAAAATATTGTCTTCACTTTTTCTAGGATGTTGTTTACCAAACTGCCCCTCGTAGTTTGATTGAGATTTGATGTTGTTGATCGTTTTGACTCTTCTTTTGATTATGACATTTTCCCAATTAGAGGAGGGGGCATAGGCAATTTTATTTTAAAAGAAAGGAAAAGAAGATAGTTCTATAGTACTTTGGATTGCGACTTGCTAAGCAGTGTGTAGTATTAATGAACAATGTACGGTAAAATCTTTCGTGCTGAGGTATCATTCAGTTTTAACTTGTGAGAGAATGATAGTTTAGTTACGTGGAAAACGAAGTTTGTTGTGCGTGTCAAGAGGCATGCAATAGAACTGAATTATCGACAAAAGCGTGAAATTTTGGAAGGTGTTTGTTACGATCTAAAGAAGGACTTGTTTTGGAGTAAGTGGGGGGAAAACAGCAGCTTACCAAACAAATGAAGTGAGCTTACAACTTTAGAATCGGGAGAACATTGACCGAAATTTTAGAACCGTACAGCACGGCATGTAACAAATATACGATACTCGAATTATGTCCCTACGCATGGAAGACTACCAACAATCTTACCCTTTTTTAATGCCAACCCCAAAGAGTTGATTGGTTAATTCCGTGTTCAAGTGAAAAGATATCTTGATGGGCAGCACCGACATAAAGTATGTGCCCGATTAAACTGCGCCTTCAGAAAATTTATTAGGTATTCATATGGATTGAGATTTACCACCTTTAACTGATTTTCGTCGAAACATAAAATAAATAAAAAGTGGAACGATAGAAAATGGAGAATCTATAACTAAAAGGAATCTCTAATTTCCTCTAGTCAATCATGTAAAATATAGTAGTGCCTATCAGCATGCTTATTAGTTCGTTGGGCATGCAAAGGAATTGGCCCTTTTTTAAGACTGACGTTTTCAGTATATGGTATATTTTTTCTTGCACAAAATTATTTGTCGTTTGACATTTACGTGGTGGTAGATTTTTGTTTTAGTAAAAGAGTAACCTAATGATGGAGACATGGATACTGAAGATCCTGGTGATGTGTAAAATTGTTAAAAAGAATCATTAAATTTTGGCGTTTGCTGTCTTGTCATTTTTTATTAATTAGATTCAGACAGAGATAATTAGTTTAATGCACAATAATTACTGTGCATTTTCTACATACTACAGTATTATTATGTTTAGAATTTAAAACATACTTAATTACCATTATGTTTTGAATTTTGTCTCTGATAATCCAAACCCAGTCAATTGAAAAGACCTATTGAATAGGTCGAGTACCTTGGCAAATGGAATAATTAATTTACCGAACGAGTCAATTTAATTATTACACTCCCGATAACTTCCAATTTTGTAATTTAATTAGCCTCAATATTCAAACAAATATTATGTTTATTTTCATCATTAATAGCATTGTATCGACTTGATTATCTCGAGTTGGTACACAATTCAACAAGTATACCGTTGGAATTTTGAATGAAAATTAGCCAAACAATTGAAGCTTAATGAATTATAACACTGATAACTAAATGATCGGACAAGGGTGGAGAGGGTGAAGTTATTTGCCTACGAACACATCCTTTGTAGTAGTATGCTATGCTTTCGGCTCGAGAATATTCACTATTCAGCAACACCTTCATAATAGATCAATATCAATACTTCTCTCTCTGCAAATACTGTGTAATTTGGGAGAAATCATCAAGTGACAATTCAGCTTGTCTCCGTAGTCCATTTGTTTGCGAAATCGTGATATTATCGATGGTCTGACCAGAAAAACTTCACAAAGAAAACTAAAATTGCGGACGATTTATAACGGTACAAAACAGTTAAACTACAAATTCAACACAAAATACTATACCGCTTATTTTCCAATACAACTTTGATACGGTGTTACAATTCTTTCTTTTACTCCAACCAGCCAAACATTAATGATTTTGTACAAATGGGTTAATCATGTCATTTACAGGCGCAGAGGTGCTTTGATTACAGACAACAGTGACATATAACATTCCAAAATTTAACGTGGTTATTAATTATTAGATTTCAGACCACAAAATTATCTGTTTATGATGGTGTAGGGTTTCTATGCTTGGATTCTATAGTATCAGTAGGGTACTTGAATTATAAGAATCCTATAAATATTTTTTCACACCCCATAATAATCTCCATCTATGGCTAAAATTGACCAGATATTGAACCTACATTGTATTTCTTTATCAGGCTGTAAATCTGCATCTGTACCATTCACCCCCTTTTGTATAAGAGTGCTTGCACATTATACATGATGTGATGTATATACTCTAAAGAATCAGTCGACGACAATAACTTGAAATGTTGGGAGATATTTAATTATGAATTATATATAATTTATTAACATGTCATCTCAAACAAAAGGCAACTATATTGGAATTTCAAATTTGCACGCGTCAGAATAATAGTTGGGTTTAACAAACGGGGGCCGGTCGTCGGAATTCGAACACAACACATTTTGATCATCAAAGATTATGATACCATCCAATGTCAATAAATAGTTAGTCCCAATAACTCGAATTGTTGGGAGAGGTTCAATTATGAATCATATATCATTTACTAACATATATGATGCAATAATGATATGATTTGTTCATGGTGATCACTCATATTCTATCTTTGTACGTTAAATAAAAAAGTCCCCCTATGATTCGTTGTTGATCTCCCAATCGTACATACCCGTAACATTTTACGTGAATCCCAAATCAACAAAGCACGGGTGATCCGTGATTCACAAGTAAGAACCCGACATTTAACTCACAAGACGCACGTTTTGTCGCTGAAATGAAAGAGTTATTGTAAGAACTCGAAAGTTAAACATGCTCACTATGGAGCACCGCAGAGATGGGTGACCTTATGAGAAACCACCTTAATAATGCACCCCAAAGACAAAATTTGTGCGAGTCTAAACCCATAACGAACCATACATTGTCGGAAAAAGATTCGGAATATTACAATGTTTGTGTTTGAAGTGTCATATTTTAGCCTTCATAATGCTAGTGTTCCTCATGTGTGTCCATTGAATTTTTTTTTTTTTTTTGTGTCAATATATTGCTTCTTAAGGATGGCTGCCTACACACTTACACTTATACAAACAAATAAACAAAAATCTGCTAGAATGTAAATTCACCCAATAAAAACAGCATTTACTTACAAGTGAGAATGAAACAAGTAAATAAATAACCCTAGGGGCAGAAATGGGAATCTGTAGACATTATAGAGAGAGAAAGAGAAAGTAGCAGAAGGAGAGGAGGGTAGTCGTGGCCAGTGGGCAGCCGGGTTTCCGCATTGGGTTTAGAATCTATGGTCTGTACTGTTCCTCCAAATTAATAAACAAAACAGAGTAGCCCTAGAAAAGGGTACTTTGAGAGAGCATTTGGGGCTGCGGTATCCCTTATTAGAAGAAGGAGTGGATGCATGGAGGGGAAAAGGGCCACACAAAGGGACGAAAGACAGCTGCATTGCACATTCCCCACACCACAACCCTCTCTTCCATTACTACTACTTCATACATAACTCCAATCCTCAGTCGACAAAGTTCATTCCCCGACTGCAGTCATATGGCCAAAAGAGGTTACAATCGTCAGAAGACTACGATACGATGTCCATGGTTTCGGACTCAATGTGGAACATAATCGGACTCAGATTATATAACTTGTTTCGTTGAATGCCTTCGCACAGCGGTTCTCATTCGTAAAAAAAAGCACGCTCGACCCGTTATAACGTTAGTTTGATGCGCAAGATGATAAAATTGCATTTGCCAAAAGTCAAAACTCATTTTATAAAACGTATTTACAACGGTTATCTCTCAAGTCATCCGCATGTTAGACGCGCGCGTAGCTTTCGTTCCGACGCCTGTTTAGGGGTTTTTTTATTGTTGTTGGTAGGGGTGTTCAAACGGTGTGATTACCATGGTAACCGTTTTAACCATTATTATTTGGATAATTTGGTTTGGTTAATTTGGATAATTGGTTTGGTTTGGTTAAAGTTTTTTGCTTGTTTGGTTTAGGTGGTTTGGTTTGGTTTCAGACGCTCCTAACCAGTCAAACCAAATTAACCAGATAAACAATTAGCCATATATCTAATATATACACATACTTAATACTTTGAATAACCACTTAAGAGTTAAACGTTCATCCCTTTTAGACTCATAAAATATAAAGCTTGATATTGTTCATATAATGTATATTTGTTTATGTAGATTGTAGACCACAACATATGAACGCCTAATTTAGATAAATCTCATACATTATGTTGGATGAAAACTTGAAAGCAATGTCTTTTTCAGCCTATGAAAATTGCTAAAAGACTAAGTCAATTTAAACAAACACAACAATTCATTAACCCATATCATTGTGATAAATTTTTGTTAGGTGAATACTTCTATACTAACCGTAAGATAATTGCCTAAGTTGCATGTATTTAGGTTAAAGGTCAACTATAACCAAATATTGATTGTTATGTTTTATTCATTATATAAATTGTGAATTGATAAATTAACCGAAAATTTTCTCACTTAATGATAATGTGATTTTATATTGGTTAATCTGGTTAACCAATTAACCAAACCGATTAAACTTTAGTTTGGTTAATTTGGTTGTTGTATTAGTTTGGACGGTTTGGTTATGATATTGTATTCCATGGTTAATGAAATTTAGCCTTATTTGGTTTAGTTATAACCATGGTAACCATTTGAACACCCCTAGTTGTTGGGTTGGGGGGGGGGGGAAGTAAAGAAAAGGGGAAATGTGTGTGGGGGCGATGGAAACGGCGACAGGCCCCTGCGTATTTGTGGGATTTTCGTACGTTGCCAGCTGTGTCCCGCTAATTCCAGCTGGCATCTCTTTTTCTCTCCTGCCGCCCTCTCTGTCCTCTCTGCTGCCCATTGCCAGCCCACCACCCAATTATTTCCCACCTTTTTTTTTTTTTTTAAACACATCGAGGACCATTTTGGGTAGAGCCCACTTTCACCCGGCCCAACAGCCGAGCGGTAAAAAGTAAAAAGCCCTAGATAAAAGAAGAGCTGTTGGTCCTTTTGATCTGGGCCGTACGAGTTGGGGATAGTACAGTGTTCATTTAATGATCCTGACCGTACATCCGTTTTACGGGTCGGGTGGAAGAGGGTTGACTCGATTCACTGCCAGCGTGGCTGGCTGGCACCTGCTGACACATCTTTTTTAATATTTTTTTTATTTATGTGGTGGCCTGGCGTGGTGGGGGCTGTGATTTGGAGCACGTGCCTGTTTGTACTGTTTGTAGTCCTCCTGGCCGGGAAAACGAAAATAAAAAAAAGAACAATTAAAAGTCGGAAAAATGGAAACGGGCCGGCCGGTCCCTCTACCGGCGGTTGATTCCCTCCTGCTGGCCGGCGGCGAAGAGATGTAAGGAAGTCATTAGAATTTTTATATATATATATATATATACTTATGTGCAACTAAAACTATAATGATATAAGAATAAAATGTAATCTCAAATGCTTGTGGTATAAGATATTTAAAAATACAATTTTTATAATAAATTTAAATATCAAGTTTCCACTTGTTTGTTTCATTGTTTTCCCGACACAATTTCGTGCATAAAATTCTACATAAAAATTATATACCAAAATTCGACTCGTATACAATCAACATGATGTATGCGCATCACAATTGTCGGTCGAGGCACTGGAAGCCGATGCATCCTTTCGGCCACATGATACTTGGGGATGTTGTGTTCATCTCTTACATTATATACGAGTCAGGACCAATAAAAAAAATATAATTAAATACAATTCATATTGCACTCGTTGGCTGTCAGTTCAAATAATATCGATGGTCGCTCTCCTCATAATGCTCGATGTTTTAACATCTGATTTCGTCGAATTACCATTTCTCTATTATATTTTCGACTCTTTTCTAACCGTCTAACCCATACGCCATAATTTTATATATGGTTGTCGTCCGTCTAGGCCGTTGGCCAAATTTTTTCTGGACCTTTCTTTAATCACCCATTTGACTTGTCCCCTTGACCAATCGGAATTTACGACAAAGAGAGGGGCGTTGCCCACATGAATACGTTCAATTACTTTATACATGTAACGAGACACACTAATGACAAACATTTTTTTCTCCCCCACTACTATTTATTTAATTATAATACGCCATAATCTCAAGTGAATTAAAGGACAAAAAACGGCCCTATTAATTTAATTATTATACGTGGATTGTGACGAGGTCCTTACCTGTCAAACTGCTCTTTTTATGGGGCATGCGCACTTTGCTTATGGGGTCGTCTTTATCGTATTAGGAGGAAAAGGAGACACGTATTTATTTATATATGAAAATACGTTTATTATTATTTTTTATATATATTTTGATGTGATTTTATTTATTATTTGGGTGTTTTAGTTTTGCAGCTGAACGACTCATAGGGAAATGCAGTCGTTTTGACAATGATATTCTGAGGTGTGTGTGGGGATAGGATGGGTTTTGTTGATAATTTGAGATTAATTAAAATTAAATCAATATGATAGATAAGTTAAAGGGTTTAAACAGGCTTCTTCGTAACGTAGCTAATGATATAACACAATTTTCTGACCACATATGTAAATTATAATTTATCTTCGTCAATCCGCTCTTCTGCATTCTCGTTCACTTAAGTATAATATCCCTTATGTCGCGGCGGGATTATCTACATCAATCTTTAGACTTTTAACGGGTTGAACCTATCTATATGTATCACTTTTTTCTATTACCGTCTATTCATCCAATTCTCTCTTCTATTATGTCCTATATGTGTTTGAAACTCTCCGCTTTGTTCTCTATTCCAAATTTCTAATTCTATCCTATTATATTCTTATTAATCTATAGATTGTTAGTTTTAGGTGTATAAATTCGTGCTTGAAACTAACAATGGATTTTAGACAAAGTCTATTATGAAACCCAAATCCTTCACTAAATCTATCAAGCAAACAAGCCCTAAGATGTAAGCAAGCTTCCTTGATCAAACTAACATTGCCATCAGGGTTTTGGCATCAAAATCACAAATTGGAAATGGCCAATCGGCCATGGACATGCAATTAAGGGAATCCAATATACAACTTTATTTTGTGACTAGTTGGCAATATGTTAATGTTGTTAATTAAACTATAGCTTACATATATATATAATTATTAATTAATTAGTCACGTTGATTATGTTGTTAAAGTTATACATTTAATTATGTGTGCGCATAATGCCCTTTTCATCTTTTTGGCAATGAGTTATGATCGGACACTATAGCCTCTCATCAACTTGCATGCATACGGTAGATATGATAAACGCGATAATAATAATAATCTCCCATATCAATTTGGCTTCTTTGGTCCAAAAGCAAGTTCCTAATTATTGTGTTGTTTATAGCACCATAGATAGGCTAGATTATGGAGTGACAATACTTTTATTTGGTAATTATCAACTTCCCAATTAGTTTTCTGTCTATGAGGAGGTGTGCGCTTGATTTGAATGTGAAACAAAATCTATTGTATAATCGAATATGCTTAAACTAGGGCAAAGTGAGTTAATAAATAAGGTATTGAATTTCACCTATTCAGTACATCGATCCGGATCAAAATATTATTTGGTTGAATCCAACATCAACAAAGTTATAATTGTTTTTGTATTTCTTGAATCTCGCGTTTCTGCAATTCGACCATGCAAACAGGAAAATGGCAAGCTATGTCGTATTCATACAATTTTTTTTAATTTTTTAAGAACAATAAAATAACAATAACTCGGAGTTAAGGAATTCAAAGCCGGTTATAGCTTAATAACCTCTCCTTGGATTGGACCGCCTAAAAAGTATAACTTGCAATAAGCCGTAACCTTAATTACTTCCAATCAGACAACCAAAACTTGTCATGTTTTAATTCGTACGTACTTTAACATCGAACCGCTTTTGACAGTAACTTACCGAATCATCACAATTTACCAGACATTGTACTGGTATCTCAATTCCCATTCTTGTTAATGCAAACACATTACATGCAAGTCACTTTCTTGTGCTCCAAAAGGAGGAAGAAATAAATGGATGAAGGAAAGTCATTTTCTTGGGCCATATAGTTTGACAGATCTAGGAAATATATTTTTCATGGGATCAATTCAACAATAACGAAACACACACATATGTAAAAATTGACGCGCAGAGAGAAAGAGAATTGAAGTGTGGACGACCAGGAAGAGAGAGTAGTAACTTGACTTGATTCTCCTCTTCTTCTACCTACATCACACTTCAATGCGATTGCGACCATTCCCCCACACTTCTCTTGATTTTCAAATGATTTCTGCTAAGATTTTTCCAAAGGAAGAAAATTTCAGTTTATACTTGGAAAATGAGAAATTAGGTTGATGATCAAATGCATTCGAACTTATGCATTTGTGAAAACACGCCTGTTTAGATATGTTGATTTGCTTAATTGAAACTGATAATTCATATCAAGCAACAAATAAATGTTTTAACACGATATTGTATGGACATTCTGGTTGTTGCAAAAAAAATTTGGTTTGTTTGGTTGGAAAAAGATAGTAGGATTTCTAGAGACAAAACATATGATAGAGGCACGATACTCAATAGGATTTAGTCATAGATTGTAGGTGAATTATTTTTCGTAAAAGGATATTTGGTCGGCTGAATAGAGAGTTGTGTGGTTTCAAATGTTTATGGGTATTATTCATAGTTGCGATTTTGGATGGTCGGGGGGTTTGGAACAACCATGTTTCTATGTGATTAGTAGATTTTCGGAAGGATTTTGTAGCGACGTGCTCTTTCTAGTCGTTATTTACTTATTTGTAACTTTATCTCTATTCTTCACAATCGGTGAAGGGTTTTACTTGCTAGAAATTTATTTCATTCACAAAATGTCATAACAAGAATTTACAACCAAAATAACAATAACAAAATTGGTGAAATTTACAAAATAGTTATCTCTTTATTTCAAATCCATCAACTTCAAACCTTTGGTTCCATTAGCACCACATTAATAATAACCGCAAAACACGATTTAGGATTGGATCAAGAGGTTGTGTCTTCATTATCTACCCATGAGAATGGTCAATATATGCGAAAGATGGTTTATTTCTTTGAGAGGTCCTTTGCACGAAGGGGATCAATCACTATTTTTCATCTATAACGCATTGGTAATTGATTGTGTTTTCTTCTGCCATATTCATATATGAATATGAATCAAATTTTAAAAATACTTCGAATCTCGTAAATTATTAGCTTCAAGTTCATCGATACCAAAAGCCACGAGCCACTTTATACAGAATTAAACTAAATTTCTTGTTAAAATATACTCCGATTTGCTTTGATGTAAGTCATTTTAGACGACCCCAATTTGCCATTTGGATCAATATTTTGTTACACCAATCTACTAAATTTTATTCAATTACAAAAATTAATTATGCCCACATGTAAATGGGAACACAAATTCAGAAAGATATTTACACTTAAGTACCCAACCGGTAGGGATGGCAATGGGGCGGGTTTGGGGCGGGTTTGCTTAAACCATCCCCATACCCATCTTCAAATACCCAAACCCATATCCGCCCCATACCCATGCGGGGGAATATTTTGCAAACCCATCCCCATACCCGTGGGTTTCGGGTACCCATGGGTAATACCCATACCCGTACATCCAACATTATTATACCTAAAACTTACAAGAAAAGTTCTAATTATAATTCTAAACGAACATATTATATCATGAAGTCAATAAAACACGGTCATTTTTTTAATATGATTCAAAGATTATGATCCTAAAATATCCATTAATACATAATATAGAGTATAATATTTTTCAAATTATTATGTTCTAACTCGATACATCTACTAAATAATAATTAACTAACATAATCTTGTTGACAAGAGGGAAAGTGAAAGAGTGAAATGAGAATTGAGAGAAATGAATTAGATTTTGATTAAGGCGGTCAATCAATTGCATTTCTACTATTTATTTTCTCAAGTTATCCTCATCATCATTGATAGATTATAATTTGATGCACATATTTTTTTATATATGAAGAAATTATCTTGGTGGGGCGGGTATGGGGATGGGTATGGGGCGGGGGAGGCTAAAACCATACCCGCCCCATACCCATCAAACTTTTTGCGGGTTTTACCCATACCCGCCCCATACCCGGTCAAAGCGGGGATTCCCCGCGTTGAATGGGTCGGAGGCGGTCGGATACCCGCGGCCATGGGTTTGATTGCCATCCCTACCAACCGGCCAACCCTACCCGGGCCATAACTTTCCATATCCTTCGTGGGCTCCTTCTGCAATTTCTTTCCCATGATTTGGTTCCTTTCGTTTTCAGTTTTACACTCTTAATCATGATCATATCTTTGTGGGGATAATCAAAAAAACTATACACACACATAAGTTCTTATTTGGCTGCCCAATAGAAGACAATTGGAGTTCACATTAAATAATTTTGAATAACCAAACATTCATGATGTACCGGTATGTCTATAATGATTTTTGTCTAAACTTCTAATAAAATTTATCTAGAGCTTAGTCGACCACTTATTGAGTGATTGGCCGATACAGTTGTAGTACCATTACGTGATATGATTTGTATGGTTTATAATTATCAACTGCATTCATCTTCGGTTGAATCGTTTTAAGAGAGTATGCCTATTCCAATAGGAATTCATACCACTACATTTCACATGGAACATTAAGATCGAGCATCATACGTGTAGACACCACATTTTGTCCGGTCTGATATCTATTGCGGGAACATCGAATTGCACTTCCAATCGAGCCCGACCCCGAGGGACGGTTGCGACAATACGATCGACATTTTCGTTGCATAGGTCGATCGGCCTGGCGTGCATGTCGATCTGTTTAACATAGTTTCTGCCCTTTTTGTTACTTAACGACATATATATATTCCAAAAACTATGGATAACTTTTTGCTTGGATTTTAGACCAAGTTAGCATAACAAAATATCCAGATGATGCATATTCATTAGATAATGCTTATCACGTCATAATCTGATGCGTCGTACTTCATTCTCATCATCCTTGCTATTGTTACTGGACTGAGAATTTGTTAGAAACAAGTTGATTACAACATAATTCATCCGGATGAAATTCATCATTTTCTTTTTACATTTGTAATTTTCATAAATTTAGAATAGCTAGCCTAGTAGCATGTTTGTTACATGAGCATATAGTATTGGCCTCATGGGGGCATAATAAGTGGGCAACCGAAAGAATAGATAAATTCAAGGATTAGGATGATTAACCTGGTTTAAAAGTATATGAACTAAATCGACTAGGTATGAAATTCAAGGGACTTAAATGTGTGTTTTCCCAAATCCCAGGGTTCTCTCCAAAGTCCAAAGTCCAAACTAAACCCTAAACCCCATTTTTATGTCAAAAGAAAAGGGAAAAGAAAAGAAAAAAATCAAAATACACCGCCTCCAAACCATAATTGTAAATTTCCGTCCTAACGCCGCCGGAAACTGTCCACTTAGGTTTTCTCCCGCGGAGTCCTTTCCCCCACTCTTTCCTGCCGCCGCTTGCCGGTATCTGGTTCGCCGTTTTCATGTAAGTGGTATCGCCTCTCTGGATTGATGTTCGTTTAGTTGTTGGTACTGCCTTGCCGCATCTTGCATTCTGCAGCTTGCTAAGCTTCTGTGCTTTCGATTTCTTCCTCTATACTGTTGTTAGCTGGTTCTACTACTCTGATCTTCCTGATTAATTCTTTTGCTCCTGAGTATGGTGATTGTTCTTGCTTGCGCTGCCTTTGGAGTCGATTGTATGATCTGCTCATTCTTTTTTTATTGGTCTCGTGAAGAATTAGTCGTGATAATATGATTTCCCCTCTTTGTGTTGGACAGACAATATGCAGCACGATGAGGTTATATGGCAAGTTATCAGGCACAATCACTGCAGTTTCATGGCCAAGTAAGGCTTCCACATACGAGCTATGCATCCTTTTTCTTTTGCTCCTCTGTAAATGTGAGTCTCGAGCTCTGCTGGATACTGTCTATGTGCAGGATAACGGCAGGGAACTTCTGTAGGAACCCGTATAACGTTACAGGCATTTGCAATCGGAGTTCTTGTCCCCTCGCCAACAGTCGATACGCCACTATCCGTGACCATGATGGTGTGTTTTTGTGTACATCTCCTTGGCTTTTAGTTTCCAAGTGAATGCACTGGCTTCGATGGAAATGTTAGAAAAGTTTTTGAGGATCTTGATTCTTAGTTGGGCTGATTCTCTCTGGGTCAAATTTTGTTTAGGTGTCTTCTATCTGTACATGAAAACCATAGAGAGGGCTCATAAGCCGAACCAGTTGTGGGAACGAGTGAAGTTGCCGAGGAATTACGAGAAGGCACTTGAAATTATTGACAAGCATCTGGTACGTAGTTCCTATTGTTTCATTGTATTGCCTGGCTTTTGTTGTTGTTCTCATGCTGGCAGCAGCTGATTCCATACTTCTTCCATAAACTTAATTCTTTATTCTTGGTTCATTTTTTTTCCTGCTGGAATTTGTAGATGTACTGGCCAAAGTTACTTATTCACAAGATAAAGCAGCGCCTAACAAAAATGACTCAGATGCGTATTCGTATGCGGAAACTTGCTTTAAAAACACGGTTCGTATTGCTCCTCCTCTTCATCTACAGCGATTTTGTGTGTGCTTTTTATTGCCTTCCCCTTCTCTCTTTCTTCTTTATCCCTATAGAGAATATTGGCTTTTGGTTTAACATACAAATTATGAATCTTTCATGTTTTCGTCCATAGATTACTTCGCTAGCTTCGTTCTTTTTTGGGTGAAAAATTTACTAGCCAAGTTCATTGCTAGTTTCCTGCATAAACCTTGGCTTTCAAGATATTCTAAATACAAGGTTTTCATGCTATAGTTCCTATGGTAATGAAGGCCAGTGGCAGCTGGTCTAGTTGCTCAATTCAAGTGATGGACAATATAGATCATTATGAAATAATGATTTGGAAACTGGATTAACTCTAGAAATTCAGGAATCAAAATGATTGGCAATCAGACAGAATGATGTAAATCGTGTAACCAATGATTTCGGTTCTGGTCAGTGGTCATCAAGTTGAATGTGCTTCGGTTTATGATATGTAATAGTTCTTACTCGAGGATAAATTACACAAATGTTCGTTGTAATTCATAATGATTGTGAGTTCGGCTTACAACTGAAGAGAAATTATTTGAACGTTCATTGAACTTGTAATTATAACAAGTTTGACTTAGCACTGTACGGAAACTATTTGATTGCTCAAAGATAATGAAGAGCGACACTCAGCCAGTCACCAGTACTGCATTCATTTGGTGTTTGGACTGGCGGTTCAGGTTCCAAGCTAGTTGTATAGAGAATTGAGAAAGAAACATAAAAAACAACCCTATGAATTTCTGCTTTGCTATGTGAGGATCTGGGCCATTTTTCATTTATTATCGTTTTAGATTCCTGCTGCTGCAAGCCCTCAAAAGCTATCTTATATGGTAAAGATGTTAACGGTCTCATTCGGGCTGCAGGGAGAAGGTAGTTACACTTCCTAGAAAAGAGATCAAGAGAGACGCAAGAAGGTTGGAGAAAGCTGAGAAGGCAGCTGTTTTGGACAAGGTAATTTATAAACCTTCTGTAAGTGGACGCATTCTTATGGTTACTCTATTCAAGTTCTGACTGATTGCATTGCAGAGTATTGAGAAAGAGTTGGTGGAAAGGCTCAACAAAAACGTTTACGGCGATATCCATAACTATCCAGTTAAGCATTTCGAAAGTCTGCTTGACATGGAAGAATCCCAAATTGATGCTCAAGAAGAGGAAGAGGTATGTAATTGGGTCGGCAGTAAGGATAAGGAATGCTTGGAGGTCCCCCACTAACAATTGTTTCTTGAACTAGGAGGAATATGATGTCGAATACCTTGAAGGTGATTATGATGAACTGGAAGAGGAAGATGACATTGAAGATTTTGGCAAATTAGCTATGGATTTCCCAGAGGACCCTGGTAAAAAGTTCTCTTGTTTTGGTTGCAAATGCGGGGAATGAATTCAATTGTCATCGCTTGTTTTATTTGTTAATTTCAAAACCAAGTCAAACTGAAATCAAGGACTCGGGGTCCTAATATCCTAACCTAGCTGACCTGTTCCCCGACAACCGGCAACATAATTTGACCTGAGGCTTTCCTGACTCCAAAACAGGTGATGAACTGGATGGTGATGAGATGGACGCAGTTGGTTCAAGGGAAAAGAAAAGGTCCGGTTCTGCTCATGGAAAGCTGGGCAACGATGAAGCTAAGAAGAAGAAACCACGGGTGCTGGTTGAGGTTAGTACTGACAATTGACAAATCTACATTGACATTGTAATAGCGCATACAAATGCTACAAATAACAGCTTCTTTCTGCTATACCTGTAATGTAAAATATTTTTTTCTTTGCTTCGTATCAGGTCGAGGATGAAGGTGCTGCTGGGAGACGAAAGGCAACCGTTTGAGAGGGAGAGATTGCTACATGGTTTCTTCACTTCCAGATAGTCTCAGCTTAAAACCCCCTCTCATTCAGATGCTTACCATTATTCTCCTGGCGAAACTGTCACTCTGTAAGCCCGTCAGGGGACCTTCACAAACAGCGAGAATGGAGTCGGACGTGTCAGCTGTAAATCCCTGGTCATTTTCCTTCTCATCAGTTTTGTAACCTTAGGGTATCATACAACAGAACTAAGATGTGAAATCCGGATGCACTCACTTCTTCTCTTCTCATTTGTTCAAAGAAAGTTGGCTTATGCTACGTTTGTCCACTGTTGCGGGTTTGTCTAATACTTTCGAATCCGTATCACATCAGGATTTCGGGAACTTTGGGTTTGAACTTTGAAGTACTGTACTTCCATGGTCACTAGTTACATATAATTCAATCTTATATAGAATAACATTCTCCAACAGACCAACACGAAGGCAAATTTAATCAAATCCAAACCTTAAACTACTATCCTTGTTAAGAATCATACTGCCCTTCTAATCCTAATGATCTTCTTTACTTCCTGATTACCGCCACCGTCTTGTACTGATGGCTCAGAGCTCGCACTCTTTGCCGCCGCGGTAGGCTTGGAATGCTCCATCACGACAACCCTCCGCCATCCCCCACCGTTGTCTCGGATAAATTCTTCGACCGAATTCGACGCTTGGCCTGACTTCTCCAGAATATCAACCCGCCGCCAAACGCCGCCGTTGTCCCCGACACTGCTGGTTTCGAACACCGGCTGTCTCGGAGCTGAGTTGACTTCCTCTTCCTCGCATTTGTTTTCGCCATGGAACTCAGTCGCGGACGGCGCTGTGGTGAGAGTGGAGACGGAAAGCAGGTCGTCATTCATCATCTCGGCGTTCGCCATCGCCGATTTAGGTTGAGGAATGAGGAGCTTTAAGGTGTCTCTGTTCTTATATATAGAAGAAGAAAAAAGGATTTCTTTTCAGTCAAGGAATCCGTTTCTGGCTCGGACATGGGCCTGAAGTGGAGCGGTGGGCCGAGAACAAGTTGAGGCGATTGATTGAGTGGGCCTAGGATCTACTTCTCGAGAACGGGCCACGTGTCAGTTGGGGAGATAGGATAAGAAACGAGGGAGAGAGGGAAATGAAAGAACACAGCGAAAACAGGGGAAAATGGCGGGAGCGTTGTATGGGAGCTTCGCCGTAACCGCCTGTGCGAATGATAGCCGTGGTAGTGGTAAGGAGGACGAGAAATTGAAAGGGTCGAAGGTTTTGGTTCTGGGCGGGACGGGTCGGGTCGGGGGTTCGACCGCTGTTGCTCTTTCCAAGCTTTCTCCTCATCTTTCCATCGCCGTCGGCGGCCGGAACAGGTCAGCAACCGGCGGGAAAACAAGCTCAATAGTTCATTACCCATTAATAGTACAGTCTATTGCTATAGTGGGTATCAAGGGTTAGGAGGATTGATTATTAATTTGAAGAAAAAGATTGCTTCTTTAGTGGCGAAGTAGTTTGCAAAACTGTTCCTGATGATTTTTTTTTCGAAAATGGGGGACAGGGAAAAGGGTGCTGCGATGGTGGCTACCCTGGGGAGGAATTCTTCTTTTGTTGAGGTGGATTTTGAAAATGCGGAGTCACTGAAAGCAGCTTTGGATGGTGAACGGGCTTAAATTTCTGTTCTTAAATTTCTTTCGGTAATTTCTGGTTAGGGATTGTTTGAATTTTGTTGTTGTTGTTGATGTGGATGCTGCAGGAGTGGATCTTGTAGTTCATGCAGCTGGACCTTTTCAGCAGACTGAAAAATGCCCTGTGCTTGAAGCTGCTATAGAGACCAAGGTGAGGTGAGGTGAACCTATAATTCTTTTTTTCCTGCGTCTTTTGAGTAGTATTCCTTACATTATCGATCAGCATTTTGCTTTAAGCTAATTAACTTCTTGTTCTTCGATCACGTGTGGTCATGGCAGACAGCATATGTGGATGTTTGTGATGACACGAATTACGCGTTGCGAGCAAAGGCATTCAAGGATAAAGCCGTAGCTGCAGGGATTCCTGCAATAACAACTGGTGGAATCTATCCAGGAGTGAGCAATTGTGAGATTGGATCTTTCCCCTTTTTATGTCCTTCTAAAACAGGAAAAAATCCGTATGCTCTTATGTTGTGGATCGTGGTATCATAACAGTGATGGCGGCAGAGCTAGTTCGAGTTGCAACAAGTGAGAGTGAGAGAGAGCCTGAGAGGCTTAGGTAATCTGCTTAGATAATTTGCATCATCAATGAGAATTCAAGCAAATTTGAAGCCTTTCTTGTCACTATTTACAGCCAATTCATGCTTTCAGTATGTTCTTGTCCAGGTTTTACTATTATACAGCAGGCAGTGGTGGAGCTGGCCCAACGATTTTGGCCACTAGTTTCTTACTTCTTGGTGAAGATGTTATTGCTTATAACAAAGGTAAGTTTAAAGATTCTGTATGAATTTTTTTTTAAAAGTAAGGTAGAGAGTCCTTTCTGTGCTATTGCCACAGTGTTTAATCAATCATATCATCTTATACTTAATCAGGAGAAAAGGTCAAGTTAAAGCCATTCAGTGGGATGATCAACATTGATTTCGGGAAGGGGATTGGAAGCCGAGATGTTTACCTGCTGTAAGTAACTTCTGCATGAAAGAAAATTTCTCTCAGAGAGCAGCAAAAGCTTTCAGCTGTAAGTTTGTTGATTGCTATGCCGGATTCTGTAGTTAATGTATCTGATTAGAAAAGAAACATTACTGAAAAGATTGGTTTCATTGTATAGTGAGAAAGAAGCTTTAAGTCTTGCCCAAATTTGGTATAGACATAACAATAGGAAAGAAGTTTGAGCCTTTTACTACTTTGGGCGACTAATCTATTTGCCAATTTGATTATAACTAGTCAAATCTTGTCAGACATCAGTTGCATACTTATGAAGCCTTACACATGCAGGAATTTACCTGAGGTACATAGTGCTCATGAGATCTTGGGAATACCAACAGTAAGTGCTCGATTTGGAACCGCTCCCTTCTTTTGGAACTGGGGAATGGAAATCATGACAAATCTTCTTCCTCAGGTACCTTCTAAAATCAGTTGCCTATTCAATGATATAGTTCTTACGAGGGTCTTTTTTGGTTATCAAGGTTAGATAGAGGTTCATACTAGGTCCAAGCTTTTCATATTTAGAGAATAAACCAATTATTGGTTGGTTTCAACTTTGTTCATATGCGGAAGCAGAGAATTTGGTTCTCTGAATAAGTCAATCTCATCTGCTTGCAAGAGCCATTAAAGCTATTCGATAATATTGGAGATTGGCTGAACTTATATTTTGCAGGAATTCCTGAAGGACAGAAGCAAAGTGGGTGAAATGGTACAATTGTTTGATCCTCTCGTGCGAACAGTAGATGGTTTTGCCGGAGAGCGTGTTGCAATGAGGGTGAGACTACTGAGAAGACCGACACCATGAAATTAACTAATGAACTATCAGTAGTGTTGTAACTGAAGTTGAATTGTAATGCCATTAAATCTGTTTATCTAATGTTATTCGGAACAGATTGACCTGAAGTGTACAGACGGGCGAGATACCGTTGGCTTGTTTAGTCACAAGAGCCTCTCACAGTAAGTCCTTTCTCCTAACGCTTTTGATTTGCCAAGTGGTAAAATTTGTATAATTCTGTTCATGAAATTATGAAGTGACATTGTGCAAATCCAGATGCGTTGGTACTGCAACTGCTGCTTTCGCCTTAGCAATCCTCGAGGGAAGCACACAGCCCGGAGTTTGGTTCCCAGAAGAGGTATTAATTATTAGCTACTGATTAGCCCTATACATTTAGCAAATTCGTAAGCTATCATTATCGTCAATGTGCTTAAGCAACGAGCCAACGACTCTAATTAATTTTTATGGTGCAGCCTGAAGGAATTGCAGTGGAGGCAAGGCAGATTCTGCTGGAGAGAGCCTCCCAAGGCACCATTAATTTCGTGATGAACAAGTAAGTACCATCGATCGCGTTGTCGATATGGAAACCAAACCATCCGCATATTACGAACTAATTCTCGCATTAACTATGGGAACTAAATAATTTCTTGGCATGCATGCAAGCAATTAGACATGGCAAAAAAAAAAAAATATCTGGTTTTAATTGTGTGCCCTGTTTGCTTATCAACTAATTAAATCATGTCCTGTTTCCTCTGTGTTTTTCCCGATTAAGGCCGCCATGGATGGTGGAAACCAAGCCTAAAGAGCTCGGATTGGGAATCTACGTGTGAACAGAGTGATGAATAGCTGTTCCTGTATATGTCAAGCAAATTTTTGTATTAATTTTAATTAACATTTTTCCATTTGTAATTAAGTAAATTTGGTAAACTAATCAGTGACATTCCTAATCCTTAATGGAAGCGGATAGACACTGGATTCATTCCTCCACCTTTCCGAATAAGGAAAGGAAACAATCTTCAGATACATCTATCTATATAATAATACAGAGTAGTAAAGGGTCACTCACCATTCCTCTGTTTGATTTCTCCCGTCTGAAAAAAACAATGGAGGCCGGGAACCGCCGCCGCGGCAGAAGGGAAGTGCCGGCGTGGGAGAAGCGGTTCTGCCTAGTGGTGGGGAGGATGCCGTGGAGGGATTTCTTGCGCCGCAAGAAATACGTTGCTTGCTGGGGAAGCAAGTGCATCGACAGGGTCATGGCGTGGGACGATTCTGCAGGGTACGAGTGCTTCCGCGACGCCAAGGCGCGCTTCTGCGCGAAGAATTACTCCGATTGCGGGACCCTCCGCGAGCTTAAGCCGCGGGCCCTGCTTGGGCCGGACGTGTACGTCGACGACGTCGTGTGGAGGGGCCCGAACGACGACGGCGACAGGGAGCTGCGGCGGCTGGTGGCGGAAGCAGAGGAAGCGCAGGAGAGAGCGAGGGAATCAGCGGCGGCGAGGAATGATTGTGTCGTCTACTCGAAGACGATCCCGCTGGAGGAGATAAAGGCGACGGGGTGGGACGACGACTCGTGGCGGAATCCGGGTTTGACCGGGATGCTCGTCGGCGGCGACGATGTTGGTGGTTCAGGGGGAAAGGGGAGATGCAGGGAGAGGAAAACGAATTGGTGTAACGGGAAAAAGATGGCCGAACGTTGACGTTTTGGGATATAATGCATAATATGGGCAGCATACTTCAAAGAGAGGTCCTATTGATTAATTTTGGACTTCTGATATTATAGTTTGACAAAATATTGTAAAATCGTATTGGAAAAGTTAGCGACGTAATATTTTGTACTGAGTTATAGTTTAATGATAGATTGATGGTTAACTATTTATATAGTGCGCAAAATTGCTTATAGAAACGCCGACCGTTACATTATGATTTCACAACACATTAGTTTTGACAAGAAACAATTTTCTTTTCATAAATGAGAAACCTAACTAGAATATTGGTTTCGTAGTAATTCATCCACGACTAGATCAATATTATTTTGTTTTGGAAGAAGTTTTTCGGTGTTTTGTATTTTTTTTCTCCTCTAGGTAACATTATGATTACCGACTACAATATTGTTCGCGTTGGGTCTACCCCGCGCTATTTTGCTTTTGAACTCATAATGATGACTTTTCGAGAGGTTATCGATCTCCGTACGACTTCACCCCTTTTAACTTTAGAGTTCTAACCAAAACTCTCACCCAACACTTTTAACAATTTCCTTTAATCCTGCAAACCTCTCACCTATCTTCGTATAAAATGTAGCAAGTTATAAGTATCTAGTTGATGAAGGTCAAAATATAAGATATCACATTTAGAGAGCTCATTAGGAGAAAATGTAGCAAGTTATAAAAACAGTTTCTTGTAAAAGTTAACAAACGAATCTTCGGGATTTAAATATGCCACGCTACAGAGCAATTTCGTATTAACATAATTGAAGATACTATGAAGCACTTGTAACTACATATCCAAATTTATTATACATAAATCATGTAGTGGCAGGTAACTTAGTGGTGGAAATGATGGATTTTATAGGGAGGTTCCATATTTGAATCTCGCTCTCAAGTAAACACGAATAGTATTTTTTCCATGTGTGTGTCAAATTTCAAGTAGTGCCTGGGATCTACCTGAATTGTATGTGGCTCCGCCACTGAAATATAAGTGGCTTTTTCGGTGCACTCATAAGAACAAGTGTATTCAATGCACTCAAATCTATAATTGACATTAAGACATCGAATTTTTTGGATTTTAATTGGTAGCATTAGTACGATATGATGATATGACATATGATCATAATCAATCAATCTATTACCTTAACCCCTAAATCTTCAATGTTGAACACAAACCCAAAATCCCAAATTATAAACTCTAAACCCTATCCCCTAAATCCCCTAAACTCCAAAATCTTCAAATCAAAATAAATTTCGAATGATTTTTGTGCAAATTCAAGTATTTTGTAGTCCATCATCATATCACAATTAAATATTAGCATCATCAATTGAAAAAAAATTATCTATTCATAATGATGATTATGAAACTAAGTATATTGAATGCACTTACATTCATATATTTTACCAAAACTTGTACTTCCATTACTACAAGATTTTCTTTATACCATAATCAGAACGTGAACAATATAATTGACTTTGCGGCGGATAGGGGGCCGCACGGCTCAGCCCTGTCTCCGGTATCCAAAGCCCATATATCACTTATTAATTTTGTAGTTTAGAACTGGCCCAATACTATTTTTTTTTTTTGTTTCTGACTCAATGGCTCAAATATCATTTGATGGTCGAACAATAAAAAGAAATTGAACCCAATCAAATTCCTTCTCTATTATGTCCTAGATCCGTCGCTGTTACGAAACGGACGTACGTAGCACGATAAACACACATCAATCCTTCTTCTTCTTTCTCTCCTCTAGATTTGCAACGGGGACGAAAGGTATAGATTACAATCTGAAGTTGTACCATAATGTTAAACGTACAATTTCAAGTTGTACCATAAAAAACAAAAACCTATAGCACCAAAGCTATATAGCATTGTAAAATTCCTCAAGAATAATGTGCATAACTAAGGGGCGACACACACTTGTATAACTAAACCCGGACACATAATGTCAAGTGAAATCAGATATAAGGGATGAGAATTAGTATCCTTTTCATTTTTTTTTTCATTTGGTTTTTATTTTATTCGTTCTAATTTGGATTTATTTTCAATGAGGAAAAAAGATTTCATACCACCCAGATCGACTTATCGTTACCATACTGATACCACCTGATATCAATTGGTAACTATCGGATTATGCATGGTTATGTACCTCACAACACTTAATTCACACACTTTTGTATTTATTCTCATAAAATTTATACTTATTCACGCTATATTGGTGTTTATTTACATTATTGTAAAATCAATTTTTAATTTTGAAAAATAAAAATTATGTATGTAAATTATGATCCATGCACCCTCATCTCCGATCCCTCCTTCCACCGCCGTTTCGTTTCTCACCGCCGCCACATCACAACAACGTGCCAACTTCCCATATTGCCGGAGGATCCAAACGAGCTGCGGTCGACCATCCTAGGTTTTCTCCCCAGCATGAATCTTCGATACGTTCGAGACGCTCTCCAGGTTCTGGATTGCTTCAAGGACTTAGCTCCTGTGCGGGTTCTGGGATCTGTGCTGTCAATTTAATCAAACTTGAAAGATTACGACAACGCATAACACCGAGATTACGTGGTTTCCCCAAAAATGTTAATCGTTGAGACTAATCCACGGGAGAAGGTTGTGATTTCTTATTCACGTTCGGAGAAGCTTACATTGGCCGACGGCCTTCACCAAACATATATACTCGGCCGCCCTCAAGCCCTAACACACGACAGGAAAGGAAATTACGTACATGGCTAATTACAAAAAGGTACTTAAACCGTTAGCTTCTAACGTGTGCAACCTCAACGACGAGCTCGTTAGATCGTACATGGTCTGCAATAAGTTGGTCCATGCAAAGGCCCATATTCTTTTGTCATTGAAAGAGCCAAGAATAGTAATCTTGATTGTGCAATCGTAGATATTTTTTTTTTTATTACATTGTGCAATTGTAGATTAATTGTATTCGAACAACAATTCTGTAATAAAGATATCCAAATTCATGTAAAAAAACAATGGTTAATTTTAAAATTTAAACCCAATTTAGTTAGGTTATGAAAACAAAATCTCTACAAAAATTCTCATCCCAAATATACCAAACCTCAATATGGAAAACGAGATCAAATCCAATCCCGGATTAAATGAATCCGCTAAATACTCTCCTCTATATACTCTTATTATGACATCTCTACTTCCTCTTCACAAACACCCTTCTCTCAAATAATATCCCATCTCCATTACATAGCAAAATCAGGTAAAAAAAAAATCACATAGCAAAATGGCTAGTCTAAGAACTCACTGTGGGATGGCTTTGGCAGTAGTGGTAACTATTTTGGCTGTTTTGGGCCATGGTGGGAGCAAATTTGTGGCAATGGCTGATCTTGATGATGAGCCATGCAAAAGTGATCTGCCTGGCTTGAAGGCAGCCTGCTTTGATTTCATCAAGTTTGAAGGCCCTGCAATCCCTCCTTCAGAAGAATGTTGTAAGCTCATCAGATCTGCTGACTCGAATTGTACGTGCAACTTCGTGACCCCTGAGGCTGAAAAGATGGTCGATATGAAGAAGGTGGTTTATGTTGGCAGAAGTTGTGGGCTTCACATCCCTGCTGGATTCAAATGTGGAAGTAAGTACTCTCTAATATGATTAGAATCACGACGTGTGTTTGTGAAATTTGTTAATAACTATATATATATGGTTGTTGTGGTTGTAGGTTATATAGCTCCACCTCCTTTGACGGTGGCAAGAGATCGGCGGAATATTAAGAGGGGTCGCAAAGTCGCGATAACTTCTCAATAGTATAAGAATAGATCGATCGTGTAGCAAAACATTGTTGTTCTTTTGAGGTGTTGCATTCGACATCATGTGTACCCGGATTTCTTATTTTCCTTCCTATTTTTCATTATGCAATTGTAGTTATGGGGTACTACAGAGTTTACCAGCAAACCAGAAATAATAATAATAATAATAATAATAATAATAAAGAAACGCATTCACCTAATTTGGAATCCTTTATAGAAGCATAGTTACAACAGAAATGACATGTCCTAAAATTCCGACAACGCTCTTATAACACCCGACATTCCGACTTAACCCAGAAAAAATAAAATAAAATGCGAAACACGTAGTATTTAACCAGACGAATCTTCAAATTTTTTTCCCCCACTATCCATCGTATTTTGGTAAAATATTTTCAACGATCGACTAGATTCAACTCACTCATAAACCAATTAAGGGCCAAACTAAAGATCTATCATCCATCTAAGTACATCTCAATTCCAAAAATTTCAAGTCACCACTCACTCACCCACCTTCCATTCTCTTCTCATCTTCACAACTTCATCACTTCCATCAATATACCAATTTCACCCGATTCTCCAAGTGTAAAACCCAAAACCAATCCCATCTTCATGACCACTTACCCTAAACAACCACGCAAACACACTATAAAACAAACAAACAAACCCACCCAAATTTACAAACACACAATCCAATTCCCCACAGAAGAAAAAAAAAGATGGCCAAAACCGGCGTCGTTCTGGGGGCGGCTCTGCTGCTGCTGCTGCTTCTCCTGGCAATTACGACGCTAGGCGCCGACGCCAGAACGTGCGGGGTCGACGTCCCAGGCGTGGCGGACGAATGCACGGACTACGTGAAGAAAGGGTCGAAGCAGCGGGACCCGTCGCCGCAGTGCTGCACCGCCATCGGCGGCGCCGACATCAACTGCGCGTGCAAGAAGCTGCTGACCCCCGAGGTGCAGTCGCTGCTGGACATGAACAACCTCGTCTACGTCGGCAGGAAGTGCGGGATCTCCATCCCCAAGGGGACCAAGTGCGGCGGTACGTAACCAACCAAACTCGTGAGAATTGCGGGCTCCGATCCAAATGCCAATTTGGTTTATTTTCCTTCCGTATCTAATAAAATTCATGGAATCAAGTACGGAACGAGACGACATATATATTATATTTGATCCGGTAGGATCTGGTCCGGTATTTGATCATATTGTTGCACGCCACTGGATAGGTAAGATCTAGTCCAGCGTAGACGGATAAAACTCATGAAGTCATGAGATATACAGTCCAATAATGGAAAGGCATGCATGTTAGGAGCAAGTGCCCGATCAAATAGGCATCTGATGACCTCGTACAGATGTCAACTCAATCCATTTTTCTTCCGTATTTATAAAACTAATGGGCCAAGAAGCATATGGACTATTTACATTTCGATTTGGTACGATATGATTCAAACGCTAAGTTTCGTCCAATTCTGTCCGGTATGGATTAAACTGTTGACATAGACCATTTTATTGAAACAGCTTAACGAGATTCGTTTTTGTTTGTTTGTTGGTTTGTGATCAGATTTCGTCGTCAATAATTGAAGGGCTTCGTCGTTAGAAGTTGGTGGACGGGGTGAAGGGATCTGTGGTAAAAGATAGATATACACGTCGTCGTGTCATGGATTATTGTTATTGTTGTGTAATATAAGTCCGTGCGAATGTACGTAAATAATTACACGCACGTTGATGATCAGATGCATGGAGTAAATTATTTAATCATAAATAATTTGACAAGGTTATATTGTCTTAATACATTAAATTGAGAATTTTAGGGTAAATACTAAAAGTAAACCCAATCCTTCAAGGACTTGATTCTATGTGGGTTTTTGGACATGAAGAAGATCGATCTCAGCATCTTCGGGTCTTTATTCGTCTGCAACCCGTTTACAAAGCAATGGATCGTCCTTCTTTTGATGTCCAAAAGGAAAATTCGACGACGAAGATCTTATGAATTTGTGGCAAGGTTGGTTTGTGAATCCCGTTCTAATTACGAGCTTGATCTGGGAGATGACCAAGTAGTTGTTTATCCTCATGAGTACCGGTTCAGGGTGGTATGCATGTACAAACATGAGAATGGCGTACGAAATTGCACATATTTTATTCGGAGTCTGGAGAATGGACCTGTTACGAGATAGGGCCATCGTAGCATTTCGTAGGAGACTGGGCTTGCGTATCTTTAGTATTTTATTATTAGTACACTATTGGGCTTTTATTATTATTGTCTTTATTATTGTTTTCCTTGTTCGTATAGGATTTGATTATTTGTTGGTAATATCCTTAGAGGTTTAGGAGTCATAATCTAGATAGGTAAAGGTAGAGGCTTTGTTCCTATAAATATGTACTTGTTTCGTTCGGTTAATGATAAGAAGATTGGAACCCAATAGTTAGCTTTTGTTCTTTATTTGCTATTTCCTTTCCTTTGAGAGTTCTTTGCGTTTTATTCCTTTTATGAGAAAACCCTAAAATCGCCATCCCCTACGTCACATCACCGTAACAGGACCAAGAAGGATCTTGTTCTCGAGCAGGGGCGGACCCATGCATTAGCAAGGTGTGTTAACCGACACACCTTGGCTCGGAAATTTTGTGAGAGATCCATGTTTCGTTGGTACAAAAAACTTGAATTCGGGATTTCTGACACACCTCACATAATTGCAATCGACACACCTTTAATACACTATATTGATTTTGATGTGATATAGCAATAGGTAACAAAATACACAAATATATATTATTTATTTTAATTTTTAGTGAAAATGTCGAGAGAAAAAAATCCACAACCCATGGCTCACAATTCTCTGTCCTCTGCTCCACTCTCTAATTGCTAGCACCTGCCGGTGGAACCTCATCCACTTTCAAACTTTTACGTTAACGCCTGTCGCCAACGTTCCTGCTTTCCATTTTATGATATGGAGTTAATCAAGAGCGAACTTCAAAATCAGTTTTATGAATGAATTTTTACTTTTGTACGTCGAAAAAAGTTTGATCACACCATAAGCGACAAATATATTTTACAAACCTTTCTGAATATGAAAAGTTGTCGTGTGTCACTGTGAAAAATAATAAATTACGACCTTAATGAATTAATATTTTATTTTACTTTTTATTTAATACATTTAATTTATTAATTATTTTTTGTTTGGCGACACACCTATCAAAGAATCCTGGGTCCGCCACTGTTCTCCAGGTTAGCGATATACGTCTCGACAGTGTAGTTTCGAGCAATGGCAGGATGTTCTTTCATAGACGATTCTTCGATTTTGGGGGTTAATCCATTCCACCATGATTTACCTTTGGTTCGTGTCAGAGATCCCGAATCTAAAAAGAAGCCGTTTGATATCTCGGTCTCGCAAGATATTTTGCACATAATTCGACACGAATATAGTTTTACGAATGATCCTGTCTTGTTGACGGTTTGGAGACTGAAAAAAGACGACCACCGCCGCCGTTTATCTTGGAGTAAACAATGTGAGGTATTGTTGAAAGATGCATCAGTGTGTAAGTGTGTTCGTACATCTGGTATGGTCTGTCTGCATCCAGAAAATTCAGAAATCATATTCTTACAACATTATCATGATGGAGACGTTCGCAATCGTGACGCATTGTACGTCGATTTGAGGACTGGAGAGGTAGGGTTCTTTGCTAAATATTCAAGTTACTGGAAGATGTTTCCGGCTTAGGATCTCTTGCTGCTGGCCTACCCCGATTCCAAGATACGAAAAACTCCGAGGTTTATATGATCGAAGCTACGACTGTTGGGTTCAGCAGAGCATCAGCAGCAGCAGCAGCAGCCAAGCAACTCCTCCCTCCCGCAATAGTTGGCAACTGCTTATGCTCTCATAAATCATAATGCATGCTTTCTTTTCATCTGCCCCTGCATCTCTGTAAGCGGTTTCGGAGTTTGCTTGCACATCAAGAAATCTGAGTTCCCTGACAGGATAAATGGAGCAGAGCCAGACTTGTAAACACTACTGCACCCTCCTAGCTTTAGCTTGTATTCTAAACTAAAATAAAAATGTGTTCTTTCATATTGGTTTCTATTGTCTGGCTCCTGCATATCTTCTTTCATCCCCTTAGAGGAAGGACGACATATTAGCATCACAACACTTGTCATTGTGCTTCAGAAGCAGAGGGTTTTACTAAATTTGTAAACTGCTGTCAAATCAACAACCCAACTTTGACTTTACAATCTAGTCATTAATCGAAATTCGAAACAAACCCAATATGTAGTATATTGAACAAAAAATGGATGTAGTTATACATCTTGCAGAAACACAGGAAAAAATAAAACTTGATGACTACAAGTTAAGCAAATGTAAGGATCCAGAAGAAAAAGATATCATGAACAATAAATATACAGTGTGATTGACTCTCTTTCTATCTGCTGAAGCTATACAGGTTTTCTGTACCCTTTTTTTCTGAGTGCATAATTTCTGTTACACTATGTTCTTGCTTTCCGTTTCATCATTTAGTATTAGTTCCCAACAGGTGAAAACCTATTTAACTTAAGAGGGTAGAAAACACCATACACAACCAAAATGGAAAACCCAAACAGGTCAAAACTCATTCATATCTCTCCCCAACTATCAACATGTGTGGATCCGGCATACCCTATTCCGTCCTTGAATACGAACCTGGATATTCAGATGAGGTCATTCACGATGAGCCTTCTCCTAACCACTTATTGCAAGGCCCAGGCTCATTCCGTATGACTCAATCCAGAGTCTTCTTCGTGGGAATCAAACAGTTTATGATCGAGTGAGAGTGGCACTTTGGGGGGCTGTCGGAGTTTATCGACCATATGCTCGCCAAGCCTCTCTCCAGTGTCTCCTTGAACCACCACCTCTATCGAATTGAGAGTTGTGGTGGGTCTCTTGATATGCTCTACCATAGGTGCTGTTTCCGCCACGTTTTCTCTGTGCATTCCTCATCTCTTCCTCTAGATCATATTGTGACCGCTGCAGGAAGATAATAAAAGGAATATTAGATTATCAATTACAATGCCTACAGACAAAAATAATCAACATGATAGAACAGAAGTATCTGGCTAAGATACCTTGGCAGGGTCCGAGAGGACTGCATATGCCTCCCCAATCATTTTGAAAAGTCTGTCGGCATCTTTATGGACTTCTTCTCCTATCTCCTTCCAGAGTCTATCATCGCCATTTTCACCCCTCGCCAAGGATTGACCGGCCTATGTTGTAAGCAAATAGGTTTGTTTTTCAGGAGGTGAATGACGAAAGAAAAGCACTTCATATAGCTGCACAGAACAAAAGGAGGATAAAGAAACCTTGTCGGGATGGTGTCTAAGAGCAGCTTTCCGGTATGCTTTCTTGATTTCTGCAACTGATGCAGAAGGCTCAACGCCCCTGCAAGCCATTGATACAAGACACTATTTAGAGTAAAGCTCAGAGATGTTTTCAGTAGAACAATAAACAATGCTCATACAATTACATAAATGAAACAGGTATTCATTAGGAATCGGAAAAACTTACAAGATGAGATAGGCATTCAATGGAATATCCTTTCTATCTTCTTCTTCTAAATTGGAGAGACGAAGACGAGCTTGTCTTAGATCATTTAGCAAGTGTGTAGACCCATCAGCTTGACCGAGCTGATTAGTTTTGTCATCCACCTGTCTCGTGAGTGCAGATAACAGTCTTTCTAGGTCTTTAGCTGCCTGCCCATAATCTCTTATCATCTCATATAGTGTGGCCCGTCTAGAAATTGCCTGCCAAAATGAAACACCAGACATTGATATTGGTTATCCGCAAAATAAAAGCATACTCTCCAGCTAGTGTTAACAAGAAAAATGCAAAATATCTAGCCTAGAGGAATCAATGCTGCATTTGCCATGCTTCTAGAGTTGACAAAAAGTGAAACAAGACAGGAAGCAACCAGCTTCAACAGCATGCTACATATCACAATATTATGACTACGCTTGGCTGTAGAATATGTTTGTTTCAACATGCTCCAATGACATCCAAGCTAAGTATTTAATCAGAACCCAGCAAAGTTTTCATAAATTCTGTCAGTATCAGCCAAGATATTTTTAGGGTAGCAAGTCATTTCTATCCACCTTTGCCTAATAGACCAGCCACTTAATAGGAATTCATCAATAAATTTCAGTCCAAAAATACCTTATAATAGTATTAAGCAGTCTCCCGGAAAGCATTCTACGGTTTCAAAACCTGTGTTTTATGATCATAATGGCAAATTTTGCTGATGATTAAAGCGTTTATCAAATCCACGTGTTTTAGATAAACATCAAAGCAATACTGTGGACACAAAAACAAAACTTGACCCTAACCATCCAACTATAATATCAGTACAAAGAAAAACAGATATATAATTAGAAGAAAACCTTCAGGTAATTTCCATCAAGTGCTATTGCAAAGCTGCAGTCAGCAATCGCATCAGTAAGTTGCCCCAACTCCTTGTACGCAGCAGCTCTGTTACAGAAACAAATAGCTGCGAAAGGTCGGGACTCTACATTGCATGACAGAACAGCAGTATAGTGTTCAATAGCTTCAGAATGCTTTCCTGCTTGAAATGCTTCATTTCCTGCAACCTGTAATTGGGAAAATGACATGCCATCAAATTTACTGAATAAGCCTTTAATACCATCATGACAATCACCCGGTGAATAACAATATTGGACAAACTAAGCAAGTACGGTGGACAGTATAACCTTAATGTCTGAAATTTCTCCGGTGAATATAAATGGTGCAGTAATCACATAAAAAATCAAACTTCATTCTGGCTCCACAGAGTCTATCAATAGCATTTCATAATGTCCATAGTAGCCACTTCATGCAAGTTGTTCAATCACACAAGGAGCTTCAAACATAAAGCATCAATTTGGAAATCTAAGTATCATCACCTTATGGTGTAAGAGTTCCCGCGCCGTGGAAGCTAATGGTATTAACGATTCCAGATAACTGCTACCAAAATTTGAGAGACTGCTGAAGAAAAACTACCTTGAGGATCATTGAGAAAAGAAGAAACAATTTTTTATCAAGCCGATCTACAAAAATTTGAAAATAATGATTTACCAGTCAGAAGCAGAATTCGGATCCCCTTGTTTCTCCAATGAACTAATGGCTTCCTCCAGCCTCCCAAGATAGAAGTACGACATAAACGTCAAGCGGCTGCGCCAGAGCATGAAGGAGGGTTCCCTCTTGAGTGCAGAAGGGTCAGCATGAGCTGGTTCACAGTCAGCAGGGGGAGCATTCTTTTTGGCAGAATCAAGAGTCTGCTCACATAACATAATTACCTCTTCATACTTGTGAAGCTGCAATATGAAACAAAAGTTCATTCAGGACATCACAAACTTTTAGCCACAAAAATTTTAGAAGTACAATTCATAGTTTTCAATTTGTCAGAGTAAAAAGGAGACAAACCGTGAAGAGAGCCAGTGCTTTAGTTTCAACTAAGTTATCACCAAATGGACTAATGACCAAAGCCTCAGATATAACTTCTACAGCGCTTCCTGCATCATTCAGTGTTCTCCTTTCCAAGAGCTCGGAAGACCGTTGCATGCACTCCATCACTTTCTATCACCAGAAAGAACACATAGATCCTTCAAAATCCGTAAAACATCAAATATATTTACTGACAATCCTGGAATTGATACAATGAAGTAGTTCGCTAGGCTGAACATCTTTGGTAGCATTATATCCAGTTCCAACGTGCAATAAAGAGTCGTATCTAAGTTTTAAAAGATGGAAATGGTGAAACGTTGTTATTCATAGAAAATAAGAGAATTGAAGAAAAAGAGGGAAAGGAAATAAAGCTACCTGTGCCTTCTGTAGTCCCTCAGATGCTTCTACTTCTATCTTCCTGTCCACACATACATCGCTTCCTAATTGCAAGCACTTCTTGAAAAAATTTGATGCATTTTCAACTTCACCCAAAGCAAGGTAACAACTACAGATCGAGATGTCCAAAAACAAACAATAAAACCACATAAAAATAGTGTTAGCAAAAGAAAGAAGACCCAGAATGCTTCTTAATGTGTTCTATTAGTTCGCTAGTATCAAATATGAACTAAGCCAGACGAATAGGTTCTTAGCATGTGAATGCTATTAGTAGCCTTAACGAAACGTAAAATCATTGTTAACAAAAACACATATAGTCCCCTGAAACTTTATGAGCTGACCAATATCAACTATAGTCAAATGCAAGATATATTAGCCAACGTAACCAGATGATAATGAAAATCAAATAACCATAAATAGATTGTCAACTGCTTTTTCCTTTTGTCCATCCTCAAAGTATACATAGCCATCGACCGCAAATCAAAGTCAAACTCTTACCATCCATCCAAACGACCCCTTAGGTGTGTTCAAGAATTAATCCAAATAGCAGACCAAATTGACACCAATAGCTATATAATTATTATCATAAATAAGAAAACATAAATTTCAGTATCACTAGATTCTTCTGCAGTAAATGTGTAGTATGTATCAGCAAGCAACTAAATTACCATTCAACATGTGAAAGACAGGAAAGCTACCTTGCAGCTCTAAGTTGTACTCTCAGGAAATTAGGATCAATTCCGGCAGCTGTCTTGCAGTCTTCAAGTGCATCTCTCACTTTCCCCAAAGACATCCGCGTTGCTGCACGATTACTGTAGCAGAGCATCAAAGCTCTAAGGCAGCTCCTGGATTTTTCAGTTCTGGGAATACAACTCAACCCTTGTGTGTAACTATCTTCTGCTCTCAACAGATCCCCATTTTTATATGCTTGATTCCCTCTATGGTAAAAAGCATCGGAATACATGATCCAACCAAGCCAAAATGATAACCATTAACAAATAAATGCGGGTAAAAATTCAGCAGGCAAGAAATGAATACATTATTAAATTAAGGATTACCTTAGCCGCCACTTTTCACAAGCTTCTTGGGCTGCAACAGATGCAGCAGAGCTAATATCAGAAACTTGCTTGACTTCCTTCCCTCTAAGTATCTCTGAATTATCACCAACCACGGGCAAAGGGCTAGGTAAATTAGCTCTATTGTCACTGGCAGGGGACAAAAGGAAAGAGCTGGGCAGACCACTTCTATCGTCTATGGCTGGGGACAAAAGCAATGGGCTGGATAGACCACTTCTACAGTCATTGGCCGGGGACAAAAGCGGCGAAGCTCCAGAGAAAGAATTCAACTTAAAAGAGGAGGAAGCAAACGGGATCTTTGTATTCAAAGAAAGATGGGAGTTCTTCTTTTTAGGGTGAGGTTTAACAGATGACTGCGCAGTTGAAGAGGCAGCAAATCTGAAACCCGAAGCACATGAATCTTCTGAACAAGCAGCAGAAAAGAATTGAGTGGTCATTTCAGAATCTTGACCCTCACTGCACTTGCTTGAACTAGCTTCCTTTTCTCTTGAATTAACCACACCATCGTTAATGAGATCTATTTCTTCATTTGCAGACTTAAAGCTTTCAGTTTCGGCTCCAGAAACAGAATCTTCTGGAGGAGCAGCATCAGCATCAAGACTATTACCATAACGGTGATCAGATGCTTCCTCCGTTAAAGCTGTATTTATGTCCATGTGTTCTGCTGCAACAACCAGATCTTCCATTGAGTCATTCAGCGAAGTTTCTCGCTGCTCTGACTCACTTGATGCAACTTGTTGATTGGTGCTGAAAGACTCCTCTGATGCCACTGACGAGTCCCTGGAACACCGTGGTTCTGATAACATATATGGAGAGATATCCATCGGTGAATAAGAGTCACTAGCCTCAGATGCTTCCTTCGAGCTGTATTCTAATCCAGTACAAAGATGCACTTTTGTAGAATGCTTCCCCTTGCTTTTTCTTTTCTTAAGTTTCGAATCCTTTAGCTTAGCACCAAATTCAACCTTACTATTAACGCCAGTGAAGCTGCTCACTTTTGGATCAGGGGTTCTGAATCCCGTAAAGGGTACCGCCCCTTCTATCTCATTTGCACTCTTAGGCAAGGGAACACCACCAAATGAAAATGCAGTAGATGGCCCTGCACCTTCAGCCTGTTGCCTATCAACTTTTGATTGACCTAAAGGAGCGTGACTGCGACTTGGATCATGACTCTGCAACCCTTCCCTAAATGTAAACCCCAAGGCATCCACACCTCTCACATCATGTGATTTCTCATCATTCTTATTTCCAGTTTGCATACCCTGTCCAAAGATTCGAGTAGGAAAAGTTGGAACCTTTGGACCAGCTGATCCCCCCATTGCACTTGCAATTTTCAACTTAAAATTCATGTCATCTAACAATTTGTTGTCTCTCTCTCCCTCTGCAAAAAGAACAGATCTTTCTTTCCTCTCACTATCATTTCCATCCTTAACTTTATGACTAAGATTAGCCTCATTAACAACTGCAGCTTCCTTCATGTTCAAGTTTTTCATCCGATCATAAAGCTCGTTCCCTAACCCTTCAGATGACACATTTCTTCTACTCCTTTCATCAGGCTTAGATGTAAACCCCTTCGTAGACTCCACACTGAAAGCAAAATTACCAGAGCTACTGTTCTTCCCAATATTCAACTTCTTCATTAACTCATCCGGCAGCAAGGATTCCGGGCCTTTCCCACTACCAAATGAACCATCATTCCCACTTGACCTAAACATTCCATTACTGGCAGCATTCTGATGGTCTTTTATCTCCAACTTGCTTAAGCTCTCTTCCAGAACAGAACTTGCATTCCGATCACTCCCAGACACAAAACCACTAGCATTGCCCACATTCGAACTCCTATTCAGAAACTCATTCTGACTACCAAGACTCAAGCTTTTCATCTCATCAAGAATCCCCTTGTCCAGGTTCAACCTCCCAACCGAATTACTCCTACAAGCTCCAAACACAAACCCCTCATTGCCGGCGTTCCCACCTCCAGACTCGCCAGAGCCGGGCACACCAAGGAACGGATTCGCACCGGGACCGGAAGATGATTTCGGGTTCTGACTACTCAATTGCCTTCTTACCTTCACCAATCTAGGTCTCGCAACTCCCTTACCCGGCGCCGCACGCCCAACCGAGGACGAGTGGAAGCCCATGTTGTTATTGACGTTGTTCTCGCCCGAACCATGGAGCCCGGAATTCAAACTGCCGAAACCGGAAGGATTCATCGCCGCCGTTCCTCAACGACAACGACCCCTCTTCCTCCTGCTGAATGATTAAATTCTCAAAGAATTAGAATGGGGACGAGGAAGGGGAAGGCAAGGAACCTGACCAGCGAAATTACTAGGGTTCTGATTGAGGGGGAGTAGCAGCGCCGGCGGCGTCTAGTAACGCCGGTGACATGTCAATGCGCGAGTCATGAAATGATGCGGCGGAGGAAGGAGAAGGGTCCATCCATCACCATGAGAACGACGGGTAACCGCTGAACAGCTCAATAATGGCGGAAAGGGGGGCAAAAGCAGGGGATCTGTGACAAAGAGAAATGGAGGGTTCCTTGAATTTGAAGCCACGGAGATGGATTGATTTTGATTTTCTGAGAGAGAAGGAAGGAAGAAAGGGAGTCGCTTTGATCACGGGGGAATTAGAGTATTAGACAGACAGAAGACGCCTTTCTTCCTGTTTTCCTTTCTTCTCTCACAAAAACCAAAATAATTTTTTACCCAAAAAAAAAAACCAAGGAGGAGGTTTTGAATTTTGATCCTCGTAGAACATCGTCATTTGTAAACACTTTGTTTATGGGCCTCCGTGTAAAAGGCATGGACTGGAAAAATGATACTTGGCCTCATATATCGAGACCAAGCAGTCCATTTTTCATTGGGCTGGGCCTGCTTGCTACAACATCCATTCTTACTGCAACAAACCCAACTTATTTCAGCCTTCTGGGGCCTGAAATTGGGCCTGAAATAATGTACTTAGGGGCCGTTTGCTTGTTGGATTTGAAAAATGAGCGTTTTGCCAATAAAAATCTTGAGATTTATGTTGGATTTATTGGATTATGGATTTGAAAAATCTAATGTTTGCATGATATATTTTATTATGGATTTGTTAAATAAATAACTAACCATCAAGGATTTGCAAATCCCAAATCAATATGCGAGATTTACAAGTCCGTAGGGTCCACGGATTTGGTTCCAAAATAAAGTCCAAATCCGTGGACCCACACGGATTTAGCACCCTTCAACAAACAATGAACTTATGTTAAATCCATCAAACTTGGGATTCGGATACCAAATCCATGACCCAAATCCAACAAGCAAACGAAACTTTAGTTTGATTACGTTCTGTGGGCAACTTCGTGCATACATATTACATTCTTCCCCATTATGGGACTTGCTGTGCAGTTGCAATAGGGATTCTCGTGATTCAACTAAAGAGCTCAACTCGAGTAGGGTCACTTGCCAAATCATGTACAGCTAGCTTCACACACAGTACTAAAGATAATAGATCAAGAACCATTGAAGATCTCAGCCGAGTAGGGTCACTTGCCAAATCAAACCCCCTATTCCAGAAATCAAACAAAGGAACTAAACAAGAACAGAGCTTGAAGGAAAACAGGGGAGCGATGGAAACTGGAAAGGATGGCGCAATAGTTGTTGTTATGTACAGAGTAGTACTATTTTCTACTTGTCATGTAAACGTCACAAGTGGGCAACCCCCACCCCACCCACATTCTGACTCTGCTGCAACAAAAGTAAACAGATCAACCCACACAGAGAGAGAGTCAATGCCTTTCCATGGTGTCATCTCTGTAATGTAATGCAAATGCAAAGAGCTGGATGACCCACATTCCAGTCAACTAATGGTTGGAGAGAGTGGTCCACTTAATTGTTAATAATGCTTGCACATATTTGCCACAGACAAGATCCCCAGAATGATTCCCCAAATCTTGGTCCAGAGGAACAGCTTTAGCTAACTACTGAAGCTTTGCTTCCAATCATTGAACAGCAATCAAGGGGGTTCCATTAGCACAAATTACATGCAGAAGAAAGAACAGCAGTCAAACCCAGAAGCAAGTTTGTCAAAACAGAGTAAGAACTAAGAACCAAGAAGGTGGGTGAAGAATGAAGATATGGAGATCAGGACAAGGTAAAAATGAAGATACATGCAAGAGTGGCATGGTAGTATAGATATTTTTTAACTGCAGGGTAATAATATATTAACATATTGAGGATATAGTAAAAAGCAAAAACTTTTTTTTACTGTAGAGGAGCTGAGAGGGAAATGAGTGTGCCATTGGTACTACCATTGGACTATACATTTTGTCAGCACCCATGTGCCTGAAGAGCATGCCTTCCCCACATGTGGACCTATAAACAACCATTGAAAATAGAGACAAAAAAGTACCCTCCAAGAGGCTGAGGCATATACCTATGGATTATTTAAAAACAAGGGATCCTATTTCAGATTCACCTCCCTCCCATCCAACTTTTCACAACTTCACCTGTTTGCATGATTACAAAAGTGAATGTTAAAGAACCCTAATTCCAACAACTAGACGATTAAAAAGTGATGATTCAAAAGCTTGGGAGTAAAGTAAGAGTCATAAAGTCATGATCTTGCTTGCACCCATCATCTTCTGAAGATCACACATGGGATTCAGGACTAGTACCTGTAGAACTTCATGAACAATCAGTGGACAGATACAACTTCGTTCACTCCTGAACCAAGTGAAGTGATTCATTAACAAAATGATGGCCAAAGACCACAATGATTTGTCATTGACTTATAACAAGATACATCCTCTTCTCATTTTTAGTATATGACTGTCTAGCACACAACTACCAAATGGGAAGCCAGCATCCAAAACAACAAAATAGCAAAGAGAAACCCTACTAAAATTACTTCATCTGTTCGTTAAGTATGTAATATGCCTTTCCTGTTAGTACTGTCGTATTTTGAGGATGTTGATTACGACCGGCAGGCTTTCCAAGATAGTCTACATATCTACCGTCCAACTGCATGTATGATTTTGGGCTCTATACACCTACATAGACCTGTGCTCCTTATATATCGTCTCTATTTTTTCTGCATAAGAAACCGTGAACACAAGATGTCAACACAGGAGCACTTCTAAAGCTACAGAAACTTGCAAGAGAACACTAATTACTTACAACAGCGAAGTCAATCTCTGTTGCCATGTTAACATTATTACTACACATCTTAGCTGCACAACCAAAACAAAGAACCAGATTAGCATCATGAACAAAAAGAACCAAACGAAAACAAACGGGCCAAGTGAGGTAACAGCACCACCTTTTTGCCTTCCCAACTAATGGAGCTAAAGGGAAGTAGTATCGCTTGGAGATGAGCTTGACAGGGCTGAAACATTCTCCAAAGATGATTTTGATTGAGAAGCAACGGCATCACGGTTATCATGTTCAGCATTGCTCCCATGACTACATGGAACTCAGTGAGATGAGGAGTAAATTAATAGAAAAATCAGTTGAAACCATACACAGCCACAACACTAATTAAATTCCAGTAAGTGCTAAACTTATAGTACATTGCTCGTGAAACTATGTCTATTTTAGCAATTGAATTCAGATATGCAAGATCAGGAACACAACTTAAAGTTGCCAAATGGTACATACAAGAAAGAAAATAAGTAATCAAATGAAACGAACTCAAGTAGCTACAGGCATCACAAAACTACAGCATCTTACTCTCACCAAGTCTCCATAGAGAAAGGAATGCATATAATAGGTTGAGAAAAGACGAAGATGAAAGAAAAGTAACTGCGTATTGAAAAAATCATGATAATATTTAACAAGTTGCCAAAGGGACACTCTCAAACACACCACAAGAGCAAGTGAACATACCAGTTAGTCAGGTTGCTGGCATCGTTATTTATATTTTCTTCATTACCAACCATATTGCATGTGGGGTTCACTTCAGGCTGAAAGTTTTGATTGGCAGCATCATCAGCAGCAGACAAACCAGAGCTCTCAACAGTTTCTGGTGTGCAACAGTACAAAAACAAAGCTTAAGACGAATATCAAGTTGATAACAGCGAGTCCTCCATGTTTCAAATGTATAGAGGGGGAAACAACTGTAAGTCTGTACGCATAACTGCTCATATTACACTGACCTTCTTCCTCGCTCTTGGCTATCTTTTGACTGAGAGGGGAATGGGTAGACAATGAGATGCCACCCATGGACAGGCTACGTTGATGATGATTGACATAATCACCTCGCAGGTCTGGGAGCTGCAGATTTACGAGCCTGCGTCCTTGAAGTTCAATAGCTTGCTGCAGCTCAGCTTGCTCTTCTAACTTCCTTCTCAGCATCATTTCCTGTGAATTGTAAGGCACTCGTGCACCTGAAAACAGAGAGATTAAGTCATCTACAAGGCTAATCATTTCAAGTAGTATAAAATAAAAGAAAAAAATCAAGTTATCTCGAGGGATCATATACTTCTCTGCTTTCAAGTTCCTACATACCCATCGGAAGATCATAAAGCTCCCTGCCATCGAGACCGGAAGGACTTGAACATGGTGAAAAATTTCCCCTCTCCAGTAATGGGTGATGCAGATGATGATGCCTCCTGCTATTTTTACATCCACAAGTAATACATAACAATGCTATAAGCAGCAAGAAAAAGATAAGGGTCTATGCTACCACAAAAATTGGACCATCAAGGGAAAAATAGCCCCCTACTCAGTTGCAGCTTTCCCTTTTTCCTTGTATGGCTTGACAAGCACACGCGAATCACAGATAAAATGAGGGTTTCCCCTGGCCAATATAAGCTTCACTGTCTCAGAATGAACAAACGTAACAAATCCGAACATTCGCTTCTGCTGATACGGGATCCTCACATCTTCAACTGGTCCAAAAGTGCTTCAAAACAGGGGAAAATGAATCACTCGGTCAGTAACCTCAAATGACAATCAACAAGAAACATCAGAAAGAACTTCACCAGCAGATAAGAGATCCCTCTAATCATTAAAAAAACCTAAAGTTACACCACATCACATCCAGAGAGCAATTAGTATCACAAAGTTATTGATCAGGAAACATTCTAACACTATATCTTTTAACATGTCCAAAAATATATGGATAGGTTGCAAGTAAACTATATGAGCTGCAACTTCATATTATGAAGCATTGTAAACTCAGGAAACAGACATACAACGCCAGGAGCACGCATAACTTGGGTCTTGTCAAATATAGAAGCATTTATCCTGACGTCCAGAGTGGCCAATATTTACCTAAAATAATTTGAAACATCCTCGTCTTTAAAGGTGCTATCTGCTGGGAATGTCAAATAGATTTGTCTAGAAGCCGAATTTGCTTTCTCAGCCATGGCCATTGCATAAAATTCATTTCTTTCCGGACAAAACCGGCCAAACTTGTGGAATTCATCACTGTTCATAGCTGCTGCTGCTCCTCCCAGTCTGCAATGAATAAAGACACATGCAGTAAGTTAGTTTAAGTATTGTAACTGCTACCCAACAACAGGGACAATGGCTGCTGTGGCGAACACAAATTGCTTAAGCAATCACCAGCAGGCAAATGCTCTACAATAAAAATTTAAAAAAACCGAAGTATGGTAACAGCCTCATTTGTAGAAGTCAAATTACATATCTGACCGATGATAAAAATAAGTGTAGTGGAGCTGCAAATAAGATAGGGCAGGCCCTATTCCTCATTCCCCTATTCTACTTACCATAAACCAATACGCAAAAAAAAAAACCCAAATCAGCAAACCTCACTTTGCACAAATAGCACACAGCCTCGTAGACCAACAGGATTACTGAGATAATCTCAAACGCAACATGCACATTAGAACAACATATACCTCTGTGTATCATTCTGCTGCTGCAACAAGAAGTTCATGTACTTGCTGTATGCTAATCTCTGTTGCTGCTGCTGATGATGAGCAGCCTTCAATCTCATCATCCCTTCATGCTGCTGCAAGTAAAGGCTCTCTATTTCCCTCGGTGAACCAACCATAGCACGATTATTCAAACCTGTGGAAATGTTACACAAACAAACAGCAAAACCATCATCACAACTCACAAGACTTCAAATAAACTCGCATTCACACAGAACCTAAGAGCAGAAAAAGAAAGAACCAAAAAAAGATACATACATGGTCTATACCCAATTCCAAATGCCCCATCTTCAGTATTGGGACATGCATCACTCTCCGAAAACCTCCTCCTGTGGAGCTGAGCATCCGCACCCACATCTGGGTACCCAGCTAATTGAAGACCAGGGTCAAATTCGTCATTCCTAGAAGAGGGATCGTCGAGAAAGGAAAGGTACTCGTCAAAGGGATAATCTTCAAGGGCATCCGCACTAATGCTAGAAGAATCACCACTCCCATTGCCACCACACTTGGAAAATGCAGCCCCTTTGAACGAACCAGCGCGTATACTATCGTAAGACAAGAAAGGACTGGACTTGGGACTGAGCGAAACGTTACTGTTACTGCTACTTCCGCCGCCGCCACTACTGTTGCTATTATTAGCGTTAGCCGCTGCAAACCCAGACACCGGCCAGGAATGCGGAGAAGGGTTCCTCGCAAAATCAACGAAAGGCCCGCCACCAGGGCCGGGAAGCCGGGGAGAAGAAGAGTGGGAAAAAGGGTTACCGAAACCGCCACTCCCACCAACAACGACAGGCCTGGAGATGGGATTGAGCGGGGAAGAGGGAGTTGAAGGCGCTGTTGCAGCAGACAAGGTGTTCGGCGAAAGTCCCAAGTGAGTTTTCGCCTTCGCAATGACGCCCAGCAGGAAGGTCTCCGGGCCGAAAGCGAGACCGGCCAACTCCCTCTCGCCCACGTCGTGTATGAGGATGTAGCCCATGATTTTGGAGGCGTTGTCCGGGTCTATGGTCTTGATCTTCGACAGGAGCAAGTTGGTGGTCTCGTAAGGATCCATGGCCATGGAAGAGCCAAAGAAACCACAGAGACTGAAGCTATTTTTTTTCGATGATTTTTTGCGCTTTCTTCTTCTGCTCACTTTACCTTTACCTTTTTCTTCAACACTGCCCTGCTTCTGCTCGAGAGAAGTAGAGAGAGAGGGAGTGACAGAAGGACAGAGAAGTTGAAGGGGATTGATGGTGGAGTGGGATTAATTGCCCTTTTGGGGAGAGGGAGTTGGTGCTCTGCTCTGTTTTCCCCTATTTTTCAGCCTTTTTCGTATATTTTAATTGGTTTTTGAAAATTTTGTTGAACTTTGTTTTTTGTTAGGATTTTTCAATTAGGCCGCCAATCCAAACATGAATCCAAACCTTGATTTTGAGTATTTTGGAGGGTTGGAGTGAATTGCAAAATAAGGGTGTACATCAATAAAAATAATTGTATGCTTTTTTAGGTTCAAGTGGTGATTAAAAAAAAAAACACTTTTGTTTGAATAAAAAGGTATTGGCAGTGGATACATTAATTTGAATAACGTCCATGCGATATCCGTGAACGTAAAATGACACGAGAAAGTATCCTTCGCATCAGTTTGGATTTTTGTTACTCGCGTAAAAGTACTTGCCACGTGTGGAACAAATTTATTAGTTTTATGATTCTCTTGTCAACGGTCACATCATCTAATAAGAACTTCAAGAATAAACATTACAAAAGTATCAATCAATAAAACTACGTCTATCCGTATAGAGGCTACCCAAACTCACGAGTAAACATGACCATTTTTTCAATACACTTCTACGCGGATAATACAGTAAGAAAAAACGACTCCGACCATATAAAGTATACGATTTTTAAGTTTTCAGGATTTCGTACCCTAATGATCCAAAAAAAAATAGTAACAATTTTCTTAACAAAAAAAAAGTTTCTGAAAATACCAAGTTAATAAATAAATTTGGAGAAAAAAAATCGGGGATATTCTAGAAAGTACCAGGACAGGATTGGAAAGTGTCAATAGAGAAGAGAGAGAAAGAGAAGGGAAGAAGAGCCGGGTTTTGAGCGTGAGAGAGGACCAAACTTGTAATTTTTTCACGGATATCGAGGACGGTCTAATCCTACTGGGCTGCAATCCCGTGTTTGCCAATGGGCGCTCGCACTTTCTCCAATGGGCCATTATCCACCGTCCGATTTTTGGGTCAGGGCGCGGGAAAAGGAAGGATCAGTGCCCCGCCCGACCCACTGGTCAAAGCCCATGCTTTAAATATTTGCCGTTCTCGGGATTAGACCAGTCAGAAGGAGTCACGTAAAAACGTATATTTTACTGTCTGTGAATAAGTTACCGAGAAATAAGAAATTACTCCTTTCTTGTTTTTACCCTTATTGGGCTCTATCGGGAAATGGGAACGGAGGCCGGAAGGGCTTCTGGTTCCAGAATGGTGGGCCTGGTGCGGGTTGGAATCTTGGATGGGCCACCGCAAGCCTAATGTTAACAATGAAATTGGGCTTTTGATGCGAATTGTGACGTTCAATTAGATGAAAATATCAAGTTGGGAGAAAATTGCTCTTTTTTTTTATGTGAATAGTAGCCAGAATGGGATAAAATTGAAGACTCGATCGATTTTCATCCTCGAGAGATCAGTCGTAAGGATGTTTTTTTTCTTTTTTTTGGTTCTCCACGAAACAAAATAAACTACAATTTAGGCATAGAGAAACTTTTTTATTTGGTGATTGATGAAAATTGAAAAGGAACAAATATGTTAAGTGTTAACAAAAAATCCAAAAATAAAAGTGGAGACAAGGAAAATAAAAAAGGAAAGAGAGTAACAGTACCATGAACTTCTAGCAATCATTGAGAAGGGGGGTCCTTTGAGACAAAAGAGTAGGCATCATGGATTAATTAATAAAATAAACAAATTAATTAAATGGTTGAGTCATTATTATTGTGATTGAGTATATGATAATAATAAAAAAAGCCAAGTAAATATATTCCCTCTATTTCTTTATATAGTGTGCTTAATTGATTTTGCACCAGGTGTGTCTATGGTTCATGAAACCGTATCGTACCGGCGGTTCAAACCCAAAATACCAGTACTGGAGGCTAAATTGGTAAGCGGTATTTAACGGTGTTAACGGTTCAATTACGGTTAAACCACGATTTTGCCATAAAATACCCTACCACTGACTTTTCCGGTACGGTTTCATGGACCATGATTTGTAGAAGTAGATTTTTGTTTGGTAATGAGTATACTTATAGATGTAATGGTCTACCCAATGTCTCCTATATGTATGTGGACGTAAATAACATATATTGGGTTAGTGAACCACATAAATTCGTGTGTCGTGTTTTTTTTTTCTTCATATCATTACTTTGTCGAATCCTCTCATTTCCTTATCGGTAGTGAGAAACAATCATGACAAATAATATGTATAATCATCTACTAGTTATCCACAGATAGGAAGGTGGGTGGGAGAGAACAGAAGAGAAAACGAATTGACCAGTCTGGTCTTATTATTGTACAAATCGAGACATTGAGAAGGCAAGGCAAGCGCAATGAAAGAGAGTGATCCATCTTGATAGTAATAAGAAACAATTTATGTCCTTTAACTTCATGTATGTATCATAACTACTATGATGTCTCTGTAACCAAATAACAATGATTTTTTTGTCTTCCATGGGGCTCCCAAACAGTAAAACATTGGCCAAACTTTGCCTCGAAAACAATATAGTACTGCTACGGTTCTCACGTCTGCAGCAGCAGGAAGGTTTTGGGAGCCCTCGAATTATGTATTGTCATTGTTGTGTTCCAATGTATTTACTATCATAATTGTTGTACATTGGTTTTGATTAGTTATAGGACGTGTAGAGTTGATGATCTTGTCGCTATATAATCGAGTCAAGAGTAGGGGTGTCCATTCGTGTTCGGTTTTTCGGGTTTACCCAAAACCGATCCGATTATATACATTTTCGGTTTTTCGGGTTCGGGTTTGTTTCGGATTTCGGGTTTGGTTTTGCTTATCAGTTTTTCGGGTTCCGGCTAAAAACCTCCAATGAATAGAACTCAACCCGTATTCTTAGACGTTCTGGTTTTCGGATTTCGGTTTTGCTTTAACCGAACCCGATAAGAAATTTTTGGGTTTCGGGTAACCGGAACCCGCAAGTCCTTATCGGGTTTGGGTTCGGTTTTTTTGGTTTTTTCGGGTTTCGGTTCGGGTAACTGAACCCGATCCCAACTGACACCCCTAGTCAAGAGTTCGATCAGGGAATATGGATTTTACTTTAACCCCCATCTGCTCGGTCCGTCGACAAGGGATTGGTGACTACCGTCTATGGTGACACTCTAATGAAACACGAAAATATATAAAAATGACTCGGTTACTTACATATTCTTTTATTTTTGCCTCGTATAGCATGTGAAGGCTCGATCATTCAAACGTTGGCATGATCAACGACGTGCATACACATACGATGATTCCAAGCCAGAGAAGTTGACGAGGACAAGTCGTAGCAAAGCGTCATTGCATTTTATAACTAGTCAGTTGGAAAGACACGCAAGAAGCGGTTCCTACATCGACAAAAGTTAGCAATTAGTACCAAGCCTGCACATATCCACGAAATACGACATTAACAACGGTTACCATCCACGCAACAAGTCACATCTTATGGGTCTAATCACATGCCAAGCAAATTAATGCCAAGCCAGTTTTCCTAATATGGACATTATTGTAATGTACATTAGTATTCTTGTTAATACTATGAACCAATGGTGGGGGGGAGCCCTTACCATATTCTCTTATAGAAATTTCATATGGAGTTTTCTAAAGGCTCCCCAAATTGGGTTTTTCTCTTTTGAGGGCAGAAACATGAGAGGTTAGGGTTTTGCATGATTTTGACATCCCAACCTCCTCTTCCCCTACAAACTATGAAGAAAGAGTGGTGGTCACTCTGTAAGAAGAATATGGACATATTGCAAACCCCACCATTGGTGGTCCTAAATTTGTATCCTTATGCCCTCTCCTTCTGGTTGTTGGCTGAAACAAGGGCACAACCAATAGTTGATGTTGTAAATTGGAACAAAACAAAAGCACCTAACTTGCAATTGACAAGTTTACCCCCACCCCCCAAACCAAACCAACACCCACAATCTTTGAGAAACACACTCATATACTTACATTTGTAGTTTAAATTCGTTTTGTTCTTTGAAGTAACGCATGATATAAGTAACAGGATGTTGATACATAAGACGTGCAATGTGTGGAAAAGAGTACTACAGCTCTCGAAACTACTCGTCCAAAATTGCAACAGAGGACGCAACAGGTACAATCTTTTCCTCAAAACTCAAAAAAACACATGTGCCCAAAACAAATCTCGTGTACCAGACACCAATTGAATGTAGTATTTTACACGAGTGAGCTATAGAACTTTTTAGAAAAGTGAGTACTAATTCGAAATCATACATTCATCGACATCACGAAATAGACGACCCTTCTGTCCATGCAAAAAAGTTTTTGGTGGAGCAAATATCTATCTGTGAAACATTTTGCATTGACTGTTGTCCAACTTGCCCAAATCATTTTCTTCTTTACCCAATCAAACTGTTTTGTCCAAAACCAACCAAGTGATGGACTTGCAAATGAAATCTGAACCAGCAGGGGGGTTAAAAGTGGGGATCATGTAGTTGGAAGGAGATAGAAAATTGAGTGGTGACTGGTGAGTGAGTTTGTACATATGAGTAGCCCCTCAGTGAAAAGGATAAAAACCAGTGATGGATATGTAAAGCTAATTTTGTCAGAAGGCCATGTGACAATGTGGCCCTCAGCCATTCATGTCCTCCAAACCTAAAAGAAACCACAATATGAGACAAAGGAGTCCCCCACCACCTCCCTCTACAATAAAAAAAGCTGACTTTCTTTTTCTCTCTTCATTTTAATTAAAAAGAAAACTGAAATCTCTACTTCTGTAGAGCTTCTCCCTGCTCATCATTCATCAGAATCAATCACCTTTTCCCCTCTTTTGCCTGCACACTGCAAACCCAGTCTCCATGATCTTAAAAATTGGGTGACAGATGCATACTAAGTTACTAACTATACTGGTAGATCACCTGACTCAATTGAAGGCAGCCTTTACCCCACACAACCCTTTTGACTGCTCCATACTCCACCCTTTCACTTTACCCTTCAGCCTAATTCACCTACATACCTATCAGCAGGAGTAAAGAAAACTTCTGCCTCCTGCAAACCCATATAATCATAATCTAATACACAATCTATGAACAGAAAGAACACAACTTGGGAAGGAAAGAGATCACTATTTCAACTTTCTCATATTGAATAGTAAGAACAAAAAACTTGCACAAATGGGAAAGGGAGATCTATTCATTTATAGACTAACTCTATTACTGTTTACTATTTAACAACAACAACAACAGCGCTTTTTGTTTATTTTCTACACTTTCAGCTATATATATGATTGCTGTGTGGTCCAGCTCATTACCTACATAGGTTACACAGTGAGAAAGAGGACAGCAATTTGGAAAATGAAAGACCTCAGTCCTCACCCTCTCTCTCAAACACATATGATGATATGAATATGAAATGATCCTCTTCCCAACAGTAAAAAAAAAAAGGTTAAAAAGAAAAGACTGAAAGAGCAAATATGATCAGTAGAAATAGTAGAGTACTACCTCTGTCCTTTTTCTTACTTTTAATGTATCCATTATGTATTTTGTTGTAGTAAGTAGTATGTATTGATGATGGCGATCTTGCTCCCAAGGCCTTGTTTGTCTACAGATCTGTTTTTCCTTTCTTGTAGGGTATATGGTTCTTTGGGATATACAGCTAACCGATGACTATGGTGAATGGTGATGATGAGTTTGAAATGTATATTCTCTCATCTAGTCATCATCTGGCCCTTTTTTCTGTTTTTCTCCAATAGTTCTGCAACCAGGAAAGAAAAAAAGAACCAACAAAAACAGGCCAGCATCATGAAAACAGTCCATGTTGTCTATCTGCTTTGCATGTGCACAAAATAGAATCCTATGCAGGATTAATAAGATATTAATACGAGAAATCCATGTGGTAAAACTCTTTTCTAACTTACCCTACCGAAGTCAATTCCAAGATCAAGGCTTTATTAAGTTGGGGGCTCTTTTTATATGCCAATAGTTCCATGCCCACCAGAGGTAAGCCTGATGAAGGGGAAAAAAAGTTGCATGCTTTGTTAGTTTGTTTCAGTCTCAGACCCTCTCCGAGTTCTTTTGGAAAAAAGGGTAATAAAACATGAAAGAGTTCATAAAGGCACCAGCTTTTGTAAGGGTTAAATGTGTTACCTGGGCATTTGGGGAAAACAGGACTTCAAAGGGGTCATGTTGAGAGCAGAAGTGGTAGTGGTGGTGGTGGAAATCTCAGGAACTTCAAGAGATGCAGAGAAAGCAGTCTTGAGATGGTCACCGGCAGCTTTCTTGGGAGAATTGAAGAGGTTATCTGGGAGGTGGATATGTTCCAAACTGCAAAAATACTTGATAATCAATAAAGTACAAGCCCCTTCTAATCTTTACTTAACCAACCCAACTTTCAGTTATTGTAAACCTCACATTAGCACTTTTTGTTACATTTCAACAATTTATCATTCCAGGAAGCAAAAAAGTTGAAGAGCTATCTTGGTCCCTTTATAATATTTTGATGGTATCTTTTTTACTGAAAATGTTCAAAACAAAAAAAGAGTTACATTTCAACTTTTCTAATCCAGCAATTTCATCCTCACTTTTATTATCTCTTACATCAAACTCATTAATCACAATGTAATTGATAGTATTGGCCATTGTGGGTAATCTTCCCTTTGCCTATCTGAAAACGCTTTGAAACCAAATGTCTTACCTTTCCTGGAGACCATTTTGTTCAGTGAAGTACTTCTCTTCATTGCCATTTCCATTGCTTTGGCTGCAGGGAGGATTCAATTCCCGACCAACGCTTCCTGCAACAGCATTTACAGAAGCTACTTCTCCATCATCATCATCATGCAGGCAACCTCCATTCTCTGCACCAAAATTTAATACATAATAATATAAGTTAAATCAATCTCTCTCATTATCACTCTATCAAGTCGTTGCAGAAGCATGAAACCCACACGAATCTGAAAGGGGAATAAATTTAACAGCAATGATGCACTTGGAAACCTTCAGACGGAGAAAGGCCTTCTTGGTCAATGCTACCAACACGGACCGGATGGCTGAAACTACGAGCCAAGCCAGTTGGGGATGAAACTGGAGACCCATTGGATAGACCATTAAGGAGATGCTGACGACGGTGGGTTTTCAGGTCGAGAAGTTGTAGACTCACTAGCCTTCTGCCATGGAGTTCAATGGCCTGCTGTAGATCTGCTTGTTCCTCTAATTTCTTTCGTAGCAGCATCTCTTGAGTGTTGTACAGCAATCTGGCCCCTGTAATTGGATAAGCACCAAAACAGTAAAAACTGGGGAATCTTGAATGAAGATGGAACAAAGCTTCTTCTTTGTTTTCTTTTTCTCCTTCATTACAGTTCTACTTGCCAAGATTAATGTCAAACTGCTCTCTGGAATCAAGCCCACGTGGGCTTGAACAAGCTGAGGGTGAAAAATCTCCTCTCTCCATCTGCTGCTGCTTCCTGGAACAGTTTAATTGTACACCATAATCATCAGAAAACATGAACATGAACACAATTAAGGGGAGAAAAAGATGGGTCGGGTTGTGGAGAAGTACTTTTCAGGGATTTTGCCTTTCTCCTTGTAAGGCTTGACAAGCACACGAGAGTCACAGACAAAGTGGGGGTTGCCTTTGGCCAAGATAAGCTTCACTGTCTCTGGATACAAGAATGTGACGAACCCAAACATTCTCTTCTGCTGGTATGGTATTCTCACGTCTAGCACTGGCCCATAAATGCTTCAAAACCAAGACAAAAAAATCCCAACTTTAGCGCATAGGAATAGAAAAGAAGAGGAAAATGAAACTGGGGATGGCACTAGTAAGTAGTAACCATCAAACACAGCAAAAATACCTGAAGTAATTGGAAACATCCTCTTCTCTGAATGTACTGTCAGCTGGAAACGTCAAGTAGATCTGTCTGGCACTTGGGTTCAGTATCCCTCCACCCAATCCCAACGGTGAGAAATCGGTTGTCCTCTCCGGCCGGCACCGGCTGAACTTGTGAAGCTCATCCCCCATCAACAATGCAGCAGCTGCAGCTGATCTATTGAGCAGGAAATGGAAACACGCTCAGTCGTGTCCATTATGCCAAACGAAAAAGACCAAAATCAATGGAGGAACTCACCTCTGGGCATCACTTTGTTGCAGAAGCAAATTCATGCACTCGTTATACGAAAGATTCGAAGCAGCAGGACGGGCCATGAACTGCGAGGCAGCAGCAGCAGCTAACTTCTGCTGATGAACAGCAGACTTCGATCTCATGAGTAAGTCATGGCACTGTTCAAATCCATTGAGCTTCACAGGGGAACCCACCAGAGCAGCCACACCATCAGAAACAGCAGCATTCTCTCCTCCTTCATGAAGAAACTTGCAAGCCGACCCATTCTTGCAGAACCCCTTGGCGAAGTACAAGCAGGGCTTCCACCCGAACCCACCACCACCGCCGGCGCCTTCTTCGCCAGACCCAAAGTACACGCCGGGAACCGAGAAGCTCCGCCGGTGGAAATGCGAACTAATCCCATCGTCATGACCCCCTCCAGCCGTTGGGCTCAAGAGATTCCCCCAGTCAGGCCTCGGATCAAACACCTGGTCTGCATTACTACCTTCGTTGAGGAAAGAGAAGTGGTCACTGTGAACTTGAAACTCATCAATACCCATATCATTACCAATACCACCGCCGCCATTATTACCACCAAGACAGCTGTTCCCGTTCCCGTTCCCATTACCGTTACCGTTACTCCCTCCATTGAAGACATTGGCGTAGGAAAGCGAAGGGCTGAAAGCAGCAGCGGAGGGAGACGACCCGTTGTCGAACGCCGCCCCACAACCGGAGATTCTCAGCGCGCTGGGTCTCGAGCTGAGGAAAGGGGACGGCGAGGAAGGAGTGGACGGCGTCGAAGGAGTGTTGGAATTGGAAACAGAGGAGAACGAAATCGTCGAATTCGAAGACGAAGACGATGGGGAAATCGGCAGACCCAAGTGGGTTTTGGCTTGAAGGATGAGATTGTGGAGGCAAGATTCAGGTCCGAAGGCCAATCGAATCATTTCTCGGTCTCCTTGATCCTGCAGCAGGAGGTAGCCCATGATTTTGGAAGCATTCTCTGGGTCCAAACCTTGGACTCTTGAGTAGACCGTCTTAGTAGCTTCGTAGCAATCCATAGTGCATGTGAATGGAGATTGTCGGGCGAGGAGACTGACCGACCGGCCGGCGACCGGAGGAAAGCTAGAGGTGGGAGTGAGGGAGGGAAAGAGCGGAGCGGAGCGGAGCTGAGTGTAGTTAGCTGGCTAGCAGCAGGGTGGGGTTTTTTGTTTTGTTTTGTTTTTCTAAAGAGAGGGAGGGAGGAGAGTTAAACAAATTGAAAATGTGGGGACTATATGTTGAAAATAGTAAATTGCACGTGGGATTGGACTAAGTTTGTCAACTCGGTTGATGTCGTTAGTTTCGGTTTAAGGTTAAAGATTCGATTGGTTTAACCCGAATATATGATCATTGTCATCGTATTATTCATATGTTTATAAATTATATTAAATCTCATATGTGTTATTGGGAGGTGTTCAATTATGATTATATAGTATATACCACTTATTAGCAAGCACTCTCAAACCAAAGGTCAACTCAGAATAAGAATGGCAATGGGGCAGGTCCGAACGGGTATCTCGATATCCATACCCGCTCCGTGGCAGGTCGGGTCCATGTCGGGTATTTTATCACAGGACGCGGGTCGAGGTAGGTCGACCCAATGGGTATCTAAATATTCATTATTTTCATTAAAATACCAAGAAAAAAACCATAATATGATGAAATGTAGTTAAATTATTGGAGAAATTAAGGTTTTCACTTATTTACCAGTATATTACAGCTAAAATATGAGGTAATAAAAGGAACTCCTAAATAATTTGATTAAGATTACATGTAATTTAGGGAAGAACAGGTCAAGAATGGGGCGGGGCGGGGCAGGTCAGATCGATGGGAGGTGCCCATGCCCGCCCCGGCTACGGGCCGGGTCGGACCCACCCCAAAGCAGGTCAAACAGGTCGGGTAAAACGGGTCAGGTCAAAATTGCCATCCCTAGCTCAGAAGGATTTGACGTTTATACAAGCATCAAAATACAATGTGCTTAACAAATGAGGTCACCAGGATTCGAATAAATATTGCTCAATCACATGAAGTTTTGGTAACATATCAATAACCGATTGACCCCAATAAATCTAATGCAATTATATACATTATATACCGGTTATTAATAATATTCACATCATCATTTGGATTCATATGACTCGAAAACACTAAAACAACACAAGCACTCTATATATATATATATATATGGTGGCTTCTATGGTACCCCGGGTGAAATCCGGGGTACCGCATACCTCGAGTATGTAAACTCTATCTAGACCTCGAATTACCAGGATTTTTGTGTCTGATATTATACCCTAACCCTTAATGAGTGAACCCTAGGTCATAATTATCTAAATCATCATCTATAAACCCTAAGATGGTGCATTCATTTTTGTGCCTATATTTGGATGAATCATAACCGTCGATTATTATTTCTAATTAAATTGATCTTGGAGTATAAGATTGGGAGAGTTAACACCTATATTTTGATTTTTAAGTGTTAGAGTATAGTATCATGTCCGAAAGATCGGTCAATTCAAGGTCTAGATAGTGTTTTCATACTCAAGGTATGTGGTACCCCGAATTTCACCTAGGGTACCGTAGAACTCGCCATATATATATATACTCATAGCCTTCAATTTATGCAGTGTTCTCAGTTAATATATAAAAGAGAAACATACGATATTTAAGTAGAAATAGTGTTGTATTATTCCCACCCAATTAATAATACTTGTCCTGAGCTAATCATACTTTGTCCTCTTTGATAATTATGAAACGCCATTACATTAATTAAAACAACATTATTAGATAAACAAACCAACTCATCAGAAACGAACAAGATTAGTTAATGAGGAAGAGAACACTCAGCAAACAATCCATGCAATCGAAGGAGTAGGAAGTGATTAACACGCGCCGCCATAGGATGCTTGGGAGGGGAGCTTTCGATGGACGAGGTTGATGTTGGAGGTCACTGACGGCGTCTCTTTGAACAACCTACTTGAAGTTTTGTAGCATTCTAATTGAAAATCAATGATAGTGTTTCCCGGCGAGAAAACTCTTTGTGTAGAATTGAGATTGATTGCACCTTTGACTTCTATGGACAACGATTTCTAAGACACGGCTCAAACCTCTTCAAACAAAGTTCGAACGAGGGTGTTTGATTGATGGTTTTTGGGAACGAGATCTAAATTAAATTACTTCTACTCCTATGGAGGTTCGGCGAGAGCTCCAAACTACAAACTACATCTATGGCTACATGATAGAGAAAAGGTAAAGGATAAACTTGACATGTGTGTCAGAGTGTTGGTTCTGGAACCTTTGTCTCTGTCGACCCCTCATCTTATTTATAGCCCCGAGGAGGTAACTGCCATAGAAAACGCTTGTTGGATAACTGCTACAAAGAATCGCTCCTCCTTCTTCGGTGGAAAACCGCCTCTTGGATAACTCCCAAAAAGAACTGCTCCCTGCTTCCTCGGAGTGGTGGTTACTCCTTCAACCGCCTAGGTGCCTCTCTTGGAACCGTCGTGGGTTTTGGAGTGTAGCTTGCCTCGCCTGGTCTTGTTCTGAATCTCGTGCCATGATAGTCTTTTGACGAGCATGTGGTGTCTCGAAAAGGGGGTCGTGGTCTTCTTGCCTCGCGGCCATGGACTTCTTACTCATGTCCATGGCCTTCTTGTCTAACGGTCATGGACCTCTTGAGACATTCACTAGTGATATAATGCTCCATCACCACGCCCTTCTCATTCGTGTCCATGGCCACTCTTGTGAAGTGGCATGGACTTCTCAATCATGCACAAGGCCCCTCTCATGAGGCGGCATGGCCTTTCCATACTTAGTATTTTCAATCATCTCTAATGCTTCTTGCTTCGCGTCCATGGCCATCACATGACACGGCCATGGACCTCTTAATCATGCACATGACCCTTCTCGTGAGGCGGCATGACCTTCTCAGACTTAGTATATTTTGGATCATGAGGCGACATGGCCTCCTCATTCGCGGCCATGGACTTCTCAGTCATGTCTGTGGCCCTTCTCGTGACACAGCATGGCCCTCTCATACTTAGTATCTTTTCTTGCATCCATGCCCCTTCTCGTGAAGTGGCCTGGACGTCTCATCTTGTATCGCGTCCATGCCCCTTCTCATGAAGCGGCACGTGCTTCTCCTTGAAGTGGCATGTACCTCTTCCAGACTTAGTTTATTTTTCAGTCATTAGGCCTTGGTAATGGGGCGGCATGGCCTCTTCGTGAAGTGGCATGCCATTCTCGAGACTTAGAATATTTTTGACTGTATCGAGGTCTTCTTTGAGATGGCATGTGCTTCTAAATTATAGAAGGACATGTTTTTTTGTGTCGTTTGGTCTTGGTTATGAGGCGGCATGGCCTCTTCATTCATGGCCATGGACTTCTCATACTTAGAAATTTTCATGCCAACTCGTGGCATGGCATGGCCTCTTACGAGAGGCCCATGTCCCTTATTGAATCATGCCCATGCTCATTAATGAGCTAGTGACTTGGGTTTAAAATCAATATCCATAAGGCCCAATTTAAACAACATTAATTGTTATGATGGGTGTGACCTTATAAACTCATTGATTATCTTGTAACTCACCAATGTGGTACAAGACAAAATTTATGGTGTAAACAGATAGTAATATTGTTAGATCAAACACTTGTTCATATTTATTTTATAGTTATGAAAAAACTCCTCTATTACCTTGTATGTCTTGCTCGACAGGCAAACAACAGTGTGATTGTGTATTTGAGCTCTATGTCTCTTTAAGGTATCACTAGGTGGCGATGCCGCGCCTTGTCGAGGGACGTAGATGGTCTACGAGCATGTATTATGTGACCCGTTATGGTATTGTGTTAGTATTGTTAGCCTAAAGTTTATTTTTTATTAGCACTTTTGTTAATAATATTGACTGAAACGAGATATATGACAGTCAACTTCCAATTCCAAAAATATTGAAAACTTTGGCTAATAAATGATATTTACCTAAACCCAAGTATACCTATTGATTATGGGTAGGGTATGAGTGACGTATATATGGGTTTGGAAGTTTGTAGATGAGTTTGGATAGTGTATGGATATTTACTTTCATAATCTAAATGTGTATGAGGTAGGTATTGATACCCATTGATTCGAGGGTGTTTCAATTACACACATACAAAAATTAGACCTATTTGTATAACTTCAAAAGTTTAGGTACTAAAATGTAATACACAAAAATTTTAGGTACTAAAATGTAATGTTTCATCAATGTTATGAGACTTATATGCCAAAAAAATAAATTTAGAGTATAAATCTAAAGATCTATTAAGTTTAGGTATCCAAAACTATGTCATGATGCAAAAGACAAAAACCCATGACCAAAATCTCGACCAGGAAAGACCCATAGACTAAAGGATGCTTTCTTAGTTATGTTGTTCTGTCGTGTTCAATCTTGTGTCTCCCTCACTAAAGATTTATATATATTTATATTATCCCTTCATCTATTACCATTTCCTTCTTGTCTTCTGCTTTTCATTTCCTGGTCACAACATCTTCATCTGTCCCTCTAGTGCAAAATTTGCCTTACAACCAAAAGAAAACGACCCATCTCTTCGGTTCTTTCAACATAATTCAGCACTCGACCATATAGTCTCACCTTATGATCTGTTGTTTACAAGTCAGAAAATCCTTTGAATCATCATATATAACCATGATCGTTAATAGTTCTTACTGCTAGTGTTGTCGCGAACCATATCTACTATTGGTTAGTATACTAGCATAAACGGAGAAGAATTAGTGTTTGTGTCTCGATGTTTATGCATATGCTTAGTATTTATGTATTCATATATGGTGTTGGAAGAAACAGTATAGTTTTTCGGTTAGATAAGATAGCTAGGTATTTCTTCAATCCAATTTGTTAGATAAGATTAGGAGTTAAGCCTGTCCAATTAGTTGAGTTGTATAAATAGATTAATTAGCTGAGTCACTGATCATTAACGTTTTGATCTCTCATTTTCTTTGTTAAAGCTTTCACTTCCAATTCAATCAATTTGATTGATTCACTCAATAGTTTGACATATGGGTGAAGCACATTGGTGGAAGATCTTTTTTATATAGAAAACATTCATCTAAACACACGTTTTTACTTTAATTTTGATGGAAAATAACCGACCAGGTTGAATGGAATCAAATAAATGTATATGCAATTTTGTTTTAATATGGACTAAGTGATCACGAGGGAAATAGCAATGAATAAACATAAGTTTTCGTATTTTCTTACAAGGAAAATTCATAAAAGATGACAAACTCCGAACTCATGAATATTCTACAAACTCGTAGTCAATTAGTAACGATTAAGATAAACAGACAACTATGTCAATGATTACTAAGAAAGTAGCGTTCACTGATCACATTAAAGTTTTGATCTCTCATTTTCTTTATTAAAGCTTTCTCTTCCAATTAAATCAATTTGATTGATTCACTCAATAGATTGACATATGGGTGAAGCACATTGGTGGAAGATCTATGTTATATAGAAAACGTTCATATAAGCACACGTTTTTACTTTAATTTGATGAAAAATAACCGATCAGGTTAAATGGAATCAAATAACTGTATATTCAATTTTGTTTTAATATGGACTAAGTGATCACGAGGAAAATAGCAATGAATAAACATAAGTTTTCATATTTTCTTACAAGGAAAATTCATCGAAGATGACAAACTCCGAACTCATGAATATTCTACAAACTCGTAGTCAATTAGTAACGATTAAGATAAACAGACAACTATGTCAATGATTACTAAGAACGTTCACTGATCACATTAACGTTTTGATCTCTCATTTTCTTTATTAAAGCTTTCTCTTCCTATTCAATCAATTTGATTGATTCACTCAATAGTTTGACATATCGGTGAAGCACATTGGTGGAAGATCTTTGTTATATAGAAAACATTCATCTAAGCACACGTTTTTACTTTAATTTGATGAAAAATAACCGATCAGGTTGAATGGAATCAAATAACTGTATATGCAATTTTGTTTTAATTAAGACACCTCTCCTAAGACCTCCAGCTCACTCAGATACCTCAGCCTCTAAGGCACCCCACGTTAGCCTCAAGAAAGACCCAATGCGTCAGACAAAGGAAGTGCCAGACTCCTATATATAGAGGTTCAAGCTCTCCAAGCAAGGGACCTCTCTCCCCCCTTCCCACATTCACTACTAAGGTTCTCTCTTTAAACCCTTTCTCTCTCTACATCTACTTTACATACATCTTCCTCTACATCATACTAACTTGAGCGTCAAAGTGTACATCACAGGGGCCACCCTCTCCTATCATTTTCCAAGAATCCTGCAAAACATGAAAATCTATTCTGTGGGTCGATGATCGGCGTTAGCCTTAGAGATGATGGGTAATTAGTGCAGGTCTTCATCATCTCCCGCTTCTTCTTCGTCGGCGGCATTCTCGTTGCCTTCAGCTTCTTCGTAGTTGGCGTTCCCGTCGGCTTCAGCTTCTTCTTCATTAGCCTCCTGTTGGTCGTCATTGTCCTCGCCTTTGGCGACCTCCGGAGGAGGTTGGGCTGGAGCCTGAAGAGGGAGGTGAGCATCGAAGTGGTGTACCTTTGCTTCTGTGTCTGTCTCGAAGATGAAGTAGCACCGGCCTTGGCCACGACCATGGACGTAGACGAACGGTCAGTCAGCATGTTTGTGTTTCTGGTGATCCTTAATCCCACTCGCGTACTCGAATTGCCTTGTGCACTGGTTGCAAGCAAAATGCGCCATTCCATTAAGCGGTTGGTGATAGCGATGACAGGGGAGAACCAACAGCAACCGGAGGGGAGCACTGAAACGCTGCGACGATGAAACGACTAAGATGAGAGAGACTAAGAGAGGTCTGCTTAAAGAGTTAAGAAAGTTTGTTACATTCTCTTTGGCTAATGACGGATATGCCCTGTCACATTTATCTTATCTTTATGTTTTCTTTAACAATATTAAAGCATGCCACTTAATCTGAAACGAAAGGGCTTTTCCCTTCATTATTTGCTTTTTTGCATAGGCCAAAAGTCCAAAACCCCAAATAAGTTTGTTTTATATGAATTGTTTGGAAGTTATGATAGACACGAACAATAAAAATTGTTGTTGAGTGGTACAATTTTTTATAATAAACATGAGGGAAACCTTCATCAGAAAGTCAAATCAATTTCATACTTGTGGAGGGAGAGACAGTAAACTAATAAAGTACTTTGCTAACTGAGAAAAAGACCTTCCTAATCTAACTTAGTCTTTAGCAATATATGGATTGGTGATTGTGAGAACTGAACTATTATGTACACCCAAATCAGTTTGTCCAATGAACTTTACAAATTGAGTGTACAATAAACCGCGAAATAGATTATCAATAATCATGAAATTTCAGTTGGGATACAAAAGATAAGTTACTGTTATGTTCTTATGTTTAAAGCATTGAGAGGAAAAGAAAGTTTCAATAGTTCAGAAACCATGAAACAGTCAAAAGAAAACAAATAATGGAGTAATTACTTAGGGACTAAAGCTGGAAGGTCAAGGCATCCAATGGGATGTACTTTTTGTAGGTTCAAAATTTCACATAGGGTCAGTCATCTTTCTTTTTAATTTGTCGTCAGAAATGAAAACAGCTTCCCTGTGTGTTCCAGACTTTTCTTGGGTGGCACTTTGGTTCGAATAGTAAGCGGAGTCTTTGGATGACTCAATACCACTGGTTATAGATGAGGATGACCCATCTCTTGTGAAGTGCATTATGACGAATTTTTTTATCAGGAATCTTAATCTTTAAATAGATGTTTGGTGAAAGATTCTTAATATTGCAACTTTTGAGTTCGTAAAAACATAAATCAAACTTCCTCATCACACCTTTCTTTACTACAATAAGTGTTAGAAAAAAGTTTCTTAAAAAAGTTTACTTAATCCCCAACAAAAGATGCTTAAATCTATGGCAAAAAAAAAAGCTTAAAACACTAGAAAAAGTCCAAACATCACTTAGTGTCTAGTCTTGCTTTGAATTCTCAGCCATTAATCTTAGTTGTCTAATTAGGTTTTGTTATGTCTATATCCATTTCAAGCTAAAAATATTCAACAAAGACTAATATCGCTTAGCCGATAACCTTAATCTACCCCCTTCAACCACAATAATAATTTGTTAGTTAATGATTCTCAATTTTCATCTAATAGCCTTTATTAAACATTCTTCACTTCGATTTAGGTCTATGGTGGATATGTATGAGCAAATTTGTCAATAAGGATCTACATAAAACATAATAAGGATCTACTTGAAAAATAAAAATAAGTAAATTATACTATAACAATGCATACTCAAGTAGACTTAGTACAATATTCTTTGATAATCACAATATAAGAAAAACATAACATGTTCAACTACAAATAATACTATTGTATTGTTTCCTCTAATTGATAATTCTTGTCATGTGCGAGCAAGTGATAGGTCTAGTGGTACTTCAATTGAAATTATAAGAAACGTATTAGCACCCTTAGATCACCCTAAGTTAGTACTATAAATTTGATTTGTCTTTCTAGTTTATATTTTTTGTCTGAAATTATTTGGATTTACTTTAAATATGAGATGTCATTTTTGAAATATATATGTTCATCAACATGTAATTACGTTGGAAGAATGAATTAATACTTTGGGTGATTAAGGAGCATTTTATTTATTTATTAGTGGACTTGGACTCTTAAGGCGCCTACATACCCGACATCTCAGGATCAAATCTCTCGTAGTTTCCTAACATTAATTGTTTGATTTTTTTTGCTCACTACCCATCGATACGTAATAGTTGTTTAATTTGATAAAAATCCATCCACTGCAATTTGTTTGAGATAGATTAGATGAGTATTGATCAAGCACACATTTGTAACGATATAATCAATGATAAATTAATATTTAAGGAGTTGTATATACTTGAACTTTCCGATCGCCTACGTACTTGACATCTCGGGATCAAAGTCCACGCAGCTCGATCTTAAAATAACTTTGATTAATTGCAATAGAATAGCATTCATGTTCGGAAAAGAATTGTCAATTGTTTGTTTTAATTCAATTCAAAGGAGGAACTCATATGTTCCTAATTTCAAAATTTAGCTTTTATTGAAGATAATTTTAATGTACTGAAAGGATATATTAATGAATAATTAGGTGTAGTTCGTAATATGTCATGAAGTAGATATTAAGTTTAGTACAAAGTTAGTCAAATTGTGGATTAACAACAAGTAGAGATTCGTTTACTACATCAGTAAACTTATGTTGCGCATAATCCAAATCCAATCCGCCACATCAACAACCCTCTCTCTCCTATAGAAAGTCTTTAATATTTTTCTCTCTAATATTAAACAGATGATTTTTCTCTCGTTTTAAGTCTTTTCTTTTGCACAGATAGTCATCAGATTAATTGTGTTCTTCAAAATGATATCCAATTTGATATATTTTTTAAACAAAAAATTGAGGTATTTTTTACTAGTCCATACCATATGGTATGTTCGTGTACCACAAGATACCAATCTCATACCATAGTAATTTTTGGTCCGGAGTTTTGTTTTTTCAACCAAAAAATTTTAGATCTAATATATCATGATTAACTCGTTCCTTCTGTAAAAAATCTTTAAAAACGACTTAATAACGAAGGAGATACCATATGGTATGGAGTTGGTAACGAAAGGTATGAAATTTCGTTCTCAAAAATATTGAAAATGAATTTCATTTTGTAGAGAACAACGAACTCATTCCATGTGTACAAAAAAATTGAAATCCAATTAGAACGAAGAAGATAAAAGTCGATTAAGAAAATTAGAGAAAATAAAATGTCTTTAATTCTCCACTCTAAGATCTGAATTTTCTGGACTCGCTCAAAAAAGGAGGTCTAGATTTAGTTATGCAAGAATGCATAACCAAGACTTATGCACCCTATCCAGAGCCCGAAAAAACCTACCTCTAGTCCAAGACAGATTCAACCTGCGGCCCTTTTAATCCTCTCTTGCATTTTCTCAGACTTTGCTCCTTCTTCTCTTCCCACGACTCACATTCACAGGGCAACGACCGGGGGCGGCCTATATGGACGATGACGGTGGCGGTTGGCAGCGAGGGTCCGGCGACAGTCTGGCTGCGGATAGGCAAAGAGGTACGGCGATGCCTGTCGGCATGTCAAGTCAATCTCTCCCTTTTTTATTTTAAATTTCTTAAATGCAGAATGAAATTTCTTGGTGATGTGGATATTTTTAGTTTTCGAGAATGATTTTAATTTTTGTGAGTTCTTGGGGTTCCGTTAGTTTTCTTTGTAGATGAAAGGATAGAACAAATTTTTGGCTAAGAACGAATAGCGCATACCCAACAAAAGAAGAAAAAAGGAGAAAGCCTTTTCATTTTCGCTTGCTAGATGTAGGGCGTATAGCTCATTGTTGAATGTGGTTTTTGGTTGTTGTGATGTTTGTATTTCTTCCCATGTTGTTTGCTCTCACTTGGTTGGTGATGCTTGTATTTCTTCTCATGTTTAGTTTTTTTTTTACAAACATTTGTCGAAATAAGCTAAAGAGTTTATAAGCTTACACATCCATAATATGTTAAGCTTTTAAAATTGTACGTAAGTAAAATGATTACGTGAATCAAAGCCTAATTAAATCTACATCTAAATTAATTTTAAGTCGAAGAATACAATAGGTGAAGGAGATTACGAGCGAAATATATGACAATATATCTTAATTTTCTCACAAATATGCTTATATACGACCCAAATATATTTTGGATACGAATACTTATGCCAATAGTTGGAGCACGGGTTGGGTCGGATTCTACCGGCTGTGTAACCAAAACCCCCACCCAACCCAAAAGAGACGGGTTGTACAAAACAAAACCCTCATCCAACCTTAAACCTTAATTTTAGCTATAAATACCGGTGGGTTGGGTCGAGTTGGACAGGTAGATCAGTTTGTGGGTCTTTTTGTTCACCCCTAGCAGGATCTGACAAAATCTTGACAATTTTCTCAGCTGCCCTACCCCACTACCAACTTCCATGATCGGGGTGCTTGATCGGCTGACCCCGTTGAATGTCAAAGCGATGAACCTTGACTTCTGCTTCGGTCTAAAGCGAAGAAGCAGGTGTCACAGACTCACAGATGTGTGGTTAGCCTGAATGAGCACGTACGCTGGCGGTGGTCAGTGTTTCCGCCTTCGTACTTGAGACGGTTACAATGAGCAAGATTGAACAGGAAAGGCAATGTAGTAGCTTGATCGCAATGGATTTTAGCGACAAGAGGTGAAAGAGAAAGCAGGAGATTGGGTGGGAGCAGAAGGCTAAAGATTGATGAGAGAGAAATGGCACAATTAGGAAGGGTCACCAATTTTGTTATTGGTCGTGTGTGCTTAGTTACTGGTATGCCTTAGGTAATCAATTCGCAGAGCGAGAGCGGGAGCGAGAGCGGGAGCGGGAGCGAGAGTGTAAGAGCTTCATTTTCAGAAGAATTCGATATTAAGAACGTGAAGAAAACGTCATTATTATATAATTATATTTGTACTGAAGACTTTATAATGCTTCAAAACTACAAAGTAAAAATTCTACGGATAAACATTTAAAGTTAAATCTCAAAGAAGTTCCCTACAATCGACTAATACTCTAATTGTTGAATACATATGTATAATTACCTAATTATGGAAGTTTGAAATGTAAATGATGTTACCAAAAAGAAGTGTAAATGTTGTTAGTCTGGTTCTGTAAAATCAAGGAAGAAAGATAGTTAAATTCATTTAGTCTCTATTAACTTCAAAGTCCAGTTCATACTCTTTTCTTATCTTTTTTGCTTTGGGCTTTTAGTTATAACAACCCATTAGATTTTATAAGTGATAGACAATGAGGAAGAAACAAAAAGGGGTCGTTTGCTTCAAGGATTGTAAAATGAGGGTTTTTACTTAAATGTGGGATTTAAAAACCTAAGGTTTTATTTGGGATTTGGGGCATTATGGATTTGAAAAAATCCTTTGTTTGTTTCCTCATTTTGAGCATGGATTTAATGGTTTGGGATTTAGAAATAAAAATCTACATTTACCTTATTGCCCTTTTTTTAACCCATTAAAAGGAAGGGATTGCCGTTGTTTTTTGTTTCCCTTCTTTCCTTGTTAGCAGCTACAAAAGCCTTCTCATAAAATATACTCGATGGCACGAGCAGCTGATACAAGCACCAAAAGATACAAGAACTAGTTCAATGTGAAAATGGCAGAAGTCAGAGGCTGCATTAACTACTAAAATCCAGGAACAAACAAATATAATGCCATAATCATGCATAAAGTATACTGATTCGATCATTGATCATTGCTCTGTTATTAACAGACAAAAGCCCATACCTAAGGTGTCATATAATGGAACACAGTATAGTCCAAGAACAAAAGGCATATAGGCAATTGTGAGCAGTTAATTGTATGTATATGGTTCCTATGATTTGCAAAAGCTCACCAAAGAAAATGGACTCAACGCAGAGAAGGAAGTGTCCTGCTTACCTGGGTTTTGGGTTTAGCGTCGGAGATTGATGCCGGCTGCACGCGGACTCAACGTCGGCCGAAGAATTCCTTTGTTGGTGGGGGCTGCAATTTTCTAGGAAAGGAACTGAAGAACTCTTCGCAGCTTCCTTGGTTTGGTGTGTAAAGAATGAGAATGGGAAGTAGAAGCGACAGATATGGTGGGGATAAAGAGGGCAATTTTGGTTTAATGAAAAAGAATGAGGATAGGAGTGTCAATTGGCCTCTTGGTTTTTCAGCACATCACCAATTCCCTAATAATCATGTGGGATTTGTAAAGCTGTGGGCCCCACGGATTTGGAGGAGAAAAAAACCCTAAATCTGTGGGGCCCACGGATTTGTTTCAACATTTTTTAACTAAGCAAACAAAGGATTGTATGTAAATCCTTGATAGTTAGTTTTTTAGTACCAAATCCATGATGCAAATCCTTGAAGCAAACGACCCCAAAGAAACAAGTGACTTTCTCACTACATCTTCTTTTAATTTCATCTCCCACCTTTTGTCTTCTTTTTACAAGTCAAAATCACTAAATATATCCAATTCTCACTTCTCTCCATTTATCTACCCACTTTTCTGTTGTTGTGCCTTGTCGGAGGTGACTTCCTGCCCCTTCTATCTTGTAGATCTAGGGTGAAGAGTCCACAATCCCAACGACCATCATTGCTGACCATCCCGTTGATTAGAGTCTTAAATCCGATTGTACTTTGGAGGCGGAAGGAGCTACGGTTGGTTGTCCTCCACAGAGTCAAACTCGCAAGCCCTGTTGGTGTATTTGGTTGCAGGCAGGCAGCAAGAAAAGAATATGTTGTATTTAGTCGAAGGAGGACAACAAAGAGAGGGGTGTGAGCGATGGACGAAAGAAAGGTGATGAAGTTGTTGAGGAGTTAAATGAGCGTCACTAATTCACGCTCCACATAAACATAATCCGTACTCCATGAGAAACTAATTCGCGAATTATATGCTATCCATGGCAACCCCTATTTCCGCGTTCCAAAGCGGGAGTGACGATGCTGACGAATTAGGTTACATAAGGTATGCCCTCTCATCTTTTTTATTATTACAATTGTTACAAGTGTCGAAATAGATTGTTAAGAATTCCCTTGTTCATTTTGTTAAAGCCCCGAGAAGAATTCATTTATCATGGTCTTCTTCCTCAATCTCTTAACTAAGGTTTGGAATTAGAGAAAAATAATAATTATTTTTGTTTGGATCTAGATATTTTAGTTTTCTCCAATATCTTAAATGCATATGAGAAAATAAAACTTAATATATGCATCTCATTTACTTTCTAACCACCACCACCACCCCCCCCCCCCCCCCCCCCCCCCCCCCTCCTTTTTGGTCTCTTTCCCATTTGAGATTTTTGGTCAACAAGTAAATACACATTAACCAAGTTCAATCACTCAAGATACAAATTGGTGTAACACACACGTAAAACATGAATAACGTATATTCACGGGAATCGCATTATATAAACTTGTCATTCCGAATATCTAGAAACTTCACAACATCAAAATGTAAGATGCACTTTCCACAAATCCATGTAAACGCAAGTGTAGGAAGTGATCAGCACGCGATACGAGTAGATGGTATGAGGTTGAACTTTCTGAAAGAATGACGCTTCGTAGAAGCATGCGATATTATGAGTAGGTGGTACATTGTTAGTTATGTTGGATTGTGTAATTTATACTCCGATATTAGTACCAAGACTTGATGAAAGATGTTAGCGTTCTTGAGAGTCATTGGATATAATATCAATTCAATACAAGAGAGTTAACAACGAAGACATATTCATATGATACGAGGACTCAACCAAATAGCAGCACTATAGAATAACGAATAATAATGTCGGTACCTATATTTCTTAGCTACATTTTAAAGAAGACAAACATAAAAAGTTATGTTTCGGTTAGATTGGGTCGTTTGACCAACTCGAATCGAGTTGAATCGAATTAAACTAAACCGATGTGGCGGTTGCAGCGAACCAACCGGTCCAACTACCATGGACGAACTGATACAATGGTTCATAATTTTAAAACGAACCAATGTGTTGGTTGGGGTGTAACCACCCACCCAAAGGGTCACATCCCTTCCCTCACACCCTTCTTTTTCTATAAATAACACCAACCCCCTCTAATTTCATATGAGAGTTTTCCTAAAAGGATACCGTAGTGGGTAACCAAATTCCTTAAAGAGAAGTAGTGAATTCTATTGGATCAGATGTTGTTTATGCATGTTTTTTTTATAAAATTTCATTGCATGATTCTCGATATCTTCTCCTTAATTTTTTGGTCACTTTGATTTCTTTATATAACTTGTGTTGCAAGAAAACTGGTATACGTGACAACATATCCACAACGATCTTAATTAGCATTTTTTTTATCTAGATATTGACGAGTTTTTCTTTTATCGCATTAATCTTTTTATTATAAAAACTCCCCTATGAGCTCGAATCTTATTGGCATCTACTTACGAAATACTAGAGGTGGCAATTTGATCGGAATGTATGTGTATTTCTGAAATACACATACATTCCGCCGTTCAGCAAAAACCGTACTCCTCGTACCTAATGCAGCAGAGATCCGACCCGACCTGAGCCCCACTCGTGCCGGGACATCTTGCCTTGATCATCTCGCTCGCAAATGACAAGCACCTCTCGCATTCCTTCTGATGGGAACTGCCCATGCTGCAGGACGCGTAGCTGTTGAGCTTAATGGATGCGTCATAATGATCGCCGTAAGTGTGCCAGCCGCAGTAGTGACTGACCGGAAAAGAGGCGATGAAGTAAAATCGGGTGGTCGCCAGTGCGGTAAGTTGCAGGTACGCCGCCTCGGAAGGCAGGTTCTGGCTGTTGCAGTAGAAATCTTCATTGCCGGAAGTGGGAGCTGGGAGGCAGAGCGGATCGATCTGAGCTACAGCGATCGTAATGATTGCCGCCGCGGCGAGAATAATCATCATCATTAGCATGGCTGAGTAGTGGTGTTGTTTTTTTGGGTATGAATCAGTGGAATATATACAGCTGCAGAAGCCGTCCATGCCACTAGACGTCGAGGATTTGAGACAGAATTTTTGGGATGTTGTTGATGATGTGGATACGTTGACCAGCCAATCACGAGGGAGTTCTGAATAACGAAAACTCAAATCCGCTTAGTAGTTATTCACGTTTTGGCAATTGTTGTTTTTGTCTTTTCTTTTGATGGACCTAGTGATGGCAATAGGGCGGGACGGGCACCTCAATTCCCATACCCGCCCCATGCTACTACGGGTCGGGGCGGTTAAAATTCGCGCGGGTACGTGGCAGGGCAGGTCGACTCACTCTTACATGTTGTTCAAAAAAATACAAGTAAATTTTACCTTTTACAATAAAACGTAGGGAAAAACACTTTAAGAATGAAAAATATTGATAATAGAATGGATAATTGAGCCTAACAAGTTGAAAGATCGACTCTAACTAGTTCAAAAAAAGTCAAAATAGGAGAAATATGTATAGATTTTGTAAGGAAATTGAGATTAAATGAGTCTAGAACGGTGCGGGACGAGGCAGGGCGGATCGGAAGTAGATACCCATGTCCCGCCCCACGCTACTGCGAGTTGGGTAATACCCGCCCCATCGCGGATCAGGTCGGATAATACCCGCGGGGCGGGTTGAAATTGCCATATGGACCTAATCCCCGCATGTTCATAATTTGGGCTTTATTTTCCCGCGAGCCCATTAACAGCGTGGCCTAAAGGGCCCAACACCATCATCTTACGAGTTACGACCATAGTCTCTCTCTCTTTTCTTCCTAGCCCCCGAGAAAATCTCTTCCCGGAGGAGCGAACCAAAAACCCCTAATTCCTCCCGATATCGACCGACGGCGAAGCGGAAAGCTTAGGGTTGTTTTTTGTTCTTCAAGAGAAAATGGCGAACGACGCAGAGGCGGTGGACTTCGAGCCGGAGGAGGACGATTTGATGGACGAGGATGGAGCCGTCGACGTCGACGCCTCCTCGCCGCGGGCGCCGCATCCCAAGCTGAAGTCCGCGATTACCGGCGGCGCCACCACTTCGGTTGCGCCGAAGAAGACTAAAGGCCGAGGGTTCAGGGAGGAAGCTGACGCCGAGCGGCAGAGTCGCCTGGCTGGGCGTGACTTCGATTCACTCGGCACGGAAGGCGGTCCTGGTGCTCAAAGATGTTAGTTTCCTCTTTCACCAACCTTTTGGCCTCTTAGATTGGTGGGTTTCAGTGTCTGTTTGTAGCTTGAAGTGGGAATTTTGGAGGGTTTGAGGGTTCTGTATAGATGAAGTCTAGGCTCTTAGTGTCTGTGGGATTTGGATGTGTGATTTGGCGTTCAGTGAGCTAGATTTGAGCGTCCTTTGAACAATGAGGTGCAACACAAGGCAATTGAGATGTCATAGGAATAGAGAGCTTACAGAGTAATGTGGAAATCTATGTTTGTCTCATGAGCTTTGCCTCTTACTTCATGGCTTGCTTAATTGCTACCTATTAGGCTGCCAAGGTGTTATTATCTGAATGCTATGTCTCTGGTTTGAACTTGAAGTGTGCTTCATTGCACATTTCTGAGGTATTTTTCTGAAGGTTTATTATATCAAACTGAGAAAATTCCCGTCTGATTTGTGCAACTCACTGATTGGCAGCCATTGAAGGATGGATTGTTTTGGTTACTGGTGTGCATGAAGAGGCGCAAGAGGATGACTTGCAAAATGCTTTTGGTGAGTTCGGAGAGATTAAAAATCTGCATTTGAATCTCGATCGTCGTACTGGTTTTGTTAAGGTATGAACCAGTTCCTCCAATCTCCTTTCGTCTAGGCTACCTGAGAGTGCATGTTTGGACTTTTGTCACAAAATCTGAGCAACAAAATTCATTGGTTTTCTAGGGATATGCGCTGATTGAATATGAGAAGTTTGAGGAAGCACAGGACGCTATTGCTTCAATGAATGGAGATAAAATACTTGAACAGACTGTCAGTGTTGATTGGGCTTTCTGCAATGGACCCAGCACTGGTCCTTTCAAGAGAAAGAATGCAAGGTTTGTCCACTTTTTCGATTCTGCAATATTTTGGTCATGTCTTGGTATTGAAAGAGGAGAACATGCTATCTTTTTAGCTTATTATGATCACAGTGGCCTTACCGGGATAATCAGGTCCATTAACCATATGTTTTATTCAATGACTCTTCCTTTAATATGAAAGATGACACTCATGGCAGTTGCATAACATGACTTTCTTGGAAAAGATCTATAGGACTGGAAAACCTGGTAGTTCTGTGACTAGACTACCCTGTTGTTGGAGCTACACCTGTGATGGTCAATATTAAAAACATTTGTAGTAAAAAACTTCAAAACATCTTGTGGTTCTTCGGTAGAGCTTCCTTGTAATGGTATTTCTCTTGGCCTAGTTTATACTATCTGCAATTAGCCTATACTTCACGAGACTCGCTTAACATATAGTTGTTTGGTATCTGACTGGACAGGCTATTATCTGGTAATAAATAGATTATACCATGCCCACCAATGGTGTTTTCCTTAACGTATAGTTCTTTGCTGTGGAATTCTGTAGCATTGATTGATTCTGTAGCATTGAGTAATTCCAGATTCATGGTTTGGCGGCTGGGTTTTTTTCCCGCTTAACGGGGGAAGTTTCTGATTGGTGTAGGAATGCACGAACGCACCGTTCAAGGAGCCCGAGGAGGCGATACTAGGCGGGAAGTAGCTGTGGGGCGTTCGTGTGCTGGACAGCGAGGAGTGGTCTGGTGCTGTGTGATATGTGTCTGTATTTCGATAGAGTTAAGAGTTGTTGCTGTAGTGTGATGATGGATGGTTGGTGCTGAGAATTTGTTAATTTTTTTGCTGTGGAATCCCCTTCGCATTGCTTTGCCGTTTCAGCAGTTCCGGATGGGTTGTAAACTGAAGTTTGTAGTAGCACTTTCATTTCCGACTCGAGGTCGAAACTCAGCTTATTTCTCTGTTCTCTAACCTTCTTATTTCTCTGTTCTCTGTTTGTCAAAACCTTCTTTGATCGTTTCATGTGGTTGTCTTGTAAGGGTGGCCGAAAACAATGCGGAAATTTTCCATATCTACCGCCATATAAATTATAAAAATACCACTGTTTTCGGAGAAATTCTAAAACTAACACCATTCGTCGAAAACTGCACACTAAAGGTGGGGTTTACAGAAGAACCGCCTGGGGAAGGAGCGGTCAAAGTTAGGGTAGCCAACAAACTGCAAGCGGCAGTCTTCAGAACTGTTGGATCATAGAGCGATTAAAAGGCGGACTGCGAGCTATGTCACCGTCAAGACCAAGAACTGTAGGTGATGAAGGGGGCGGTTTCTCGCCTGGGAAAACGCAAATCGTGGCTGGAGGGGCGGTTATTGTGTGTGCAAAATTACAAAATCGCCCCTAGCAGGCAGTCCGACTCCTATATAAATCCTCATCCCATCCCCATTTTTTCACACCAAAACTCATTCCTCTCTCTCTAAGATTATCTCTCTATCTATCCTCCTCTCCCCCCAAAAACCTAGGAAATAGTGGTATGTTGGTTTTTCCTTCAAAACTTGTCGAATCTCTGTCCGACTTCTTGAGAAAATGGATGATTGGTGCCAAGAGGAAGGTATCTATTGTGATGTCTATTAAATGGTACGTACTCATTTTATCACATTTTTGTTGTTGTTATAATTTTTTAAATTAATCTACATACTAATTAATTTATGTTGTTGTTATTCTATCATAGGTTGGGGAGGACGTGGATATATACAATCAAAGATATTATGTTGATCAAAGACCGATTGATCCAAGTATGTTGTACGACCAACCTAATCATCGTTCAATGGATGTTTGAAACGATCACGAGGTACATACAATTCTTCATCATTTGTCATTTTTATATTTTGTTAACGTACTTGGTGGTTTATAAAATAAATTTGATGATATTTAATCGTATTGATGATTTTCAATGGTTTGGACTAATACAATGCGCCACTTAGACTCTTTATAAAGAGATGCATGCCTAAAGAAATGAGATCTTAAACGATAATCATGATCCTCTCATTTCCTGAGAAAATCCGTTTTTAAGCGATACTCGGATCCCCCTTTTTCTGTCAAAACGGTTGGTGTATTTCAATTTTGGGCCACTTGAGCCTTCATCCATGTTTTGAGCTTATTAGGCCATAATGAACCAGGAGAAATCCTTCCCATGGAAGGAAGCTAGAAGCTAAATTGCGGCCAGTGAAAGTCGTTTGGCCAACACGATAAAAGAAGAAGAGAGAGTAGCGATTACTTCCATCTCCTCACAAGAAACTCACCCTGCCAGCTCCAAATTCTCCCCTAGCTAGCTGGTAAGTCTCAATCCCTCAAACTCGATCGAGAGCCACGCCAGATATAGCAATTGACACTCGAACAGAGAGTCTCTCGATGGTAGACAAAGACGTATAGAAAGATGACCAGTTCGTCGTCCACCGATATGGTGGAAGGGGACGACTCAGATATCCTGGTCGCGTGGCACCCATGGAGCGTAGCATGGCTCGTTATTGTAAGCGATTTTCAAAGAAAAAACTGGAGCGGTGAAGCAGGCGATTGCGTCCGTTCAAACTGTAGGTAATTCCTTGGGATCAATGGATACCCTTGTTGTATGCGGTATGGGCTTTGATAATTATGGCGTGCATAATAAGGAGGTGAATGGTTAGGTTGAATGAACCAGCAATGGGTGGTTATGTTATGGGTGGTTAGTTGTACATACTAGAAAGAGACTGGGAACTAGCAATGGGTCTAATTAGTTTACTTGGGTTAAGGGCATTATGTTGCAAATTGAGTTAGTCTATTCCATTTACTAACTATGGGATATGTTCTAGATGAGCTGAATGATGCCGCACAACGAGGTTAAGACAATGGCGTCTGGAAGAGGACAAATAGCAAATCAATCGAGGTTATGGATCATGATTTTCACCTACAAAATGAGGTGAGTGCAAAGAGGGTAAAATCTCCGTCGATGTCTTTAGTTTATGTTTTTTTATTTCAAGTTATGTTCGTTAATTTTATGAGTATGCGCGATTATGTGTGGAGGCATCCCACCGCCTACTTAAAGTGGAGGCACATGTTGTGCTTATGTGTGTGTATGAATGTGTATGGTCTTTGATGATTGAACCACCGGGCGGTTGGGCCACTACTGGACGCGGTAGATGGTCGGATCACTGTTGGACGGCGATACGTAACGCATCACTTGATCGAGGATATTGGGTCACTACTGGACGATGATACGTAACACAGTAGTTGACCAGGCATGGACTAGACGACGATACGTAACGCAATACCATTGCCTTGAGATAGGGACACCGGACGACGATACGTAACTCAGTGGTCCCTAGTATTTATGTGTATGAGTTAAGGATAGAAGTAAATAACTTCTATAAGATAATGTTAGGAGTAAAGATATTCCATAAGCTGTTGAGTTAATGTTGAAATAAGTTATTGAGGATGACCCGCTAATAATGTGTTTAGTAAGGGTTTGCTTAAGGCAAGACCTTAGGAAGTAACGACGAGACTGACCCATTCTCTCTCACCAGGTTGAGGATGAGTTAGCGGAAGGGGATCCCGAGAAGAAGTAAGATGAGGCGAGCGGCCGTGCCAGTACTTATGAGATGTCAAGGAACTGGGTGAAGAGTTATAGTTAAAATTTGATAGTTATTTTATGTTTATGATTATGAGTTCATGAATTGGAGATTCAAAGTTCAAGATTTTGGGTTAAGTGTTTGGATCATGATTGCCCAAGTGTTAGGCCTTTTCGTTTGAAATTCTTAAACATGGTCAATTAGTTTTTTTTTTTAAACGTGGTTTGGTTGCTCCGGAATAACCGGTTTTTGGTTTGAGTTGTGATTTGATTTTCAAAAAAGGTCAGGTTGTTTCCGTCTCTATCTCAAGTCATAAAATCAAATCCCTATTACAATCAATCGCTTATATCTCAATATTTGCTCTGTTCGATGTCCTAAAATGATAACAAAAAAATTGTATGAATCACATTATTAACAGTCAACATGCTCATCATCATTTTCCTGGCTGACCTGCAGCTCCTCCTAGTTCAGGCTGATGAACTCCGGGTCCAGCTTGCCAAGCAACTAATTGTTGAGCACGCATTTGATTATTTGAACATATGCCTCAATCTCGACAAGGGTTGGCACTGGTCTATCGAGAAGATGGAAGAGTCTACGACAAGTTCTGCCCCCAATTCGTATCATAAGTTCTCCATCGCCCAAATTGGACAACCTTGTCCGTTGCTCACGCAGAGAACGCTCGGTGCGACTAACTTGTTCAAAATACGATGTTGCTTCCCATATATCATGAAACTTTCTGCCATGATCATACACACCATTGATCAAGAGGATCCATTCACACCTTATCGATGCTTTCTCGTTGCATTCCTCATAATAATCTGTGGAACTGATGCAGAATATTCATCAGCAGTTGCTTCAGTGGCAAGATTGACATTTAGATTGGTTTTTTATTTTTACTTGAGTGTTTGTATTCCAAGGTGGATGACAATAAGTTCATATCACTTTTTTTTTTTTATTAACTAAACTTATATCACTTAACATATTATCATTACAATCAAAATCATTTTCCTCAAGTTTGTATGTTGTATTTTATAACATAAGTAATGAGAGTTGTTTTCTTTTTGAAGATAATATGAAATTCCTCAAAATAGTTGCCTCGTCTGTTTATATGAATTTCCAACTTTTGAGTTTTCATAATTTCCTATACCAGAAGAAGCTTTTATCTACGCCAAAAGATAGCCAGAAGTTTCACAACAAAGCTTAAATTGATTTCTTAAGGATTGTCAATCTAACAAATGTTTCCACAATCAAGAAAGAAAGGTTAAACCAACAATCAAGAGTTCATACCTCTTACAGTAGACAGTGGCAGAAGACTGAGCTAGGTGACAGAATATCCAAAAGTATAGAACTTACATTGTTCGGATGATACTAGTTTTAGAAGCGAACTTTACAAAAGATCTTCGTATTTTGTTGTTTTCTAAGTACCCTAGAACGTGGTTGGAGTTTGTGGACACATAAATTGTCATTTTTTATAAGAGATAACATAATTCAAATGTATGTACTAAATTATAATCTTAGAAAATATTTAAAATAATAAGATAATGGTGAATCAGTCTTGATTTCGAAACATGTACTGCTTTGTGAAAAAAAAATATATATATACAAGCTCAAGCTCTTACAATCCTTTATTAGAGTCACACACGATGGTAACCTCAAATTTTCTTGAAGGTGTTTGACAACAAATTTAGTTCAAATGTCACTTTTTCATAAGAGATAACATAATTCAAATATATGCACCAAATTATAATCTTTCAAAGTATTTAAAATAACAAGATAACGATGAACTAGTCTTGACTTCGAAACATGCATTGCTTTGTGAAAAAAATTAACATATATACAAGCTCAAGCTCTTACAAACCTTTATTAGAGTCACACACGACGACGATACACTTATATTTTCTTGAAGGTGTTTAACATCAAATTCAGTTCATATGTCACTTTTTCATAAGAGATAAGATAATTCAAATATATGCGCCAAATTATAATCTTAGAAAGTATTTAAAATTACGAAATAATAGTGAACCAGTCTTGAATTCGAAACATGTACCACTTTGTGAAAAAATTAGCCTATATACGAGCTCAACCTCTTACAAACCTTTATTAGGGTCTCACACGACACTATACTTATATTTTCTTGAAGGTGTTTGACATCAAATTCAGTTCAAATGCCACTTTTTCAAAAGCGATAAGATAATTAAAATATATGCACCAAATTATAATCTAAGAAAGTATTTAAAATAATGAAATAATAGTGAATCGACTAATCGGCCGGACTCAAAACTAGTTTGATTTAGGGGTACTCCTCAATCCTCATACCCTGTCAATGCAAAAACTTGTTGACTAGGTCGGGAAGGGTTGCATAAGTAAAATTCCCATTACTATTAGTAGGCGGCAGGAGGAATATTGTCAGAGTTTGTGGTAATTTTCAGTCCATTGAATGGCATTGTCTGAGCCTTGACCACATTCTTATTTGCTTTGTTATCTTAGCTTCACTATACAATAACACTCTTCTAGGGTCAACTTTGTACATATTTCATGTCGTATTTTCGTTACTATAGCTGTGTCTGTGTGTGTAAGTGTGTATGTCTATCTCACGATGCCACGGCGGTCCAGTAATTCGAGATGCACAAGCTCGTCGGCGTTCCAATCGTTCGAGACCAAACCCATTTGTCTCCTTCAACCCTTCTCATTTCTGCCAACTGCACCATGAAAAGAGAACGACATGTCAAACATCAACATAACTTGTCACCATGAAAATCAAAGAGCTCCATAATCACAAACCATAACTTGTCATCTCTGCTTAATTGCTTACCCTGCCATCTCTCAGCTCAAAGATCACACTGTCTTCAGAGAATGGGATCGGTCTCGTAGAAGCCACCTGTTCACAACCATTAACCAAACATTCAGTTACTTGTGTTACAAGGTAGTCAAAACCACTGCCACCACAAGTGTGAAAAAAGAGAAGCTACAAATTGTAACCTTGGGATCACAGTGTGGGTTGTGTTCATGCAAGCTTTCTTCGTCCTTCTCCAACTCCTTGGCAAAACTTTCATCCATGCACACTTCAAATTCTCCTCCTTCATCATCATCAACCTCCTTCTTCCCTTTACCAACATAAGGGAACCCACAGTTCCTCCACCGCCACGTCATCAACTCGTCCACATACCTCACGTACACCCTCCCATCCGACCCCACAAGCAGAAATTGTCCACCATGGAAGCAGGGGCTTGGCGACGTGGCAAAGGCGACGCCTTTGTGTGGCGTGCCATGTTCGATCCAGCTCCATCCGTCCCCCACGTTCCAATGGTACTCGACCAGGCCACCTTCATCGGAAACCATGAATAGAGAGCCTGTGAGGGACGATGATGGCGATGGTGATCGCATTGGAGTGCCTGGCAATATGGAGAGGGTCAGGTGCTGGGATTGGTAATGCTCGTGCCAGAGTTCTGTGACCTTGTTGTACTGATAGAGTCTGCCGTTTTGTCCTGTGATGAAGACTATGTTGTGCCTGAACAGCTCCTGGTCTACTATGGTTGCTACTTTGGTATTTGGTGGGGTTCTGCAGTCTTTCCATTTGAACTTCCTCAGTGCTACCTGAGTAACATGATAAGTCTAAGATATTGTAGAATACATGGATTTCAAAAGATAATGTAAGGGTGTTTTGGTATGTGAGGATTGCTAACTTTGGTTCTAGTAGTACTTACAGTGAACTGAAGCAACCTTCCATTCCTGCTAACAAAGAAGATTGAGTCTTCTGCTGTGACTTTGAGTGCTCTGCCAGGAATCCCATCCCATGGAGGGCCTCCATTCACCTGTTTCCCTTTTCTCATCGCCGTACAATTAATCCATCCTAGATCATTCCCACTCCTCTCCCTTATAAGCAAGCTCCCATAAGTATCAACCAAGAACAAGCTCCCATTGTAGTTCCCCAGAGCTCCTCTCATAGCCGTTGGATGGTCATGCCTCAACCACAGCCACACGTTCTCGGTGTACAGATACTCGAATGTAAATCCACCATCTGTTATCAGGAAAAATGATCTCCCTCCATGCATAACCCTCAGCCTAAAGTTGGCATTCACCCAATTGTCTAAAAGACCAGCATGTTCTTCTGATGATGGTGACTTGACTGAAGAATGGCCTGCTGATATTAAGTACTCCTGTTGTTTTCGCCTCCTAACAGTTGACCTTGTGGTGGTTTTGACTTCATTGTTGTTGTGATCATCTTTCATCCCCATGATGCAGTTTAGTGGTCCTCTCTCTTCTCTGCAGTACTCCAAGTTCCAACCTTCAGTCTCTGGGGAGTCTAAGGTTGACCATTGGTATCTGATGTTGGATGTTGGCTTTCGTCGGTTGCTGACTTGGTAGTTTGGACCAGTGGTCTCTCCTCCGAGTCCAGGGGGGTGTAGCTCGGCGAGCCTTCCATCGTCTAGTGGGAAGAGGATTCTTCCCAGTTGGAGCTGGAGTCCTGCAATTCCTCTTGCTGCTTTTGCTTGCTCAGGATGCATATGGTTTTTCCACTGTTTGCCCTCATGAGCATTAGTGCCTGTGTTATATTAAGGGTTGAGCAATGACGCAGAAATAGAGCAATGTGATACCGGAAAAGCCACTGATGTAACTCACTCACCTGAACTTTTTGACATTCGATATTCGAGGACTGATCCGGTGGATGTGGTGAAGAACAAGGAGAAGAACTTGTCATTTGATTCATCCTGCTGAGCTTGGGTAATGGATGTCAAGAAGTGATGATGGTCACTGGGACTTTCATGAGTTATCCATCTCCATCTTCTCTGGTGCAATCTTCTCTCCACCAAGTTCCCTGTCTGAAATCGAAATTCGGATTAAAATTTCAGCTTCTGAAGCTCAAGATCCTCTTATCAACTGGAAACTATGAAGTACCTTGGTTAAGAGAAAGAGAGATACTGAGCTATCTCCAGTCATTCCATGTAAGGAATAGCCCATTGCTGGCAGCAAAGAAGTCTCTGACATCGTTCCTTCGCCCCATATGTGCTTCTTCCATGATGGTTTTGACATCCCATCATATTCATATAGATCACCTGTTGAACTGCAGTTAAGTTAACAATAAGAGTTCTGATGAGCTAAAGTTTCAACCTTTGGAGCTTCAAGTAAGAAATTAGAGGGGAAAATTCACCACCTTATAGTGTATAGAACATCTGATTTCACAGTGGCTGCATCAGCTATTGCTGCAACATTTCCACCTGGAGGTTTTCCATGATGAACCCATCTGTTCTATGTTTTATGCATAAAGATTAAAAGGTGAACAATTAGTGCAGAATCTACAAAGCTTCAAATGATCAATTATTTTTCTGTAAAATCCTTAGCTTTGATTGATTACCTTGGAGGCTCAACCTCACTCAGCTCCAGCAATGATCCACTCTTTGTGCAGAAATAAACTTTCCTGTAAAAACCAAGAAATAAAGAAATATAATTTCAAATGACCAATCATTTGGGGAACCTTTTCTATACATGAACACAATTCTTAATGAGAACAAGGAAGGAAAACTATGGCACTCACACCCTGTCATTGGAAACAACACCAGACTTGATTATGACTCTGGAACTTTGCTCCCCATCAATGGAAGGATTGAGCTCCACCCAAATTGGTTGTGCAATCTCAGTAAGTTGCATCTGAACAGAAAGGTAAGACAGTAAATATGGTTTTAACACAGTCAAATAGGAAAAAAGCTCCTAACTTTCACTTGGGTACCTGGTACAAGACTCCTGATTCTGAAAGGGCAAGAATGGTCTGATTAACAATGAAAACACCAATTGCATGGCCAGCTGATAAGGGAAGATCATGTGGAGCAATCACCCACTGAACTCCATTCCAGAACCTCTCATAGATAGACCCACTTTCCCCAGTGACCCAAATGGAATTGTCAGACATCTTGGTCAATGAAATTCTCTTCCTTTGTGGGAGAGGCAATTCACCATGTTCCATCTCTTTATGATTGCTCTTCTTCAAGCTGCTGACAACTTGGTCTCCTTCCAAAAGCTTTCCTTCTCCTTTTGATGATGACACCTCACTACCAATGGAACCCACTTTGGTACAGTTATCATCAACACAGGAGACCAGATCAAAGGGGAGTTTCAGCTCAACCCAGGTGTTGGAATCTTCATTGAATTGCCAGAACACATCACTCATCTGCTGAAACTTCTGCTGCTGTTGCTGATTGCTTTGTTGGTGTTGGAGGTAGTCAAGTGGGCACCAAGAAGTAGCAAAACCAATCATGAGAATGAAACAGAAGAAGATGAAAGTTACCATGAAATGGAACAAAGGCATGTTTTTCCTTGGGGAGAAACCAGATAGAAAGAAACTTGGTTATGAATGAGGTAAGAAGGGCAGGTAATTTAAGGTTGGGCCAGTTCTGTGTACTTTCTTCTACATGGTAGGGCCATGGCCTATAAGAAGAAGAAGTAAGCTTTGGTGAATTTGATACAAAAAAAAATGACTTGACTATCAGAATTGATGGTAAAGACCTGGATTTTCTCCTCCTTCCTTTTTCTGGGGTCATGGATTTCTTTCTTCAGGAAGATGGGGGCTTTGGGAAGAGGGAGAGGTGTCCCCCCAATACAAAAGAAGTTGGGAAATGGGTAGTTAATGCTGATAAATTTGTTTTTAGATTGTTTAACAGAAGGGATTTGTCCATCTGGCAACTCTCTTTCTTCTTATTTGTCAACTCTTTGGTGGTCTAATGAGCTAAGCACAGTGGAAAATGGAACTCTATTAGTGTTGCCTCATCTCTAACTTTCTCTACTTTCTACATTATTGATTACCATCTTTTTTGTTTTCACTTCTCAAGATGGCAGTAAGTAATGGACTAATGGGTGGTTATGACTTTCTGCCAAAATGTTTTTTCTTGGCTTCATCAAGCCAAATGATCAATGGTGGAGATGCAACTATGGATCCAAAAATTATTGGACAGATGAATTCACCATGTTGCTTTATCTGGACGAAAAATAGATTAGATGAAACAACAATTGATTTACGATATTACTAAATAGCTTTTTAAAGAATATTCCTACTTATTACGTGACCGATCGATTTTAAGATCTATTGATTTACAATCGTTCACCGTTTAGTTCTGTTTTATTTATTAATTTAATGATTTTCATTGATGGTTTCAATGTTTGGGACCTAGTGAAATATGCATCTCCATCAATATTTTTATCAATCTCACAATGATAGAGAATAATGGGTTTGGCTTTTGTAAAAGCAGTCTCCTTTATTGAAGTTCCATGTCCCTTACTCCATTACTGAGGAGAATAGATTCACTATGCCTAGCTAGATGCTGAGTTTGATTTCATTTTCATCAATCTGCTCAACAAACTAATGCTAGGTGACCTTAATCATCTTTTATCTCTTTCTTTTCTAATGCATGCAGTTCCTTTTCTGTTCTAAAATGGTGTATCTTTAACTATATTAATGTTAATAGATCCAACTTGTCTTTGATAGAGATATGGCACAAGGTGTGGTTAGAGTTTTAATCTTTCTTTTCTCTCCTTTAAAATATATATATTGTAATTAATTCCAAACCCCACAAAATTTCTTCAACTAATACATCAGAATGAATATTCAGTTGGGCCCTTTTACATCAAGACTTCCCCATATGATACTCCATGACCCTACAAAGTTGAAACCATTGATTAATAACTCTAAACCTCACCCCATGATGATTCCATCACCATTATTAACCTGAAGAGCCTCTCTTTGTGGTAGGACTGGCTATTTGGTCCGGTTTTTTTGTTTTATCCAAAACCGGACCGTATAACCCGGATCGAGACTGGACCGGGACCGGATAATAAACAATTCAATCCAATCCAATCTTTGGGCTTAGATTTGAGGTAAAAAACCGTTCAGGACCGGATCAAAAACTGGATAAAGACCGGATAAGAGAGCTCAACACCCAAAATTTAAGGGTAATTTGCATAAACGGTCACAAACTTTTGCACTTAGTACAAAACTTAACCAACTCCTCACCCTTTCAGTCCTTAGGCCACTCAAATCCCCACAAGCTCAATATAAAATCAAGACCGAATTGGGACCGGACCGGGTCAAGACCGAACCGGATCAAGACCGGACTGTATCCAATCCAATCTTTGGTCCTTATATTTTCAAAAAAATCGGACTGGACCAGATCAATTTGGGCCAATTTAACCGGACCGGACCGTATAATCACCCCTACTTTGTGGGGCTGCCATTGATTTGCCTCTTTGTTTGTCCCAAAAATACGTTTCGTATTTCGTATTAGTTCAACTACGTATCTAAATTTGTATCACGATTCTATCACTGTTTTATCTAAAATGCTAAATCAATAACCTTATCAATCTCATAAAACTTTGAACTTAGTGAGATTTTTTTTCTTCTTCTTATCTTCTTTTTTTTTCATGGTGAAATGGTTATGGATTGTTGGAGGTATGTCAGGAAAAACATGTGGTGGGTCTTGGTAAAGTTTTGGTTTGCAGGATGGAAAATTGGAATCTTTAGGGTAGCCATGTCAATTCTTTTTGGCATGAATCTTGCTTGTCTACATGTGGGTCTCTAAGATTCTAATGATCTCCTTAATGTATGGTGGTTGGCACTTAGGGGGTATGACTTATATATTGGTGCATTAATTATTCAATGTGGTTAAGCAATTCTGATCATGGTGAGTACTAGTATTTAAAAAATTGGATTGTTTATGATAGAGCAATTACATTAATTATTGTTCAAGGAAAAATAATTTCCATGGGATGTGGATTGTTGCGGGGATGGTTGGTGAGGGGACTTGCCCTATCAAAAGGGTAACAATACATCGCGAAAACCAACCCCTCAATCCCAATCCCACATAGTGCTATCCGAAAAATATGTGAGTGATTCATATATAGCATCTCGTTCTTATATAAAAGATTCTAGGCATTACTTTTTCAGAAAGGAGGTGATCCGTCCGCACCTTTCAATACGATTAACTTGTTACAATTTTCAGTTTTTCAAGTTTAGCAGTAACATATTGTTTCCATGTCCACAAGTGTATGAGGTAAGGTATAGCTATAACTGATACGGTCTCCATCCTCTAAAGCATCTCTGTAAAGTAATAAAACAAGTTGGCTTTCCTTCTCAAGGAAGCATCTCGAAAGTTATGAAATCTAAGATTGATGCGTCACTCGAACTCTATCTCATTCCCTACCAGCTCCTTGGAAGTACCAAATAAATGACTACTTGAATTAGGATTTTGAGCATAAAAGTTCTCACACATCACGATGGAATTGTCTGATTATAGCACGACGTGTTGCTTCAATGTTGTTGTCAGTATTGGGAACGTCTTAAGTTCTTTGATATGGTTGCTTCAATGGCTCCAGGTGATATGGAAAAGTCTGAAAAACTATTTCATTTACAACGTCCAAAATGTCATTACGAACTCAAAGTCTAATCGATTTTGAACTTTATTCTAATGTATATGATTTTTGAGTTTAGGTGAATGAACATAGTTGATCATATACATATAAAAATAAATAACTTGTATTTGAAATTCAGAAAATTTTACAAATGCCTGTATAATATTTTATAGTAGTTTATGCTATGGATATGATATAATGAAGAAGGGAGAGTATTAAGGAGATAACCAAACAACAAGGAAATAAATTGAAAAATAATAGAGGGACATACATATCAAGATATTGAAAGAATAATATAGTAGCTAGAGAAAGGAACACAAGGAGAGGTTTTGTCCTTTTCATGCCTTTGTTCTTTGCCCTTCATCCCCACCTTGTCTTCTCACCTTAAAACCCACTCTCTCTCATATAGCCATAGATTCAGTGAGAGCAGGATAATGAGGCTATTGGGTTGGGAAGAAAGGGACACATGAGATGTAAGTTGTAACATTGCCCTCCCAAATAGCCTATGGATTTTGGTCTTTTTTGGGGGGCATATGTGTAGGGTTTCTATATAATGAGGCCATTTTGGAGTTGGGGACCAAATCCAACCAAAAGGGATACTAACTCCCCCACCCTTTTGTCACTAGTGACCATCATTCTCTTGTTATCTTTGGTTTTCATTTTAGTTGCTTCTAAGTTCAATATTGTTCTTATCAAACTGTATATGGCGTACGAGAAGAAGAATTTCAGAGTTCTCACAATATGAGCTTGTATAACTTTTTTCAGTTTTTGTGAAGACTAGCAAAGATAAAACCAAAGAGAGAGTTGCCCCTCCATTTGACACTCCCATATTGTATTTAATTTTCTCATTATGAGATTTAGGAGTAAATTGGAAGGGAGATAGTTGTCATCATGTCAATTTGGTATCTTCTTAACATAATTACTTATCAAAAGTCCTCTTTGGTACAGGAAAAGGTTAGTGTATGGAGACTGGAGAGTTTGGGCCAATTGGGTCAACAATGACTGTTTCACAAAGTGTAGGGCCAAAGATCTTAGGTGGGCTTTTCTTAGATTGAGGCCTCATTCCAACAAAATCTGTTGCTGAGGTGAATGTGGCAATTTGGTAGATAGGTTTGGACTCCCAAATTGAAGAAGGAAAAGCATATCAAAGCATGAACCAAACATTGACAACTTTCAAATTTACCAAAGAGAGAATTCCATAGCACATCAACCTAACTTCCTGGCTGGTAGCTACAACTGCACTCTAACTAAACACCTCTGCTATGCATATTTCAGCTTCTAGAGGGCATCTAAGTTGAAAGAGTTTGCAGGCTACTACTCGACTCGATTTAACGATGAGCTAAATGCTAACTGAAATTGGTGAAAGGTAACAGCTTTTCTTTGATGCTGCCAAATTGGTGATGAACAAGAAAACAGCATCTGAGACCTAACAAGAACCTTTGCTGCTATATCTTATGGCATGACGAGGCTCCTCAGCTCGTCCTCGCTGGCGTACCAACCCGGTATAATCCTTGAAGCATGAGGATATATGTCCTTGTAGGAGTACTTGAGTGTCCCTTCTGTCACTCCTGTAACCAGCGACACATCTGCAAAAGAAGAAAAAAGAATGAAACTTTGCAGAAGAGTGAGTCCATTTGATCATCTAGTCTTTTCATCATAATCTCACCTTTGAGAGGTTTCTTGTCATCTGAGAGCTGAGTAATCATGAAAATCACTGCTGCTGCTACCGATATAGGGCTTCGCCTGAAAACCAAAAAGACAAGCGAGCAACAAACAAGGCTTAGTCTTTTCAAGAGCAGTCTTGCTATTTGATCATGGAGGAGCCAGTTTTAGGTCAATCGAGTTTCACCTTATATCAAGCTCTTCTGATTTCAGCACAGCTTCTTGAGCCGCTTTCACAGCTTGATTGGACATTCCAAGGTTGGAACAAAACCGTTTCTGCAGCAGCAAGTTCTAACATCAGGAGGCAAACTCAACATAACAAGGACAAAAACAGAAGCATATTGCTTCATGACCAAAAACTAACCAGAAAGTCCCCTGCATGAATGGTTCCCATCTCCACAGATTGACCCATCTCTAGCTCCAGTTGCTTGACAATGAAGTCTTTCGCGCGACCAATTTCCTTCTTCGTCGCTCTATTTGAAACTGAACAAATCTCTGAGCAGAAACAAACGCACACACATACATACACACACTCACAGAAGTTCAGTACTGTTTTTGTATAGCTAATTGCATTTTCTGTTGAGCTCGAAACCTTTACCCTTCACAGTCCGCGGCTTGTCTTCTTGACGACAAGCAATGTAAATGCAAGCTGCCAGAATTGCATCATGATTTCTCCCTCTCAGATGGTTCTGATCTTCCACCTTCTTGTAAATCTCATTGGCTCTGTCCTTCACTCCCAGAAGAAGAAAAAAAAAAGCAAATAACGATGGGGAGTAAACTAGATAAACTAGGATTTCACCAATCTAGGCTTGGTCTAGATTCTAGAATACATTAAACAGAGCATTTAGCATTTTAAACCAAGAGATCATAGGTTCAAAACCTCGTAAACACCCAATAATCAACAATACACAACGATCTATGGGTTTGTTTAATGTGCTAGAACTCGAAATGAACCAAACCAAACCATTCTAACCCAAATAAAGTTCACTGGGGACATTTCACAAACAGGGTGAATTCACACTCAGCTCGTACCTTTATAGTCGCAACCAGTCCCAGCCTGCAAAGCAAAACAAAAAAATTCGATGAAACCCATAAAAAATTCAAGCAAAAGGAACGAACTTTGCCAAGAGAAACAGCGAAATTCGAATGTCGAAGTGATGCCCACCTATCAGCCATTACGGCAATGGTCTTGAAGGCCTGAATCAGGGCCCGATCAGGATTGGACCCACGGCCCTGCCACCGTTCCAAGGAACCATTCAGGAACTCGCCGGAGGTGCCGTTGGGCTTGGAAATCACGGTGGAGAGTCCGCCGTCGGCGAGCAGAGGGTTGGCCGGACCGCCCACGCGGACGGGGTCGTTGTCGGAGGAGTCGTCGGAGAAAGTCCGCCACTCGGACCTCTCGTCGATGGAGTGAGCCTCCAGGACGAGGCCGCATTCGGTGCAGACGGTGTCGCCGGCGGAGTGGTCGAAGACGAGCTCCGTCGGGCGGTTGCACTCCGGGCAGCAGTCTGAGTCAGCCATTTTTCCGTTCAGGTGGTTTTTTTGCGCACTTTTGCTGCTGTGTCTTCTTTTTTTTACCTTTCGAAAATTTGTGTTGCCTCTTTTGTCTTATATATACTCCTGCCGCTTTTAATTGAACATGGCAAGACAATAAATACAGGTTTCTCTTTTTTTTCTTCTTCAGTTACTTAAAAATCTGTAGTGTTTTTGTCTTTTTCAATTATTAATTTGCCTTTTTTCTTGCTGGAAATTACTATCCTAGCCTTTTTTCCTTGTGAAATGTGCGGTTTAATTGCGGTGCTTACGTTATTAGATTGAGATTTGTCGATTTACCGTTGTTCGATGGCGGCGCATCGATTCATAGTTATTTGACAAGTACTACAACAGTTAGTTATAAGAATGTCGGCACGTGCATGCTAACTGAATTGGAAAGAAAATATACATATACAATCGCTATCAAAGAAAAGTTATATCGTCATTAAAGCACATTCGTATGTCAAAGAATGAAGCATACTAACCACGCATTCAGAAATGTAGTTGTTTTAGTATATATAAACTATGTTGGGACTTGGGCGCTCAACTTGATTCGACATTCTTCAATTAGGATTTTGGCTTTTTCTTGTTAGAAAGTTACTTTTCTAACCTTTTTTATGTTCAATTTGATTGTTGTGTGTGCGTCATTAGATTGAGATTTATCGATTTACAGCTGTTAGATGACGACTCATCGATTCATAGTTGTTTGACAAGTACAACAACAGTTATTTATAAGGATGTCAGCACATGCATATTATAGTTGTTTGACAAGTACGACAACTGTAATTATAAGGATGTCAACACGTACATATTAACCAAAACCAGAAAAAATATACACCTGCCTATCCGAAAAATAATTATATCATCGTTAAAACACATTTATATCATCGCCAAAGAAACAACGCTATCTCATACTGGGTTGTTTTGTCTTGACTGAACGCATCAAACTGGTTCTTTTCATGTTGATTTTCGTGATGCGAGTGTATTGTCCATTATGTTATGCACCAACCTTTTGTAATCAGTTTTATTGTTTTATCATGTTATAAGTAAGCAAAATGTAGTGCCTTTCTTGATTAACAAGCATCTTAAACTACAGTTTCTTACTATGCGCAAACGGGAAAAAATTCATCTAATAAACCTTTGAATCACAAATGAATTACCAACAAGAAAGTCATTTACTTTTTTTCTAAAAAAAACATGAAACTCGTATAAATAAAGCTAAAAGACAAAGGACTATAAAAATTGTAGGATTTTGCGTTATAGATATGTAAGAAGACGGCAGTCCACGTGTGATAGTATTCGGGCTACGTGGATGACGAGGTCCGGGAGAGGAATGACGTGGATTGATGAGCCTGACTTGTATGTTGGGCTCGGCCCAAAAATTGATGAGCCACTGGTCCATTAAAAGGGGGCTCGGCCCAAAAATTGATGAGCCACTGGTCCATTAAAAGTTCAGCCTGCTCAACTGTCGGGCCTGGTAGCTGTTGACGGGTCGATCAATTTCACTCGTTTCTCCCTGCATTTGGGCCCGTTTGGATGAGGGTTTTCAACAAGAGATTTCACTATAATGCGTCATGGAGTCGGATTTTAAAACAATTCTACGTGTTGGAAGGTGAGTGTTTTTGCAATTAAGAATTTAAAAATAACTCTCACATATAGATTTTTGAAATAGCTGATCCCATAAACTGTTTCCAAATCACTCTTTTTTCCCCTGTTCTTCCAATTCTAGCCCCTCGTCCTTCATCCCAGTTCATCCTGCTGGCACTCTTCCTCCTCGCCGACAACCACACCCGACTACTTCACATTCTCATCAACGCCGCCCCACATGACCAGACGTTACCATATGCCTTTCCAATATCGTCGGTCCAATAGGAAAATTCTTTTATAGGAATCCAAACTGGTATAGAGTTTTATGAGTATAAAATGGTTGAACAATGATCAAATCACACTGTAAGTACAAAATATTCTATCATTCTTATCTTATACGAACTTTCATATGGTTTTACAATCTTGTAGTTTTTGTGAGGAAAAACTCGGTAACAAAGAGCATTTAGCTGTTTATACACACACATCTTGTGGCCTGTGGGGAACTGTTAGACGATACCGAAAAAAGTACGCGAGACCAAGACTAGATGGATCTCACGTGATTCAGCTACACGATGAGTTTGACCTAATCATCGAGATTCACATTACTATATTTTCTTCTTATTCGATTTAGCACTTTCCATCCTCTATGTTTTTCAGTGCGCGCACGTTCGCCTGAGAATCCCTAACTCGTCATCGAAGTCGAATCCATGCGAATTTAATATCGTATCGAATTGGTTCGAGAGTCGGCATTCAGAAAGATAGTTGTTTTATATATAGGCTTTGTTGGGGGGGTGCTCCACTTGATTCAACATTCTAGCAAGTCGCATCTACTATATAAGTTACATCTACAATATAACCATTTGTTAATCTTTATATTTTTACCGGAACATTCATCTCGCTCATATTCATCGAAAGAAAGAAGATATTGTTGCTTTTTCTAGTCTATAAAGAACACATGACATCTATAAATCTACATGTTATCTATTATTCCGACTCAAGCTTATCTCCTTTAGAACCTATAATCCAAATTAATATAAGTATTATTACCAATAGTCAATAGAATCCTCTTTAGCATGGAGCCATGGAATATGAATGTCGGGAGAGAAACCGTGCATGAGTGTTGGACGGGCCGGCCTATAAAAGGGCCTGTCGTGGACTTAGAATGCAATAAATGTATTTCTTATGGGGGCCCATCATGTAAACCTGTAAAGTATTTCATCACTAGGTAGAATTTTGGATTCACATCTAGCGACTAGCAACCACTTCTTATTCATTAGGATCACCTTTGAAAGATTATCTGAATTCATATTCGTTTTAATACGTTGTTCGGATGAGGAGACGGAAAAAGTATCGGATTTGAGTTCAAATTCAATAAATGTGACGTTAGGTCGCATTTGTGGGGGAATACGGAAAAATCCACACCCATCCCTTGTCACTTTCAATTCCCCGCATTATTCCCGAGTAAAACAAACATTATTTTCTTATTTTGCCTTGGACGAAATCTATATCCTCCTAAGGAGCTGAAGATGAAAAGACATTTATCATTGGAAAACATTTATTTTCAATTAATTTCAAACTTGTACCATAAGATCACATTCGAAATTCAACTCTTGTTTATCTTATATTATATGAACAATGTTCAATTCCTGTTTCGAACCCGACACGAACCTGAACCTAGATAGAACATATGCATATCTAACCACATTGGTTGGTGGTTGATACAAAAAGGGAAGAAGCCATTTGCCACTTTGGTTCCCCTTCACCTCCCCTCTTTGTTAGGAAGTTGGCCAAAGACCCATCACAACAGTGACATGAATGTCAAATTCATACAAACAAGAACCATGCCAATTCACACTAAAATGCCAATATATGACATGCCATGCCACCACCACCCTCAACATTTATTGCATTTACCTCCCCACCTATACCCTTCTATCTCCTCCCCATTATTAAGGCATTAACTCTTTCCATCTCTTCCACAGGATTCATTCATTCACTACTGGTTTGCTGTTGTTAGTTGTCTGGTAACTGTTGTTTCACACATAAAACCCAACAATCAGAGTCAAAGAAAACACCAAATTGGCCCATTGGCAGTTTGGCATGTTACTACTCCATTTGATTTCCCCTTCTCCTCCCCTGCTGCCTTCCAGCTAGAGTTTTAGGCCATGGAGATAGAATCTGCAGCAACCAGCAACAGCAACTATGTCAGCAATGGTGATGGTGAGGAGTTGAGGTCCATGGATCATCACCATGGTCGGAATCCCAGAGGGATATACCTTGTTTGGGAGGATCTAACCGTCGTGCTGCCAAATTTTGGGAACAAGCCAACCAAGAGATTGCTTCAAGGGCTTAGTGGGTATGCTGAGCCCGGCAGAATCATGGCTATAATGGGGCCTTCAGGTTCTGGGAAATCAACACTCCTTGATTCTCTTGCAGGCAAGTAACATTATTTTAGTTGGGTTTTGGCAAAAGATTCCAACTTTATGCTGAAAGGTTCCATCTTTATGATAGGGGGTTTTGTTTTGGGAAATCCCCGAAAGGTGAACCCAATCTGGAAATGGGTATTGGTTTCCCTTTGTGTAGGAACCAAATGCCATTTTTTTATGGTTAAAATGCCACTTTTCTGTACTTGGATTGTATGCTATTTCTGGAAACTCCCCCATTTTCAGGGAGGTGAAAGAAGGGATCATTCCATTATGAAAGACATACATAACTCTCAGTCATGGTTTTTCCTGTTTCAGAAACCTGCAATTATGCTTAGTTTAAGACTTTGATGATGAAAGTTGTTCACTTTGGGTGTTTTAGCTTAAATTTAAAGCCACCCAGTTCTGTTTGTGATTGTTCAATCCATTGGCAGATCTGAATGAACAGATGGACAGATAGATAGATATCCTTGCCATTCATTTTCATGCACAAAAAGAGATCAGCATGGACCATTTCTAGAACTTGAAACTGTGATTTCCGTTGACAGATTAGTGCTTTTTTCTTATGGCTGCTAAAGGGTTGCTGATGTTATTATTGCTATCACAGGTAGACTGTCCAAAGATGTGATAATGACAGGCACTGTTCTGTACAATGGCAAGAAGAGGAGGCTGGATACTGGTGTTGTAAGTATCTCCCAATCACTCTAGAACTTTCTTTCTGGGTTAATTCCTCATAAAAAATAAAAATAAAAACTTTCTTTCTGGATTAATGGCATGCATAGCCAATACATTCTTGTAGTCTAGCCCCTTCTTGTTTACCATCTATGCTGAAAATTATTGTTTTTCGCCCTCTCGTTCTCGATGATGCATACCTTAACTTATGTTGCTTCAAGTAGTAAGATTGAAGAGGGAGCGAAATACAGTATTCTACTCAGACAAGAATCCGAACTGAGTTTAACAGAATTCTAAATGACCATTTCCATCAATTGTTTCTTCCTTCAGGCATACGTAACACAAGACGACGTGCTTATGGGAACACTAACAGCCAGAGAGACGTTAACATACTCAGCCAAGCTGAGGCTCCCTTCTTCCCTCCCCAAAGAGGAGCTCTCAGACATCGTCGAGGGGACGATCGTGGAGATGGGGCTGCAGGATTGCGCCGACACCATCATTGGAAACTGGCATTTGAGAGGGATAAGTGGTGGCGAGAAGAAGAGGCTGAGCATTGCCCTGGAGATACTCACCATGCCGAGGCTGTTGTTCCTTGACGAGCCCACCAGCGGGCTGGACAGTGCCTCGGCGTTCTTCGTGATCCAGACGCTGAGGAACATAGCTCGAGATGGCAGGACGATCATATCGTCGATTCACCAGCCCAGCAGCGAGGTGTTTGCCCTGTTTGATGATCTGTTCTTGCTGTCCAGTGGGGAAGTTGTCTACTTTGGTGAGGCGAAGAAGGCTGTCCAGGTAAGCTTAGTTCCAATTCTTGACATTGTTCAGCAGATAGCTTTTTTTTTTTTTACTGTATAGGTCCATGAATGTTACTTTGGACTTGGATGACTCTTGTCTGAAAGCTGGTTACTGAACTTTGATCACAATGTTGTTCTATGTAGTTCTTCGCCCAAGCTGGGTTTGCATGCCCAAGCAAGAGGAACCCATCTGATCACTTCCTCCGTTGTGTGAATTCTGACTTCGATGCTGTCACAACAACCTTGAAAGGATCCCAGAGAATACGTGTAAGTTCAAGTTTACAGTGCATTGGCCTTTGATACTACCCATCAGTCATTGCATCCCTATGGTTTGTTTATGTTGTTTCTGGTTTCATTTCTGGTTTCAATGCAGGATGCTCCTGGATCGTCAGATCCTTTCATGAACATGGCCACGGCGGAGATCAAATCCAGGCTGGTTGAGAAGTACAAACGGTCTAACTACTCCAAAGAGACCAAGGCTAGAATCAAGGAAATCTCAGCCATTGTGAGTTTTCCAATCTAGTATTCCACTTGCTGCAATCTGTTTAGTGTGGTCACAGTAGATGGATTATTCTACAATGTGAGGTTGATGATGGTGTTTTGCAGGAAGGGCTGGAAGTTCAGACAAGGAAAAGAAGCCCAGCAAGCTGGCGGAAGCAACTCTCAACTCTGACTCAAAGATCGTTTCTCAACATGTCTAGAGACATTGGATATTACTGGGCCAGGATAGTCATCTACATCGTCGTCTCCATCTGTGTCGGCACCATCTACTACAACCTGGGACATGGCTACACTTCGATTCTGGCCAGAGTGGCCTGCGGCGGATTCATCACAGGGTTCATGACTTTCATGTCCATTGGTGGCTTCCCTTCCTTCATCGAAGAAATGAAGGTAGGTACATAAGGGTTTCAACTTTCAACCCAAATCTTTACCAGTGGAGTTTCTGGCTCACATGTCATGTACGATATGAAGGTTCGATTTCGCTTTAATTGTCTCCGCAGATCTTTTACAGAGAGAGGTTAAACGGGTACTACGGGCCAGCAGTCTACATCCTGTCGAACTACCTCTCATCCTTCCCGTTCTTGTTTGCAATTTCACTCATTTCTGGCAACATATGCTTCCACTTGGTGAGATTCAGGCAAGGGTTTTCCTACCTGGCCTTCTTCTGCCTCAACATCTTCGCCTGCATTTCGGTTATCGAGAGCTTGATGATGGTTGTGGCTTCACTAGTGCCTAATTTCCTCATGGGACTCGTCACTGGAGCTGGAATCATTGTAAGCATTACAAACGCATTTCCCCCCCCTTTTCTTCCTTCCCAAGTCAAAGTTGCCTTGTGTTTGAAGAAAACCTCTGAACATCAAACCTTTTTTCATTGTGGCAGGGGATCATGATGATGACATCTGGTTTCTTCCGGTTGCTGCCCGATCTCCCCAAGATATTCTGGCGTTACCCGGTTTCTTACATCAACTATGGCGCCTGGGGACTTCAGGTAGTGTAACTAACTGCAAAATCCTACATTTCACCACCTATTCCAAACCGTTCTGAGCCTTTAACCCCATTCTGCAGGGCGCGTACAAGAACGACTTCATAGGGGAGGAATTCGAGCCATTGGTGCCCGGGGACCCCAAGCTCACGGGGGAATTCATCATCACCAACATATTCGGGGTCTCGTTGAACCGTTCAAAGTGGTTCGACCTCTCGATCATCTTCGTCATCTTGATCTTCTACCGGATCCTGTTCTACGTGGTCCTGAAGCTTAAGGAGCAAGCCCTGCCTTTGGTGAAGGACGCTTACTCGAAGAGGACCCTGCAACGGCTGCAGAAGAGGCCTTCTTTCAGGAAGATGCCCTCCATTGGTTCCAGGAGGCACAACTCCTTGTCCTCCCAAGAAGGCCTCAACTCCCCACTCCACTAGAACAAAAGAAGAAAAAAAACCACGTATAATATATAAGCATAATTGAAGAGATATATAATGATTATATACACACAGATACCTTTTTTCACTGTTGAGTTGGTCATTTGGTGTTGTAATGAGGGGTGGTAGCTATTTTTTTTACTGGTAGTGATTCTCATTACAGTGAAAAAACAGGTCATAAGGTGAAAACTCGAGTCATGGGACTCTTTTTACTGAGAGTTGATGTAATATTCTTTGGAAGTGAGGTGAATTGGTAGCAGCAAGCAATGGCTAGATCAAGGAGTGAAAGAGATTTGTAAAAATTACACGGTTTATCTTCTTCTGTATCCCAATAACTAGCCTTGTAAAAGTTAGCTTCTTCTTCACCTTCTTTCTCGCAACAATGAATATTTTTTAACGATTCAGATCCGAGATATTGGACGAACCATGATGTTAATGGTTTATCTTCTTCTGTATCCCAATAACTAGCCTTGTAAGAGTTAGCTTCTTCTTCACCTTCTTTCTCGCAACAATGAACATTTTTTAACGATTCAAATTCGAGATATTTGACGAACCATGATGTTATTGGATTCGTCGAATCTCATTTGATAAGAGTAATAAGGATTATTTTACCAAAAAAAAAAAGAGTAATAAGGATTAGCAGAAATGCAGAATGTACTAAACAATGGGCCTCGGGCTGGTTAAAGCCTGACTCAAGTGCCTACTCAGGCCCAAACACTCGTACTTCTATTATTAAGCCTGCCGGTCAAGGCGGCCAAGCAAGGCCCAACTCGTCGACCTAAGGACTGAAAAAGGCGACTTATTTGCATGGTTCATGAAACCGTACCGTACCGACGGTTCAACCACGAAATATTAGTATCAGATACTAAATTGGTAGGCGGTATTTAACGGTCTAACAATTCAACTACGGTAAAACCACGATTTTATCATAAAATATCATACCGCTAACTTTTCTTGTACGGTACCCGATACGGTTTCATGGACCATGCTTATTTGGAGATGGTGGCAGAGAGGGAGAGGAGAAAGAGGGATGGGATGGGTTGGGTTGGATTGGGGTGTTGGGTAATTGGGTTGGTTACAAGCTTTTTTATTGGTTTAGTTTTTTTAAATAACTTTGTTTGATGACATGCATGCTGATTGAACGGCTGACTAGATCAAATTAACATATTTTTGGATGGAGAATGATGAAATAACCGTTTTGATATTCGCTTAAATACTGATAACCGTTTGGATGGAGAATGATAAATTAAAAATTTGACACCGTTTTGTACTGAACACAAAAGTTTGTGATCTAATTACCCAGAGATTCACCGATTGTCAATTTAGTTTTGGAGTCCGATTAGAAAAATCCAATCCTTGATGTAGAAATCAATAAATAGCAGCGGGATGGCTCGCCGGCGGCGAGCTGAGATCCCGCAGTGGTAAGCCTCTGTTTCGTTTGCTTGTTTATCTATCAGATCTGTTTCTCTCTGTTTCCGGCCTCCCTCTGTCCTACCTTGTTCCGGAGTGGGCAATCCGACTCCGATCAGTGGAAGGAAGAGATCCACGGAATCTCTATTTTGTTTAGGAGTCCCATTGGAAAAAACCCAATCTTTGATTCAGAAATCAATAAATAGCATCTGGGAGCTTACTGTCTTGGCCAGATTAATCCTTCCCGACGGAGTAATAAGAACGGCCGATGATGGCGGAATCTAACAATTGGTCTGAACTGCCGGTGGAGCTCCTCTGTATGGTCGATCAACGGCTGTTCAAGTTGAAGGATGCCATCCGATTTCGTGCCACTTGCAAGTCGTGGAGACGAACCCTAAATTCGGATCGTGGTGGGAAGTTTAGGCAATCCTTGCCGTGGCTGATGCTTCCGTATTGCAGCGGCGACGCTAATAGTATGATGGCGGCCGAGGGATGTAAAGGCAGCGATAGCTGTAGGCGGTTTTTCGATGTGGCCGAGCAAAAATTTCACCACATCGAGTTGCCACAAGTCCTAGACAAAACGACCTGCCGCGGCTCTGCTTTCGGCTGGGTGCTTACTCTGCAGAGGACGCCATTGATGTTCTTGCTGAACCCTCTGACCGGAGATCAGATCGCGCTGCCCCCCATCACGAGTTTTCCTGACGTGTTGAAGTTCCGCCCGGAGAAAATCGGCCATGAGTACTTGTGGCTCGATGGTTCTGGCGACAAGAGAGCCAAGGGAAAGAAGTCCTTTGAGTCTGGATCCATAACCAAGATGGCTCTCTCGGCTGACCCTGCTGCTGGGGAGAAGAAGGACTTTGTTGTGATGGTTATACGCCGCGGCCTTGATGATGAGAGGCTAGCGTTTTGCAGACCTAGGGTTGAGGAAGCAACATGGACGTTGGTTCCTCGCCTGGGGCCGCGCCCAGTTGCTTTTACGGATGTTGTGTTCTGGAGGGGTCAATTCTACGTCTTGGACAACTTCTTCAGGCTTTTCGTTTGCGATGTTTCCATCGCAGGAGGTCATCCAAGACTCCGATTGTTGATCGACCGCAAAAGAACTACCGATTTGTCCGAGAATTACTACCTATCGGTGAGTCCAACGGGAGATGAATTGATGATGGTAACTAGAAATATAAGGTACCCCGAGGACGAGGATGTGCACCAGCACGAGGACGTGGGCGAGGATGTGGACCATCATGTTCATCTTTTTCCGATTCCTCACGACGTGGAGGATGATGAAGCTGACAGAATCGCTCCTGACGAGGACTCAGACGACGAACGCCGTGTTGATCCCGAGGTGAGTTTAGATAGGAGGGTCCAATGGACGATTCGGTTCAAAGTTTTCAAGCTGAACGAGGAGACAAAGAAATGGGATGAGGTTAGAAGCATTGGCGAGTATGCTCTCTTCCTGGGCTTCAACACTTCAACCTTCGTCTCTGCTCGAGATCACCCCGAGATTGTGCCGAATTCCATCTATTTCACGGACGATATGCTTGACTACCATTACAAGAAGCTGCTCGGGGGTTCTGACATGGGGATTTTCAGCCTCTCCACCGGCAGCGTGCAGCCGTTATACGATGTGAGATCAGTTCATAATAACCCTCAATTCATCTCTCCATTCCCTGTCTGGTTCTTGCCGTCCAAATTTTTGTTTGATGTCAGTCATTTTCTTTTTAGTAAAAGAGCTTTTCGTGTACTTCGATGTAGGGATGGCAAATTACCCACCCATGGGTAATTATACCCAAATCCAAGTAGACCCATTGATAATGGGTTGGGTATGGGTGAAGTGCATATGGATTTGGAGGTTTATAGATGGGTTTGGGTTTGGGGCTTCCATAATCTAAATGGGTATGAGTTGGATATGGATATCCATTTACTTGAGGGTGTTTTAACTACTCATGCAAAAATTGGACCTATTTGTAAAACTTGAAAAGTTTAGGTACCAAAATGTAAGACCAAAAAATTTAGGTACCAAAACGTAATTTTCCATCGATATTTTGAGGACTTATATGCAAACAAAATTAATTTTAGGTACTAAATATGCATATCTATTAAGTTTGGGTACCAAACTGTAATTTGTATTTGGGCATGGGTACAAACCCAAATCCATTTGATATAAATCCAACTCAACCCAAAGTAAATGGGTATGGGTACAAACACATCAAACTCTACCCATATCCATCTATTTGGATTTCATACCCAACCCAATTGGGTTGGATAGTAAGAAACCCATGGGTATGGGCAAAGTTGCCATCCCTACTTCGATGTCAGGTTTTTGTGTACTCTATCTAAGCAGGACAATGCTCATCGTGTACTGATATTTGTGATCATTGTTTTACTCTTAGAAAATAAGACGAGAGGTGTGGTCGATCATTCTGATCATTAGGTTTTTCTTGGGTCCCGATGCTGTTTTCTAATACTGCAGATGGATGCATCTGCCATATTATTATGTTTCAGCACTTATATAACATCAATATTCAAATGTTCAACTTAGGATTCCAAAAATTGAGTTAGGCGAAAAGAAAAATCGAAAAATAGTCGCATTTCGCAAACCAAAGAAAAAAAAATGACACAATTTGACCTCCAACCAGGTACCTTGTAACGGTTGAACCGACAAGTGCGTACGACCCGTTTTCCTCACCGGATCAGGGTGAAAGTGGGTCGACCCACGGGTTGACAACCTTGATCGCTACTCATTTGATTGACACATGCAACACAGTTCGGCATGACCTATCCCGAACTATTTTAATTGAAAATTATTCATCTGTTTTTTGGTTTCAATACATATGATAAAGCATACTTTAGTGTAGCTAGTTCTAATTTTGAACCATTATTAAAAATGTCATGCTCTTTATTTGTGTTAAGAAAATTTGTACCTTTCAGTTATCTTGAGATATCTGCACCGTCCGAAACCTGTTGCCATTTCCGAACTGCTAGGGGAGCCGGGAGCCCAGCAGCTCATCGTGCTCAGGATTTGTACACTTTTGATATGAAAAAGACTTGTCATCTTTATAACCAGACTCATAATGCAAAAAAGAATTCTCATCCACCGACCTGAAAGTAGAGAGTAAATGTTAGTGTGCTTGATAAAGTTCAAAACATTGATACCAAAGTCATCAATCAGAAGTAATAAAGGCATTTTCATCAGGATGTAACAACCAGCCATAATGGCTCCTTTTCAATAAGAAAACTGCCAGAACCAATTCATGAAGTAGTGGGGGGGCCTTGCCTTTGGACTTTCATTTATTGCCTAAGCCCAGATGTCATAGCTAGGGAGCTGCTGCAAATCTCAAGCTGTCAGTACTGCACGAGACGAGAGAGGACTGCAAAACCTACAGTTTCATTAGAAAGGGACAAGGAAATTACACCAGTAACCGAAGTTAGAGGCCATTATTTCAATGTTAACCCCACCAGTTAGTAACATAATAAAGTGGGATGAATGCTAATGGAAATGGTGACAACTGACAAGTATTGTGTAGCTGGATCATATGATATAACCAGTGTTTGCGAAATCGTATCAGAGACTGAACCAGCGAGGCTAACTATTCAAGAACTTACGATAATACACATTGATAAACTGTAACGAAACAAGTATCGAAAGCGTACCAGCTTGGTAGCAGGTCCCATGTGTTTCCATGTGCAAGCATCAGAGTATATTGGTTCCATTTAAGTCCTGGTTTCTGTGACCACCTGCTTCACAAGGAAGAACAAGCAGAAGAACCTGCAATTCTAGAAGAAAAGATAGCTTGGTTCATAGACATTTCTATTAATATGGAGTGAGAAAGCAATCTCTATGCATGGTTGCTGGTATACACATCACATGACAAGTGTATGGGGAAAAATGGTCTAAGAACAAAGTATGAATAAGCCCTCATCATAGCATTTTCTTTCTTTCTTCCTCCTCGAAGCTCTCACCCTTTCTATCTTTTCTCTCTTTCCTCTATCTGCCACTAAAATTTATGAGAGAGGAATGGATGGTAGGTCTAGTGGCTGAACCTCAGTTATTGAGCTCAACTTCCTTTTTTATACAGTTCACTGTTTCTGCTTCGGCCAATGCTAAGCTAGCAGAAAACATCATTATTTATCTTCCCACATATAGACAGACTCGAACTCAATAACTCATGAGTCGTGCCCTTTTCTTGCTATGGTTTGTTGGGGAGTAGTTATTGCCCCTGCAGTAACTTATGCCACCAGTAAACAGACAAAGGTTGATTCAAGCCTATAAAGATGTAGTTAAAGGAAATGAGCATTTGTTACCTGGTTTTTCTCCCTCTCTTCTGAGTTCTCTTCTGTAACTTCTTCCTTCACTTCCAAACTTCCACATAATTGTGTTGCTGGACGCAATGGAGATTGAGCAAATTTCCTCTGGTGATGGTGATGATCACCTTGCTGGAACTTGCCATGCTACTGAGGGTGGTGACTCAAAGGAAGTTGAAGATGTAGCAGCACAGGCTGTTTACCTTGTGTGGGAAGATTTAAGTGTCGTGCTTCCAAACTTTGGTGATGGACCAACAAGGAGATTGCTTGATAGGCTCAATGGCTATGCTGAGCCTGGGAAGATCAAGGCCGTCATGGGTCCATCTGGGTCCGGGAAAACAACTCTTCTTGATGCATTAGCAGGTTCTTTTACCACACTCTTTTTTTACTTCTTTCTCCAGAATGCATTTCTGAATATGGGAAATACATGGGCATCAAAGTTAGTGGTGAAACATCATAAACAGTTTCCTGACAAGTTCACACACAAGTTAGCAGTCAAAGTATGCATTCACAATCCATGATCATCTTTTCATTTCATGGTGGGTATTCGTTTGTGTGATCTCTTTCCTTCATTCACAACTAGGGTTCTTGTCTGAAACTTAAGACAGGCAACGGGGTCAATACAAGGAAATGTGTAGGGTCAAAAGTGAAAAAATATCTTAGTAGCATTTACTACCACCAGAACAAATGACACAAAAGATGGAGAGAAAAAAGTTCCTTCCGTTGAGAACTTATTTCTGGCAACATAGGTTTCTGTCTCTTTTCCTCTCTTCCTTTACTCGAGCTGTCAATTCCGCTAAGTGACCAAGTCTTAGCATGTTTGTGTTCCTCTATCCCAAGTGTGTGGCAGGTAGTGACCAAGCTAATTGATGGCTTACATTACACCAAATGAAAGGTGAATAGTGATGCTAGAAAATTGGGGCCTGAATTCTGTATTGAAGAACTAACTGCTGGAATTCCTTACTTAGGACTAAGGGTGGGGTTTACAGGCCAGAAAGTTAGTTGGCCGCTTTTAACCTTCTTCAAAGAAGTGCATCATTTGTCCTCTTTGTCGAATGTCCCCGAAGGGACAATCACCGATCCTTTTTAAGTGGCTCTAGCTTTCCTTTACCGGAGAGGAAGATATTTTTAGGGGGGAGTAACTGAGGTTTCATCAATTCCAATCCCATTCTACTCATCCATGGAAAATTGAACTTCCCAATGACTTAACTAGACTAGCCACATATGCTTCTAACCTAATGTGACTAAATTATCAGAACCATTCATACTTAGCCTCCCTACGGATTTTTCAAAGGAGATCTGTAGCTAAACACTAACCTGGATCTTTTCTGTCACATCGACTGCAACTCCTAAACTGCAATAGGTCACTGATTCATCTTAGCCTCTTAGGTGATTGAATGGGCTTCGAAGGCACGAATGTTTACCGTACAATGAGACATATTTGAAGTAGACGTTCTAGACATATGGGAGGCAACAGTAGATCCATGCACTGATAGTAAAGTAAACTTTTATAATGTTGCAAAGCTTATCCCATAGTTGCATGTAGACTTGTTCTATACAACCCTTCAATGCAAGAGATGGGACATTTAGGAAGAAAACACAGCTTTTAAAGTTGAGAACTTCAATATGCAACTCTTGATGTGATGCAGGTAGGCTGCCAGGAAATGTGGTGATGACTGGGAATATCCTACTTAATGGAAAGAAGAAGAAACTCAACTATGGTGGTGTTGTAAGTTCCTTTAACTTAATCTATCAGGAACTTTTCTACTTTCATATGTCTAGAGAGAAATTTAAGTAGAAAAATGTCAAGCCTGAAATCCTTTTACAACCATCTTCAACACAGATTGCTATATAGGAATCTGCTTCCTGAAGATAGAGTAGCCCATTCCAGATAACTGTTTTCTGGAAGATACTAATTTATAAGTGTGTAACTAGTCTCAAGCTAGTGGTTTATCCACCTAATACATCTTAAAACTGAAACAAAGTGATTATCATTCCTAATATGAGGTGATGGCTCTATAATCTATATTTCCTCAAGAATACCATTCCTTAAGGAACATTTAAGTTAGTTCTAGTTTGATGCTAATGCTCATGCTTATGGTTTTTCAGGGTTATGTAAGACAAGAAAATACACTGCTCGGGACTCTCACTGTGAGAGAAACCATAAAATACTCTGCTCACTTGAGACTCCCAAGCACAATGACGAAAGAAGAAATTGATGACATTGCAGAGGGAACTATAGCGGAAATGGGTCTCCAAGATTGTGCAGATCGATCAATCGGGAACTGGCATTTAAGGGGCATAAGTGGTGGGGAGAAGAAAAGACTAAGCATTGCACTTGAAATCCTCACTAAGCCTCACCTTCTATTTCTAGACGAACCTACCACTGGCCTAGACAGTGCCTCGGCTTTCTTTGTGGTTCAAACTCTCAGAAACATTGCTAAAGATGGAAGAACCATCATATCTTCGATACACCAGCCAAGCAGTGAAGTTTTTGCACTTTTCGACGACCTTTGCTTGTTATCTGGTGGTGAGACTGTCTACTCTGGAGAAGCAAAAATGGCAGCAGAGGTATGACTACATATAATGCAACATTTTTTCCATGGTTCTCTCCGTAATATAACTTCAATCGTTTTTATATTTTCTTGGGATACATTCTAACCTGAAGCGTACAATAATGTAGTTCTTTGCTCAAGCTGGATTCCCTTGTCTCATAAGGCGAAATCCTTCTGATCATTTCCTACGCTGCATTAACTCAGACTTCGACCAGATCAAACTTCCTTTGATGGGATCTAAACAGGTATGTAAAACTAATAGGGAGGATTCAATCTCGCAATGCTTTTCTTCCCAAATTTCTGAGATACACTAGCTTCCTTTCATTACATTCCTTCTCATTCAATACAGCCAAAGCAGTTTGAAATCCAACTCTGCAGACTGTTTTTAGTATATGCTACTGTTTACTTGTGACATCTTTCTCATTTTTACAGACTTCTAGTTTTAAGATATTTAACTGTTTTTTTTTTTTTACTTCCTGGACTCTAGGACATGGGTAAACCCTTGGAATCTTCAACATACTTACCCACAGGAGAGATCAAGGCAATGCTAATCAAGCAATACAGGCCATCCAACTATGCAGCCAGGGAAAAAGAAAGAATAAAGGAAATCCTGGCTACTGTAAGCACTTCAAATTTTATTTTCTTCTGCATCTGGCACATTAATTCCCCTCTAATAGTATATTCTGCTCCAGCAAGTGATGCTTTAAACTACCTAAGTTCAACTGCGTCTTTACTCATATTCTACAAGACATATAAAAGAAGGAAAAAAGAACACAGACGAGGCCTTTGTGAAAGCAATCTGACTGCAATTACATGTACAAATCAATTTCAATAGTACCTTAAACATAAATCAATCGATCACCTGTTCAAACTAGAAGGAAACAATTCACAACTTTTCAAGCAAGTAAATGCATCTTATTTGAGAGAGCAGCACAGTAGAGGAAAGCATGGTTTATATAGATAATTCAACATAGTTGTGGTTTCTGCAGAAAGGAAATGCGATTAAAAGAAAACTGAAAAGGCAAGCTAATTGGTCAAAGCAACTCTGCACATTGACACAAAGATCTCATGTGAACATGATGAGAGATTTGGGTTACTACTGGGTGAGGATAGGAATCTATATAGTCTTGTCTGTATGTGTCGGTACCATCTTTTTCGATGTTGGAACAAGTGGTTCAGTCTTTGCAAGAGGAGCCTATGCAGGATTCATTTCAGGCTTCATGACATTCATGTCAATTGGAGGCTTTCCTTCCTTCATTGAGGAATTGAAGGTGAATAACCCCACCCGTATTACTAAGATCTTATTGTAAAGATCCATGGAGACTTATTTACTAACCTTTTAATGCTCACTCATATGCAGGTTTTCCATGAAGAAAGACTAAACAGGCACTATGGAGTAGGGGTGTACATTCTATCAAACTTTCTCTCTTCATTCCCTTACTTGATAGTTATGTCACTCTCCACGTCGAGTATTACCTATTACATGGTGAAATCTAGAGCTGGGTTTTCAGGATTTGTTTTCATCTTTCTCGACCTTCTAAGCTGTATAGCAGCAGTTGAGAGCTGCATGATGACCATAGCTTCACTTGTTCCCAACTACTTAATGGGTATCATTATTGGAGCCTGCTATATCGTAAGAAAGAACAACCATCTCTTTCTCACAAGCACACTCACTCACTCACATTCGCTCAAAGTGTGGATTTTTCTAATTCTACGTTCCTTTTCTCTGTGCAGGGGATCCTAATGATGACTTCAGGCTTCTTCCGTTTCCTGCCTGATCTTCCTAAGGTTCTGTGGCGTTACCCAATCTCGTACGTCAACTTTGCTGTATGGGGACTACAGGTAAAGAAGATTTTTTCCTAAGTTCTTCTTATGGAACTGGGAATCATACATCATTATCCAAGCAAGCACATACATGATACTTGTTCTTTTTCTACTGTGAATGCAAGAGCTGGAAATATGATACTGAGAATGGTGCAGGGAGCATACAAGAATGACATGATTGGGCAGGAGTTTGAAGCTTTAGTACCTGGTGGGCCAAAGCTGAAAGGTGAAGTCTTTCTGACTACAGTGCTGGGAGTCAACATTGGATATTCGAAGTGGTGGGACTTGGCTGCAGTTGTTGTGATCCTGATAGCTTTCAGACTTGCCTTTTATGCTATCCTCAAGTTAAAAGAGAGATCTTCACCTCTGCTGAGGGAGATTTACACCAAGCGAACGCTGCATCATCTAAAGAAGAAAAGGCCATCTTTTAGGATTTCGAGTTCTTCGCGCTTCCCTTCCAAGAGGCATCAACAAGTCATTCATTCTTTGTCTTCTCAAGAAGGTCTCTTCTCTCCAATCCACTAGGCTCGCTGTACTCAACCCACCTAAGAAGAAACAAACAATTGGGCAATTAGTGGAAGTGCCCCTCACCAAATAATTCCACCCATATACATATGTATATCATGTCATCATGCTTAGTTGTGACATCCTATAAAATTGGAACGATACACAGAAGATCGTGTTCTAGTGGTTACCTTGCCATATTGTAAGTTCTCATGATGATAAGCTATGTTCTACAAGTTCTAGCTAGAAGAAAGCAGCAGAGCAGGACTTCTCTTGCGACCTATGAAAATGGCTAATCAGCCCTCTCTCTAAATTCCAATATCAAACACTGGTTCCTCTCTCTCTCCATTCATAACCTTTCTTTCCATCTTTCATCTTTTCAGCCTTTTTTATCACCTACCTTTTCCCCACCATGCGTTGAAGCTTGGGATCAGGATGGATGTTGCAGTAGGAAATGCATTGTTATGCATGTACGTGGACCTGAATCGTATAGAAGCAGCAAAGAAAGTCTTCTCTGACATGGAAGAGGTTGATGTTGTATCATATAACTATTTGATTTCTGCATTGGCAAGCAGCAATTGCAAGGATGAAGCTTGGGAGCTCTTCGGAGCGATGATGTTGCAACAATCAGACATCATGCCAAACTCTTACACAATGGTGTCTCTGCTTTCTTGTTGTGGGGATGAAACTTAACTCAATGCCGGGCGTTGCATCCATGGATTAGTGATTAAACTTGGTATGATATTGATCCAGCACTGAATACTGCTCTTGCTGATACGAACATGATTTGTGGCGATGAAGAAACAGCGAGGAATCTATTCGAGGTCTGTTCACGTAGAGACCTGATCTCTTGGAACGCTATGATTTCTGCCTATGTGAAAAAGAACCAAACTGATGAGGCTCTAAACTAAGTATGATCACTGAGGTGGAGCCGAACTCCATCACCATTATCAACATTCTCTCAGCATGTTCTGACCTTGCCAATTTGCCTCGTGGACAGCAAATTCAAGCATATGCAGCCCGCAGATTCTCCCCTCTCGAATTCGACCTCTCTCTGGCGAATGCTTTCATCACAATGTATGCAACAAGCGGCAGTGAACAGGGTGCTGAAAACATCTTCAGAACTCTGCAGGAGAGGAATACCATATCATGGAACGCCATGATCAGTGGATATGCCACAAATGGCTCCTCTGCTGATGCCATCCAAGCCTTCATGGATATGTTGGAAGAAGGTTTCCAGCCTAATGGCGTGACATTCTTATCCGTACTGTCTGCCTGCCACCATGGTGTTTTAATAAGAAAAGGCCTGCAGATTTTCAGTTTCATGGTTCGCGACATGAAACTAACTCCCCAACTTGCTCATTACGGGTGCATAGTCGATCTACTTGTTCGAGGTGGGTTCTTACAAGAAGCTAGAGAGTTTATCAATTCCATGCCGGTGGAACCTGATGCATCGATTTGAAGAAGTCTACTGAGTGGCTGTAGAATAGATTCATTGTGACCCTGAAATGGCAGCATTGGTTTTTGGTAAGCTAATCGATTTGGAGCCAAATAATCCAGGAAACTATGTTTTGCTGGCCAACATATATGCTGCAGCAGGGGTTTAGTCTGAGGTTAGGGATGTAAGAGCATTGTTGAAAGAGAAGGGTTTGAAGAAGCCTCCAGGAATTAGTTGGATCATTCTAGGGGGTCGTGTTCACTCTTTTGCTGCCAGAGACACATCACACCCTAAATCTGTTGAGATTTATGCTAATCTGAATTCTTTGTTGGGTCTAATTAGTGAATTTGGATGTATGAGTAAATAACATTCTCTATTCCACGATGAAGAGGGTTACTAGGTTCATGTAAATTGTAATCATTCAACGCTTGTAATTGTAAAGACTAATCAGCACAATAGAATAAGTTATACCAGTCACAAAGTCAAAAGACGGATAAATAGACACATTCATTTGCACGAATCAGGAGCGCTTACCGACTACAAAGGTCAGATCACGAAGCAAGTCATTTATCAATCAAACATTCTTCTTGCGGCGACATCTTGTTGGGAGAGTTGGTGTAAGCTGTACTACGCGCCAGAAAAGCAACGTGAAGAATTGATCAACAAGAAGGTATGTTCTCTCCAATTCACTGGACGCCCCAGTAATACTTCAAACTGACACCACTTTACCTGAAAAAACAACAATTGGGAATTAGTGGAAGTGCCCCTGACAATATATTTCCCCATATACCACATCATGATGCTCAGCATTTACCTTGTGCAGACATTGTAAGCTCACATGATCGGCAGTGTTCTGCGAGTTCTAGCTAAAAGAAACCAAGTACCACCACATACGGCCAGCTGAGCGAGCAGGACTTTTCTTCTATTTCTTAACAGCTGTATAACATGAAACAAGCACGAGGATGTGAATTCGCAACGACCACCGAATAGAACTGGACAAAATGTTTAGAAACTTACATATAAGCAGTAGACTTAACACAAGGGTAAGCAGTGAGAACTGGTAAAGTTATTATACCCCATGGCAACCAAAATAACACACTTACTTAACGATTCTAAATCATATTGTTTATGCTTTCCTGGATCATAGAACATTGGATAACCATCACCGAATTCAACAGACATGCCCACAGCAGAGATCAAGGCAAAGCTACTCGAGAAATACGGGCTATCAGACTATGCAGCCAAGGAAAGAGCAAGGATTAAGCAAATGTCAGCAACTGTAAGAACTCCAAACTAGTACTTTCTGAATCTAGCACCTTTGACTTTGCTTGTGATATCCCGGTTTCCCTAGAATCAACAAAGAAGAATGGCGTGCTGTCCAACAAGTGATGATCTTAAGTAATCTAAAACAAACACGACCAATAAGTATTCCTACAACTATACAAAGATCTACATCCAAGTTGAGAGAAAGACATAGCCTTATAGAATAAGCTAACCTTGCAATCGGTCATTCAGAACTGTAATCCTTTCTAGTACACAGACAACTAAGCTGAGGAAACTAAAAATGGAAGGAAAATGTACTTAGCATTAAATGCACTCTCCCGTAAAAGATATGAGAACTCTATGAACAGACGTACAACATTTATCCCGTGACATAAACATTCTTATCCTTTATGCAGAAAGGAAATGTGATAAAAAGCAAATTTAAGAGACCAGCTAATTGGTGGAGGCAACTTCTCACATTGACAAAGAGATGTTCAGTCAATATGTGGAGAAGTTGGGGATACTATAGGGTGAGAATAGGAGTTTACATCGCCTTGTCTATATCTGTTGGTACCATTTTCTTCGACATTGGAAGAAGTCAGACAGCAGTCTTCGAAAGAGGAGCTCGTGGTGCATTTATTTGAGGATTTATGACATATATGTCCATTGGAAGTTTTCCTTTGTTCATTGAAGAATTGAAGGTGAATGAACAGATTCGAAGGAACATGGCAAAGACATAGAGCTAACACAGTTTTGCTAACCTTTACCTGCTTCACATCCTTTCTTACACCATGCAGGATTTCTCTAAAGAAAGAATGGTTGGAAATTACGGGGTTGGAAATTACATAATGTCAAACTTCATCTCTTCCTTCCCGTACTTGGCTCTCAAGTCTCATGTCACTCTCTACAACAAGTATCCCCTACGACATGGTGAAATTCCGAACTGAAATTTCCCGGCTTGTCTACATCTACCTACTTCTGATAAGTGGTATAGCAGCTGTAGAGAGCAGCATGATGGTTATAGCTTCAATAGTTCCAACTTCTTGATAGGAGTCATCATTGGAGCTGAAATATTTATTGTGAGAATTAAAGCCCTATAACCTATACTACCAAATACATACAATCACCCACTTGATCAGTGTTTCTCGCCTCGTATTCACATTCATCCATTTGTTATCTGCAGGGGATAATAGTGATGACTGCAGCTTACTTCCGTTTTTTCTTTTCTTTTCTTTTTCCGGATCTTCCTAAGGTTTTCTGACAGTACCCGATGTCTTACCTAAATTATGCTGCATGGGCATTACAGGTACTTCAAAGTGAAGTAAAATATTTCAAATACGTCAAACAAGCCTATTCTTATTTTATAGATATACTACATCTATAACATGAAATGCAGGGAGCATATAAAAATGACATGATTGAAATAGGAGATAGATCCCCTGGTACCTGATGGTTCAAAGCTGAAAGGTGAAGCATATCTCACAAGTGCTTGGCATTAACATTGAGCATTCGAAATGGTGGGACTTAGTTGCTGTTGTAGCCATCATCACAGCTTATTGACTCATCTTCTATGCCATTCTCAAGTTGAAGGAAAGAACTTCACAGATGCTAAGGAAACTTTATGCCAAAAGAATGCTACATCAGCTCAAGAAGACGCCATCTTTAGGAAGAATTCACAATTCCCTTACAATAGACATCAGGCCTCCATTCTTAGACTCTCCCATTCGATAGCTCCAGGGTCAAGAAACAATTAGTATCAGGGGGAATGGGCCTACTAAATGAACCACTAACATGGTTCCATGTAGGTGGACAAAGATGTTGAACAAATGTATCAGGAAATAAGGAAACACAGTCAGTCAAATTTCTCTTTTCATGAACAATGGGTTCACTAAGGTCATTGCATTTTACTATAGCTCAGTCCCGTTAGTTAAATGAAATCCAATAGTCCTTCGCCTATACAACTTGCTCAGTAACCAACCACATGAACAGTTCTCGACTGTTACCTTTAATAAACAAAATATGTATGGTCTGATGAGCAAACCCATCTCACTCTTAGTCAAGAGCATAACATAGAGAGGGAGTCATAGAACAGTAGAGGAAAGGGAAATATGCATTTCATTTTGTCACGTGTCATGAAAGATGCAACTACATTCACACGAAAGTGAGACGGAAGATTTGCAAACTCCAGAAAACAAAGAAGCATATTGATATTGAAGGGGGAAAACACACAGCTTATGTGGTACATAACTCGTCATATATAAACAGGACATGAATAATCTGATAAGTTGCCTGATCACAGTTGAAAAATGAAAACTATTATAAAACTCATCAGAAGTATTCAGACTTGTTTTAAAAAAACCATAAACTAACTAATATCTTGAAATCAAATGTCATCAGCCGGCCCCATTCCAATTGCTTCATAGTTCACAAGGAAAATTGCTCTTCTATAGCCTTTCAAGACATGTTGAGATTACATAAGCTATTTTGCTAAGACATTTCTAATATGATATCTAGAGTGTCAACTAGTGAAACCAGAAACCAATATGAAGCATCAAAGAGATTGTGTACTATTGTTTGTTCTCATTGGATGTGCCACTGTCAACACGAGCATCAAACCCATGATAAGGAACTTCAATCATGGGCCTTGGCATGGGACGCCCATCAAAATCCTCTGGGAGAAAATAGAAGTCTGGGCCAAAATTAAATCTTACAACACAATTCGGTTGATTCGGAAGAGTGTACATTGATGCAGCAGGGTAGTAGCGCCCACCGTATAAATCCTTGAATGCAACCCCTTGACATATGCCATTCTTGAAGAATGATATCTCACTTCCTGCACCACGAGAAACAGTATACGTAAGTGAAGAATGAGTGCTGAACCATACAGCAAAGATCCAAAGGACCCATCCTCAGCATGCACAAAACTTGCTAACTACAAAGTAGAGTTTCAGTCAAGTTACACCCTTCAATTAGAGATAGAAAAGCATCATTTCAGTCTGCAACATGATATTCGCAATCAGCCAGATGCCTCTACATCTAAATAAAGAAGCTTTCCTGAGCAATTCAAGGAATAAGATTGTGAAAAGAAAAATAGAGCATTTCGTTTAATCTGTTTGCCAATTAAATCATCCAATGGAGACAGAAGCAAAAGGAAATTTAAGAATATTCAATCTAGGAAACATATTAGGGAAGCTCATTGGTCTTGATACAAAGCCAACTCGTAAAAGGAGGTACTTGAGTCTTGTTCTTTGGGCCTAAGCTGGTGGTAATTGATGGAAGGGAATGGAAGTACACCATTGAAACAGCAACCATATGTCTTACAAGCTATAAGAGTGAGCCTTCTACTATGCATATACCATAATCACAGATAAACAGCATGTAAAGTAACAAATACAAACAAGTCCAGAACAAAAACCCACCTGGCACAATCTTAGGAGGATCCTCCTTGGCGTCTGGAGCACATAGATACCTCTGTCCTTTATACCAAACCAAACGAGGCGGCTTAGGAGCATACGAGCCTCCATCGGGCAAGTTAATATAGAACCCAATGACATCCCCTTCTTTGTACCCTTCTTCCCCATACTTCTCCCTCAATGCCTTGTGAATCTTACTACCATCAATATCTCTATACCCAAAACTGTTCCCATCATAGCCAACCGGCGCCTGCAAGTCCCCTTTCTCAGTAGACCACCCGAGCCGCGTATGCCCAGTCTCTCCCAGACTCTCAACCTTGATCTCGAAGTACCAAGCACCTTCACAAACCCCTCTAGTTGCCCTCACCATTCTATAACCCTTGGTACTCCCAGCACTCAATCTGTCCTCGCCCAGCTCTACTTTCTCAGCCTTGTACGCCTTGGACAAGCAAATTGTCATCTCCGGAGAATCATCATTCTTGTCCGGGAACCTGGGGACGGGAGTGATCAACACGGTGTCCTCCGTGGGAGTGCTATGCGGGTTGGGCTTCGCCTTCTTCTTACCCTTCCGAGTGGACTTCGTCGACCAGACATTGTTATTGCTCTTCTTCTTCGACTTCTTCTTCGCGGCGGATTGCGTGGTAACCGCTGCAGCAGCGGATGGAGGAGCTTTCGCCTCCTCCTCAACGCTCCCGTTCTCGCCGTTGGCTCCATCTCCATTGGAAATTTCCTCCACCGGCGTCATCGCCTCCGGTTGCTGCTGCAGCTCCTCTTCTGCCTCTCCCTCTTCCTTCACCTCCTGCTTCTGCTTCTTACTCTGCCGGTCCTCTCCCTCCGCCTCCTCCTCTTCTTCGTCCTTCACCGAAGGTTTCTCCGCATCGTTTGAATTCGTAGGGCCCGACTCCGGCAGCGATTCGGAGGCGGAAGCCCCAACCGCGACTTCCTGCTGCTTGTTCGTCGTAGCCGCGTCGGGCTCGGGAAGTGAAACAAGCTCAATCGCAGAGGGCGGAGGAAGTGGCGGCAGAGAAGGGAGGAGAGGAGCATTTTGGTCCGGTGCGGCGGCGTGGGATGGTCGTACTCCTTCCTCCTCCCCCTCCGTCACTTCTCCCTCGCTTCTGTAGGTGGATTGAAGGGAATCCATGGAAACACGATTTCGTCTTCGGAAAACCTAATTGAGGATACGAACCGGACAAAGACGGAGACGCGATGAGCGGAACTGTTCGTCGGAGGAGAAACGAGGGGAAAGAACTCTAGAGCGGCTGCCACTACTTCTCACCGGAACGGCAACTACACCAGCGGAGCGGGAGAGAGATGGTTACGGACCAAGAAAGTGGAGGGATGAAAGGGGAAAGTAAATTACTGAGTGGGCTCGAGCCTGTCTTTGGATGAAGAAAAGAATGCCCTGGAGATGGGCTCCAGGCCCAGGGCCTTGTTGACTGAAAATGCACAACCATGGCCGTTTTTGTTAGGCATTGAACCCCACCTTAGGTGCTGAGTGGTGTCCTCTCCTCCCTAATACCTAATACATAATTCCGTCTATGGAGCCTAAAGCTTCAACCATGGCAGTAAGTTGGCCTAGTCTCTCGCCCAGCCTTCGCCTTCTTCAGTGGCCGAGTTGAAGCGTTCAACGGTTCTTCGCCACCTTTCTTTTTCAAGGTTGAGCTTGTTCAATTGAAGCTAAAGCTATGCCCCTTGTTCAAGAGAAAGCGAGGACTTTCTTTTAGCTACCGGCCCAAACAAAAGAGATTTGCCTCTTGATCGATTGATTGGATCGAAGTACGAAGGGGTTGATTGAAGTGTGAGATCAGCCCAAGACTAAGGCCGAGCAACTAGCTGCTGCAGGATTGGACGTCTATCTATCTCACCACGCTCCCCTACTCCTAACAAGGCCGGCGGAAGGAATGCTCTGCTCATCTTTCTTACGGCTCATTACCGCAGCGCTCGAAAACCCCTTCGCCTTCTTCCATTCAAAAAGGTTTCCTATTCTTATTGGTAAATAACGTCTTGAAGTGAAGCGAAGGCATTATTGAAGGAAAGAGATGGCGGGTTGGTCAATTGCATTAGGTAGGAGATGCAGGACCTGTCTTAACCGCAAGTGCATTCGCTATTCGATTCCATCCTCAATCCCACTAAATATTTATTCCTTTGTATCTCTTCTTTACTTTTAAGTGAGAAGGGGGGTGTCAAAGGGTATACTTTCTTCTCTCTATGTCGCCGTCTCATCAATGAGCGTAGATTAATTAATAGATATGAGATATAGCTTTTGTGCTTGTCAATCTCTATCCCATTCCATTGGATTCGTTTTCGTTGATCACAGATCGACAGGTGATCCGTCCTTTCTCCCGTCATAAGGCGTGGTCTGACTCTGATAAAAACCATTCCTGTGTTTAGGTCCCTACTAAGCAGAATTCGTAAACTATGCAAAGGCTATTTGAAGACTTTTTCAAAAGTTTATAGCAAAAAAAATTCTCAATGCCCTTACGAGGTAGTGATGAGTTAAACTACTCGTGTTGGCATGAAAGTAAGCCCGGTAAACTTATTCCATTCTGCTACTAGGTTCCAAACCTTCCCCTTAGCTCTATAAAGACCCTTTCAACTAAAAAAAAAAGATGCTAAAGCTATTTATAGTTGTTCGGAAGGATTCGTTTACTTCCTGCAAATTGCTTATGTAAGAATTAGTAGAAAGAAAGGAATTTTAAATAATAAAAGAAAGAATAAGGGCAGCATTGATAGATCGTTGAATGAGATTGAATGGGAATCGTCTTAGCAACTGGCTATAGACATGAGTCAAAGCCGCCGAGAGAGGAGAGATTATTTTCATGAGAGAGGGACGAGCAAGCGACAGATTGGGAAAAAAATAGGTAGGCCTTTTCTGAGCGGTCATTTAGAGGCCTTGTTAGCGACCCATCATTCTTCCCTAAGCTGTCAGAGTCCGATCGAAGCGAGCAAGAGATAGAAGAATCATCGCTCATAGATGTGAATTGAGAAAGCAAGCCCGAATTCTTTTTAATTCCAATAGTTGTTTATCTTTCCTTCTCTATGGAAATATAAAGCTTTGCAATCTCGACAAATCATTTGCCTCGATATCGACTCTCACTCGCTTGTTAGTCAGCTCATGGAAATTGTATGATAAAACAATTTCATCTGCAGAAAAACATCAGGCCTCCAAATGTTCCCTTGATTCACAATGAGGTGTCAGGTTAATTGACCGGCTCACAAGGGGGAAATTCAGGGTCAGCAAATTTGGGGATGGTGAAACTACTCGAGAAAACAACACCAACTAAAGAACATTCAAGCCATCGTCAAGTTGAGCAGCATCTCAGAGACCAAAACACAGACTAGAATGAATGCAGAGTTTATAAAAGCACAATGTACACAAAGTCCAATAACCTGCGCAAGAAAGCATAATTTTTGCATCTGCTATATCAAACAGGCAAGTAATCCAAGAGATGATAATAAATCAAATAAGCTACAACTGCATTGCAGGCAATTATAATCTGTTATATCATACAGCATAACATTGACAATTGTCCGAAGCTTTCCGTTGTAACATTATAGCCTGGCATGCACTAAAAGAACAAGTGGCCTGGATCCCTACTGATCATGGTTTGTTGCTGTTATCTATCATACTAACCCGATCACTAACATCAGCAACATGTACTTGTTGCAACAACTGATAAAAAAATTAACAATGCAGTTCAACTGATACCCTTTCAGTCTATGTATCGAGAGGAAAGATCCCTGAACAGTTAGTCTACTCATCGGGAACATTCTTTTCAGCATCTGCAGTTTTATTGTTGTCCTCATCAACTGGTTCTGATTCTGGTTCAGGTTCTGGTTCTGTTTCTGATGGAGGAGGTGGCAAAACTTGCAAGATCAACTCCAACAGTTCTTCCATATCAAGCTCTGGTCGCTGTTCTTGTTGCTCTACGATCTGTCGGCACATAATAAAATAGGGAAAAGAAGGGGCTTAGCCACACAATAGATATGGCTGACATGAAGTACAAAACAAAGAACCCCAAATGCATACAAGCGAAAAGTGCAGATGGTGAAGCTATTGCCTCATCTTGATGAAGCAAAATGTTTCCAAGGGTACAACTAGACGCGTTGTTAAGACTTTGGCGGGAATTAGAATGTCTCAGGTTTGATATCACACCCAGTTGTAAAAATTGAGTGAAACACAAGCCGCAACAGTGTATCGAATCTCTTTGTAAGAACAGCAGACTCTGTAAATAAAGCAAAACCAAGATCCCTAAAAGCAGAAAACTCAGAAAGTATACCAACCGGGTCAAGCTCCACTAACTGGGAAGGCCTGGTGTTGATGATGCTCAGAATCTCAGCTTTGGTAAGCTTAAATTTCTGAGACTTTTCCAAGAACTCATTGATGTGCTCTTTAGTTTGATTGCAGGCAACTGTCCCCACCAAATAATCATAAACCTACAATCAATTCTAACAACTAGATATTATTCATCAGACAAGACAAGGAAGAACCAGATGAATGGTTCTTTTTTTCCACTACATACAATGAGGCACTCAATCCAAAAACCAAAATCAAGAACCTTGTATTCAGAGCGTCCCACACTAGCCATCACTCTGGTGGTATCCTTAGCAGCACCTCTTGAATTCAGCAAATGCAGTAGCTCGAAGTTTATGATTAGACCCGCATTTCCCTCCTTTCTGCAACAAATTTGTTAGTATAAGGGTGGAAAAAAATAGTCTCAAAATGGGTTGGTTGTCAGGGTGAGAAATCGAGAGGATGAAAAGCGAGGGAAAACAGAAACAACATACATCTTCATTACTCAATTTCTTGCAGGAGACTGGGGTGGCGTGTGCGCTCCAATGAACTCGACTCTCTCTCCCCGATTCCAAATCCAGTACTCCAATAAAAATTAACCTAATCGCCAACTCAACTTCCCCGTAGTTCTCCTGATATCAATCCCGTAAACCTAATTCACTATCGTCCTCCCAACCACTGACCGAATCTGACAGTTATGAGAGCTCCGATTCTGGAAACCTCCCGAAACCGAAACCCTAACTGCAAGGCCGACGAGCATACGACGAACACGAATGAATATCAGTAGACACCGAAACCCTAGCCGGCGGCAATGTCAGCGGCGGCGGAGGAAGGGCGTAGATCGCCGGGGAGCGGAGGGATGGCGGGATGGAAAGTAGGAAGAGAGAGAGAGATCGAGTACAGAAAGAGAAATTGAGTTTGGGAAGAGAAAGAAAAGGGAGGCGCAGAGTGGATGGAGGGAGTTGAGGGAAAAAAACAGGTGGAGTTTGTTTTGGCCCGTTTATCTCTGGTTTTGTGTGTGTTAAACTTAAAACTCCGCGACTGCACACGGCGACTTTGGGAGGTAAAAAGGAGAAATTTGGCAGAGCAGGTTTGACGAAATTACCCGCGGCAGGTCCGCCTTATTACGTTTCTGTTCAGGTTTCCCGCTGGAGACTGGGCTGGCGTGTGCGCTCCAATGAATATGGGGCAGCAAGGCGTACGGATAATACGAAACTATTGTCCGCGCGGATAGACTTTCTTAATCCGCCAAATGCAAGAGAAATGAAATGAGGGTTAGTGTTTATTGATCGCTATTATGCAAATTTTCACTCTATACCAGCCGTCAGATTCCGTTAACTCCATCAATTTTTTGATGATATGGCAAACAGTGAATGGGTTGTTAACTTGACATGTCAATTAAAAAAAAAAATTAAAAAACTTATTCCCTTATTTTTATCCAAGAAGTGATCCCCTCATCGTCGACGCAGGTGAAAAAGCCACAAGACTACACCAACAATAACAAAGCCATCGCCAAAATCCTGTGAGGCAAGCTCTTCGTCTGGGTTACAAGGTCAAAATGTTATTCATCTCCTAAATTGACTCGACCCCACCCGACCCTTACAAGGCCAAAAGATTATCCGATCTTAAACTGACCCTATACTCAAACAAACATAGCCCGACCCTCAGGGTCGAAACCGGTCAGGACAGATTAGGTCAAGCTTACACCCTACTTCTGAACACAATAAGCATAGACAGTAGATATTACCAAATTGAAGAAAGAAGAGAACAAAATTGAATCTCTTGCCAAACTTTTTCTTTTCTTTTTAAGGCAAGTCTTATACCAAAACTTGGATATCAGAAATACACAAGAAATTCTACAGCTGTAGCTAACAAGAGATCATTACAAAATGGTTGGCTGAGGTGGTTAACAAACAACAATGAGAAGGCAAAAGTTGGTACAATAGAAGGAAGAGCAGCACAGCCAAGTTTCTTCCACAGGCAGGGCATAGTTAGACTCAGATCAAACCCTGACGCTGCAGATCGGTGAAGGTCTTCTTGTTATAGATATTGCCTTCCTTGTCTTCGTACTCTTCTTCAAGATCCGGACGCCACTTGTTTATTCCTTGTCGCTCTTGAATCCTTTTCCATAACTCCTTCGCTTCCTGCGTCGAGAAAGGAGATGTTTTAGACTTCTGAACAAAAGGGAAGATCTTTTCGAAGCATTTTGCTGGGAAATTCAAAGGGAGCTTACTTCGATGGATGTGATCTCGTTGAAGTTCTTGGTGTTTGGAATGTTTAGGCAACGCATCCCGTGTTGATGCCTAAACTCCTTGAAGTGGCGCTCATACGCTCTACGGCCCCAGTAACTGTAGTTACCACAGATCTCACACTTGAATTCCTAAGAGGTGAAAGGAAATTAGCGGATGAGATTTATAACCCAAAATCAATCAGCGCATCCATCAAAACCAGAAACGAACAGGTCTACCATTATATAATATACGGTCATAATATGATGCTAGTAGGTTATAAGCAAGTTGAGCATAGCAGCTAAAAAGCAGACGAATATGCTTAAATGTGCCACAATTCATTAGTTCATAAGCTAAGCAAGTACCTGGCCGAGACCGTGAAGCTTATACAGCCAGTATGGTATGGGCTTTCCATCCCAGCCCATGGGCAACTTGAGAGGGTTGTAAATTTGTTGGTCATCATCGTCACTTTCACTTTCTGCTTGCATCTCCTCCTGCCACAACAACAGTTAACCATCAGTCAGCTTGCAACTACAAGACGTATGACAAAGCAAAGAACAGGAAACCTCAAGGAAAAGAAAGAATAACAGGATTCCAAGGAAGGATAGTGAGAGTAGTAGTAATAATGGAGCTTTACCTCCTGACGTTCTGATTCCATTTCCTCGTATGTCAAAGCCTGCTTCTTCTCAACATTCTCTTTTGTCCTTTCGATTGTCTGAAAAGGGTCATGAAAGAATCACAATTACACATTGCCATCCAGAAGAATGGGGAAAAGTACTTCGAGCTTCGGCAAAATGCAAGGTACTGTGCACTTTGCAGGCTTCAAAATTCAGTACCTATGCATGAAGAAAACAGGTACTGTGCAATAGAGACATACCTCACTCAATAAGGTACACAGTTTGATGATTTTGGCCTCCATCAAGGCAACTTCCTTTGAATTGATGTTCTCCTTCAAAGCAGCAGCTCCATTCTGTACTGGGACTCGTGAACCCTTGGCAAAATGCTTCTTCTCCAATTTTTCCAGAGGAATATGCTGCAAATGATAAAATAGGACGTATAAGAACTGTCAGCTACATCATATGACTTGCTTAGGGGAGGAAAACCTTGGTTATAGTAAGCAAATGCAACACAATTGTAAGAAAGCAACCTTCGTGAGGAAAAGTCTTTCTGCACGTTGCTGCAGAGTACCTCCAGTCTTTAATCCCAATGAAGCCAATGCCTGACAAATGAAAATATATCAAGCAAGTATCAACGAAAATCCAAAGTTTCGACATTCACAGAAGTAAGACACCTAAAACAAAAATAAGACAGAAGTAGACTATAAGCAAGTTAGCAACTGTTGTTGTCTGGAAGCATTCATTTGTCCTCTTCTTATTTGCCTTTTCTAATTTAAAGGCTCCATTGCATTAAGAATGCAGGATCAGAACCAGCTAATTAATGGTACTGACAATTGATAGTACCATGTCATATTGTTGTTGATGTACTAAATGCAAGAGAACCCCTCCCAAAAGCATATATTGCCTACCAAAAGAAGAGCAATCAGCACACCACAACCTAGGAAAAGCAACCATAGAAGCAAAAAGAACATACTTACTTCCTTCAATTTTTCAAGACCCACTTGCATCAGCTCTTCTACTGTGGTGTAATAATCAAGATCAATTGACGTGTCTTGAGCTGGAACAGGGCCAGTTTCCTGACCTCCACCCCATCCAGGCACCTTGCCATCTTTCCACTGCTCTTCAAATTCAGTTACAACCTGTTCAAGACAGTAGAATGTTAGAGAAGTGTGGGACTGAAGAGACCAAGTCAATATCATGAAGAAATCAAAGTAACCACCTAGTTTAAGCAGATGTCTCTAAATCCTTAATAGAGTGGTCAGAGCACACACACAGAAACATTTCATCTAGAACGACAAAATTTTAACTTTCTTACTTCATCATATGTCCCTTAATGTATATATGTGTGTGGAAAGTAGAAGTCCAAGTGCATATCACTAAAACAGCAGTATGACCACCCAAAATCAACTGCAGACATGTCTACAAAGACCTTTGAAGAGATTCTATCAAGATCCAGAAATGGTTTTATCAAATATATTTTCTAGTAAGTAGTAACCAAATCTCACAGCTTTAGCATCAATCAACTACAGGACCTATAATGCATATGCAAAGTACAATAGCCATCAATAACAGAACTATGTACGATTATGAATTGAGCAGCTTGCATATATCAAAACAGCAGTATCACCACACCGGCGCACCCAAACTCAAGACTAACATTGCAGAATATTTCTACCACACCTTTGAGAAGATTTTATCAAGATCTTGCAATGGTTCTGTACGTTGGAAAAAATAGACCAGATACTCCAACAGATTCTGTGTGTATTCCCTGTATTGCCTGCAAATAAGAATCGAAACTATGAGAAATCATGGAAAACCAACATTTCAGAACACTACACATGTCGATTGAGCTGGCCATAACAATTAATTGGCCATGTAGACACAATCAGATAACGAGAACCAAAGAGAAATTACCTGGTCAACTTGAGTTTCCGGTCGATTTTCTGTGGTTGACTGAAAAGATTGAGATAAGTTGAGTACTCAATGTGCGAGTCCTCGGATTCTTTTTTACCACTACGGGGCATCCCAAACTTTGCATTGATGTACTGGTTGTAAAGTTCATGCAAGTCAAGATATTTCCCATGGGCTTCCTGAAATGTGAATTTTGATAACCCAAAGTGCAAATGAGAGCCAAAATCAAAATAAACAACGGAAAACTTTAAGAGAAACCAGATGTTAACCTATTATAATGAAACAGATGGACAATTGACATTATCATAGCCAAACATTCTGATTGCTAAGGTTCGCAACCAGAAGACTCCTTGTCCTGAACACTCTATGGACCCTAATATACAGGTACAAATTCACAACAATTCAATGCCTAAAAAGGGTCAGCAACTTGGCCTAATAAAGACACACTGAATGCTCAACTCAAAACCTTACTGTGGTACGAACTGAAACCTAAATGAAGTAGAGATGAAGCTAAAGGACAGGAAAGACGGTCATGTAACAATAGCTCGAAATAAGGCTAACTAGTACATATAATTGAAAGTAAGGCATCATGCCCTTTTTTTTCTAGCATAAGGTATGGAAGTGGGAAGAGAGAGAGAGAAAGAGAGAGTTACCTCGCCAGTAAACTCAATGACAGGTTCTTCTTTCAACAGTGCCTCGTACTGCTCCTCCACATCCACAACACGGGCTGCCGGATGCCTTCTATGGTATTCTCGAATCTAACAACCAGACAATTCAAACAACAAGATTCATTAGCCTTCAATTCCAAGCTTCCACCGCAATTCGAGTATCAACAGGTCATCATCAATCTAGATAATAAAACCTAAACTATGTTCTTATTCCAAGTTAAGAAAGCAGATGGTTCAGTACATTACCTCTTTCAGTCTATCATAAAATGCACTAAACATATTCGTTCCACTAGTCGTCTGGCCCCCCAGGGCAGCAATCTCGTCCTTCCTAGCGTGATCCTTATCTTCGTAAATATCAACCTGAACCAGCCATAAGCATTACATTCAATTAACCTAATCTTCAGCGTTTTCTCCAAAGAAAGTCGAAATTCGGGAAGAGAACGAGGGGCATTACCAGTTTATGACTGGTAGAGACAATCGTATCGATCATGTTACGAACGCGGTGGCTCTGCAGGAGACGGTCCTTGCTGGAAGTAAGATCGTTCTGAAACTCCTTCACTATCAGCCGCTCCAGCCGCTCTACTTCCTCGTGCGACGCCCGAGTCGTCTCCAGCAGAGTCGAAGACATCTTCCCTGGTTGAATCCGGCCGGCGTCTTCTTCTTGGCTGAACAGAAGTTCCCCGTCGACCAGCTAGCTCTCCTTCTCCGGAGCTATATCAATGGATGTTAGGGTTCTCTTGGCTCTTGCTGCGGACTACTCTACTCGCAGTCGAATGACTGAATCGGCTCCGGGGACCGACGAAGAATCAGATGAGTGTTTCCCTTCCCGATTCCGTTTCCAATTTAACGGAGATGGCACCAAAACGGTGCGGTATTGCCTATAACGAATACTATACGCTTTTAAGTTTACTGGTTGGAATTGTAAACGACTTAAAGTTCAGGTACTACTAAGCAATTATTTAACGCGAAACTAGAGTTGACAGAGAAACTGCGCGTGCCCCTCCACTCAGCAAGATTTGCCTTCTGGTTTTTCTGATCGGCTGAGAGGAAAAGGAGCTCGCAGAGCAAGCTGAACTGAGAAAGATGAGGAAATTGAAGCAGTTCATAGCAGGGGATGAGGATGGCGATAGGGGAGAGAGCTTCTTGGAGGAAGATTCAGATGGGTCTTGTTCCCTCACTGCAACACAGGTTTTCTTTCTTCCTCTCTGCTCTTCTTCGCTGTATAATTCCATCGGTTCTGCTCCTCGATTGATCCAATTGATTCGAGGATCGATATCACTGCGAGCTGCTTATGGGGTTCTATATTGGTGCAGAGAATGTACGCATTCGCGGCTTGCCTGGCTGCTGGTCTGGCTTTCATGTTTCTGGTAACCAATCCTGCCACCATTCTTTTGGATTTCAGCCCATTTGTAAAAAAAAAAAAAAAAAAAAAGTGGATTTTTATGGGTTCATGGCAATTGGCAAGTAAATTTGGAACTGAGGGGTTTCTAATTCCAACTGGGATAGAGGGTAGTCATCTGCTCTCTGCGAGTGACTCCTGCCGTGATTTGGGGCTTGTTCAGCAATAAGAATGAACTGTGTCAATGCCCTTTTATGCTTTCAATTTTTACTCATGAATTGTGTCGATGTTAAATGTCTCTATGAGGAGTTTTCACACATCCAACTAACCATGAGGAAGATGCAAGCATAATCTTTCTAGACAGAAGTTCGACCTGCTAATGGCTTTTTTTCTATATGGTACTATGTTGCAGTCATTGATTGTCTTTGTGAAACCCATCAAGTTCGCCTTGTTGTTCACTTTCGGCAACATATTTGCTGTTGGAAGGTATGTCTGCATGTTGAACTCTTTTCAATAGGTGAAGAAATAAAATAAAATAAAAAGCTAAATGTACAACTGTGTTTCCATTGTTTGGCAGCACAGCCTTTCTCATTGGAACTGGGCAGCAACTGACCATGATGTTTGACTCCACCCGTGTATATGCAACTTCCATATACCTTGGATTCGTCGTTATATCACTTATCTGCGCTCTTTTGGTAAGTTCACATTACCTGCTCACATCTGCATGCAACGTTTAATCAAACACCGAACCCACCTTAAGTTTCTCTCCTTGTTTAACAATGCAGATCCACAACAAGATTTTGACACTGATTGCTATACTATGTGAAATATGTGCCCTAATTTGGTAAGTTTGCTTTTCCCTTGCGAGTGGAATAATGAAGGGGATTGCATAGACTTGAATGAAGCTTCTTCATTTTGTGTTTGTATAGAAAGTATGCAGGATGCTTATTCATAGTGTGGCCTTGTGGTGTTTCAGGTACAGTTTGAGCTACATTCCTTTCCCCTCCTCATTTGTATTAACACAATCCCATTTGAGCTCCTGGGGAGAAGAAATGCATCACTCTCGGCTCCCTGGTTCTTGCTGTGTGCAAAACTGCAAATGCAGTTCGTTTTTCCTTTATTCCACCTTCTGTCCCCTCCTTAGGCATTGTTTATCCTCGGCCTTGAAGAAGCAAACGAATGGGCCTCGAGTCTCAGAATAGCAAATTGGGCCTCGTGATCCAATCCGCACCTGCAGAGGAATCTCTATGATGATTTCTAAAACAGACTCCTCCAGACAAACTGGATTAGCCTATCTCATTAGTGAATAGTGATCATATAGGGAATAAATGAGTTTCACAAAATGAGTTTCTTGGACAGGCAACTGTGCATACTGTACAGTACTAATATAGCAGCAGAGCAGAGACGACTGACAGTCACAGTAGGAATGGAACAGGTTTGCCTGGATGGGCCAGATGGAAGAAGAAGAAGAAGAAGAAGGTTATTTATATATTTGGCTTCCTTCTGCAGAAATGGGCCCAGAAAATAGACCAAAGGAAAGGAGAAAAAAATAGAAGAAGGGTAGGTGTGATATCAACTTTACACCAAGAAAGAAGCATGTGGAATATCTTTTACTTCCCTATCTTGAGTGGTAGCTACCTACTGAATTACTGATACTCATTTTTGTGTTTGTTGAAATAGGGATCTCATCACGCTCCCTTTACTTCTCCCCACATCCAAAATTTACCACCCACGTTGACCCTTCTTTTGGATTCGTATTTTTTCCTTTGATTTTTTCTATCAAAATCCAGAACTATAGGACTGGAATAACAGTACAACAAATTCATTTAATGTGTAGAACATAAACAGTGACTGTGACCATGAGGGAACAACCATGGAGTTCAGCTGGGTGGGTTGGTGGAGAACATAAACAGTTCCTCAGAGCGCGTGATTAAGGCGTGTAACTTGATGTTGTTTTAGGAAGGGGGAAATTGTGTCCATCACAAAAAAAAAAATTATTTTAATTATTTGTAAAAAAACTTTCATAAGAAGTTGAGAACCATATGTAAAAACTTTCATAAGTTATGCAGGAAGTGATAATCGTGAATAAAATGGCAAGGGGAAGATGGAGGAGGTTTGATTTGGAAATTGTTCGGGAAAACTCCCGGCGGCAGATTTGGGAATTGGGACAACAAATGGCAGCGGGTCAGATCCTGTGCTTAAGCCTATAAGTTTAAGCATATGCTTAAAGCACTCCTATTGGTTGATAGGAATTTAGTTAGTTAAATGAATGTTAGTAGTTAATTAGTTGTTAAAGGGTAAATGGGGTATTATGAACATATAATTATTATTAATAGTTAATAGAAAAATAAGAATTAAAACCCTAATTCATTTTCACCGTAACCCTCTTCCAAAAATGATGAACGTTGATTCCTCCCCGGCCGGCGGCAACCGCTCAACCCTCTCTCTCTTCGCGAAATGTTCCAGGATACGACGCCGCCGAGAAAGAAAGCTACGGCAGCAGCGCCATCCCGCCATACAAACCTCCACCATCCCTCTGTGATCGGCGAGAACTTCATCGCAGCAGCCGCCGTCCAATCCAACTCAGTCGCAGTCCCGAACCCAAGCCAGCCACTAGTATTTTTCATCTTTTCCATCAACTTCGCGTCGTCTCGCTGTAATGTTTCCCCTGCCAGGCTGTCACCGCACTCTCCATCGCCATGGAAAGTCGTCTCACTCACGATTCAAACTCGTCGGTTGAGTTTTCGCTTCACCATCGACGAGGAACTTCCTACAAGGTTAATAATCATTAAAAAATGACAGAAAATTATTAATAATGATATCATAAAATATTGAATGTTATTTTGACAACAATAATAATGCTGTCGTTAATAATACCATGTGTTAGTGTTGATAATGATATAATAAATGGAAAAACTTTATCCAAAAACGTTGATAATACCTTGGGGTGATGTTACTCGTCAATGTAAAATATAATTATTTGATAAGATAATTATTCATACAGTGATAAGGTAAATCATTGACAATCCTATTCCAAACTTTAACAAAGTCATACTAAACATTGATAATGATTTTTAAAATGTGAATATTAAAGATTGTGCATAACATTGATAATTCCTTCATAAAAATAGATAACGGTAACAAAACCGATAATATAATTTCTCAATACGTTGATAAACTTGACTTTGAAATGCGAAAATGTTGATAATGATTATTGCTATTATTGATAATTACCTTCAGATCACAATAATTTTGCATATAATTGATAATATCTTGCATCCAAGTTGATAACGACATTTTATATCGTTAATAATATTATGCATCAACGTTGATAAAGATACAATAAATGGATAAAAGTTGGTCCAAAAATGTTGATAATAGCTTGGAGTGACAATACTAATCATTAATGTAATACATAATTATTTTATAATAGTTATTAATTAATATTGGTACGGTAAATCATTGACAATCCTATTCCAAACCTTAACAATGCCATATTAAAAATTAATAATGATTTTCAAAACATGAATAATGATGGTGCACAACTTTGATAATTTCTTCAGATAACGGTAACAAAACCGATAATATGCTTTCTCAATACGTTAATAAACTTGACTTGAAGATGTGAACAAGTTAATAATGGTTCTTGCTATTATTGATAATTACCTTCAAATGAATAATAATAATTTTTCATATCATTGATAATATCTTGCATCCGAGTTGATAATGATATTATTACTTGAGAATGGTAGATGAACACTAAAATTGATTCACAATCATATATAAAGACACTAAAATTGTTGCGAATAAGTACATAATCATTAATATTTTTAATAATTTCTCCCCTTTTCTGCCTGCTTCTCTTGCTTGTCTGCCTTAGAGGAACATGTCTAGGCGTTGTGTTCTTTGTGCTCGTCATATGGTTCAGAACTACATACGCATAGAATCAAGAAAAACAATGTTACAAATTAAGTATAACATAATTGATAACAATGACTTTAATTGTTAAAAATTAACATCATTTTTATTAATAATGAAATCAGATGGTGATGAACTGATGATGTACTAGAAACGGCATCCCATGAAAAAAAAAACTACAAACGCGCATAATCAAGAAAAACAATGTTATTAATGAAAACACCACCGCCAATTTGACTATAACATTATATTATTGATAACGATGACGATAATTGTTAAAAATTTACATCTTTCTATTAATAATAATGAAATTAGAAGGTGATGGTGTAGAAAAACGGTATCCCGCCAAACGAAAAACATTAATAAATACGACACAACAAAATGATAATAATTACAACTAAAACACTTTTGAAAGTGATCCAAAAATAATAATAACAAACGTTGCAATAATAGGAAATCATTCAACAAAAACTTAATAACCAAAACTTAATTACACATTAATAATTAGAATGTTTATCATACTTTATATTACGCATATATTACAATTATTAACATCATTAATAAATCAAAGTGAAAACATTGCTAACTACGGTTATTTTTGTTAATAAACCCTACTTCGGTCAACATTATATTAATCGACGAAGCAAATACAACTTTTAACATCGGCACTAATATCACCTTATTAACATCATTGATAATTCAAATTGAAGACGTTGCTAATACGATGTGTAAACGTTAAAACAGAAAACATCTAATTTTATTTCATGCGTGAAGTTAACTCGCCGCTGCGTATATATATAAAACAACCTTGCACTAACTAACCCTAACTTACCCTAACGACGGCGATTAACTCTCCAAGCAGCGAAAGAAATCGGACCGGCAAACAGACAAAGAAACCAGGAGGACGCCGTCGAATAACGCCAGCTAGAAGCAGCATGCAGTGGCCTGGAAAATAATAAACAGACGCACAAAAAATGGGAAAAAATCCCACTGTACACACGTTCTTAAAAAAAATTCCCAAAATACATAAGTTATAAAAAAATTTCCCAAAGTACACATGTTTGGCATTCACCGTTTTTGACAAACGCAGTGAAGGTAATCACCGCGTTTGTTAAAGACGGTGAATATTTCACCGTTTAAAACAAAAACGGTGACGTATTCACCGTTGTTATCTAAAACGGTGATGTATTCACCGCGTTTGGCGAGGACGATGAACACATCACCGTTTTAGTTGACAACGGCGAATACATTCACCGTTGTTGGATAACGCGGATCGAGCGACGTGGCTCAGCGTGAGGCGTCGGATCTGGAAAGAAAACCACGATCCGTGCCTCACCGCATCCAACGGCCACAGTGAACGCGCCAGCGACGCGGATCGCTGACGCAAACAAACACGGGGTATTCACCGTGTTTGTCTAACGCGGTGAATACCCCGCGTTGGTCCACGTCAGCGCCTTCACCGTGGAACACTAAAACGGTGAAGGCCTCACCGTTTTTGTCCAAAACGGTGAAGTATTCACCGTGCCTGTTTAAAACGGTGATACCTTCACCGTTTTAGACTAAAACGGTGAATACTTCACCGTCTTTATTTAAAACGGTTAAATATTCACCGTCTCTAACAAACGCGGTGATATTGTTCACTGCGTTTGTCAAAAACGGTGATGCTCAAACATGTGTACTTTTGGAAATTTTTTTATAACTTATGTATTTTGGGAATTTTTTTTAAGAACTAGTGTATTTTGGGATTTTTTCCCAAAAAAATGCAGCCAGTTATGCTACGGCAAAAGCAACTTCCCGTCGAGATCATCATAAACGGCAAAGCTGACGCGTGCGCCGGAAGATATCAGTGCAACCAGACAAGAAGGGGAATGCAACCGGCTTACACGGCGTTTGGGGAAGAGGTGAACGTGACCGTGTGCGAGGGCGACGAGCGCGGCCGACGCGGAAGGTTGCTGGGTCCTGCGAAGAGAAAAGTGAAGGTCGCTGAAAAATATAACCCTAGCTACCGGCGGCCTTTGGGATTTAATTAGGGTTAGCCAAAAGCTTGATATTGATTAGAGTATTAAGTTAAAATTCAAATAATTAAATTTCACAATTTACCTCAATACCCTTAACCACCTTATAACTACTAACTTCTTATTAACCACCTAATCTCCTTTCAGCCAATAAGAAGCCTTTAAGCATATGCTTAAACTTTTGGGCTTAAGCACAGGAACTCATCCCAATTGCGGGAAGGGGGAGGAGGGTTCGTTGGGCTTCTTTTGTTTTTTTGTTTTTTCTTCCTATAAAGGTGTCGTTGGGGTTGGGAACGGAGAAGGAAGTCTCTTGGGGAAGATATTAAATGACGTGGAGGCTTGGATGGCGTGGAAATTTGAATCCCTAAGCGGCAGTTCTGGAAAACGCTTAATATTTTTTGTAGATAGATAATCATCCATTAATTTAATAAAATTTAATAAAAAAATTAACCTCGCAACCTTGCAAGTAATTAATCGACGTAAAACAATTCATGTGGACCAGTCGGTTTCGCCGAGAGAGGGATCGCGGCGCTCTGCCCCCACTGCGGCGACGCCCGACGCCCCTGCTCCTGCGGCGCCTGCTCCTCCACCGCCGCCGATTCTTCTTCATCGTCGTCGACGATCAAGAGGTCCGGAAGCGTTAGCCGCATATCGAATTTTCTGTTCGAGAGCAGCAGCAACACTGCGGAGCCTTCCTTGCGGCGGTCGAGATCCTTGGCGGTGGCGATTCCGTTCCTCCGGTCGTCAACCAATCGTCATCCTCCTCCTGCCGCTGCTTCCGACAAGGCGGCTCCAACTCCCGCTCCGGCGTTCTGGGCAATTCTGAAAGGCGGCGGCGCGTACGTGGCGGCGGCGGGGGAGGAGGAGGACGGTGAGCAGCTTCGGAGGATGACGATGAGGAAATCGAGGTCGGTGGCGGTGACGTCAGCGGATGCAGGGAGGTCGTCGTGGAAAGGAAGCGGCGGAGGGAGAGGGTGGCATTTCCCGAGCCCGATGAAGGTGTTCCGGCAATCGAAAAGCTCCGCCAGAGGCGGCGGCGGTTTGATCTTTGGGTCTGACGGTTACAATTCCAGAGCACGGTTACAAATCCAGGGAGGACTCCAACTGCGATCCGTTTCAGATACGCTTGTTCTTTCCCTTTCCTCCCTAATTTTAATATTTATTTATTTCCAGGAATATAATTCTAAAATCTTTTAATTTTATTTTCCTTAACGGCTCGTATATATAAACTTTTCATTGACTTTACTTAAAAAAAAGTAATAAAAAATGTTTTTCTTTTGACCTTGTTAGCTTTTGATTCGGAGTATCCGACTAAGCCTCAATGGCTTGTTTAAGTCCATTCAGTGGAGCTTAGTTGTCATCCAGTATGGGCGCTTGTGTGTTTGTTTGTTTTTGCAGGGGCACGTAGTTTTCCCTTGACTATACAAGCATCAATCCATTATGATTCAATCTCGTGATGTGGCGCATGCGACAGGTGGAGCGATCTCGGAAGAGATTTGTTTGGCGTCTGTGTATTTTAATTTCTTTATTTGTACTTTTACGCAGAGGTTGTACAACAGGGCTGCCCACTTAGTGGCTTCTAATGCCCTTTCATCGACAGCTCGATATTGTGTCGACTGTCGCGTCTGGTTTTCTAGCGTCCTGTAATATCTATTTCATTCCCGATCTATGACAAAAAAAAATTTAATAAAATTAAATAAATGCACCATCAAATATTAAACAAAGAATGAACCGAACCTCTACAAACGGAAGAATGGAACAGTTTCTAGATTCTACCCAAAAAATAGAATGGAACAGTTCTATTTCACCACAAGATGAAGCCAAATGCATATAAATGAGATCATACCATCACAAGTTGGCAGTTGAACCTTACATATTGTTCTAACACGGTCATCTAGAGAGTGTATCGTAAAACTGAAACCAAACTCGAAATTGCAACATCCTCATAAACACCAAATGAGCGAGTGCAACTTCTTGACTCTCGAAACAATGGTTCTTCGACTAGCAAAAACCAACAATAAAGGACACAAAGAATGCATTCTGACTTCAACTTGTAGGGTTTAATTGGAGACTGTTCGCTAATAGTATGAAATCCATCCTTTAAAAAAGGGGTTGGAACTAATCAATTTGATGGCATGAGAAAAGAGCTGAAAAACGAAATATGCATAGTTTGTGTACATCAACGCTCCTTGACTTAAAGTCGGTAAATATTCACATACAATCCAAGTTGGCATGATAAATATGTCGGTAAATATATGAATGTTGGCCGAGGCATCCATAAAGTAATTGGCACTTGAGCCTTGACATTGTTTCAAACTAATTACAATGTGTTAAAACTTTCTACCATACATCGTTGAACTTTCCAGGTACTCACTTTTAACTTCAACACCAAGAAGATAGAGATAATGGTGAAAATATATGATAGGTCAGGCCAGTTGATCATGGAGCTCTAAGCAGATAACAATCTATCGATAGTCACCAAATGGCATAACTGTAACTCCTTGAAGGAATTCAATATATGATTATCAAGGGATAGACCCTGACCTTGTTGAGGATCAACTCACTCCTAACTTTCTTCTGTCGGCTAGAAATGGAATAAGGGAAAGGGATTTTTTTTATAAGGTGACTTCATTTTTTAATCATTCAAGACACTAAAGTACTTGAGAGGAGTGGGAGTGGGAGTAATTGGAGGGCTCTTGCTTCTTTGTGACTGATCCATCAAAACTCCTTGTTGCTACAACTGATGTCATGTTTATTACTTCTTTAACATCTTCGCAACCTTCAGTTACAATAGGACCAGGGGCAAGAGATTTGTTGGAAGGAGTTTCAAAGTGGTGTAGGAAACTTTAGCTGCATTCATCTTGGCTTCCTTATTGGACTTCCTTGCTTTACCTTGGAATTTCTCTACACCCACTTCCACGGAGGAAAAGAAGGCAGGAAGATGTGAAGGATCAGTCTTCATAGTGTTGTAAACTAGCAGGGGAGCCTTTCTCTCTGAAGTAGCTCATGCAACAAATTCTTTTAAACCCAAGTACAGATTCATCCTGAAATTTAACAGAGAGAGAAGCAATATTTAGTGAAAATCCTAACATAGATTTTTCCAGGAAAAACAACAAAGAGTTAAGAGGGAAAAGTTGGAGGGGATCAGTTGACAAAATCAGCCTCCTGAAGGACCTCATCAAAGTCATTTTCAGAATTCAAAGCATTTAGTCTTGATACCCATTTGTTGGTACTTCAGAACGTGCAAATTGTATTAATCACAAGACAAGTCTCAAAATTTCTGTTTTGTTTTTCCAAATATGAAATACAGAGATTTTGGTAATTTTTACTCGAATGTGGTGAAGTAAAGTGGCGGAAGGCAATTTGGCAGCTTCATTTTGAGCTTGTTTGATGGAGTTGCAAGAAGGAGAAGCCTCATCAATGGAAACAGTGGCCTTGAAGCGAGGACTGTGATCTGGGACGTCTTTTATTGCAAAGTACCTTGGCAAAGGCCATATGTTCTTCTGGCACAATTCCTGCAACTATGTTTTAAACATTCTTCACATTCTGGAAAAATCCCAAATTTTTTTCTTGAAGAGAAAATGAGCCTAGAATATGGATTTGCAAGAAGAAGAGAGGTTATAATAAGTTTCAACAGCAATCCAAGTTTTG